ATGTTTGTGAGTGCGGCGGCGCTGTGGAAGCCTGAAACGATATCTTACTTGTGTTCAGATCGCTTCACGGAAGTTAAAAATCAAAACTGCTTACTAGTTATAGTAAAATATGTATATGATTGATGACCATAAAGATTTTCCATAACACAACTTGTAACATAACGATTTCTTCCTCGAAGTGAGGTTGTGGTCGGCAACAATAATATTGTAAGTAGTATTATATTGACACCCACCTTCGCTGCCAGGAGAGAAATTGTTATGTTATACGCTATGTCATGCAAAATCCTATTGGCCATCAATAAAATACATATTTTACTACCAGTAGAAAGTAATTTGATTTTGTAACTCGGTGAAAACAAACCTAAATAGCATTTATCCACAGGCTGGCGGATGTTCCCTACAGGCGCCATTTTTGAAAATCGTAAAGTCTGTTAGAAGTAATGAGATTATAGTTTGTTTTCATCAAGTTAGAAAATCAAAACTACTTTCTACTCAGAAGTTAAATATGTATTGAATCAGAACCAAACGGATTTTGCATGACACAACTTATAACATAACGATTTCTTCCACGGAAGCGAGGTGGGGGTTGAAGTCACAATACTGCCCGATAAATTTCTTGCTACATTCACATGGTTAATGTCCACTCACCAGTATGTAGATACTAGTCAATGTGCGTCTTTATATTTGGTCTTATAATCCTAATTAGTTTATTATCATACTTTTATGCATTTTGAAACTAAATAAAAAGCTGACGATCTGCTGATACTTATAGTGAATTTATAACAGAACTGTAATATCTAGACATTTTATAGTCTGCCAATGTGAATCATAATTCGCACACACACCCTAGTGTATGTTGTCTGTCTCATTACACTTCACGGCGAAAACAATGATTCTGTTGAATGCTACGACAAATGAATAAAAACAAAATGCAAATATTAAATTTAAAACAGATTAAAGTTATAGGAACAATATCAGGCCATTACCTCGCTTTGAGGAATGTATCCATCAATATCAACAAAACTGTTCCAAATGATGTGTCTTTTAACAGTTTAATATAATGAAAAAGTGATAAATCTTTTCAGGTATTGGTGTATAGTCTCATTGGTCACCCAAGATAGCACACCTGGCAACTAATTGCATAATGTCCGCCTTTCATTAAAAACAGTAATTTAGTTAGCCAATAATGGGCAATCAATCAATGTATTGCCGGTTAATCCTTTGAAAGAAGGACGTTGTTTTTTACGCAGACACCGACACGGCAGAGTGTATTCAGTATAGATTAGTAAATCTACATACATAAATACTACCTTTTGACAAATCCGGCTGTGTAAGATAAAAGTAATTAATCAATCAGCTGTGTTATGGGTTAATCCTTTGATCGATGTTTATAATGTTGAATATTTACTCCAGACACAAGAAATGCCAAATGGGAACCTTTGTCGGGTAATCTAAGTGTGTTACCACTAATTATACCTGTTATAAATTCATTAACTGACCATCAAGTGAATGATGACAAATAACATGTGTAGGTTTATACCACCGAACACGGGTTACAACAAGGGAGTATTAATTGCTGTATTGCATGTGAAAACTTATGGGCCGACACTGTTTTGAGATTACAAACAGATTTTTTACATGACATGATTAAATATCGAGGTAAAAAAACACAGAAATGGGATCAATTTGGATCAGTCATTATACAAATAGGGCCTAACGACACCAATCAATTGTGACAGAAGCGTCTATGAAAACAAGTTGTAACTCGGAAACTAGGCAAAGCAGGAGACAAAATTAAATGTCAGTAGATTGTGAGAACATATAGCTTTCATTTTCCACAACAATTGTCACGATTCCAGGTTTATACAAGCCTGTAAACAAGATAATTTACCCCCTAAAATGTAGATGAATTCTGCATCGGCCCTCAAAGCTATTCCTCATATGACGTCACAGAGTCGCGCCGCTCTGATTGGTTGAAATTTCGTTCGCGGGTGAGAATTGTGCACTGTTGTCAAAAAGGTCGATTTAAGTCAATTAAAGGTCGAAATGAGTAGTTTTAATGACTGGGTTTCATTTATAACGATGCCAGTTAGTGATTTATGTATTTTTACCCCCTAGGGTTTATGTGACCTTTAAATGGTAACATAATATAACTTGTAATGAATTAGAGTGAGTGAGTTTAGTTTTACGCCGCACTCAGCAATATTCCAGCTATATGGCGACGGTCTGTAAATAATCGAGTTTGTAAATAAATTAGTCTGGATCATACAATCCAATGATTGACATCATGAGCATCAATCTGCACAAATGAGATACGATGACGTGTCAAACAAATCAGCAAGCCTGACAACATTGTCCTGTTGATATTAGTCGCTTTATTACGACAAGCATGTGTGGATGAAGACCAATTCTAACCTGGATCATCACAGGTCCCTATTAATGACTTCAGCACACCTACCTTCAGCCTCTCCACCAGCATGTCCAGTTCTTCACTGAGTAGTCTGTCCTCTTCGGACTACAACAAAAGATATCAATATTTGACTTGGGATATCACGATACATAAGTTTAATGAATCAATACGTAACACGAAACCAATATCACGATTCGATATGTATCACGATACCTATTTTCATGGCATTATTGCTTAAATTTAGTTACATTTTGAACATTAATATTTCATATTTTATAATTTTCCATGAAAAGATCAACATTTTTTATTCTCAGATTAAAAATTTCTAATTGCCCATCTTTGTGCATGACAAAATAATCATTTTTACTCTCATAACATAAAAAAACATGAGACAATTGCAAAATGTAAACGATACAGTTTTGAATGTATCGATAATTGTATTGTCTTAGAAAAAGTATCAATGTATCATGGCATCCCTATGTTTGACACACGCCTAAATGTTAAAAATCAGTAACTTCTTAATGGTAATGTTCTATTATGGTTTGAATGATGCAAGTTTTGGAGGAAATGGCCTGTAGAGCGAGTTATAGTTAAGAGTACAGCTGTGTGTGCATGGGGAACTGTTCAATCTGTACCCACAGAGATTTGTACCAAAACTTTATCGCCCGACCTAAACAACTGGAGGACTCGTACCAATAAAAAGTAAAGCCATATCCACTAAACTCTCAGATATTGAGCAATCAAAACCACAGCTGAGAATGAATACATAACGTTTATGTCTTTGAAATGTACAATTAGTGAACACTGGAAATGTACAATGAGTAAACACTGGAAATGTAATGGTGCTCAGAAAAAACTGACGTCAAAGTTCAGGAACAAATGATAAATGATTAGAAAAATATTTTTTTGCTAAATATATAGTTTTAGTGCAAATATTTCTGACTGTGAAATAAATTGGCCAGGGTACAGATGGACCAAAAAAGGTATGAATGGTCCAAACTAGGTACCAATCTGACAGTTTTAGGTAGGAGTTAACTATGTTTGTTTGGCACGAATCACCATGGGACATGGTGGACGAGCTAACTAAGGCTAAGGCCCAGACCAGTGATCCACTCAAACATGAACTCTGTGTGGTGTAAAACCCCTAGTGTACAGTACACAACCCTGTGCACTTAAAAGATCCCACGAATCCGTTGGTATATGACCAGATGGTGGCTACATGAATACGTGCAAACACTTAGTTGCAGGTACAGCAACCTGCAGTAAACTTGGACAAAGTACTGAGACTATGTGTCCCAATCCACCCAGCTGTGAATGGGAACCTTGTAAGGATGGGAAAGCCACAATAACTCGGTGCAGCAAGAGTTGTATGATCCCCATGGAGTTGAGATTGATAATAAGACGTGCCGTTGAAATTGACATCCAATGATCTAGGGAAAAAATGCCAACGCCTTGAGCATGCACTTGTGTGTGGATATGTGCGCTATATAAATATAAATATCCAAATGAATATCTGTGGGTACGATTGTCTACTATCCTGTGCATAAACACATCTGTTCTTGAAAGAAAACCTGAACAAACAATATTGACTGAAGGCAATAACACATAAGAGATCATTATTCCGATCCCTTCCGATCTAACACATACATAGAACATGCAATACTGTGTTCCTTTAGCAGGCATATTGGTTTTCCAAGTTTGATTGGTAATCCAAGCTTATTTAAAGTTAAAGATACCTCATTTTGAAAAAAAAGACAAATGTATGTATGTTAAAGTAAATTGTGGCACAGGGAAGACAAACTTGGTCATGAACATATCTCTGAAGTTACAAACAAGACACGACCGGTACCACGAAAATAGGTGTCACACTCATGTTGTAACACACGTGATGCCATCTATCTAAGTAAATGATCCGCAAAGAAAGCTCAATGGGTTTCATTTGTTAGAATGCACATTACCCTCTGATCACTAAAATATAATGCAAAAACAAGTTCCAAACAATCATCAATCAAACATGCAAACTTCAACTTCACGCCTTCATGCCACAAAAACATTAATGCTCGATATGACAAGGCAGTTTTGAATGCTTGTTTGGGATTTGCAGTCGAATGGTTTAGGATTACGAGTATATATCATTAGGAAATTAAGAAAATTACGTGAGAATTAATTCATAATATAGTTATGATTAAACCTACCATTTCAATGGGTTCTTGTTTGTCATCTTCCTTCTTTTTTTCGTCCTTTTTCTCAGACGCTGTCGGCTCTTTCTTTTCCTTCTTGTCCGCCATGTTGGTAGAATAACGCTGATCATTGAGAGTGCGAGATTTGCGAGAAACAATACATTTTCTTACAGGTAATAATATTTGAAACACATAAGGCAAATTACCATGTTTTTAAAATAAATTGCTATTTTTAATTGTAATATAGTACCATTATTAAATAGTTGGCCATTTCATTCCTATATTATGGAAGTAATACATATGTTATATTACGTAATATCTCTTAATATCCAACGACTATTCATTATTCTAGTTAAATAATTATAGTGGGAATATATTTTATATATTGATATTACTATAGTACATGGTGATAAGGTTTGACTAGGTAGCAGAACTACAAACATTCGTGTTTGAAATATTACTAGTTGTAGTGTATTGTTAAGAATATAGTATTACCCATAGACCAATGGGGCAAATATTTTTGCCGGACGCTAAAGGAGCACTTGTTGCAAGCGACGAGTAGTAGTCAACGGTAAGAACTACATTTAAGGGTAATTACTTTGAATGTATTATATATTTTGTCGAAGTACTTCTAACCGGTTAATATTCATTTGCAGACATTTATTTTATAAGTGAATATTTGTCAACAAATTCACAGCACCATCCCTCAGTTTACACGTTTCCAAGACAACTGTAGGGAACAGCTGATGCGGTTATACAGTAACAATTCAAATAATCGCCATATAATGATTACTACTCCTTTATGCGGATACGTGTTACTCTATCGGGTATTCATTTTAACTTAGATAGTATCAATAAATCTTTTAAAGCAAAGGTATTTTTTAATGTGCAGAGATGGGTGCAGGCTAAAACGGCACCTCATCAAAACCAATTTTTACCAGGGAAAACGGCATGGCTTTCACGAAAATGACACCTTACACTAATCTATAAATATGAAAGGAGATATGTAGTTGTGTTTTGCTTGCAAATGTTCTCTACCGGCTCTTCCTTTTTCTAAAACAATCAACTGCTGTACCGTGTTTACTACATTCCAGCTAAATTACTGTACAGTTTAGCACGTAAATGTCTGTAACAACACTAAATTAAAAAACAAACAATATCCTGTACATTTACATTCGTTATTTGTAACAAATTAATTAATAACAAATTACTTTGATTCTCAGATATGTTATTTTACATTTAGTGTTATTGTTAAGATTGATCATATTTTCAGTTTTTACTGAAAACACTTTTACATTTTGTAAATACTTTTACAGTGTAAAATAATCACATGTTTGATGGAGATGTCAGGAATTTGTTGACCTGATGAGGTCATCTACGTGATCTAAGCCTATAGCTGATTCTGACATGTTTTTAGGTTACAGTCCCTAATCCCATAAAACTAGTGAGGAATGAATGTCCACATAGCCTAATTACAGAAATTATAGTACACAAACACGATCTGTCCTCTGGTCTCATTCAGCTGAGTTCTCACATATGACGTATCAGTAGGGTCTCTAAGGGCTGTTATGATTTACTTGCGCATTCAGTGATTTGAAATGTATCAATCGTGACTTGTTTGATAATGGTGTTAGCACCTATTTAGTGACACCACAAACATCACATCTATTGCAATATTATATAATAAAGAAATCTGTCTATCCATAAAAATTGTTCCATTTCAATCAGAATAATTGTCAACATTCCAGTAAATATTTCCCCATAGTGGATTTGGTGCCCTGTTAGCATGGTTAGGTTTAGTATCAGTGTGAGCAGGATTTAAATTGTGTACAGGTAATTAGAAACTTCCACATGTGTGGAGTTGATTAACATATCACAATTATTTGTGTTTGCCTATTATCCTTTCAGTTCAATTTCATTGACAGCTTGTTGTTAACAGGGCTGGCTAAAAAGATGGATAATCAGAAATATTGATGGGAGGATATTATTGATATGAAAATTGTGTCAATCAACTATTTTAATGAAATAAAGTTTTAATATACAACACACACAATCGACAAAGTTACATCTGTTTCCATGGCAACTTCTAGATCATGTTCAGAATGTTACTCATGTTAATAATTCATATAGAAATTTGTCGCAGTCATCTGTGTTGATTTCTTTCAGAATGCTTTTAATTTTTCTCAAAGTTTCTTCTCTGTTAATTTATCCAGAGCTCCAGATAAGATTTTAGCTCATGTGGGTACTGTACCCACTGTAATATTTTGGAGTGGGTATTATGAATGTTGAGTGGGTATTTAATTTTTGCGTTACCCACTGCTTTCAAATATAATGCGTATTTCAGTCATATTACTCACCTAAGTATTATGTCATTGAGTAAGTTTACTAAGCAGGTATGTTCTGCCTTATGTCATACCTAATCAAAACCAACTTAAATATAATGGAAATTATTTCATAAAAAATCACTCATCCTATACTGACAGTACAATACTTGTCCTATACTAACAGTACAACTTGATAGCAATCGATGTCTTTTTCATTCACGCAAGCTTTTTATAAATATATTCCGTGCGATTTGTTTTAAACTTTTATGCATTAATCTAACATTTAAATGCGTTAATTGGTACGCAACAATTATTTTCAATGCATAATTGGAAATTTTCTATGCATATTTTTAATTCCGATACGCGAGCTTATCTGGGTCTCTGTTTATCAATAATAAATTTTAATTTAGTTACTGATTATTGATCTTTCTGATCTATATATTGATAGCCAGATAGCTATTGTCCTAATAATTATAATCATCATAACATATATGGTAATTAGTTTCACCAATCAGTGCTTTTTATCTCAGTGATGTTTGGGCAGTTAATGATATGCAGTTTTGTTATAACCTTCTAAGCTATCTAACTTGTTCGACCAGATTGCCATACTTTGTACTTAATTACAAATATGCACTTTCAGATTTAACATATCTGAACTCTTTCGTTTTTATTCTATTTTTAGATTATATGACTGTAGTGTCTTAGGTCAGCTGTTTTAAATGTCTAATGAGACAGTGACGATCTGGGTTAGAATTGGTATTAAAATATTAAAAGCAACCATGGACTTATGCTTGTCATAAGAGATGACTCATTAACAAGATTGGGTTGTCAGTCTTGCTGACTTGGTTGATGCACGTCATGACGATTCATTGATACACATTGATCCATGGGCCGTCTATACAGTGAATCTATACAAAGTTTTACATTGTCGTATATCCCATTGTATGATACTTCAAATGGGTCACGATACATTGACGTTTACCTTTGAATATTGCCGAATCGCGATATCTGTCAAGTAAAAAGTCTTAATTACTTTTGTTTACTGATTAAAATATATGCTTACCTATTTACCCTTCATAAGTAAACGTTTTCTCGAAAATTCTTGTGTGAAGAACTGGGTCAAACATAGTGCTGCGCGATGTTATTAATATTTACAAAGTTTGTGTATAAACTTCCTCATCTCATTCCGGAATGTACAGTGAAAAATGTCTGGCGGAATTGACGTAAATACTTTAAAATGGTTTTGTTTTGATCTTAAGATGTTTTATAGTTGGTGTTAGAATTAAAGATTTTAGTATCATGATACGTATCGTATTGCCACCCATATATCGGGATTCGTATCGTATCGCAGCTTCAGTGCATAATACTTTGGCAATATATCGTCTTGACTAGAATTTTAGTATCGTGATGTATCGTATCGCAGGTTGTATGCCAATACCAGCACTAGTCATCATACCCCAGTGGTCGAAGTCAATACTCACAATGCAAAGCAATGCCAACCCATTGATGATCTTTTTATGGTTTGCAGGACACAAACTGACCATGGCGTCGTCAGGAGAATGTGTCAAAGTCATAGTGCGATGTCGTCCGATGAACGCCAGGGAGAAGAACATGGACTGTAACTGCGTTCTGGCCATGGAAAGTAGCAGAGGATCCTGCCAGATAACTAACCCCACAGATGCTAAGGCACCACCCAAAATGTTTACATTTGATGGTTCCTATTTCACTGACTCCACAACAGAACAGATATACAACGATATTGCCTACCCGCTGGTTGAGGTAAGTTGTAGTGCTTTGACTTGACCAAAGCTCCTTTAGTAAGCCTGAGTCGATAAAACTGATAGTGCCTAGGACACTTTTACACATTTCATTAGAAAATTGTATTTCAGGGTTTTACCTTGACTCACAAACATGGGGGTCCTGGGCAGGGGTGGAAATAACTTTAAAATTGCTAGTGTACTCCGGTACAGTGGCACATGTAAAATCACTTGACCTGATAATTTTTCCACTATACCAGCTGTTTTCTTGTTGATTTTTTACATAAAGAACATAATTAACATTGGAAAGTCAACTGGACACCGGTACAGTGTGATATACAAATTTGCTTGCCCGACAGAAAAAAACACTGGACTCGGGCGTCGGGCAATGGGTTATTTCCACCCCTGCTGGGGACCCCTAATTATCACTTTTAAGGGTCCTTGCAGGCAATATGAGGGTCCTGTGAAGTAACGATGTAGAGAACTGTACATTTTGATAATTTCCTTAGAGTCTGGAATGAATCGTTGATCATATGGACTGATGGGTGAAATGATGCACGTAACTGCTCTGAAAGAAACAAACACTTAGCAAAGTCATTGATGTGTTGTGGGTACAGTGAATTTTGTGAGTCCCTCTGGACGTAGCGAATTGTTTTTCTGCCTCCATTCTCTACATTTGTGTACTGGACAGACATTTGCGTGTCGCATAAAACCCTGGGCCCCATTCCTCAAAGTGATCCTGGTGCTTTTCACTGATATTTAGTGTTCATTTATGGATGAGTGATTTCCACTGATTGATTAATATTTTTTGATAAATAATAATATATGGATATTTGTAGTGTGCAATGGTCTGTCCACTGAAGTATGCTCAAACCACTTACCGCCATTATTTCCCTGGTCAATGGATTTTATTTCTCTACTCCCTGGGGAGTATACACCAAGCTAATGGCATACCTTGTGACAATGTTAACAGTCACATTACCATCTCATCCTTTCAGGGTATCTATTCATTTCTGGGTGAAAACTGCTGAGTCATCTATTCTGGACACAATGGATAGTTTTAAATGAACTGTAGCCTTACAGCAAAAAGAGCTGTTTTGATGATTAACTGTGAAGTCATTTCTTAAGATATGGCTGAAATATTGCTGATGTGGCTATCAATTTTAACTCACTAATATCCCTGTACCACATACCATTCTGCTTGAGTATCACACACACAGTCTAAGCTGCCAAGGTCTGACTGGGAAGGGGCTGGTGGGGTAGCCTAGTGGTTAAAGTTCAGCTCATCAATGCTTGAAACCGGGTTCGAGTTCCCCACATGGGCACAATGTGTTAAGTCCATTTCTGGTGTCCCCAGCCGTGATATTGCTGGAATATTGTTAAAAGCGCGTAAAACTAAACTCACTCACTCACTCTGACTGGGAAAATGTTATGTTGACATGTTATTAACAAACTGCAACAAATATGGCTTTTACTGAGTCAAGATATGGCATTAATGATAAATGTATCCATTCAATACAGACAAACTTTTGATAATAACTTTTTTTTTCGTGAGAGCGACATTTCGATACAGATTCTTGTACCATTGTTGCTTGACATAGAGTTTGTCTATATTGTATTTCCCAACTTCTAAAATGCCTTTCAAAAAAGTATATCCATTCAATATTATTATATTACCATTTGCCAATTATAACTCCTCATTATTGGTAACATGAACATAGTTGCTTTAAGTAATGGTGAGTTGGTCAGTCTGCTGATAACTTCACAATTTCATTGAATTTACATAACAATATTGAATAAAATTGTGAATAAAATTAAAACAATAAAAAGAAATGATTAGTCCAGATATTCATTTAATGGTTGAGTGAATAAGTTTCGTTTTACGCCGCTTTTAGCAACATTGTAGCAATATCAAGGCTTGGGACACCAGAAATGGGCTTCACACATTGTACCCATGTGGGGAATCGAACCCGCTACTTTGGTGTGACGAGCAAACGCTTTAACCACAAGGCTACCCCACCACCCCTAGATATACAACACTTCTTTGTATCTGTATTTACGTAATATCATGATCCTATTTCTGGTGTCACACACTCAGAGAAACTATGTGCATGTTTTTCCCCCCCAAAAATGTTCAAAATTAATTTTTCTGTATCCTTTTCAAATTGAGCTTTTCAGTCTGATTTGGTTGTTCCTTAAACTCACAGTAGCAGTGTGAGTGAATGAGTTTGGTTTTACGTCACTTTTAGCAATATTCCAGCAATATCATGGCAGGGGGACACTAGAAATGGGCTTCACACATTGTACCCATGTGGAGAATCGAACCCGGTCTTCAGCGTGACGAGCGAACGCTTTAACCACTAGGCTACCCCACCACCCCCATAGTAGCAGAGGGAGCATTATGTTGATATTGTGGCCGAGATAAACCAGGTACTCAAAACAGCAAGCTGTAATTTGCCTGATTATTTTGTCTTTCTTCCACTTGTAGGGTGTGACTGAGGGCTACAATGGCACCATATTTGCTTACGGGCAGACTGGATGTGGAAAATCATTCACTATGCAGGGAATAACCAACCCACCAACACAACGAGGAATTATACCAAGGTAAGTGTGTAATGGCGTAAAAGAATAGCAGGATTTTAATGCCACTTAATGAAGACATGACTGACTATTAGCATCTAAAAGACAGTGAGTGAGAAAGGCAGGGACCATGGGCCATTTTGCACATTAGAATAAAAACTGGCCCATTAAAATTTTGAAGTTTGCTATTGATACATTTAGGGCAGTGGCCCATTGTAAATTCAGAAAATGGCTAATAATCCTGAAAATGGCCCATTATCAAAGTTCTCTATCCCAATTCCTGAAAAGATTTGGAAACATTGCTTTGAAAAGATTAAAAGAATCTAGAATCAGTCAGGCAATCCCATCGTAGTGATGCTACATCTTCTGACTGTTGAATTCATGTCATCATGACCCAGTTGCAATGGTTGGGGTTCATGATGTCAATCACTGGATTACCTGGTCCAAAATTTTGTTGAAAGTGGCATCAAACACTGAACAAAGAAATTTACCGTGTGATATACTATTCAGTTATCTAGGGCTTGATATAAGCATTTAGAACTTGCACTGGTGCAACCTGAAACTCCAAAATGCAAATTGAAATTTTACCAACTTTCACCTAGTGCCTGTTAATGTTTTGTGTTCAAAGACAACAACTTCAGCTAGAAAAATGAATAATGAGAACAGGGCTCCAGATAACTTTTGGGGGTGTGGAGTGTACTTACACATCATACTGCAAGTGGAGGTGTACTGAGAATTTTGAAGGAGTACTGACAAGTTTTTGTGTGAGCGAGTTGATGTGGTTTGTCTGGACGATTCATCGATCATTATTTCCAACCATGTATTTGTATTTGAAGACACGTGAGAAATAACTGAGCCACCATGTGATATGCGAAATGTCAGGTCCGACTGGATATAAATAGGAACAGTGTAGTTTTTAGCCAATCAAAAAATAGTGACGCGATAGCGTTGCATGGCAACGCTAAGGGATTCCTACTGTCGGGTTTCCTCGTTGTCAAATCGTGTTTCGCAGCAAAGAAACTTGACAAGTATTTATCCTAAATAAATTTCCATTTGCACACGATACGCACAGAAATTAAATGTTAGACGTTACAAAGGTATTTATGTGCATACACACGATACGCTTGAAATCTTATATTATGTCGTACTTAATTGATTTTAAGGCATAATACTCTGTAATTTCTTTATCTGTAGCCCTGATGAGAAACTGGCTTGGTGTAGTGACTCGATGATTGAAATTGATTGACTGTTACTTTTCATGTCATGAAATTTTATGATTCAGAATACTTTGTTATAAAGAGGTTCTAATACCCAAATTCAAGCAATATGTACAGTTGTACTTTGAGTAGGAGGTGTCACCTGTTTTTGTCTGATGCAATAATGTTTCAAATTGAGCCTGGTAGATGTGGTCAGTTATGTCCCTTAGAGAGTGTTTGTGTAATGTTTGGAGATAATGCTCGGTACCCACACAGGAAAATAATCTGATTTTGTGATTTTCTCCAAAGGGTAAAATAGGGTGGTGGGGTAGTCTGGTGGTGAAAGCGTTTGCTCACCGCACCATAGGCCCGGGTTCTATTCTCCACATGGACACATTATGTGTGAAGCCCATTTCTGGTTTCCCCTGCTGTGATATTGATGGAATATTGCTAAAAGCGGCATAAAACCATATTCACTCACTCTGAAGGGTAAATTGTCCAATGGCTAGAATACGTAAGGCTGTTATGTTCTTAATGGGGTGGATCAGTCCTGATCTGAATTAACTGCCTTAAATCAACTACTTTGAAGATTGTTTGAATAAGACAGTTGACCCACCAATTTTGCACTTTCATCACACTTTACTGTTTACATTGTGAAATTTCCTGTATTCAGTTTCAAGGATCTTATTGAAATTTTCTTTTATAATGTGCGACAAGAATGTTACAATGTTGATGTTTATTCTGTTCCAGAGCTTTCGATCATGTTTTTGAGACTGTGTCAGTTACGGATGCAACAAAATTTCTCATCCATGCCTCTTATCTGGAAATTTACAATGAAGAGATCAGAGATTTGTTGGGCAAAGATGTGAAGGCCAAACTGGAACTGAAGGAACATCCCGAAAAGGGGTCTACGTTAACAGTGAGTGGCAGGTGTTTTAACTGCTGGAGCGTTTCAGTTTTTGCTGGTATTTTCTTTTTGACTGTGCTTGAAAACTGTTATAATAGAAGATTGTTACCTGGGCAATAATTGCTTTGAAAAGACAATGAAGGTATCTAAATTGGGGCTACAGTGTAGGTGGTTAAATTTTTTTTTAAATTTTAAAAAATGATTACTGTGTTCTGAGTTGGTGGTACCACAAGTTTTTGGTTTTGGGATAGTTCTGGTATCGCATCCATGGTTTTGGGATAATTCTGATATTGCTTCCATGGTATTGGGATAGTTCTGGTATCGCATTCATGGTTTTGGGATAGTTCTGATATTGCTTCCATGGTATTGGGATAGTTCTGGTATTGCATATATGGTATTGGGATAGTTCTGGTATTGCATATATGGTATTGGGATAGTTCTGGTATTGCATATATGGTATTGGGATAGTTCTGGTATCGCATTCATGGTTTTGGGATAGTTCTGATATTGCTTCCATGGTATTGGGATAATTCTGGTATCGCATTCATGGTTTTGGGATAGTTCTGATATTGCTTCCATGGTATTGGGATAGTTCTGGTATTGCATACAGTCAGCTCTAGATTAATCCGACACTCGTTAATCCGACAATCACCTTAATCCGACAAAAACTTAGGGAACCATTTAAAACAGTGATAATTACTCGTTAATCCGACATTCTAGCATTCCGACTCCGACACACCAATCTAGCAACCGATCATTGTAAACACATTGTAAAAACATTCGTTAATCCGACGAAATCAACACAGCCGGTCGGATGATCCGACCGTATACAAACATCACACATGAAGGTGATTAGCTAGCGTGCCATACACTGGCTGCTTGACACCGCGTCGGTGAACATCACACTTGTTAATTAGAAACACAAGATAATTAATTGAGGCGATTTAATCAAGAAATAACAATAGAGCGAGCTGTATAAAACGTTTACAACCGACCTGAGCATTCATCCGCGACAAGATGTCTGTCACGAGAGTACACCACCTGCTAAGCTTGAGCCCGAGTAGAAGTTAAGCCATTGATCAAGAAAGAAATCTGCCTTTTGAAGAAGGACAAACCCCAGACAACACAACAACAAGTCATCACTTTTGCTGCGCAGAAGTTTGATGTGAAGATTGACGATCAACCGTATCTGACATCCTGAAGCAGTCTGCTAAGTGGTTGAAGCGTCTCTACGACTGATTCAATACTTCAAGAGCTAGAAAACCCCAGCAGGAGGATCTTGAAAAGGCATTGTTTTATGGTTTACCGATGTTAGAAGTAAGGTTCATTAATGTGAATGATGAACTGTTAAGAGAGCAGGCTAAGATTCTAGGGGAGAAATTAGGGGTTACTGACTTTGCCTACAGTAGTGGATGGGTGACCAGATTTAAGCAGCGACATGGAATTAAGACGCTTCAAAATTCATGGTGAATCAGCCTCAGCCCCACAGAGTTCTGTAGACGCCAGGTAGAGAAGAATTGCAGCCAATCCTGGCTGAATACAATCCATGTGACGTCTACAACTGTGATGAAACTGGCTTGTTTTACAAAATTGAACCCAATACCACACTGAGCACTTTTCCTGTGTCTGGCAAGAAACAAGCAAAAGATCGACTTACTGTTATGCTTGTGGTGAACGCATCAGGCACTGACAAACCTAAACCACTGGTAATATGGAAATTTAACAGGCCCAGATGTTTTGGTAGAACTTTTGATCCTAATTCTGTGTGCCACTGGTATTCAAACAAGAAGGCTTGGATGACAGCACTGATCTTCAAAGACTGGCTTGTGAAGTTTGATAGGCACATGCGCACACAGCGACGACAAGTGATATTGCTGATTGACAACGCCCTTCCCATGCCTCCGTAGATCTCACCAACGTAAAAGCTTCACTATCTGCCTCCCAATACAACATCCCACATTCAGCCCCTAGATGCAGGAATCATAAAAGAATTTCAAACTTCTTTACAAGAAGCAGCAGATGAAACTTCATCTTGACAACGCGCAGACAACCGCGCAGTACCACTTGATATCAAGCAAGCCCTACTGTTTATCCGATCAGCGAGAGATGTAAAGCAACCAACGATCATCAACTGCTGGCGTCATACAAAAATCCTGCCACCTACTGACAGCCAGATCGAGCCCGACAATGAACCAACTGAAGACGTCCGAGACTTACAGGAAACTCTTGACACGCTTATACCCGGATGCACCCGCATCTGTCAGTGACTTCCTAGAATTTGACGCAAAATCTGCCATGTGAGGAAGCCATGACAGAAGATGATATCATCGAGATTATCCGACCTACCGCCGAAGAAGAAACAACAATCAACACTGAAGATGACCAGACAACCGAGCCAATCATTCCCAAGCTACCTGAGGTCAAAAGTTTGTTGAACAGTTTACAGACATTTGTGACACACACAACTTAGACGTGTTTGATGTGAGTGACCTGGACTTCATCGACACGTTGAAAACTAAAATGCAGAAGACCTCAGAAAAAATGAACAACAAAAAACCCTCAAAGACTATTTCAAGTTTTAAATTATTGTTCACGAGACATCCATATGTTACTGTGGAACCAGTTGTATGCAAACAGTGACTCATTCAACATCCGGGTCATAATGGCTGCTGAGAGTGAACTAGCGGCGACTGGTAAAACAAAGCGTGAGTTTTGTGCCAATGTGATTTTGAAATCGATACTTTAAACTGATTGATTATGTGATTTTATATGTACATGTATGTTATGCCATCTATGATTGTTAATAAATGATATCAAGGATGTATTGTTATATTTTTTTTATTACTGAATGTTTTACAAACGAAGATTCGATAACCAGATCTACAATTTCTGATATTTTCCGACATTTTCGTTAATCCGACATTTTCGTTAATCCGACATATTTCTCTGCAACCACAAGTGTCGGATTAACGAGAGTTGAATATATGGTATTAGGATAGTTCTGGTGTTGTATATATGGTATTGGGATAGTTCTGGTATTGCATATATAGTGTTGGTATTGGGATAGTTCTGGTATTGCATATATGGTATTGGGATAGTTCTGGTATTGCATGTATGGTATTGGGATAGTTCTGGTATTGCATATATGGTATTGGGATAGTTCTGGTATTGCATATATGGTATTGGGATAGTTCTGGTATTGCATATATGGTATTGGGATAGTTCTGGTATTGCATATATGGTATTGGGATAGTTCTGGTATTGCATATATGGTATTGGGATAGTTCTGGTATTGCATATATGGTATTGGGATAGTTCTGGTATTGCATATATGGTATTGGGATAGTTCTGGTATTGCATATATGGTATTGGGATAGTTCTGGTATTGCATACTGTAAACGCGTTCTTATTTTCAAGGTGGTGCAATTTTGCTGAATTGACAGTTTAGACTACATCGCTACGGTCAATTATTCGCGAATCAGTAATTGCCGGAACTGCCAGCTGTCTCTTTGGCGCCACTAATAGCAGTGAAACAAACAGAGTGGCTTAACCTGTCAGGGCGGCGCTTATTACTTACTCACAGGAAATCCCTATCTGTGCGATATACTGGTACACAGTAAACGTTTTCACTCCTCGAAGAGATAAAAACACATCAGTATTATGTTCAATTCTGACAATCTGACTAATTAACTTATCCTGTATATGAAGCTCTTTGTGATTTCAAACAAGCGGGTTGTCGTGGAATGAGATGATTGAGTGTTAGTGACTATTCGCCTTCATGATGATGCGTTTGTATCTAAATGAATAAATAAAATACTGCTGTATTATTTCTTTCCGAAGTCGCTTCATGGTAATCTGTTTTGTATCAAATTCACGTAGATTTCTGTCTTCAAGCGTGATGTGTTATGGTAACAACTCAGGGCGTGCGATGGCTAGACTGAATGAATGAAAACAGGTTTATTAGCTGGTGTATAAATTTTCGCTAAAATGTTTTATTGGCGAAAAGCGAAAAAATAAAACCTCTTGTGAAATATACTACGTTTACAGTATATGGTATTGGGATAGTTCTGGTATTGCATATATGGTATTGGGATAGTTCTGGTATTGCATATATGGTATTGGGATAGTTCTGGTATTGCATATATAGTATTGGGATAGTTCTGGTATTGCATATATAGTATTGGGATAGTTCTGGTATTGCATGTATGGTATTAAGGTAGGTCTGGTGTCGCATTTATGGTTTTGGGATAGATCTGGTATCACAACCCTGCCATATTATTACCCTTCTAGAGATTAGACAAATCTTTTCAACAAATATGGCTAAAAAGAATTCTCGTTCCAATTCACTTTTCCATTTTGGTTCTAAGACATGGTATGTATTGTTAGGCTTATCCATGCATCCGGTACACAACGTGACCGAGTGTGAACGCATCATGGAGAAAGGATGGAAGAACAGGTCCACAGGGTCAACACTGATGAACGCAGATTCATCACGCAGTCACTCCATCTTCACCATCCTCATGGAGATGGCAACGTTGGATGATGAAGGGGAGGAACATATACGTGCCGGCAAGCTCAACCTGGTGGACTTGGCAGGAAGTGAGAGGCAGGCGAAAACAGGTAAACTGGACTTGAAGATCTTGTTGATTTGCAGGTTAATATTGCATTTCTTTCCTCTGCAGTTTCAGAGGGGTAAACAAAGTCTGTGGTCTAGACTGCCGTTTGGGCGACTTCCATTTTGTTGAAGCCGCAGTGGCTGAGCGGGTTAGGCTGCTGACTTTATGCTGGTGACTAGGTGCCTGACTTTGAGGGTATGGGTTCGAATCCCAATGGGACTCAACCGAACAAAAGTACTTGAATGTGTTCTTTCCTGAGAATGTGTAATCCCAAATATAACGTGTTACATTTGACCACTTTCTAAATGGCATTGTGTATTCATAGTTTTTGATGGTTTATCACAGAATGTAAGTGGATGTGATTCTGAGAGTTAATGTCTAATATCAACAATTCTGAATATATCATTTCACACCTCTAATATCAATCCTACTTTAAATATCTATATGCAAAACAATAGAATCTGAAACTCATTTACTCCATGATAACGTCTTTGTGTTTTCTAAAATTGTCTTTATATGTCTCTTCTATCAAATTGCTGAGCCCTGCACTACCCAGGATGCCTGGTGTTATCTGTATGCATGGTAATGTTATCAGGAATAATAACCCGAAAAGATCCGGGTTAGAATTGATCTTCAGTAACCCATGCTTGTCTTAAGAGGCGACTAATGGGATCGGGTGGTCAGGCTCACTGACTTGGTTGACACATGTCATCGGTTCCCAATTGCGCAGATAGATACTCATTCTGTTGATCACTGGATTGTCTGGTCCAGACTCGATTATTGACAGACCACCGTCATATAGCTGGAGTATTGCTGAGTGTGGCGTAAAATAAAACTCACTCACACACTCACTCACTCAGGAATAATATATACAGTGAGACCCCGGATACCCGACCCCAAATATCCAGAAACCTCGCCTTCCGGTCAATTTTCATAAATAACCAATCTCTTACGTTATAAAAGTGACTGTCTATAACGGATATATTTCTGTTCCAAAATTTTTCAAACCAAACAGCTAAATCAACACAAAATTGACTCTTCCGCTGACCTTGATCTTCCGCTGAAGTGAAGTGAACGAGTGTCCCAGATGTCTTGACATGAGACAAGGTCTGCTAATCTGGATTAATGACGGATCAGCAGGGTATTGGTGGTGATTAGTAGGCCTATCTGGCACAGAGTGAATTGCAATTGGCAAATCAAAACTGTTTTGGAAGTGATTTTAAACCAGAAGTGTATATTCAACACCTAAGCCTGGAAGACAGAAATCCAGATACGATTTACGCAAAAACGAATGTGTCCGGATATCCGGGGTCTCTCTGTAATTATTGTTTAAATTGGCATTGAAACTTGTCACTCACTCTGTTTTGCAGACGCTACAGGTGATCGGCTGAAGGAAGCCACCAAGATCAACCTGTCCCTCTCTGCCCTGGGTAACGTCATATCAGCCCTAGTGGACGGCAAGTCCAAGCACATATACCATACAGAGACTCGAAGCTGACCCGCTTGCTGCAGGACTCACTCGGAGGCAACACTAAAACCATGATGGTGGCCTGTCTGTCACCAGCTGACAACAACTATGAGGAGACAATCAGCACGCTCCGTTACGCCAACAGAGCCAAGAACATCAAGAACAAGCCCAAGATCAATGAAGACCCGAAGGATGCTCTCCTCCGAGAGTACCAGGAGGAGATCGAGAAGTTGAAAGCCATGCTGATGGGCCAGATGCCTGTTGATGGCCTTTCTGGTGAGCAATTGTTTCACAATATCAACCCATGAAGATCCGGGTTAGAATTGGTCTTCAGCAACCTATGCTTGTCGTAAGAGGCGACTAACGGGATCCTGTGGTCAGGCTCGCTGACTTGGTTGACACGTGTCATCGTATCTGGGTTAGAATTGGTCTTCAGTAACCCATGCTTGTTGTAAGAGACGACTAACAGGATCAGGTGGTCAGATCGATGTTCATGCTGTGGATCACTGGATTGTCTGGTCCAGACTCGATTATTTACAGACCGCTGCCAAATAGCTGAAGTATTGCTGAGTGTTGCATAGAACTAAATTCACTCACTCACTCTTGATATTGAAGGAACAAAGTGGCCCATTTTTCTGAGATGCCACAATTGTCTGTATAGAGTTGCATGCAAGAACCCTATGATTATGCTCTGATAATGTTCCGACCGCCTCCATGGTGTAGTGGCTAGAGCGACCGCCTGGAGAGCGAAAGGTCGCGGGTTCGATCCATGACCGCGTCATACCAAACAAGGATAAAATATGGTACTTTGTTGGTCCCTGCCTGGCTTCGGCATTAATGGGTACAACAAGGACTGGTCGGCTCGGAGTCAGTATAATGTGTCTGAGTGGGGTATTCATGCTTCACTGCGGCATGGTATCTCAGTGGGCTAGCACTATAAAACCAGCTTCAGTCTGGGCTAGTACAAGCAGCCACACATACACACACACGCATGCACGCCGTCATATGAGCCAAATATTCTCAAGCACGAAGTTAAACCCAATTTCACCTCACCTGATAATGTTGCTAGTTTTGTAAGCATGGGTTTCACCATGTCCAAGACTTCATGTTCTTTTTCATAATGCAGGTGTACAGAAGGCACCCCAGGGCAGGGCTAGCAGGCAGTCTCCAGGGGGTGTCACACGGGAAGAGCTGGAGGCAGAGAAGACGAGACTGAGAGAGGTACTGTACAGTCTACAGGGAGGAATACTGTAAATCTTGGAATTAGTGTAAAAGTGAATATATATGCGAAAAGTTGTCTTTACTCGCATTAATTAATTTTTTAAAACTTTTAAACATTTATTAACTGACTTTTGACACGATGGCATGATTATGGAAGCGGAAATACCAATTTAAATATACAATTCTCTTTTCCACATCACATTTATTGAGCAGCAGTTTTAACAAGTATATAATGGTAACTAAGCAATTCAAACACTGGAAATTGCTTAATGGACATCTGGTGAGATATCAGTGTTGTGGTTTCATTGACTACCCAGTCGTGTCAAACTAGCATCACTGATATGTAATCCATATCACAACAGTGCTCCAGATAAGATTTACCTCTTGTGGGTACTGTACCTACTGTATTTTGTTGGACTGGGTATTATGAATGTTGAGTGGGTATTTCATTTTACACTCCGCAGGTACCCACTGCTTCAAAACCAACAAATATGTGCGATTTCATATATCAGTCATTTTACTCACCTAAGTATTATGTCATTGAGTAAGTTTACTAAGCAGGTATGTTCTGCCTTATGGCATACCTAATCAAAACCAACTTAAATATAATGGAAATGATTTCATAAAACATCACTCATCCTATACTGACAGTACAACACTTGTCCTATACTAACAGTACAACTTGATAGCAATCGATGTATTTTTTCTGACGGTTAAAATGTGCAATTCGACTCACAAGCGCGATTTATATCAATATATTCCCACAATGTCGTGGAATAATAAACGATTTGTTTTAAACTTTTTGGCGTATCTAACATTTTAAATGCATAATTGGTATGCAACATTTATTATTCAATGCATAATTGGAAATTTTCTATGTTTTCTGCCTTAAATTAATTGTATTTTACCTGGATACTCAGTTTCTTTGGGCCTCTGTCACAACATGTCCAAATCTGTAAACTTGAAATAAACGACTTTATTTGGGCCTCGTCTAGATAGAAAGTTCGGCCAAAGCATAAATAACTTAACAGTAACTAATATCAGGAGAGTAGTCCGTCATAATCTGGCCTTAGGTCATCACCATTGAGTAGCCAAGTCAAGGACATATACGGTACATACCAGTTCAGTCATATGGGTTTCTCACCCCAGGTGTGTCAGAAACACATCTCACTCATTCATTAACTTAATCTTAAATATGGGAAGCTGCTGGGATGAAGGTTCAGAAGATGCTTTCTGTGTTTCCAGGAATATGAGACACAGATGGAAGACATGGCCAATAAGTATGAGATGGAGAAAGTTGGGAAGGCCAAACTGGAAGAAGACATGACCAAGCTCCGTAGCTTTTATGATGACCAGCTGCGGTCAGTGGATGGTCAGCTGGCACACTTGCCACCATCAGCAGCAGGTAATAGTTGCACGAATTTCTTGTTTCCTTTTCATCTAATTTTTTCCATTCTTGCTTCTTGAAAAGTAAACCCTTAAATAGATAGTGATAGATGTTTAACAGCTTCAGCTTTGTAGATAAAAACTCTTCATTTTCTGTCATCCTTTTGCTTAGATCTCTGAGTTAAGATAAGTCCATAGTAAAATGAAATTAGAAATAGGATTTGGAGGATGGTAAACAGAGATAATTTGCAATGATGAGTCAAGGAAGTAAGACTATGACAAACAGACTCTCTACATAAGCTTAAAGTCCAAGGGGCGGTGGGGTAGCCTGATGGTTAAAGCGTCTGCTCATTACGCCTAAGACCCAGGTTCGATTCCCCACATGGGTACAATGTGTGAAGCCCATTTCTGGTGTCCCACGCCGTGATATTGCTGGAATATTGCTAAAAGCGGCGTAAAACACAACTCACTCACTTAAAGTCCAAGACTTTCTCATGGGTCAGACCATAAAGATCTGGGTTAGAATTGGTTTTCAGTAACCCATGCTTGTCGTAAGAGACGATTAACAGGATCGGGTGGTCAGGCTCGCTGACTTGGTTGACACTTGTCATCGTATCCCATTTGGGTAGATCGATGCTCATAATGTTGATCACTGGATTGTCTGGTCCAGACTCCATTATTTACAGACTGCCGCCATATAGCTGAAATATTGCTGAGTGCGATGTTAAACAACCAACCAACCAACCAATCCCATGGGTCATTCCAGTCAGTGTGTCATAAAGGAGAGCTCAGTATTTCAATCCTGCTTAGAACATTGATGTCATGATGAACAGAATTTTGTCCTGTGGTCAGCCATTGGACAACGAGTTGATGTTATCTGAGTAAAGAAAGATCAATATTGATGTTTTTGCTCTTGAAGCAGCTTTGAACCGTGCTGGATTTTCAAGCCAACTTATGTCTACACCTTATTGACAGCTCTGGTTCAGCTTGTCTAATGCAATGTTAAATATAGTCAAGAATTAAGGGTGTTGCCATTATACAGAAATGTCTCCAGTGCTTTGAAAATATTTCAAGGTGATATGAAAGAAATCTCATTACAGGTAGACAGATCATGGGCATGTTTTAAAGTGTACACAATCATATTCTCTGCAGCAAGATTACTGTGTAGCAATAAATTTACCTAAGCGCAATGGTGTCAGTTAAGAATGCTTTCAAAATTCTACAAATTTACTTTATATTTGTATCACTTTGAATTATTCATTGAATATAACTTCTTAATAATCATGGAAATGTTATTTGAAATTGATTGAAACGAATGATTTTTAGAATTACAGAGCCCAATCCTTAAAAATGTCACTCTTTCTCTGAAACCGTTGTAATATAATCTATCTCTTAATAAAAATAACGATATGTTGTAAAAATTCTATAGTTAACACCTTTATCCACATTTTTCAAAAGATAACTTCTTAAAGCTGATTGTATGGAAGAACAATGTCAATATTGTGTTGTCCATAGCGATATTGACATCCTCTTCATGATGCATTTTTCTCATGAACTAATTTCAATTACTAAGGTTTGCAATCAACATGACACTGCCACTAAAGTGCAATGACATTTTAAGTACTAGATGTGCTATGTACACCCCATGTAATTGACTAATTGCTTACTACCTCATCACTGGCAGTGCTTGGAGAAATAGAGTGGTCACACAAGGGAGTGATGGACAGTGAGTGACAAGTTTGTATATTTCAGAGTGACGTGCATGTTGTTGATCCATGTCAGTTTCTTACTCTTACACGCCGGTTTACCTACACACTCACCAGTTTCACAGTTTGTTCGCCTTTTGCAACCAATCTCACACCAACTTGACAACTTGTACATTTCTTTCATGGTGATTGATGGTGTCTATTGCATGCAATTGGTGTCAATTTCAAGTCAGATTGCAAAGTATTATTCAGATGGAATAATTGTTGTGAACATAGATTCTAAAACAAAGATAACATATTTATATGATATGATAGGATAGGATATTTACACTGCAAATGAGCTGTTAAGTGAATCATTCTCATTAGATTCATAAGGGGCGTTGAGGTAGCCTAGTGGTTAAAGTGTTCGCTCATCACTCCTAAAACCCTGGTTCGATTCCCCACATGGGTACAATGTGTGAAGCCCATTTCTGGTGTCCCCTGCCGTGATATTGCTGGAATATTGCTGAAAGTGGCGTAAAACCATACTCATTAGATTCATAATTCCATTTTCAACTTCTAGTGCACCATTGATGTTTCATATATGTTGGTATGACAGATTAACTTTGTAACATGAATGAATCGTTTCATGAGTTAGTACTATAGTAATATGAATGAATCATGGTATGACATATTAAATTAACGACTAATGGCATGATAGGTTCACTTTTGTAATATGAATGCGTCATGGCACGAAAGGTTAAAAGTAGTAATGTGCACGAATCTTGGCAAATTAAGCATTTAAATATGAAAGAATCATTTGGTCCTCAACATCCTTTGAATTATATACTATCAGCTCCATTGTTACACACAGTCCATTATAATCCCTTCTAGAATAAACAAAAATGCCTCTAAAATTTGCAGGAGATTTTATAAAATCTGTCCGAAAGCATCAATTAAGACAGGATATTGAAATTCAACAGCATTGTTTTTGAGACCTCATGTGTCTATTTCACTCCAACACCATCTAGAACAGTACAAGTTGTCAATATCAGTTTTATTACACATACCAGGCTTATTGTGGCCAGGCTTGTGTTAATCAATTTCACATGCAATTGCTTGTATAATGTGGTTATTGACAAGATTTCTTTTTCAGCTATGCTTGCAACATAGGGAAATATCCTTATGCTTGAACAACAAAATTATAATGCCATTGTTAGTATGCTTGTATATGCTATGTGTAGCTTACTTGTATTGTGTTGGTAACAGGAAGAATATTGTGATCATCTTGTTGCAAATTAGGTTTTCTCTATTTGTTTCATTTTATTTGGTTTTATAACTTAATTTTCTGTTCTGAAGTTTTAATATGGGAATGTTTTGTTTTGTTCCATAGACCAAAACTTAATTGATAAAAGCAATTTGATTTTAATGGCAATATTATGGCCCTGTTTGCTAAGGTCAGTAGGGTAGTGTTGATGTTCTTGTGATTTCTGACCACAGCGAAGTCCGAGTTCAAATCCACACATGGGTTCTATACAAAGATGCTCCTCATGTGTTGAAATTCTTGGAATATAGATTAAGACATATTAAACTGTACTCACTTCTGTTGTAAAAGTAGTCAATTTATGCACCCAAAATCACATTTATCACATATATTTCTTAATCAAAACCATCGGAGATCGTTATTCAAAATTACCTTTAACAGTTATGTAAGTTTTATAGTTGATGGTATAGTGATACTTTATGGGAATTAAGAACAGAGTACTGTGACATTTCATGTTATTTAACAACAGCAACAGCTGAATTTGTTTGAGTCTTTATGTATCTTACGGGTCTGCCACCATTGGGGGTGTGTGTGTGTGTGTGTGTGTGTGTGTGTGTGTGTGTGTGAGAAATGTTATACACATGTGCATATGTTAAATCATTATTGAATGTACAAATGATTGACCTTTGGTCTAAATAAACATTCATTCATATATTCCTCATACAGGGTACAGGCTGTTGGGTATACTGAATGCATGTGTCTGAGGCTGCAATTGACTATCGCTTATATACACCCCATATGTTATACAGACCTGCTTTCCTGTGCTGCACCACCCCAGTTGAATATGTATGTTTCAAATCTACTCTTAAGCAGCACTTGTCAATCTGATGTATGTCATTATTGAAATGTTTAAGAGAACAGATTAATATGAGTCCAGAACGCAAAAGTGAATAGAATGAAAGCAAAGACAAATATTTATTGCATCCACAGGATATACATTAATAATCACTCTGCCAAATTCTTGACAAGATATATAAAGGTCCGTAACTGAAGCTATTATCAGATGTTACACTGGGCAGTATTCTACAACATTTCTAGTTTGCAGGTTGAGGTAAAACCATGACAGAAGCAGGGCTACAGATAAGGGGCGTACAGGCGTATTGTACGTCTTAAAATCAATGAAGTACGACATAATATAAGATTTCAAGCATATCGTGTACGCACATAAATACCTTTGTACTTCTAACATTTAATTTCCGTGCGTATCGTGCACATGGAAATCTATTTCGGATAAATACTTGTTAAGTTTCTTTTGCGAAACACGATTTGACACATGAGGAAACCCCGACAGTAGGAATCCCTTGCGTTGCCATGCAACGATATGCGTCACTATTTTTCGATTGGCTAAAAACTACACTGTTCCTATTTATATCCAGTCGGACCTGACATTTCGCGCATCACACGGTCGCTCAGTTATTTCTCACGCGTCTTCAAATACAAATACATGGTTGGAAATAGTGATCGATGAATCGTCCAGACAAACCACATCAACTCGCTCAAACAAAAACATGTCAGTACTCCTTCAAAATTCTCAGTACACCTCCACTTGCAATATGATGTGTAAGTACACTCGCACCCCGAAAAGTTATCTGGAGCCCTGAGAAGATGGCCAATGCCATTGGGGTTCATCGGTTCCAGTTGCATGTTACTACTCTGGGATTTCATAAAGCTGTTCCAGTGTGCCCAGAGTAGGGTCATAACCCAGAAAAATATGTCCAGACAGATGAAAAATGGTCAAAAACACAAGAATAATTAACAAATTATGTCAAAATACACTGTCTGTAATCACAAAAGACAATGCGATATGTGTCAGGAAATACAGGTCCTATGTATCAATCAAAGTTCTCACTCATGTTCAGGACACTGTTTCCCGAAGCGATCATAGTGCTACGATTATTTTAACTCTTATACTCTAACATTGAGTTACAACAGTCGTAGAGCTAAGATAGCTTTCTGAAACACTGCCCAGAGTCTTGTTCACTGCTGATTTTGAATCAGAAGTGAGGTGAAATTGGGGTTTACGTCGTACTTGAGAATATTTCGCTCATATGACAACATGCATGCATGTGAATGTGTATGTTCGGCTGCTTGTACTTGCCCTGACTGAAGCTGGTTTTATAGTGCTAACCCACTGAGATACCATGCCACAGTGAAGCATGAATACCCCACTCAGACACATTATACTGACTCCGAGTCGACCAGTCCTTGTTGTACCCATTAATGCCGAGCGCCAGGCAGGGACCAACAAGTACCATATTTTAACGTCTTTTGGTATGACACTCTCCGGGCAGAAGCTCTAACCACTACACCACGGAGGCGGTTTTGAATCAGAGAGAGTGTGAAGGTCAGTGAAGTGTTATCAGATAGGTGTCCAGTCCACACTTCCCAATCAGTTGAAAGTCAGGATAGAAAGGCGTCGATTGTCCATACATCACTCTCATATAGGTAAAACCAGCCTACATGTTCTAGAAAGTGTCACAAAGATCCTCAAATGATGAAGTCCTGTTTGGCTGCCACAATCAAGGGAGATAACTGTAATTCACAATTACAGTACAGATTGGCCTGTAAACAAATAGGACCATTTCATTCATTACCCGTCATTGACAATCACTACATGAGGGACTGATAATTTATTATACTTGTTACTGGGGGGTGGGGTTAGATGGGATGGTCAAGAGATGGATCTTGAAAAAAAGTCAGGTACAATTTTGTCAAATAGAGCCATTGTATTCAGTAGTTATAAGTGCGATACAGGTTTTGTTAAGAATTTTTGTAAACGCTTGCTTAATCTTGAACAATTTGACAAGGTCCCTTGGATATCATCCCCAGTTTTAAACACGTGGGTATGTAGTAGGATGATATTTTATTATAAAAGCAATAAAAGTTATTGTCCACATAAGAGTTACAAATGATTATTAAATTATCCAGTAATGCTATGGTGATGATAATTTGGAAAATTTTATGTGTATTTCGCACATGAGTCCATCACTGCATATTGGTCAATACATTTATAATAATTATAGTAATAATAAGGGCATTTGTAATATGCTGAATTCCGCACCGTGGAGGAGCATGTACAATGCGCTGCAGTCTGGTTATTATTACCCCAGCTGCCTGTGAGGCGCTAGAAGGTTAATAGTTACATGACTTAAACCACCGGGTACCCATTTTCTGCCGGTTGAACAGACCCAATGCATTTATTGTGATAGCAGGGACAAGCAACACTAAATTGTTAGAAAATGTATGTAGTCAACTAGCACAGTCATAGTAAATGAAGTAATAGTCACACAAAAAATTCAGTGATCACTGGTATGCATTCTTTTCTTTGTTTAGAATGTAGAATGTTTCACGGGTTTCTTTGGCAAGTGACATATGCATATCGCTTGTGTAGGTGGGGCTTCACAGTACATTCATCAGTGTTGTGGGAAGAATTACTTGTCGTGTGGATTTTAATTTTGGCTTTTGCAGTTTGATTGGTGGAAAACAATTTGCATTCAAACATGTCTTATTAACCCATTTCTTTCAGTTAGCCCAGAATGATGTGTTTTACTAATTATGACAACAGTGTGAACAAAACATTTCAAATGCACATCACAAACTAAATTCACTGTTTCTGATAAACATTCTTCTCTTTCCCTAATCTGCTAATCCAAGTAATCCTTTGTAATCCTTTACAATTATTTTTTAGCGTATTCATCAATATTTGATATCTCAATTGTGTTATTAGAACAATCCCACGAGGCAGGAGTTGAAAAGGAGGAAGAGGGGGAAGAAGAGGGATTTCAGGAAGAAAGACCAACGAAACCTCGGAAGAAGTCTCGATCTGGAACAACCACTAGAACTGGTGGACGTGATGAAGGACCGGACACAGCAGCTCCTCGTGATCGTCCATCATCAGTAATGTCCGGACGTGACTTGCCAAGTGGACCAGGTGAGATTTGTGTACTTGTGGCCGAAGTAAGTGGCCAGTGGTCAGTGCTTGTAGGTTCTGCAGCTCCTCGTGATCGTCCATCATCAGTAATGTCCGGACGTGACTTGCCAAGTGGACCAGGTGAGATTTGTGTACTGGTGGCCAAAGTGGCCAGTGGTCAGTGCTTGTAGGTTCTGCAGCTCCATGATTCATCAGTAATGTCCGACGGACTTGCCAAGTGGACCAGGTGAGATTTGTGTACTTGTGGCCGAAGTAAGTGGCCAGTGGTCAGTGCTTGTAGGTTCTGCAGCTCCTCGTGATCGTCCATCATCAGTAATGTCCGGACGTGACTTGCCAAGTGGACCAGGTGAGATTTGTGTACTTGTGGCCGAAGTAATTGGCCAGTGGTCAGTGCTTGTAGGTTCTGCAGCTCCAAGTGATCGTCCATCATCACTAATGTCTGGTGTCAATGTGGGAAGCCCATTTCTGGTGTCCCCTGCCGTGATGTTGCTGGAATATTGCTAAAAGCGGCGTAAAACCAAACTCAGTCAGTCAGTCTGCAACTCTTTCTATAATAGGTATAATATATGTAAGATAAGTTAATATTCCAGGAATTTCTGGTTGTGTATTTTCTGTGCAGAGTACGTTGGGCAAGCAGGAAAAGTTTGTTTGAATCCCATTCCTTCCAGATTAATTTGTTTTAGGTTTGACTGACTGACTGAGTTTGCTTTTACGCCGCTGTTAGCAATATTTCAGCAACATCATGGCGGGGGACACCAGAAAGGGGCTTCACACATTGTACCCATGTGGGGATTCGAACCCGGGTCTTCAGCGTGACGAGCCAACGCTTTAACCACTAGGCTACCCCACCGCCCTTTAAGTTTGACCACATCTGTTTGTGGGTTTCTCCAAAGTGGTAAACAAACCAGTACTGCACCAAGGGTTACTTTACACATCATGACACTTTGTCAGTTAACTGGAATACATATATAGAATGTCATACAAGTGCATTTGGATGTTTTATATTGAACAAGAAGATGTCGTGGGAGAAACGATCTGTCAAGCAATAAACATTTCATAAAGATCAAGGTACGGAAAATCCCGGAAAGTACGGAGCTTTGGAGAAGGTTATGTTTGCTGGAAAAACAGTTGGTTGACACATATCGCGACACATGGGCGATTCACTACAGAGAGAAACTACAGCCAAGTTGCTTGTGATAAGGAATGTGGGGTGCAATACGGAACTTGGGGTGCAATATGGAACTTGGGGTGCAATATGGAACTTGACTACCCGCCATACGTCATCCGTATTGCACCCCTGTATTGCTATCCTGAGTTTACATGGGTATATCATAAAGTTCATAGTGGCTTTAGATCCAACTTACTGAGTCACTGGTTGTGTGTTACAGAGCTAGACTACATGGACCCTCAAGGGGAGGTAACTGAGAGAGAAGCAGAAGCCAGTGTAAGTATATTCAGGTAGCAATGCCTTGGTTATGACAAACATGTTAAAAACATGAAGTGTTATAGTATAGTTTGAAGATATAAATAGTGTGTTGTTTGTAATAAGTTTTTTTGTGTATTGTGCTTCCAGTATAGATCTGAGAGTGCATCCAGCCAGGTGCTGACCACTACCCCCAATGAACCCCCTGGTCAGCAGCAGCAGGCCAGTGGTCAGATACAGTCCGAGGAGGCAGTCAGGAAGTGAGTACAGTTACTATTGTTCATCATGACCAAGATTCTGTTGTTCCTCACATTTCCAACTATTGTTTCTTATGTCATTGACTATTGTTCATCATGACCAAGATTCTGTTGTTCCTCACATTTCCAACTATTTGTTTCTTATGTCATTGACTATTGTTCATCATGACCAAGATTCTGTTGTTCCTCACATTTCCAACTATTGTTTCTTATGTCATTGACTATTGTTCATCATGACAAAGATTCTGTTGTTCCTCACATTTCCAACTATTGTTTCTTATGTCACTATTGTTCATCATGACAAAGATTCTGTTGTTCCTCACATTTCCAACTATTGTTTCTTATGTCACTATTGTTCATCATGACCAAGATTCTGTTGTTCCTCACATTTCCAACTATTGTTTCTTATGTCATTGACTATTGTTCATCATGACCAAGATTCTGTTGTTCCTCACATTTCCAAATATTGTTTCTTATGTCATTGACTATTGTTCATCATGACAAAGATTCTGTTGTTCCTCACATTTCCAACTATTGTTTCTTATGTAACTATTGTTCATCATGACCAAGACTCTATTGTTCCTCACATTTCCAACTATTGTTCTGTTGTTCCTCACATTTCCAACTATTGTTTCTTATGTCACTATTGTTCATCATGACCCAAGATTCTGTTGCTCCTCACATTTCCAACTATTGTTTCTTATGTCACTATTGTTCATCATGACCAAGACTCTATTGTTCCTCACATTTCCAACTATTGTTCTGTTGTTCCTCACATTTCCAACTATTGTTTCTTATGTCACTATTGTTCATCATGACCAAGATTCTGTTGTTCCTCACATTTCCAACTATTGTTTCTTATGTCACTATTGTTCATCATGACCAAGATTCTGTTGTTCCTCACATTTCGAACTATTGTTCTGTTGTTCCTCACATTTCCAACAATTGTTCTGTTGTTCCTCACATTTCCAACTATTGTTTCTTATGTCACTATTGTTCATCATGACCAAGATTCTGTTGTTCCTCACATTTCCAACTATTGTTTCTTATGTCATTGACTATTGTTCATCATGACAAAGACTTATTCCATACTCTATCTCTGCCTCTCAGTCATGTCTCTGATTTCATCATTGTGCAGACGTTTGGAGGAACTGCAGCAGCAGATGGTTGGAGGAGAGAACAAGAACAACCGTGAGGTAAAGGAGAGGAGGAAGAAGAGGAAGAGATATGCTGAAGAAAGGAAACAGAAGCTTGCAGGTATGAATTCTTGATAAACAGTCACAGAGCATCCCATCTCTTACACGTCATTCTGAAGTTGAACCTGTCAGAGTCACACATTAAGTACAGTGTTTCTCTTTGATATATTAATTGGAGCTTTCAGAGTTACAAGTAGGTATTTTGTAATTACCCACAATATAATAGTGAAAATAGTGTGCTCCACTGGCAGTCATGTTATTCCTCTTTGACTATATGTATTTCAAATGGACATGTTAAAAAGAATATTTGTGCAATTTGTATTTTATTTTTAACAGAGGCCATTGCTAACATGGATGATGATGGCATAATGATTGCTATCTATGACAACATTCACGATGAAGTGAGAGCTAAGAACAAACTTCTGGAGAAGGAGAAACAGAAGGTAAATGAATGTCTGGTAGATTAAAGTAGCCATTCTTTTTCAGAAGAAGTCCTCCTTGGGGTACATATAAGCATTAAAATGTCCATTTTAAAAGCCTACGACAGTTGTAACAATATTTCAATAAAATATTTTACCAAACAAAAAACTCGTTATGTGTGGTGAGACCACCCCTACAGGGCCCCGTAGAGGGCCCCCTACAGCCAAGAGCAGGTAACTCTGGCTGTGTACCTCGTACCTCACTTTTCATGCTGTCGTCGGCCGTGTAGGTCGATTGCATGGTCCAAGAAGCTACGAATAAGAGAGCGATGAGTGAGATAGAGTCAAATCCTGTATGTATGTATGTAGGACTTTTCTTCAAAGAATTCATAACCTCTCCAGGTTTGTAAAAGTTTTTACCTTACCAACTTCAATGTGAAAACAGGCGGTCAAGCTGCCTAGGTTTTACTTGCCTTAATAAATTGAAAACAGCCTCTGAGCAGAAACATATTACAGATTCTGTATCTTATGCATTGCCTGTTACATGGGTTTCTCATTGGTTGATGCATTATGACGTGACTGAATACCGTGAACCCAACATGCACTCTTGTGTTTTGACAGATTGAGGCACTTGAGGTTGAGCTTTCAGACCAGCGGTCTGAGTTTGAGTTTGACCGTATCGACTACCTGGACACCATCCGGAAACAGGAGAAGCAGATGCTGCTGCTGGAGTCCTTGCTGGACCGTGTTCAGCCCTGTATACGGAAAGACTGTAACTTTAGCAACCTGGATAGAATCAAGATGACATGCAAGTGGGATGAAGATGCGCATAAGTGGATCCTCCCCAAAATGACAATCGAGAAGACAGCACTGCCATCTAGTGGTACTGGTGAGTAGATGGAGTAACCTATCCTGATTTTGAGATTACAAAGTAAGGTGAGGTGAGGTGAGGTGAAATTTGGTTTAACGTCGTGCTTGCGAATATTTCGCTCATATGACGACGTGCATGCGTGTGTATGTGTATGTGCGGGTGCTTGTACTAGCCCAGACAGAAGCGGGTTTTATAGCTTCTGCCTGGGCTAGTACAAGCACCGCACATACACATACACATACAAGCACACGCATGCACGTCGTCATATGAGTGAAATATTCTCAAGCCCGACGTTAAACCCAATTTCACCTCACCTCACCTATGTTTAATTTCAATTACGCTTTTTATTTGTTCGTATTTGCCCAAGACGATGTACCATTAAACAACAAGCACTTTTATTCATGAACATAACTACGTTAATGAAAAGTTCCAAAGAAGCGACTGATAACTCTCTTGTCTGTTGTCAGGTGGAGTGATGCCAGGGAGGGCGTACGACCCACGGTCACCGTCAACGAATGGAGACATGTATGAAGGTTACGATGACCAGAGACTTAAAGAGGTGACTAAATTCAAACACATGACATCAAAACTGACCATAATATTTATAATATATAACCAAGATAATTTATATAAAGATTCACAATTACACACCTGTACATGTCAAAGATTTCATTTACCTGTTGACCAAGGCTCTACACCACAAAGCAGTTTTCACACTATGGTCATCGTAACTCCCAAATGTAAACTTACGATCACCATGCTCAAGGATCGATTTGTTGAAATGGCCCAGTTCAACAAAGCCTTCTTTACTTTAAATTGATTGTAAATAGCACGCTTAAGCTTACAATCATCTTAGCTGAAGTATCAATTAAATGAAATGGCCCTTTTCTTCAAAGCAATCTTTGCACATAGGTGATCGTAACTCCCACACTAATGTAATGTCCCAGCTGAAGTATCAATTAATGTTACAATCACATAGGTGATCATCTCCCACACGCAATGTTACAATCATCGCAGCTGAAAGATAAATTCGTTGAACTGACCCTGTTCTACGATGTCATCTTTTCACTAAGGTGAACGTTACGATACTTAAGCTTACAATAGACGTAGCTCAAAGATTAGTTAGTTGAGCTTGGCATTGTTCTACAAAGTGATCTGTTCACTAAAGAGATCGTAACATATTTAAGCTCAAGATCACCCCAGCTGAATTAGGCCCTGATACTTGGAGAAGCTGAGATATATAATATCAGTATGTATGTTCTTCATTGCAGACAGACTGATAACATGCCTGTATTTTTCCTTATCCTGACTCATGCTCTTTTGCTTGTCTCCTTCCTCTTGCGAACATAGTGGAACACTTGTATCTCCCTAATTGAAGTTCCCTTCAATGTAAAATCACTAATTAGTACACCACGAGTTACCTCCCTTCCACAAGCTCGGGAACGAGGGCGCCACCTCTACCCATGTGCCTCACTCTCTCCTTCTTCGCCCAGTGAGCTGGACGTGAGAGCGCCTGTGTCTCCCGACACACTATATCCTTTGATTATATTTAGTTAGTTACCCCGTCATAGACATCTATAGAGGTTTAGCTAGTATCTTCAACAATTATATATTGATATTTAGTCGGTGTTTCTACTGTTTATTCACGGACGCCGTGTTGTTTCAGTGGATTACGTTGATAAAAATTCTGTACTGTTGCACATTACGTTTTTTATTCTGCTGCTGATCCGCATTTAATATGCCCTAGCTGTACTGCGCCATGTTTCATGTTATTCACATTGCAGTTGTGGTACTAATTTATCCAATTCTGCCTTTAATAAATATTACTTTGCGTTTGAGACGCGCAGCAGATAGGTCGCGTATGCAGAGTCTAGCCATGACTGATACACCTGAACCCCTCGCCAGTCTACTGCTGTTGGTCGACCCCCCTCCCGTCTGGTGTTCCGCTAGAGTGGTGGAGAGGCGTGGGACGTAGTCCGCCGCCTCCAAGAAGCATCCTGCTTCCCCAGACATCCCATCGTCGCAGCCGAAGACTAGAGGGTTTCTACTGCATCTCAACGCGACCTCTGAGGGGGAATCAACGAAGTCTACTTGAACTTTCTCAGCCGAGATTGTTCCCGTCGCAGATTTGGGCCTGTATGATGATCAGCCGATCATCATACCTGATGTACATCAAAAGAATGACCGATGTCGACAACAGTGATGTCAGCGCAGATCAACATGCAGCCTGATGTACCAACGCTGATATATTCTTCCTGAGGGTCCCGTCGCTACCAACACTCAACGCAGACTTCACACCCCCAGGGCAGCGTCGACCTCTGAGGGGATATCAACGAAGTCTACTAGGACTTTCTCAACCGAGATTGTTCCAGCCGCTGAACTGGGCCTCTACGATGATCAGCCGATCATCATCCCCGACGTACGCCACAAGAAGCGACCGGAGACAGCTACAGTGACATCAGCAGAGATCGCCATGCAGCCTGAGGTCTCTACACTGGCGTCAGACGACTTCCCTGAGGGCCCCGCCGCTAACATCGCAGAGAGGGCACCGACTAATTCGTCGCAGACCATCCCAGATGAACTGTTGCGGCAAATCATGATCATGATGGAGGGCCACTACAGACTGGAGAAGCAGCCAGCCCAAGGCCTGAGCCTTCCAGCGAAGGTTCCAACGCAGACGACACCCCAGAGGCACCCCCATCAGCGTAGCAGCCACGGATGAAGCCACCTTCGCTGGCGAAGTCGCAGACCACCTCGACGAAGGACCCAGATGTACAGCCTTCGCGAAGGCCTTCGCGAAGGCGGGATAGATCATCACCTTCCTCGGCTTCATCCTTAGATGCGGACTCAGACCATCAGACCTCACGGAAGCCTTCGCGAAGGTCAAATCGCCGTTCCCAGGACCGGACGAGGAAGCTTCGCGAAGGCCTTCGCGAAGGACACCTGACTACACAAGAGCTTCGCGAAGCTATCAACATTCTCCTCACAGGTCTCGAGAAGGTCAACCCATAGATGCAGATCACCAACACGATCTCGCGCCGTTCACCGCGCCCGATCTCCTCATGACATCACCACGTCGATCGTCTCACAGGTCACCACACAAGTCTGCACACAAGTCTACAGTCAGGTCTCCCCGAAGTCCACCGACATAGAGATAGAAATACACAGTCCACCATCAGAAGAGCATCAACCTCTCATCAGCGATGCTGGGATAGAAAATGATGGAGGCATCATTTTCTCAGACGCTGAGATACGATATTGGATGGTAAACAACCTAGATCTCTCTTCACCTTCCAAGAGTGGCAACTCGGCGCAGACATACCTGATAAAGGAAGACGAGGCAGACGCCATCACCTTACCTCCGATCGACTCGATTGCTGCGGTGCCACAGTATGTGGACACAGCCTACCATAAAGCCATAACAGTTCAAACGCCAGAGGCGTATGTTCTTGGCCTTAATAGATCTAGAACGATCAATGAGATTCTTATCACCAGATTTCGTGACACGACTTCTGAAGATGATAGGATGATCTACTCGGCTCTACTTATGCAGAACCAGCAAGAACCACACCCTGTATGAAGCTAACGCTCATATATTGATCGGATTCTAGACACTTCGCTAAGGAAGTCCCAGGCCACCTCCGCTGAAGGAACTAGAGCCTCACCAGTTACAAGGGGGCGCCACGAGGAGGCGCTTCACCGACCCCACATATTGCTGAGTGCGGCGTAAAACAAAACACTCACTCACTCACTCCTGTTGAACACAGAGGTCGCTTAAGCTGAAGCAAGCTCATATATTATATATATACTGATCGGGGCTCTGACTCGATACCTTCGCCGAAGGTCGCTGCGAAGGCTAAGTGGCTCCAAGTCTACCTCACACAGAAAATCTAGAATGGATACTTGAGAGCTTCCGCGAAGTCTCCGGCGTCCACCGAGGAAATCTCCTCCAAGGTCTCCATATATTAGCCACTCGTCATATATAGCTACTCGTCAGTCCGTTCAAGACATCGCATAAGTTGTCTATCAACTGTATGCCATATGCCGCCTATAAGCCTACGAAGACAATTGCACAGGCTATTTACAACACAGAACGCCGCTATATTAATTAGTCAACGGCGTTTCATAGATCTTCACAGAAATCAACCTTTCAGTATAGATTGCTAGAATATGCAATCCCGGACTACTGATACGATTATCTACATGCGTGACCATTACGCAGATCTGCAGACAATTCAATATCGAAATTGAACAGCAGCCTTGTTACAGCGGTATAACTCATAATCGTCAAAGTTTCTGAGAAGAAATATGTACAACAAGTTCAGCTTTAATTCTACAATTATGACGATACATTCATGTATACAGTCTACAAGCTGACAACTTGCAAGTTTATTGTACCTTTATATAAGGAAGTCGGAATTATATTCAAAACTGAAGTTACTTTCACGACAGCCAGGAAAATAACCTACCCAGCATTAATATTACAGAGCGAGGTATTTGGCTGGAGGTTTCAGCGTTTACCTTTAACCCTCGAAACACGTGGTCACTTTCGGGTAACCGGGGAAGCTACGGTGAAGACCGGCGATTATGCTAATATCAACGGCGGCAAGATTTTATACAAGGTTTTTCCTGCTACACCGGTGACATCACAGCGGGTATTCTACAGAATCAAAATGCCTTGTTCTGATTGGACCGGCGTTGGACAACGACCTCACTTGAGAGGTCGATCTTAGTTCACAGTTCAAGACTTACGTTACAAGTGACAACTATATATCAGTGAACGAGCAAGCCTCCTTACAGTCCAGTTAATCTGAACCTTCATGATTGGGCTGCTTTCTTCAGGTTAGAGACCTCCCCTGTCAAGTTAGGACGAGGAGCCACGCGGCAGTCAGGCAATTTTACATAAAGTTCAACGAGGACAGACACACCTGGTTGTGCACCTACATCGTCAAGGACTTAGCGAATAACCTAGACGACGGGATACAAGTGGATCTAAATCCACAGCGTCTCAGACTACAGCTGAATTTCATAATCAAGCTACTAACACAACTAGATGGTTAGTAAACCTACTTAAACTTTCTGATTGGAGAATTAAAACGGAAGTTTCACCCTCCAACTTGGGGATCTGAATATAGTGCTCCAACACCTCACAAGTGAGGTTTATGAACACGCCTGGATGACATACTTGGACTCCATGATACGATGATTCTATCACGATGGCCAGCAAGAGCACTGTAAATTTATCTCCACCGAACCAAACAGAAGGGAATAATGCAACAGATTATTTCCTCTATCATCAACTTACGCAGAATGAAATCTCACGTACTATATCTCCGTTTGGATCAGAACTGTCATACTACGTGCATACAAGACGGATGGACCCAATCCGACCCTCCATGAGCTTTTAATACTCATGATATTAGAGCGCTAACTTCTACAATTGATCTACACAATGTTATTTGAAATAATGGAGGGTTTATTTTCTGGAGATCCGATATGGTGGTTGCCAACCATTATCTGAGAGATATCATCACCGAGGACGTCTCAGGTATCCACCAATTCGATCCCATGGTCCTCGCACAACAGTTGACAGTTCCTCGGAGAAGATAAGTCAATCTTACAGATTTCTACTTATCTTATAACAGTACTAAATAGCTACATGCTATATATAATTTGCTTAAGTTCTTTTTATCATCACAGTACTATGATTATTACATCATACAATATATAAGTTAACAACTCTACAGAGTTGGTTATTATATATTTACCTTAACTTAATTATATCTTAAGCATAGTACTATACTCAGATTGTAAAAATATATAAGCTAACAAACTCTACAGAGTTTGGGCTATTATATAGGTAGCTTAAGCTTATTCATATCTTAAGCTCAGTACTATGTTTATATCATATAAGTATATTAGCTAACAAACTCTAAAGAGTTTTGCTATTTGGCTTAAGTCTCATCATATCTTAAGCAATATGGTTACATTATAACATGTATTAGCTAACAAACTCTCACGGAGTTTTTTGCTATTATATATGTAACTTAAGCTTATTCATATCTTAAGCGCAGTACTATGTTTATATCATATAGGTATATTAGCTATCAAAACTCTAAAAGAGTTTTTTGCTATTATATATTTGGCTTAAGTTTCATCATAATTTAAGCTTTATGGTTACATTATAACTTGTATTAGCTAACAAACTCTACGGAGTTTTTGCTATTATATATGTAGCTTAAGTTTTCCTTCAAATCTTAAGCTCAATACTATGTTTATATCATATAAGTATATTAGCTAACAAACTCTCACGGAGCTTTTGCTATTATATATGTAGCTTAAGGTTTCCTTCAAAGCTCAATACTATGTTTATATCATATAAGTATATTAGCTAACAAACTCTACGGAGTTTTTGCTATTATATATGTAGCTTAAGGTTTCCTTCATAAACTCAATACTAGGTTTATATCATATAAGTATTTTAGCTAACAAACTCTAAAGGGTTTTTTGCTATTATACAATTAGCTTAAAGGTCACATGCAACGTAAAACACAACTTTGCAGATTCTGATACCTTTCGGTATGGACTTACGGAAAAAAAGTGTCAAAAATGCAAATTCAACTTATAAAGTTGAAAAATAACGCGATGAAAAAGCAGCGAAATCGGAGTTCAAGCGTTTCACTAATTTTCCCCAGACTTTTCTGGGGAATACGGGTTTCAACAGCTGGGCTGCGCTCAGCACGCGTCTTGCCCAGTGAAATAGGTTCCCGCAACTTGGAAGCGGGGCTGTCTGGTGAATACTTTCGGTGAAGGCTTTGGTGTGAGCTATTTTCATAATATTTTGTTGATATCTCACAGTCGCGAGCTTTTAGATGTTATGACAGTAAATAAACTGTTTATATAATTTCATTTGTCTATTTCACCACACGCTCTTCTTACCGAGTCACTTTCTCAGTTCGATACTTAAAAGCAATGTCATTATTTAGAGTTGACACGATTTCTAACTGTGATATAGATATGTAAGCTGTCACAGACAAAACTCAATGTCTTGTTTTATTGACACCAGTGTGTCTGCCTGCCTGTCTGCTAATGACAATATTCAATACACAACTGCGATCACTGACCACATGCAATTTGAACTTAACACCAATCAGGCTATACACCATAAACAAAACGCATTGATTTATGGCCGAGTTCGGTCTCTGTCACATTATGTAATTACACAGACAGGCAGGTGTGACACTTGAACACATGACATGTTATGATGTCTGTTGATTGCAAAATGTTATACACAAAAAATGAGGATGTATTTACAAAACCCAACTTTCTATATACACACACAATGACCATGGCTGAAGTATCTGCTAATGAACCAGCCGTTACACTTGAGTGCACACCCACCCGCTCTGACTGGGTTGGTATCCCGGCTGCTTCGTTCGAGGGGAGGTAAACCCAAGTACAAAATATTGCACTTTTGATTTGCGATTATACGCTTATAATTTTGTTTATTTGTTTTTTCATAATCAGCAATGCATATTATATGTCATGAAGAAGTGATAATTGTGTTTTAATTATGTTTGATTTTTTGGTTGCATGTGACCTTTAAGTTTCATCATATCTTAAGCAGTATGGTTACATTATAAAATGTATTAGCTAACAAAACTCTACGGAGTTTTGCTATTATATATATAGCTTAAGTTTAATTATATCTTAAACTCAGTACTATGGTTATATGTATTAGCTAACATAAAAGTATATTAGTTAATAAACTCTAAGGAGTTTTTTTAATAAACTCTAAGGAGTTTTTTGCTATATACATTTAGCTTAAGTCTAATCTTATCTTAAGCTTAGTACTATGGTTACATTATTAATCTATAAGCTAATAAACTCTACAGAGTTTTGGCTATTATATATGTAGCTTAAGTTAATTATATCTTAAGCACAGTACTATACTCATATTGTAAAAATATATTAGCTAACAAACTCTACAGAGTTTTGCTATTATATAGGTAGCTAAAGCTTATTCATATCTTAAGCTCAGCACTATGTCTATATCATATAAGTACATTAACTAACAAACTCTAAAAGAGTTTTGCTATTATATAATTAGCTTAAGTTTAATCATATCTTAAGCTTAGTACTATGTTTATATTTTAAAGTAATTTAGCTAACAAACTCTAAGGAGTTTATACTAGCATATTAACAAGCTTAAGTCTATTAGTCTTAAGCATTGTATTAATGTTATATATACTTTATCATAATAAGTACATTGTAATAACCTTTATATGGCAGCTGATAAGTTAGCAGCAGGAATTCATCAGTTCAGTGCCTTTATGAAGTTCCCATAGGGTTATTACAATCATCACAGTTCAAATCACTAATTATTAAAATCCAAAGTATTATATATTCCCACCTCCAATCCGTAGGATTCTACAAGCAAAAGAGCATGAGTCAGGATAAGGAAAAATATGTAATTTTTTGAGTAAAATTGATATTTTATACTTATCCTGACTCATGAGGTCAGCCCTCCCATCCTCCCCAAATAACACTTTGGATTTCCCCTGTAAATTCAAATGTTGGGCTCAGTATATGAGGAGAGAGTGAGGCACATGGGTAGAGGTGGCGCCCTCGTTCCCGCGCTTGTGGAAGGGAGGTAACTCGTGGTGTACTAATTAGTGATTTTACATTGAAGGGAACTTCAATTAGGGAGATACAAGTGTTCCACTATGTTCGCAAGAGGAAGGAGACAAGCAAAAGAGCATGAGTCAGGATAAGTATAAAATATCAATTTTACTCAAAAAATTACATATTTGATATGACTGTTTCAGAAACTACGTCAGAGTGAAGACATATCCAACTCCTACTTTCAATCTCGTCGCACTAATCAGCTGATGCAGTCTCCAGATTCAGGCAACAAGATCAGTAAGTACTCCAGCATAGGGTAAAATATTTGTAGGATCTCAAACCTTAGTTAAGGCATTGGCTCGTACGTCGAAGGCTTGGGTTCGATTTTCCACATAGTTACAATGTGTGAAGCCCATTTCTGGTGTCCCCCGCTGTCATATTGCTGGAATATTGCTAAAAGTGGCGTAAAACTAAACTAACTCACTCACTCACCCAGATTAATGAACTTTGATAGTCACTCAGAACAGAGTGATCAGTGGAAGACAAACTGGGTATTAGATTACTTGATCTTTATGTTCTTTGATTTTCATGGGGTGAATTGTTTGTGACATTGTCATTGCAGGGGTTCAGTTTATTTTTAAGAAGCCACTTGCCACAGGGCAAGTGACTTTAAGAAAGTAGCTTGTCCTGACTAATTTTCCACTTGCCCTGATTTTATGACATAATTATGATGATGTAATTATGAAAAAAGAAATCAACATGGTATTTGATGTTATTGTTTACTGGACTATTTATTGAAAAGTGATAAATAGCAAAGGAAGATAACTCTACTTTATTATCATTGCAAAATTTAATAGCTACATTTTGAGCAGATATGAAATTAAATCAAAGTTTATTTGCAGTTTGAAACCATAAGTGGAAATTATCTAGTAGCCCACAGACAAGTAAGATACCATTATTTGATTGCCCGAAATGAAAACTGAGTTGTCCCGGGCGTCGGGCAATGGGATTGTTGAACCCCTGCATTGAAAGGTTTTGTTTTGTTGTTGTGTATCGCACCACTCACCAATATTCCAGCTACAGTCCGTTTGACTTCATTTGAAACCGATGAATTGCTCACTAACACAAAATCTTATAAATGCAACAAAATCAAACTCGACAGACCAACTCTGATGATTTGTCTCATAATTTTGGACACCCGAATAAAAAAGTTGTTTAACAAACGATCATTATTTTGTTGTCACTTTTCGCTATTTCTTACGAGGGAGGACCACTTGCTGGTAGAACAGCCAGGTGTGCGAGGTGTACGTCTGAAATTGAAATTTCACTGGACACGCTTGTTGATTACCTGGCTGTTTGTCTTGTTGTATTTACTAGATTTTGTGTTAGTGAGCTATTCATCGGTCTCAAGTCAAACGAACTGTAATCGATAACTCCCATACGTAGTGTTACAATCGTCGTAGCTGAAAGATCAGTTCGTTGAACTTGGCATTGTTCCACAATTCAGTGATCAACATCATGAGCAACGATCATCATCAATTCTTATTCTCCAGGTATGCGTGAAATCCGAGATTCCTACGCCACCAATGGAAACTCCTTCTCTCGAGCTGAAGAACCAATGAGCCGGGAGCTCCGAGCTGCCCAAGTTCATGGTCAACTACATAATGATGAAGGTGTGTTTCGGCGACCATCCCGACTCGATGCTTTGCCAACTGTCTCAGGGAAGAAGCCCAAGAAGAAGAAGGGGACCTATGATTATTGATGCAGGCTTTTGTGTCGAAATCTGGAAAATTGTGTTTACCATTACAATTTTCTATCACATATCAACTGCTTTTAAACATGGACATGAGTTGAACTCATGAACTGATTCATCAGTCCAAATTGAAGATTATGGATAAACAAGAGTAAACAACCCAAGGTAATTCAGGGTTTTGCAATGCCTGATGATGTCTCAAAAGTTTTCAGAGTTAATTGAGCTGCAGATGGCTCAGTGGTCTAAGTGCTATAATTGATGTGTCAGGATTGGCTGAAACTGGGGTTGAATCCAAGTTTGCATCACGGTGATCCTTGTTGTTTTAAGGCCACATGTGATGGGCCTGCATAGGGGTCACAGGTGGCCCAGTCATCGAAGGGGGTAAAGTTCGCTGTGCAGAACTGCATCCCTATGCACGCCAGAAATGTAGTAATGGTTCAAATGTTGTCTTCATTATATTCTGTGTTTGTCAATACCATACCCGCAGTCATGAGTTGCACCTGTGCAACATCTGCGACGTGCATCATGTTTTTCTCCCATATTAAGCTCACAACCAGATGTAACACACATGCCAAACATGATTCATCCGTGTTAATGGTTCCCTCTTGTAGGTTTGGGGGGCGGTGGGGTAGCCTAGTGGTTAAAGCGTTGGCTCGTCACGCCATAGACCCGGGTTCGAATCCCCACATGGGTACAATGTGTGAAGCCCATTTCTGGTGTCCCCCGCCCTGATGTTGCTGGAATATTGCTAAAAGCGGCGTAAAACCAAACTCAGTCAGTCAGTCTTGTAGGTTTGGAAGGAAATAGCTTTTGAGATACTATATTTTCATCTTGACAGTTCATAGTGTCCCAGGGCGGGGGTCAGCCCAATGGTTGAAGCATTCGCTCATCACTCCAAAGATCCGGGTTCGATTTCCCAAATGGGTACAATGTGTGAACCCCATTTCTGGTGTCCCCCGCCATGAAATTGCTGGAATATTGCTAAAAGTGGTGAAAGAAACAAACTCACTCACTCATAGTGGTCAGAGATTTATGGAAATTTTAACTCACAAAATACACCCTTGGCTGCGATGAATGTGAAACAGCCTGCACCAAGTTATGTTTACCTTAATGACTTTGGACAAAGATATTCTAACATCTATTTATCTTTTTGTGTAGAATGATCCAAAACCTTTACTGTTGTTATATCAAAGCATATTTATGTGATATTCGTTGTTAAATGCATTGCACATTCCACTTACTACTTCTCTCCGTCCACGTTACACAGATTTTACACACACAGAGCTTTAAGCTGTCTATTGTTACAGAATTGTCCTGATACTATGTGATCACTTTTAAATGTGGACTATGCAATGTCGGTATGTGATAGGAATTCTCAGTCTAGTCCTTGTGGTAGATGGAACAGCTCTAGGAATGGAGGTACTGCATGATATGTTGCGCATCTCTGAATTTTAGAAAGAAATGAATAGGGTAAGTTATGCACCACAATGTGTTGTACAGAGTTATGTCCCTTGGGAGTCAGGATGTGCTGACTGGGAAAAAATGTATGGTTCACCTGGATGATGAATTTGTTTTGTCTGTATTACAGACATTTATTTCCACATTGTTTTCCTAATGTGGAAAAACTATCGCACACACACGCACATGCACGCGCGCGCGCACACACACACATATTGTACACATGGTTGACTAGTTGTTATTAGTGTAGGTTACAGAGATGTCATTACCAATGTTTGAGTTGCTATCATTTTACGGGTGAGCTAGAATGTAATATTAGTGATTTTGGTTTTAGATAATGTTATGGTTGAGTAGCCTCAAAACCTGCATTTCTTATATCAAAGCATTGTTATATTCACAGAATGTCCAGTTTTTGGTCAGTCATTGCTAACGCAGTGAACTCTGATTTGTATGTAGACATTGATGTGTCACTTAATGAAGACTCGCTCTTGTGGAAATGACCCATGAGGATTCGGGTTAGAATTGATCTTCAGCAACCCATGCTTGTCATAAGAGGCTTGTCCTGACGGGATCAGGTGGTCAGGCTCGGTCAGTCATTACTAACGCAGAAACTTGGATTAGACACATGTCATCGACCCTATTGTGTAGAATCGATGCTCATGCTGTTGATCACAGGATTGTCTGGTAAAGGGTTGACTATTTGCAGACCACTGCCATATAGCTGGAATATTGCTGAGTGAGCTGTTAAACAATACCAACAAACAAAATCTTGTGGAAAAGTAAGATTTTATGACAACTGAGGCATTGTTTGGATGCAGATTCTAACATCTTGCCCAGTTATTGCCTTTGTTCCACATCAACTTGTTCATGTTTAACACAGTGTAAAGTTTTGTCAATATAAAGAAATGATTTTTTAGCCTATATTGCAGAGACTATCCCATCACAGCATACATACAAATATTACCATCTTCAATTGGTAATATCATAATATTAACTATCAATATTAAGATAATATATAACCTATAAAACTGTCTCTTTTTATGTATTCTTGAGAAGGGAGCGAAAGTGTTTATGTTTTTATTGATTACATGCTGTTTGCATAATGAGCATTGTCATTTTATCTATAGTCTGTTTGCAGTGAAAACGTACCGATGAATTTCACTTTAAACAAAAAAGTAAATCAAATAAGGTGAAATTAAGATTGCAAATCCTCATAATTTTACCTTGCCATTTGAAAGTTTAAATCTCAGAATTTTATTCAACTTAGGATAAAAGTTGTTTAACAAACAATCATAGCTTCAAATCAGTATTATTGGTTTGTATTACAAGGGGGTATGCACATTAAATGAAACACCGAGAATACGTAAGGTTGGTCTAAGTTAACGCTCATCACATACTGCACGTGCATTTGTATCACTGTTCCAACTACTGCGCTTACCCCCTTGTAATACAAACCAATATAAGCGATTTGAATCAATCATCGTTTGTTCAACAACTTTTTTCCTAAGTTGAATAAAAATCTAAGATTTAAATTTTCAATTGGCAAGGTAGATTTATGGGGATTCGCAATCTTAATTTCACTTTATTCCATTTACATTTTTGTTTAAAGTGAAATTCATCGGTACATTTTCACTGCAAACAGACTATATAATATGTATAGATTGATCTATGACAAGTGGGGCCAGTGGAGTAGCCTAGTGGTTAAAGCATTGGCTGATCACGCCGAAGACCCGGGTTCAATTCCCACATGGGTACAATGTGTGAAGCCCATTTCTGGTGTCCCCTACCGTGCTATTTATGGAATATTGCCAAAAGTGGCGTAAAAGTAAACACACCGGTACCTAGTCCACTAAACAGCATCAGGTGGTCAGGTTCACTGACACATGTCATCGTATCCAAAATGCATAGACCAATGCCCATGATATGGATGACTGCATTCTCTAGTCCAGGCTTGATTTACAGACCATTGTCATATAGCTGAACAAACAGGCCTACCTAATTCTAACATCTATTGAATGTAAAACTTATTTTGAAAGATGGTCTTTTCAGGTTATATTGAAGATATATTGTAGAGAAGTAATCACGACATAATATATGAATGAATTATTGGTGAAACTGTTGCTTCACGTTCAGTTCTGGAACTTATGTTGGTTATGGGAAGAATAGTAGAAAAGAAATTGAAATTGTTTATATATCATTTGTTGGTATTTCTCAAATGTTTTATCTTTTGTTACAGATTCAGTTAATGTTATGTTCTGTCCATACTTTAATCTGATTTTATAAATATGCTAAGAGCAAGACCTATTGAGACTTGTGTACATGACAAATCGTACCATTGTAAATAGCACTATTATTTTAATATATGACTTCTTGTTTATTCTGTCATTCGTTATCATTGATGTCACTGTGTTTTGCTCAGATATAATTTTATATGTTCAGTCATGTTAAAATGTTTGTTTTATTCATGAAGGTTTCAGTGTAAAAAGAAATATGCATATGTATGTATTATGAATCTCTCACAGTCTCAACATTAATTGGAATTGAAAATTTTTCCAGATGCAAGCTTTCAGTCATAAGCATTCCATGATCCACCTGACCAAGTTATTCATACTTGATAATAAATCATGTATTTCTACTTTTTAGAACTGTTAGCTGATGTGCTAGCAATATTTCTCCCTTAAAACTGTTACCGTATGTCAGGTTTTTGGTACCTACAGAGGCGTACCTGCCATTATAAAAACAACAACACCGACTTGATTTTTGCTAAAAAAAAAAAAATCTAATTCTTGCCCAAAATACCTCAAATACTTTCTAAATATGAAGCTTTGCTACCTATCAGGCTTGCACGAAAAAAATGGCTTACTACGCTCTTGCTATGATAAGATGGATTGTAAGGGGGTTGGGTGGGTATGGACAGAAGATCTCAAATGTATCTACTTGTTTGGGATTCACTCTGAAAGAAATACTGCTAGGAACATTTTTGTATTCTAAAAACCAACTTTGTCCTTAATCATGCCATATATTTTCTTCAAAAATATCTCAAAGACAATCACAGCAGAGACAGCATATGTAAATGTATTCATTTTGATGGTTTCTGTGAAAGTTTGGGGGTGTTACGGAAGGGGGAGATTACGGGCGGGTTTGGAATGGATTATAGACAACAACAAACAATATACATAGCTGGCCTTTACAATTAAATCCTCATAAATATTAAGTATTTTTGTGTAATCTTAATTCTATTACCAGCTACATGTTATTATTGGATTCACATGAGGTGTTATGTATATATTAAGGGGCCGGTGGGGTAGCCTAGTGGTTAAAGCGTTCGCTCATCACGCCGAAGACCTGGGTTCGAATTCCCACATGGGTACAATGTGTGAAGCCCATTTCTGGTGTCCCCCGCCGTGATGTTGCTGGAATATTGCTAAAAGCGGCGTAAAACCGAACCCAGTCAGCCAGTGTAAAACCTTGATATTTGTGGTTATAATTTTATTTTGATGTCTTCTCCAGGAAGTGTGTCCATTCCAAGACTATTGCATGCCAAATGTTTCAACTACAGGATGATCGAAGAATTTGCTCTTGTTTAGAGAATTGTCAATCAAAATTGTTGAATGTTGTTTTGTTTACCCATCTGCCAAATGTTTCACAAAACGACATCAGTACTAGGAGGATCATCATGAAATTGCCATAGGCTTAAGGTAGATTTTGTGCTGAGATCATTTTGGGAAACAGGACCCTGGACAAAATATATGCCATGTTATCAGTCTTTTAATTAACTTAATCGAACAGGTGTTTGCTTGCTGCTAATATTCAACCAGACTGAATAACATTTCCACCCTATTCCATTTTCATCGACCCGTGAAGATCCGGGTTAGAATATTGATCTTCAGTAACCAATGCTTGTCGTAAGAAGCGACTAACGGTATCTGGTGGTCAGGCTCGCTTGACATGTCATCGGTTCCCAATTGTGCAGATTGATGCTCATGCTGTTGATCACTGGATTGTCTGGTCCAGACCGCCGCCATATAGCTAGAATATTGCTGAGTAAAACTAAACTCACTCTATTTGTATGGAAACATGTAAAGAATTGTATCTGCTGGACTCTGCAAACAAACATATTTTGTTACTCCAAATGCATTGAACACTGGTTGAACATTGCACTGAGTGTGAAAGAAAACAAATCAATAATTATTTTTTGAATACTTAATTGTATTTATGTATTCTGTGTGGAAGTGCATCCCAATGAAGCTGTGCTGGTATCGTGCACTGATGAAGTGCTTGTTTATTGCATTACTTCATCACAATATTTTATCCAAAAAGCGTGACGATGGACAGACAAGTACAGGAAAACATTATCTGTGTGACTGTCATTGCAGTGTCAAACATTCCAGTATTTATTTGAACATCCACTTTCATGACATTGTTTCAGAACACTGGGTTTTATAGGTTTGTGTAATGTTCATGTATTCAATTCCATGTCTGTTACTGTAAATACTACGAACAAGGCAAAAATGCCAGGATTGAAGCAAAAAGACATGTATCCTAATCACAAAGCTGCAGCAGGAATGTAGTTGTGAGAATATTCTTGACATTTAACAGTTATCTCAGAAATTCCATATTTTGAGGGATTTTGCAATAATAGTAATATATTATTTGCTTATGAGTATTTTTCAATGTGATTGTATCATAGTGTTGTTGTTTTTTCATTTGTATGATGTTGAGATTCACAATCTATACATTGTCTTTCATCACTGGCTGATCACATCATCAGATGAGTTGTACACATTATTATGTTCCAAATGTTGATAAAAGTGTGAAGAAACTGGAGATATTTGTTGTAGTTTTCAGACTCTTGGATCTTTCCAGGTTTGTACCATACCAGCACATTCCCAGGTGCACAGCCCTTCTGACTTAATGGGTAATACAGAATCCTAGAGTGTTGGGGAGCCTTCATAATTCTCTGGAAAGTTCTTGGTGGGTTTGACTATGAGAAGTCCCATTGGCTGTCTGGGCTGTGTGAAGAGGGGGCAAGGGTACGATCACAAGCCTGACTAAGCCAGGGCCACCCGACTGCATTATATTCTTTAATATGTAAACAACAGTCAAACAATAGAGCCCACCGCCATCAGTCGTTTATATCTATCAACTCAAGTGTGAGGACATGGTTTGATTAGAGTAGAGGCGCTTCATGAGGACATTTTATGGTGCACATTTATTCTCTTATGAATCATTTCAAATGATCATGCTCTTGATGAAAACAGGGCATTCCACAGATATCCAAAAAGAGCCCAGGATGGGGACAGAATCAATGCAGATTTTTTTATGGTTCTGTATTGTTTGACGGTAAAGAAATAAGTGTCAACCAAGCAAAGTACTCATTTGATTAAAACCGACATATAGAAAACAGACAGTAGAACCATAACACATTTGTCTGGCTGGTCGACAGCAAATAATTTTATTACATAATTAAGTGGTATTGCACAAAAGCGAAAACTGCATTCTGTCCAAAACAATAAATGACAACGTTAATATATGCATATTTCACCAAATACATTTGGTCAGCAAACCTGAGCATCAGATGTCCAACCTTCTGTGAAGAAAACTCGCGAGCTGTTCAAAACACATGAGTTACGCGCTGACAGCGTCCAAAACTGACATTTTATGAACAAGTGATTTTATATCACTCGGTTGGCGGCGTTCAATACCTGTGCTTATGCTTATTGACACAGTAGATTGTTGAATTTTTTTCTCAAAATCGCTTCCATTTTCTCCAGGCCCGCCATGTTTGTTTTTCTTATGTATATTCGTGCGTCGGCGCCGAGTTTTGACGATTACGTTCAGACCAAAAGAATCATTTTATTATAACAGGTATTCATCTTATTCAGACAATGAAAAAACGTGACCAATACAGCTACTGATACAGATATGTATTGTCTCGATTTTTATTTTATTTTTGACTAGCGAACTATATCGTACATGTGTGCCTGAACAAAGAATGAACACTCATTTGTTTACTGTCAGAGAATTTGGATTTCGAAAATCAAATTTTCTGGGATTAATAATGTTGAAATTTAATTAAACAAAATTGGAAACATATACTAAATAGAGTATTACAGGTGTTCATCATATTTCACTAGTCACAGTAAATATCTTAACTTGTACATCACGTCACTTGTGAACATATCAATCTTTCATGCCACACAAGGCCAGATCAATCATATTTAACTAATCACATATTAATGTCCTCCATGCCTTAGCCCGTACGGGGCGGTGGGGTAGCCTAGTGGTTAAAGCGTTCGCTCGTCACGCCGAAGGCCCGGGTTCGATTCCTCACATGGTACGATGTGTGAAGCCCATTTCTGGTGTCCCCGCCGTGATGTTGCTGGAATATTGCTAAAAGCGGCGAAAACACTCACTCACTTAACACGCACATCTGAGTTTGAAACAAAATTATTTGGTCCCCATTTGAAATGTGTTAGATCATGTCCGTGGCAACGAATGCAGGTAGTAAGGGAGACTATGTTTATCGGATTTCCAAGCTTGTTGATAAAGATGATTAAAGTGCAAATACCCAGATGTAACTTCGCTCATAATATCAAACACTAGATTCTTTCTAGCATGGTAGGGGATTAGGGTAGCATAGTGGTTAGAGCGCTCGCTCGTCACGCCGAAGACCCGGGTTCGATTCCCCACATGGGTACAATGTGAAGCCCATTTCTGGTGTTCGCCCGCCATGATTTTGCTTGAATCTTGCTAAAAGCTGCGTAAAACTAACTCACTCACTCTGGGCATGATCCATAAATTTTAGCCCGCCTTTATATACTGCTGTATTTAAAAACAAGCAAATAAAATAAACTGTATTGGTTTAAATGGTTAAATAATAATTGACTTTATATGTAATGGTTATATGTTTTGTGATTCTTAATTCTTGGTCATTAATTTTTATATATTATTATTTTGTTCTGTCATACCTAATGGTACCTCATGGATGTCATACCTCGTGTAATGTCATACATCGTCATAGACAATCACATACTACATATATAAAGTGTCATTCACTGAAGGAAAGCCAATAGCAAACACAAACTGTTGCGACAAGTGTCATTTTAACACTGCATATTTCCTTAATTCCTTAGGTCTGATTACTCCTTCTCAACATGGTCGAAATGAGTCATGGCGACCTATGTCCCGTACACCAACTGGGAGGTGTCGAGCTGACAGGCTGTCTGAATCACCTCCACTGTTGCTGGGCCGTCTACAATAGATGGACATATATTTAGTTTTCATTTGGTGTAATTTATGCGATAGACTTGCTATCATGTCTTTAAAATGTGCCATGCTTTAATGAAATGTATGCGTGCCCTTTTTGTGTTTTAACTATTGCCTTAACCTTCCCTAGAGGTGTTTCTCGGTGTGAAGCCGTTTCTATAGACCATGGCTACTCACTCAAACACTTGCTGGCTCGATCACAGACTCACGCTCACTCACAATCAAACACTTGTGTGGCTCGATCACATATTGCTCACTCACAAATTCGCTCACTCACTCATTCACATGTCATCAGTACTATGTTGAACTGCTTATCAATGCCAACATATAAACAATGATCATACCGAGACGGAAAAACGTGTCCTGGGTGATTTCCTTTCTGGCAGCCTCGATGGCGTGTTTCACAGCAAACAACGCTGATACAGACATACACAGGGGTGGCTCGCCCACAGCTGAAACACAACATTTGTCTTTGAAATACCTGAAGTTAATACTGGACTTCAACAACAAAAATGTAACGTACCCTTTTTTTTTTACCTAACACATATTCATCAAGTTTGTTGGTTGTTGTTTATAGAGATTATTAACCGAGTGTGTTTCCGTATCATTAATATCATGTATTAGGAATAAAAATTGTAGTCTGCGAGCCTTTACGCAAGCCTAATCTCTTTATCATATAATGTCGTTCTTAAAATTAATCTAAAAAAGGCAAATCGTATTTATATGAAGAGAATCGAGCATTCGGGCAAGAATACTTAGTGGTACATCAAGGTGAAGGTCTTTCATGACAGCATATAGTTGTGACTAGTCGCTAACATAGTGCAAGCATAGCTCTTGCTTTAGATAAGCCATGTTTGTGCACAAACTCGCCCACGCATTGGTAAACCCCCTGTTAACTCGCGACGACGTCATCCATGAAATGTTAACATTTTAGGATTTGCATGGCGTGTATGGAGTTTTGTGAAAGTAGTTCGTGTATTGACCTAATTTGCATATTTATCAGATTTCGACACCAAGTTTATCAGATTGCTTTATTGCACCGATAACAACCTCCGTTACATGATAAAACGCCGTAGAATGCTATATTGCTATATGACGGCGGCGTGTACATATTCTACTCTGACAGGCAATCCAGTGATTGACATCATGAGCATCAATCTACGCGGGTGGGATACGACGACGTGTGTCAACCAAGTCAACAAGCCTGATCACCTGACCGCGCTGGTCTCCTTTTACAACCACGGGTTGTTGAAGATCAATTCTAACCAGGATCTTCACGGTTAATTCAATGAGACCTCGCTATATGATAACGTTATTAACATAAATGCCCTTCTTGTCAACACCGCCTCCGTGGTGTAGTGGTTAGAGCGTCCGCCCGGAGAGCGGAAGGTCGCGGGTTCGATCCCCGACCGCGTCATACCAAAAGACGTTAAAATATGGTACTTGTTGGTCCCATGGTACTGGTTGGCTCGGAGTCAGTATACTGTGTCTGAGTGGGGTATTCATGCTTCACTGCGGCATGGTATCTCAGTGGGCTAGCACTATAAAACCAGCTTCAGTCTGGGCTAGTACAAGCAGCCACACATACACATACACACGCATGCACGTCGTCATGCACGTCGTCATATGAGCGAAATATTCTCAAGCACGACGTTAAACCCAATTTCACCTCACCTCACCTTCTTGTCAAGGAGGCCTTCAACCCAGCAATACAACATATTAGTGGTTTACAGCTTCTAATCAGTTATTTGGAGACTGGTAACAGACGATTACTATTTAATTACAAAAACAGCAGACCTGGAAGGATTTAAAACAAATGAGAGTTATCTCCCCTAGACTTGTGACTACGGTATATGAAGTATCAACATATCAAGTTGCCATGGTGACTGTTGTTACCTTTTGCTCTTAGGACTCCACGTGGGTTTGGAGCATTCTTCAAGAACTGGATACGGAAGTCGATTGGAATGTCCTTGCCCATTGGAGGTTTGTATTCCTGTACAGACAGAACAACAGTGTATCTTTACCGTAGATCTATGCATGTATATATAGTTACTGGTCTAATATTGTCCACTAAGATTTAAGAGGAGTATATATTTTACAAATTCAATAAAATGACATATCACAGTGGCCATACCGGTTTTCGAACATTGTCATGGATGCATACCTTTAATTTCCTTTAAGTTCTGAAGTTCCATTATTCGTTAGGAAGATATAACTCCTACATGAAATTGGATATGTCTTTCGTGATACCCATGCGGTGTCATTTCACCTCTCATGACGGTTTCTTCAAAACATCTTCAGTAGCTTTGCACATTTGGTTTATGAATATCTTTATTGCAATTTCAATACAATGATACAATATCTTCGATACAGTAAACCCATTACATTTTGTGAATTTACTGAAATGTTTTCATTTTTGATAAAATATATAAAAGTATTGATTGCCTTGACTAAAAGTCTCTCGTTCATCAGATACTTTTCGTTGTTTATCCACATTATACTTTGGAACCAGATAACTAGATGAAAAGGTTTAGACATATGGGACCTCTAGGTAAAACGTTGACGTTCTGTTTGTCTTGTACGTATAACATGGGTTAAGTACACTTTGCGTGGCTTTTTTGTTTGTTTTATGGCTTGCCACTCACCCAAGTTCCATCAGTCAGGGCGGTGCCAGTCTTGGGGTCATATATCATCTCTTCGTTCAAAAAGTAGCCCAATCCCATCACAAATCCTCCTTCAACTTGGCCGATGTCAACATCTGGGTTAATGCTGAGAAAACAGGTAAACAAATATATTTAGAAATGGTGTATTCGTCTGGTACAAAACATGGCTCTGGGTCCTCGATGGATATCCCCCCAGTCAACGCCAAACAAAAATGTCTTGTTAAGTTGGTCAGTGGTCAATAATGACACACTGGTCTTCCTCCTTTGATGCCAATAACACGCCCTCCTCAAGAACACGCTCTGTCACATACATACATCACATCTCGCTCCTCTCTAACATCTCAAAAGACTTATAACATCATTCCTCCGCGTGTAGAGGCTGCTCCCGTTACCACCACACCAACAATGCATCTTTCCCGACACGACGGCATCTCATCTACTCTGCCTAGCAACAGAAGCATCAAACTTCAGTTACCTTTCTCCACAGGAGGTCCTCTCTGTTCTTCTTTACTTTCGCAGGAGTCATATAGTATTATCCACTCTGTTGGACTTACCTCTCTCCACAGTCATACATTATTATCCACTGTCGGTCTTACCTCTCTCCACAGTCATACATTATTATCCACTGTTGGTCTTACCTCTCTCCACAGTCATACAGTAGGTCCACTCTGTTGGTCTTACCTCTCTCCACAGTCATACAGTATGTCCACTCTGTTGGTCTTACCTCTCTCCACAGTCACACAGTATGTCAACTCTGTTTGTCTCACCTGTCTCCACAGTCATACAGGATGTCCGCTCTGTTGGTCTTACCTCTCTCCGCAATCATACAGGATGTCCACTCTGTTGGTCTTACCTCTCTTCACAGTCACACAGTATGTCAACTCTGTTTGTCTTACCTGTCTCCACAGTCATACAGAAGGTCCACTCTGTTGGTCTCACCTCTCCCCACAGTCATACAGGATGTCCACTCTGTTTGTCTCACCTCTCTCCACAGTCATACAGTATGTCCGCTCTGTTGGGCTTACCTCTCTCCACAGTCATACAGTAGGTCCACTCTGTTGGTCTCACCTCTCTCCACAGTCATACAGGATGTTCACTCTGTTGGTCTTACCTCTCTCCACAGTCATACAGTAGGTCCACTCTGTTGGTCTTACCTCTCTCCACAGTCATACAGTAGGTCCGCTCTGTTGGGCTTACCTCTCTCCACAGTCATACAGTAGGTCAACTCTGTTGGTCTTACCTCTCTCCACAGTCATACAGTAGGTCCACTCTGTTGGTCTTACCTCTCCCCACAGTCATACAGTAGGTCCACTCTGTTGATCTTACCTCTCTCCACAATCATACAGGATGTCCGCTCTGTTGGTCTTACCTCTCTCCGCAATCATACAGGATGTCCACTCTGTTGGTCTTACCTCTCTACACAGTCATACAGTAGGTCCACTCTGTTGGTCTTACCTCTCTCCACAGTCATACAGGATGTCCGCTCTGTTGGTCTTACCTCTCTCCGCAATCATACAGGATGTCCACTCTGTTGGTCTTACCTCTCTTCACAGTCATACACTAGGCCCACTCTATTGGTCTTACCTCTCTCCGCAGTCATACAGTAGGTCCACTCTGTTGATCTGGTTCTCCCCGGTCAAGATGTCCACCTCAACTTCAGTACACGTGGCACCGTAGATGTTATAGTTACTGAAGTCCCCTGTTGGATATGTTCTGAAAATGACGACATCGATGTAAAGTATCTAGGAATGATTAGATTTACCTGACAGTAAGATGGCCCAGTGGTTAAAATCTTACCTCATTGAATTCAAGTTTTACGTTCAATTTCCGATACTGCTAAGATGTGCATATCGTCAGTCAACCCTCACTAATGATTGGAACCTTTTAGGCAAACTAAACCCCGGTAAAACGCTCTCCATGTGTCCCCCCTGCAAAAACAAACATTGCTATCTTTGCAGGTGTCGTTCAAGCCTGCTACCGTGCGTGTCCAACCTTGACCTTGTCGACTGAACGACACCTTTTGCCCTGAAACTACGGATGTGGATGAAACCTTTTGAACTGGCAGCCTTTACGTCACGAACTGCTTCGAACGTTCCAAATTTGATGGATGATGTTGACGTAAACGTTTCGCTCACGCCACAAATCCTCAACGGTGTTGGGATACAGTCACGTTGACCACTACGACGGTACGTCTAAGCACTGTGTTCTTGAAGAATCTTTACAGACTTTATGTCTGCGGTATACTTACGAGCTTCTGGCTGACAAGTCCACTCCTTGGGCGTAGCACTGAGCTACCAGCTGCTGCCAGGTGGGATTCGACATCTTGGCCTTGACCGGGTCCATCCGGGTCTTCAGTTGCTGACAGCACTGCACGACTCCCTTTAACAAGACATTTTCACTCCGGTTAAAGAAACGTTTCAAGAGACATTTCTGCTCAAGTGCATTGTACGATTCCGAATCTGTTATGATAAGTGTCAAATATGAATACGCAATCCAATTTGGAAAGTGGTCAACTGTAACACGTTATATTTGGTATTGCACTTTCTCAGTAAAGCACAGATTTTAGAGCTTTTGTTGAGTTGAGTCCCATCGGGGATTCCAATCCATACCCTCAATCAGGCACGTCATCGCCAGCACACAAAGTCAGCCATCTAACCCACTCAGCCACCACTGCTTCAGAACAGTGTAAAATGGTGATATTACGAAGGGTTCGCAAAACCACACCCTCAGTCAGGCACCTAATCGCCAGCACACAAAGTCAGCCATCTAACCCACTCAGCCACCACGGCTTCAGAACAGTGTAAAATGGTGATATTACGAAGGGTTCGCAAAACCACACCCTCAGTCAGGCACCTAATCGCCAGCACACAAAGTCAGCCATCTAACCCAATGAGCCATCACGGCTTCCAAATAGTGTCAAATAGTGATAGTACGAGGTTTCGAGAAAAGGTGACCACATGCCAGACACATCATCACTATTTGTTTTTGATGTTTTTTTAATTTATTTACTGATTTGAAGAAACATATAAAGTGGCAAACCCACCTGAAACGAAAACGGACTGATAATTTATAGATGGTCTATGATGGACAACTCACCAGAGCGTTAACATCGGACGCGCGGCTGCCTCCAGTAATGAACGAATCTGAGTTGGTAAAGGTGGTCGTTGGTTTGACCTTGATCGTGTCGATAGGGATACCAAGCTCAAAGGCGCATACTTGCATCATCTGCAGAAGAGAAGATATTAGTGATGATCATTGTTATTATAAAAATGCTCATTTTTTATTGTGCTTTCTCAGTGCCACTTATCATAAAAAGCGCAGATGTTTGCATTTTCTTCGACCAACAGTTTTATGTTATGTGAATATTATTATATACGATGATGATTTTGTGTGCGATGTTTCCATGCTAGATATACTCAATGTGCATGAAATATTTTGTTATGATACCATGCATTGAATCTTTCCGTAATTTTTTTTTTTTATTTAGGGAGAAACTGCTCTGCCGCCATTAAGCTGTTTGTAAATATTACAGCTGACTAGACGAATTCTACGGGCATCGCAGTGCATGAGCAACACTAGTTTCGTTTTAAAGCATACCAGAAATGCACTTATGAGGTACATGTTTTCTTAATTGATACAATGATGATGATGATGATTTTTTATGCTAGAAATGCACGCATGAGACATTGTCCTTAATTGAACAACCTTTATGTTTAATCCCTGCCCGAGTTCTACACCGCCGACAGAGAGTGCCACGGATCCATCACCGTGGTAGATGGTGACGTAGACGTTGAAGATGTCTTTCCCGTAGTCCATGTTCCAGCGCAGCGGCATCACTTCAATGCCCTTCTTCTTCCATCTGTTGGCCTACAAGTGATAGAGCAACAGCACAGAGCTCTAATTTCCTATATTTGGATATTTTCTTTCTTACTTTAAGTTATACAACTATATTTGCCGATATTCAAAGCAAAACCGTTTTTATACTGCATATGTTTAAGAACATTAAGAACACAAAATTGTTGATCTTACAACCTCAAAAAGAAATGTTCATTTTTAGATCATCCTCGATAATCGCCAGGGTATACGTTCCGATAGAGATTTATCGGAACGTATATCCTTGAGATTATCGAGGATGGTTTTATATGTGCTGCTGGATAAAACCACCTTAGCACTAAGGTGATTGTTCTGCCATACCTTAACATAGATCTCCAACAGACTTAGCACTAATGTTGTTTTGTACGACGGCACCTTGTGAAAAACGCCTGTTCTTTAAAGTATGTGAGTCAAAGGATGCTTGAGATCCTATTTACCCATGAACTCAATACCAGATGTAGGTGGACATCATGTGACCATCTGATCCATTTTCTAATCAGGAGATTTTGACAGACAAACCGAGCTCTGACCATGCTAAATCTTTAAGTCTTGTAGTAGCCAACGCCGTGAAGTCTGAAGTATGTGCTAAAGAATGTTATGTACTGAAATTACACTTAATTCTCGGGTACTGGTTTTTCACTTTTGTCGAGTTATATTATTAAGTAAATTTGATATTTTAATCTTGTTTCAATGTGAAATAAAATAAAGATGTTTGCACCTGATTGAATGCAGCAATTTGCTTCTTTCTTGCTGTGACATCGGCTGACGTCTCAAGCTGGGCGACAATATCCTTGATGTTGCAGTACTTCAGAACCAGTCCAAAGGCCGATTTCTGAGGAACAAAAATAAAAATGAGACTAATTGCCAAAACTTGTCTCTGTGAACCCGTGAAGATCCGGGTTAGAATTCATCTTTAGCAACCCGTAAATGTCGTAAATGGCGACAAAGGGATCGGGTGATCAGGCTCGCTGACTTGGTTGACACACGTCATCGTATCCCAATTGCGTAGATCGATGCTTATGATGTTGATTACTGGATTGTCTGGTCCAGGCTCGATTATTTACATCACGCCGCCGTATAACTGGAATATTGCTGGGTGCAGAGCTTCACAACGCCCAACCAACTCTATTCTCTATGAGCTAGTACAGTAAGGTTTTTGCTTGTTTGCTCCAGCAATATGGTCTGTGAGGTGAGGTGAGGTGAGGTGAGGTGAGGTGAGGTGAGGTGAGGTGAGGTGAGGTGAAATTGGGTTTAACGTTGTGCTTGAGAATATTTCGCTCATATGACGACGTGCATGCGTGTGTGTGTATGTGCGGCTGCTTGTACTAGCCCAGACTGAAGCTGGTTTTATAGTGCTAGCCCACTGAGATACCATGCCACAGTGAAGCATGAATACCCCACTCAGACACATTATACTGACTCTGAGCCGACCAGTCCTTGTTGTACCCATTAATGCCGAGCGCCAGGCAGGGACCAACAAGTACCATATTTTAACGTCTTTTGGTATGACGCAGTCGGGGATCGAACCCGCGACCTTCCGCTCTCTGGGCGGACGCTCTAACCACTACACCACGGAGGCGGTCCTAGAAGTCCAGAGCCCCCCCAACATGGAAATGTTCCGGTCCTTCTAAACTAATGAAATGTTGTAAAATACTGCCCGGTGTAACATCTGATAAAAGCTTCAGTTACAGACCTTTATGTATCTTGTCAAGAATTTGGCAGAGTGAATATTAATGTGCGTCCTCAGACACATTATACTGACTCCGCGCCGACCAGTCCTTGTTGTACCCATTAATGCCGAGCGCCAGGCAGGGACCAACAAGTACCATATTTTAACGTCTTTTGGTATGACGCGGTCGGGGATCGAACCCGCGACCTTCCGCTCTCCCAATATGGTCTGTAAATAATGGAGCCAGTACCAGACAATCCAGTGATCAATATCATGAGTCAAGTATTAGTTATGCGTTCGTCTTACCTTTTGATCTTCCTTCTCCAGATGTTTCGTTTTAGCTCTCTCTTCACCATTAGCACAAGCATCGATCTACCCGACTGGGATAGTATGACATAATAATAATGTGTCCATTTATATAGTGGAGTTTGTCAACACTAGGTATGCTCATAGCGCTAACAATCAAGGCACAGCACATTATTACCCCGGATAACCCAAGCTGCCTGTTAGGCGCTAGAAGGTTATAGTCATATGACTTTTTCCACCGGGTACCCATTTTCCTGCTGGGTGAAGAGAGACAATTTGGAACAAACTCACTTGCCTAAGGTGAGACTACATGTGTCACATGTGCTTCGTTGTGGGGCAGGACTGAAGTCCTAGAAACTCAGGAGTCAAGCTCACATGTGTTAACGAAGAAAACGAGCCTGACTACCTCCCCGTTAGTCGCCTCTTACGGCAAGCATGGGTTGCTGAAGACCCAACCAGGATCTTCACGGATGGAAAGCAAATGCTTGTGTAGATGCATTTAACCTTGAAAACCCTAAGGACCCAGAACCATAAAAAGTTGTGGGTCCGGATCAGAATGTGTAGGCCTTATATTTTAATGATAATAATACCCTTAGTTATTGGGGATGAAAAGGCTGTTGACAGAAAGCAAAAACTGTTTGTCCGAGTGGTTTTCAGTCGGCTTCGGGCCTAAGGACCAACGTTAATTTCGAAAGCTGGATGATGGGAAGTCTTGTCTAGCATTTACTCACTTGGCCTTTGGTGAATAGGTTTATCTTCCTGAACTCCAACGGATCCATGTTCAATTCCTTGGCGACGTGATCCATCATCGCTTCCATGATGAAGATGGCAGGTAGGGTTCCTGGAAGAAAACAAGTCAACTAGTCAACAAGTATAAACTTCCTTCTGAATAATTACTCAAAATACTAGCAAAAACATGACGTGAAGATCATGGCTATAGTCATACTGATCAACGGAGATTTTAAAATCTTTGTATTCTGAGTTTGTTATGGTTTTTCTTTTATTGTCTTCAAAGCATTGGATTTGGTTGGTTGGTTTGTTGTTTAATGCCGCACTCTGCAGTATTCCATCTATATGGCGGTGGTGTGTAAATAATCGAGTCCGGACCAGACAATCTAGTGATCAACAGTATGATCATCCATCTACGCAATTGGGATACGATGACATGTGTCAAGCATATCCCGGAAGTCACTATTTAAGACAAGCATGGGTTACTAAAGACCAGTTCTAACCCGAATAGAAAAGAATAGGAACCACTCAATGGGCAAGAAATAAATGTGCAAACCCAATGTTCGTCAGGTTGGGCGTTTTACAATATATTTACAGTAGAAACATTACTGATGATGTGTGAATGGTACTTGCAAGTAGGGCTGCGCAATATAACCGGTTTACCGGTATTTACCGGTTCAGACATGAAAACGATACGTATTGCGATACGCTGAAAACCGGTATTTTGACATGCATTCGGAAAACGTCATAACACTCGGAAATCTTCGGATATTTCCTTGTTTCATTTGTGCCAAATATTATTCACATTTATATTTTATCATGATTAAAAGTTGTTATTAAAGCTTAATCAAGCATAGTGATTTTGCTGTGTTTTTTGCTCTATAAATCAAGCAGAAACTCGATTATCAGTAATTTTTTGTTTAAAAATACTTCATGCAATATATTGCAATGCATATCGCAATACATGCTTTCGCATCGCAATATATCGCAATATGAATAATCTCTGCAATACCCACCCGTACTTGCAAGATCGTGGGTGTCTCCAAATTATCGTTCAAAACCCGTGTGTCTGCTTTTTTTAAAATGGAGAGGTGTTTTTATGACGAAAGTATTGGAGCAATCAGGAAATCTATGTCTTGGACTTGATTTATATACTCTTACACCCGTATTGCCATGGGCAATACAATTCATGAAATGAGTTTCTGAAACAAAGTCTCGCCACATCGATAAGATTTTTCTCCTTCACGAATGCACATGTTAAAGGATGGGAGTACTACCTCGCTTCTCAGTGAAGATTCGGTTTGAATCGATCTTCACCTGCCCATGTTTGTTGTGAGATGCGAGTGCGGTGTTGAACAAGCAAACAAACAATCACACAAATAAACTACCTGGCGATCTGCATAAGGTGTTTGCTGGGAGATTTGTCTTCAGGGCTACTGGCTTGAAATCCCATGCTGGACAGTAGTAGGCTAAAAAAATAGAAATTTTCACGAAGATACCCTATACCCAGCAGAGGGGCGGTGGGGTAGCCTAATGGTTAAAGCGTCCGCTCGTCACGCTGAAGATCCGGGTTCGATTCCCCACATGGGTACAATGTGTGAAACCCATGTCTGGTGTCCTCCGCCGTGATATTGCTAGAATATTGTTAAAAGCGGCGTAAAACCATACTCACTAGTGGTGGTCCGATTAATTGAAATAATCGAAGATTGGAGGCAGTGACTAAACGACCAAGCAATCGATCATGTTTTTTCATAATCGAACACAAACAATTCTGGAACACTTGTTTTCATAATCAATATTTTTCACAAGGTTGGTTTTGTCTGTTACATTTCATAAGCACTACAAGCTCGTTTCAAGTCATGATTGAATTTATCTTAATGACTCCAAGAAATTTATGTTCCTGACATATTAGTCATCCTTTAAAGATGTGAAATTTTGCCCCAAATGTTTTTTCCATATTCTTATGTACATTAACAAATTTCATTAATGACGCTAACCAATTATTTTCGATGATTGATCGGTTGTAATAAACCAATCTCCAATATGAGATTTTAACCAATTCTCAACACTATTACTCACTATTGTTGCAGATAATAGAGAGACTAATCGGAACGGAAGCAGTTACCATTGCAATGTGTCTGATCATGCCAGTCATCCCACGTTTGAGTTAAAAATGAGTTAAAGTTATGATTTCACGATGGAAAACGAAATTGGCAAAATAAAAAAATCATCCAAAAGAATATTATATCTTCATTTTAAAAGTTTCTATAGTTATTATTACATATTGGTATATGTGAAACCTTTAACAATCAAAATTGAATAACAACACTATTTATTGAAGTGTTTTGGTAGTGTCCCTGTATTACCATTGTCCATGAAGTCGGGAAATCCCGCAAGTGGACAGTCATTGGGTGTTGCTCCACAGTCAGCATTGGACGTCAGTTGGATGCCATTCAGTTTTCCATCATTGTTGACCCCGACCTGGTTACAGAGAAACTTAACTGAGTGATATTACAGAAACAATATGAGTAGGTGAGTGATGAGACATGGTTACAGAAAAACATGACTGAGTGATATTCCAGAAACAATATGAGTAAGTCAGTGATGAGACATGGTTAAAAAGGTACATCAAAGTGATGGGATGTGGTTACAGAGGAACTTCACTAAGTAATGAGATGTGGTTACAGAGGAAAATCACAGAGTAATAAGATGTAGTTACAGAGGAACATCACAGAGTAATGAGATATGGTTACAGAGGAACATCACAGAGTAATGAGATGTGGTTACAGAGGAAAATCACAGAGTAATAAGATGTAGTTACAGAGGAACATCACAGAGTAATGAGATATGGTTACAGAGGAACATCACAGAGTAATGAGATGTGGTTACAGAGGATCATCACAGAATAATGAGATGTGGTTACAGAGGAACATTACAGAGTGATGAGATATGGTTACAGAGGAACATCACAGAGTAATGAGATGTGGTTACAGAGGAACTTCAAACAGTAATGAGATGTGGTTACAGAGGAACATCACAGAGTAATGAGATGTGGTTACAGAGGAACATCACAGAGTAATAAGATGTAGTTACAGAGGAACATCACAGAGTAATGAGATGTGGTTACACAGGAACATCACAGAATAATGAGATGTGGTTACAGAGGAACATCACAGAGTAATGAGATGTGGTCACAGATCAACTTCAGACAGTAATGAGATATGGTTACAGAGGAACATCACAGAGTAATGAGATGTGGTTACAGAGGATCATCACAGAATAATGAGATGTGGTTACAGAGGAACATTACAGAGTGATGAGATATGGTTACAGAGGAACATCACAGAGTAATGAGATGTGGTTACAGAGGAACTTCAAACAGTAATGAGATGTGGTTACAGAGGAACATCACAGAGTAATGAGATGTGGTTACAGAGGAACATCACAGAGTAATAAGATGTAGTTACAGAGGAACATCACAGAGTAATGAGATGTGGTTACACAGGAACATCACAGAATAATGAGATGTGGTTACAGAGGAACATCACAGACTAATGAAATGTAGTTACAGAGGAACATCACAGAGTAATGAGATGTGGTTACAGACGAACATCACAGAGTAATGAGATGTGGTTACAGAGGAACATTACAGAGTAATGAGATGTGGTTACAGAGGAACATCACAGAGTAATGAGATGTGGTTACGGAGGAACATTACAGAGAAATGAGATGTGGTTACAGAGGAACATCACAGAGTAATGAGATGTTGTTACAGAGGAACATCACAGAGTGATGAGATATGGTTACAGAGGAACATCACAGAGTGATGAGATGTGGTTACAGAGGAACATCACAGAGTAATGAGATGTGGTTACAGAGGAACATCACAGAGTGATTAGATATGGTTACAGAGGAACATCACAGTGTAATGAGCTGTGGTTACAGAGGAACATCAAAGAGTGATGAGATGTGGTTACAGAGGAACATCACAGAGTAATGAGATGTGGTTACAGAGGGACATCACAGAATAATGAGATGTGGTTACAGAGGAACATCACAGAGTAATGAGATGTGGTTACAGAGGAACATCACAGAGTAATGTGATGTGGTTACAGAGGAACATAACAGAGTGATGAGATATGGTTACAGAGGAACATCACAGTAATAATATACTCTCCCAAAAAAGAAACGCATATAGGAATTTCAACTGTATTTTTATGTTTATTTTGAAACATCTTGTAGGCTTAATGAGTCAATGAACTATAGCGAAATTGCACACAGGGAATGCAGACTTATCCGTCTTTGGCACCAACTCAAGGGAAGTCAGTTTCAGTGTCACATGGAGACATGTGGTGGCGCTGAAGTCAATACCTCGTGTGACCACCGTGGGCATCCAGAACTGCACGGCATCGCTTCGGCATCGAACGAATAAGTCTCAGAATCTCGAGTTGCCCAATCGCAGCCCACTCTGCCTGTAGTGCCTGTGTAAGTTGCTGAAGTGTCTGGGGCTGAGGGTTACGGCGTCGCACCCGTCTGTCCAGGGCATGCCACAGATGTTCGATCGGGTTTAAGTCCGTCGATCTTGAGGGCCAGGGGAGCACATTGATCTTGTGGTTCTGAAGGAAGTTTCTAGTGTGACGTGCTGTGTGGGGCCTGGAATTGTCCTGTTGAAACAAATCCCTCTGGCGATCAATGATTGGAAGGTATGGGCGTAGGATTTCGTGACAGTACCGTTGAGCTGTCAGGTTGCCCTGGATCATCACCAGATCACTTCTCCTACGGCAGGTGATCGCTCCCCATATCATAACACTGTCCCGCCCGAATCTGTCCACCTGGGCAACGCAAGCGTCGGCGAAAGGTTCACGTTGACGTCTATACAGCCGCATTCTTCCATCGCGTCGTTCCAATGGAAATCGTGATTCATCACTGAACCAGATTCTACGCCAATTCGGTAGGTTCCAGGCCTGAACGTTGGTGCAACATTGAACTCGATGTCGACGATGTTGTCGAAGCACAGGGCCAAAATAAGGTCGATGCACCAGCCTCTCTCAACCTGTTCCTGACGGTCTGTGCAGAAAGTCTCCCCAATCCGGGTATTTGTCGAGCGGTACTGGTCGCCGTAGCTGTTCGATGACGCAGGTAATGTACCCGGATGTAGCGATCCTGCGCCGCAGTGGTCGCTCGATGTCGCCCATTACGAGGGGCATCTGCTACCGCACTCTGCCGGCGATATCTCTCCCAGAGCCGTGAAATGGTGCTTTGGTGAACATTCATGCGTCGGGCAACTGCACGTTGAGACTGGCCAACTTCAAGCAAACCAATGGCGATATGACGGTTTGCTTCACTTAGACGTGGCATTTTGCGTTCGTCAACAATATTCCAAATACAGTGAATAATCGACAGACAGCGATCAACCTTTTATACCCATCATTAAGACTATCTGATCCCCAACTGTCACGTGCATTGCATGTGAATTGTGTATTCTGTGACACTACACGCCGAAATTGAAAATCATGCTGTTAAATACGGGTATTTTACGGATGGTGCGTTTTGTTGTGATGTTTCAAAACATAAACACCATAGGACTCATAAACAGAGCAAAACCTTTTGTAAAATGAATCACGTTTTAATTCATTGCTACATGAAATTGCTATTTTCATGATGCGTTTCTTTTTGGAGAGTATATGTGGTAACAGAGGAACATCACAGGTAATGAGATGTGGTTACAGAGGAACAGCACAGAGTAATGAGATGTGGGCGCCGCTGGTTAAAATGGCCAATTATCTCTTACTGTGTAAGTCGCCAGATACGGAAAACGTCCCCCGACTGCCTTCATGTTGGTGTGGAGGTCCACCGACAGGCGAACAGGTCTGAAAGTTTGAGTCGTAGATTGTTTCATCCAGGATGACACTGGCACTAATATCGACCACACCTCTCCACAATCAATCAACCAACTAACCAACCAATCAATCCTGTAGTTTATGTATGATCTGACGAAACAGTGTGAGTGAGTGAGTTTAGAGCTATAAGGCGGCGGTTTGCAAATAATCTAGTCTGGACCAGACAATCCAGTGATCATCATCATCATCATGAGCATCGATCTACACAGTTGTGATACGATGACATGTGTCAACCAAGTCAGCGAGCCTGACCACCCGATCCCGTTAGTCGCCTCTTACGACAAGCATGGGTTCCTGAAGATCAATTCTAACCCGGATCTTCACGGGTGGTGACGAAACAAGTGCATTAAAGGGAAAATGAAAAATATATGAATGGATCACTCATAAGCAGTGATGACCGCAAATACCCCGTCAGATCTGGCGCAGATCCGCGGTTGCTGGATTCAGTTCTCATTTGGTCTTAAGGCTGAGCATGTAGACAAATTCTTTATTTATATAGTAATTATTAGTAGAATTCAACCCACCTTCTCGTGATGTATGTGGCGATAGCAGCGGCACACGCTGGCAGGTTGGCACGAGTTATCTTCGCTCCAAAGGCTCCTCCAAGACGTTTGACCTTGACACTTACACTTGAAAATAATAATATGTAAACATATGTCCAGCCTAATCAAATTTACAAAGAAGACATTTTAATTTAGTAAACATGACTATATAATATATTAGCATGACGATCTGCCACACAGCATGACTATATATTAGTATGCCGATCTGCCATCCAACATGGCTATATATTAGTATGACGATCTCCCATCCAGCACGACTATATATTAGTATGACGATCTGCCACCCAGCCTGACTATATATTAGTATGACGATCTGCCACCCAGCCTGACTATATATTAGTATGACGATCTGCCACCCAGCCTGACTATATATTAGTATGACGATCTGCCATCCAACATGGTTATATATTAGTATGACGATCTCCCATCCAGCATGACTATATATTAGTATGACGATCTGCCACCCAGCCTGAATATATATTTGTAAGTGACGATCTGCCACCCAGCCTGACTATATATTAGTATGACGATCTGCCACCCAACATGGCTATATATTAGTATGACGATCTCCCATCCGGCATGACTATATATTAGTATGACGATCTGCCATCTACAATCTAGTATGCCGTTTGAAAACAAACCGATAGTATGTACCTGCTTTCCTGTATGTTAAGCAATGCTGCTACGGCCTGCTGTACAGAATCTGACCACTGAGTTGGGCAGTGGAGATGGACACCCACCCCATCCTCTGCTGGGTAGCACAGGCAGAACTGGAAGTACATTTACAGTTATACATTTACAGTTATACAGCAGCTGCCAGCTGAATTCTGCATAGCCTCTACCAGGTATGCAAGGATACATGTTACAGTATGCATCATGCTTATAGTCTGTTTGCAGTGAAAACGTACCGATGAATTTCACCTTAAACAAACAGATAAATCAACTAAAGTGAAATTAAGATTGCGAATCCTTATAATATTACCTTGCCAATTGAACATTAAACTCTCAGAATTTTATTCAACTTATGATAAAAGGTGTTTAACAAACGATCATCGATTCAAATCGTTATTATTGGTTTGTATTACAAGGGGGTACGCGCAGTAGTAGGAACATTGAAACAAATGCACGCGCTGTACGTGATGAGCGTCAATTTACACCAACCTTACATGTTCTCGGAGTTTCATTTAATGTGCATACCCCCTTGTAATACAAACCAATAATAGCGATTTGAAACTATGATCGTTTGTTAAACAACTTTTATCCTAAGTTGAATAACATTCTGACATTTTAATGTTCAATTGGCAACGCTTAGTCTCTGAATATAAATTAAATTGTCAAGGATGGGAGATTCCAAACCTGAGAATCAGACTTGCTTCATTTAGGGCTTTCATTGCTAGGCAGTAGGAAATGATTTTTCGGGACTTTAACGTCCATGCTAAATATGGAAGCTAGCTTTACATGCACCACTGACCTGTTTTTCCAGGTGGAAATGGTACTGATGTTTTATCTTGACACTGCCAGTTATCTGTTTGTCAGACCCGGCTATTGCAGCTGAAGAACACAAGAACATTCAATACTTCATCTAATCTATTCAGTATATTGCTCAAACAGTTAATTGACTTGCATCGTTAAACAAGTGAAACAATAAAATTGCATCCTTTAAAGTATTTATGCAACCAAATTCAGCTTAATAAACGTATACATATATCTACAGAAAAACTAGCTACCTGCAGCATCACCGACTTTATACTCCTGGGCAACATTTGGAAATATGGATTTCTTCTGAATCGCATCTTCCATTGTAATGATGGGGGGCTGGACGTTCTTGTAGGTAACCTTCACCATGCTGGCTGCTGTGTCAGCTGATAGTTGGTCAACTGAAACAAAACATCATAATTCTCTTATCGATTGCTTCAAAAGGACTTGTCTGTATCATCATCCTGCTCCTCATGGAACCTTTACTCCTTTACAGCCCACACAGCAAGTTGGGCTTTTAAGAAGCGCTGCCTAGTCGAATCCCCCTAGAAGACTCCCCATCACTGCAGCGAAAAGGTGTCCTCGGTACTCTCCCAGTGCCAGTCAAAAGAGTAAAACATACCAAACATACGGCATCGAGTGTATTGTGGAGTAGGAAAACGTGCTAATTCAAATGTAAGATTGGCGTTTCGTCGCCATGTTTCCCCAATAGCTTCTCAATCACATTTTGGGAGAGGGACAGGAAATCAAATGATGTATATAATTTCATTCGTGTTACCAAAAATGGCCCCGTCAAGCTTGTTGGCTTGAATACGTCTGGGACTGTTTACCTATTTCGAAGAAGTTTATAATCGTCATTTTCCATGACTCCTTGTACATATTCCTACCATCGGTGGACCTCTGAGTCAGAACGACAAGAATTGAGAAAACGGTTATGGAGAGATCGACCCACGCCATCATATAGCTCAATATAATCTGTGCCAGCGCTTGGCATCCACTGTCACGGTGTTCATATTTACATTTTGATCCAAATTCCCACATTGATGGTTTAAGTGGGAAGTGGCTGCTCTGAGAAGCAGAAAGCCTCCTGTTACACTTTTGAGATAACCAAGCGAAGGACCAAGCTTTCCTTCTCCAAGCACTGCATATGGTACACTGGTCGTTCGAGAGACTGCCTTGGTCAGTTTGTGCGTGTGCGTTTGTGTGTGTGTGTACGTGCGTCCATGTGTTAACAGCCATCGGTCTTCAGAAAGTGGAGCTCGGGCACAATGCAATGTGGCCAAGTATACGTACGTTGCTAAGTATTATTTTGTTCAAATATCATACCGCTCGGATTTGTCAGGCATGATGTTCATGAAACGCGTAAACGTATTAAGACAAAAGAGTTAATTTAAGAATAAACAAATGCCAATAACTTGACCCTTAAGAGTAAGATTGGGTCCCCAAAGAAATGAGGAAAGACTGACTGAGTTTAGTTTTACGCCGCTTTTAGCAATATTCCAGCAACATCACGGTGGGGGACACCAGAAATGAGTTTCACACATTGTACCCATGTGGGGAAATGAGGAAAGAACAAATAAATGAATTAAAATCATTTCAAATGTATCAACTTCCTGAACATGCATTTGGAAGGATAGCAGACATTACTTGTTTTATAAAGACCACGAATCAATGTTTATGAAGCTATAGCCACCTCAGGTACGTTATACTTTCTTTGTTTATCTGTTTGTTTATCAGAGCACTTATCGCTATTCCAGATATAGGGGTGGTGGGGTAGCATAGTGGTTAAAGCGTTCGCTCGTCACGTCGAAGACCCGGGTTCTATTCCCCACATGGGTACAATGTGTGAAGCCCATATCTGGTGTCCCCCGCCGTGATGTTGCTGGAATATTGCTAAAAACGGCGTAAAACTAAACTCACTCACTATTCCAGGTATATCAGAGCTAGATGACGATATAGTACATAAACTGTTGTTCTGAGAAGGAACTCTACCTGCCACGATGAGACCAATTGGCTGTCCACTGTACAGAACGCGCCCACTGCAGAACAGCTGGGAAAAATAAAGGGGGTGATGCATAATTTGTAACAGCTATAACTACGTTTTGAGAAATGTATTATCTTTAAACAACACAAAGGAAAAGTAAGTGCATATCACATAATATTCAATGACTTACAATTTCAAATTAAATTAATGATAAAACCAAATCTTGCTGCCATTAATCGATAGAAGTGGTTTCGAGGACATGAATTATTACTTATAAAAGTCGGAATGACGTTTTTCTCACTTTGTTTATTTCTGTCGAAAGTTGCATGTATGATCATACAGTCACATATCTATTCTGTTTATGGGAAACGTGAATACAGAATCGAAAATATTTTCTTATCGAAACTAAAGAACGTGTCCTGTTTTGCCATATGGTTTGAGAACATTTGAACGTAGCAATGGACTTACACGAGAATATTAACAGAAAGAAGAAGGAATAATTGTACACAGTTCTGAGCTACAGATAACCTTTTGGGTCATTGAGGTATGTACTCGCTTGTGTTCATCTCAATTGGGTATTCTAATTTTCATTTGAGTAAGCAAATAAATTGTCACTCAAACTCAATTGGGTATTTTGCCATTTTCCACAAAATGTAATTTTCTGAATAAAATTGATATTTTATACTTATCCTGACTCATGCTAATTGCTTGTCTCCCTTTCCTTCCGAATGCTAGTGGAACACTTGAATCCCCTTTTGAAGCTCCATTCAAAAAAGCGGACGTAAAATCACTTACCAGGAGTCATCTCCCTTCTCAGGTTTTGGCGGGAAACAGCGCCACCTGTCTCCCATGCTCCTCACTCTCTCCGTATTTTACAGCCCGACACACTGATTTACTGGGAAATCCAGAGTGCCTTTAGGGGAGGTTGGGAGGGCTCACCTCATGAGTCAGGATAAGTATAAAATATCAATTTTATTCAGAAAATTACATATTTTTCCTTATCCTGACTCATGCTTATTGCTTGTAGAATCCGACGGAGTTGGTGGTGGGTCAAGCCACTTCTGGATTCCTTAGTGATGAATTTACGTCCTATTTACCCCCCATGGGAACTTTTAATGGCACTGCTGCTGCTGTTGATCCATATGTTGAATTTTATCTGGTAAATTGGGGGGCCACAATATATCAAACTCTTCTGTAACCGTACATGTGGATTTCAACAACTCCAACTCTTGATGTTCGTATCAAGTGGAGCAGTGACCCTATCCGTGTACAAGTAATTCCTTACAAGTACAGGGTCGAAGTCCAGAGCTTGTATTTCTGACATCCGCACCGCTGTTGCCAAGGCGATCAGAAATAGCGTTTTCTGTGTAAGAAATTCGTAAGAAGTTCTTTCCAGTGGTTCGTACGCATCACTGGTGAGATGTCGTAACACCACGTTGAGATCCCAAGCCGGCGCTGTAATTTTCCTTTGTTGGTCTTCCAGTTTAAAAGAGCGTAGCAAGGCCAGTTACTCTGGCACTTTCGTCAGTTTCACGCCTGTCTTCATAGTGATAACTGAGCTGAGAGCTGCTAGGTATGTAGATAATGTCGAACCTTTTAATCTCTTTATTTGTCTGAGATGACAAAGATATTCCGCCACTTGAGGATGTGTTGCTTTCACTGCTGTGAAACCTTTCCTCGATGCATATTTCTCAAAGCTTTCCCACTTGTCGTCATACAAGTTACGAGTAGATCTACTCGTAACTGCTTTCGCTGCTCTGGCGGAGTATCCTCTTTTCGACAAGCAAGTCGTGATACGTTCCATACGTGTAGGTGGAATGATCTGGAATACTTGTGAACTTGCTTGGTGTGAGGATGAATAAGTAGGTTCGACCAAACTGGAAGTTGTATTGTTGGTTTTCCGAGTTCTTGTAAGAGAACGGGAAACCACGTTCTTGCCGGCCAGTAAGGCGCGACCAAAATCAGTTGTAGATTGTTTGTCTGCCTGATTTTCTGTAATACCTGTGGTATTAACGCTGGCGGAGGGAACGCATACGCGTTTAGTCCTTCCCATGGGATGCTTAGAGCATCTGTCGCCCATGCTTGCGGATCGGGAATTGGAGAGACGAATGTTGCCAGTTGATTGTTGAATCTTGTGGCGAATAGGTCTACGAGTGGAGATCCTATCGTCTGTATGATGCATCTGAATGCTTGTGGATGTAACATCCATTCTGTTGGGGGTGGTTGATGTGGTCGAGATAGCGCATCTGCTATTACAATCCTGGCTCCCGGAATGTGACATGCTTTCACATAAATGTTCAGATTGTCTATTATGTTGCATAGTTAAAAGCTTAGGTCTAGAAGATTCCAAGATCTCGTTGATCCTTGTTTGTTTATGTAGAACGCCACTGTTGAGTTGTCCGTATGGATCATCAATTTTGCGTTTCTTAGTATGTTGGACCAATGTAGTAGGGCATTTACTACTGCTTTCATCTCGAGCATGTTGATATGCAGATTCATTTCTTGTTTCAACCATTTCCCCGGCAGCCACTTCGTTGTTGAGGTGTGCTCTCCATCCTTGCAGTGATGCATCTATGTAGAGGTGGACGTTGCACTCCGGCTCTATTAAGTAATTTCCGCCGCAAACATTCGACTTCTGAGTCCACCATAGTAGGTATGGTTTTAGTCTGTCTGGTATTTCGAAAGGATCCAGACTGTGTAAGTGAACGTTCACAAATCTCTGTAGTGGACGCAGTTGTAGTCTCCCTCTGTGCGTCATGTCTTGAGCTGACGTGAGGAGACCTAATAGGCTCTGCCATTCTCGTAGTGGTAACGGAGAGAGTTGAACTTGAGAGATCATTTGTTGAATCTTGATCCAACGATCCTCTGGAACGAAAATCCGATTCTTCGTTGTTATAAGCCATATTCCTAGGAATTGTAAGTCCTGAGTAGGCTCTAGGTCCGAATTGAGGAGATTTACTAGCCATCCTAGTTGAGTGAGAAGTCTGATGGAGAAGTTCAGTTGCAGTCTGAGTTGACTGGGATCTTGCTGAGCTTGAACCCCGTCGTCTAGGTAGAACGTACTGCGTAGACCTCGACGATGTAGATATATATTGATGGGCTATGTCACTCGAGTAAACAACCAGGGGGCCGACGATATTCCAAATGGCAGGACCTTCCATTGGAAATGACATCCGTTGAACAGGAATCGAAGATATTTCCTTGACTCCGGATGGATCGGGATGTGTAAGTATTCATCCTGTAAATCTATGCTGGCGAGGTAGTCTAGCGGACGTATGAGATGTCGTAGTTGTGGTAGATGTATCATCTTGAACTTTGTGGGTGTTAGCAGGTAATCTTTGTTGAATTTCCTCATGTTGTAAATGAGTCGGAACTTTTCTTTTGAGTTTTTCTTTGGTACCAGAAATATTGGGGAGTAAAAACCTGGTGTGATGCAGTCCTGTTTTATCTCTGCTATTGCCTCTTTCTCTAGTAGAGATGTGATGGCTTCTAGTAGATTTCCCTTCTGGTCTGCAGCGCAGTTGTAACCAGTGGGTTGATTGTTACTGGTGGTACTGCTTGTAGCTGTATCCTGTAACCTTTGTGTAGAATCTGAGATACGAAGTCGTCTTGAAGAATTCCCCAATTCTTCCAGTAGAGTTGCAGACGTCCACCCACTTGTGAAAGTTGTACTGGACTGGCTGGGGGTGGAAGACTCCAGTCGTTCCGAACCTGTTTTTCATCGTCTGGAACTTCTGGCACCTCGAAAGGGCCGACCTCTTCCGTAGTTACCTCTTGGAGCTGCGGATGGGCAACGAAAAGAATCCTTATTCCCTCTAGCGTTGCCTAATTTCTTATCCCTTGCTCTCTGGATTCCTGCAAACTTTGATTTGCCGGAATAACGTTGGGAGGTCTGACGTATCACACTGGCCAGTGTATCAATAGACTTGATCATCATCACCTCTCTGGAATCTTTAGCAACTTCTTTGGCGACTTCATCAATTTCTCTTGCGAAGATGGATGGTGCTGACCAGGGGGCTCTGTAGAGTGTCTTGGTACAGGAAGATAACAGTCCTTGCCTTCTTGATAAGGTTAAGCCTGCAGAAATGGATGATAGGTGTTCAGACATGAACTGATGATCCTTTTTCTGTGTGAGTAGAGCTGAATAAATCATTCGATCTTCTGGTTACTGTGTCTAACTGTGCCAACTTTTTATCTTCTATCTTGTAAGATTTCGTCCGAGAGGTTGATGATCTTGTAATTCTCATCTATCTCTGGAGCCTTCATTAAGTGTTCCATGTGGTGTAGAGAGAACTTCTTTGCGTTGAACGACGGAATACTCTGAGACTGGTATTTAGTTGCCTTCTTGAAGGCTGTGCTGAGGTTGTCTGGAAAGTCTGAGACAGGGTCGATAGGTGGCATCGTAAGTGTGTCTATATCATCATTCAACATAAAGTATGATAGTGCTTCATTGGTCTCTTTGGAGGGTGATGCGAGTTCCAAACCGTTGGCCATCCATGACTTGATTTCCGAGTCGGAAAATATAATTCCGCCGTCATCTTCCTGCTCTGAGGATAGATGTCTTCTAGTGTCGTCTGAACGAGGAGATCTGTATGACGATCTATGTGGTGACCTGCGTGGTGATCTGTATGGAGACCTGCGTGGTGACCTTCGTGGTGAACCATACATTCGTGAATGTGTTCGTGACTACCTTCGTGGGGACCTGCGTGGAGATAGAGATGATTGTGCGCGCTTTCGCGCGAACCTGTGTGTAGGTGAACGGCTTTGTCGAGGGTGAGTCTTCTGACGAATCCCTGTGCCTTCGTACGTGTGTTGATTCTCTTCTCCTCGGTAACGAACCGTTACGTGCAGGTTGGTGACGAATGTCCGTATCTGAAGTCGATGATGATCTACGTGGGTTCGGTGAACGTCTAGTCCTTCCGCCGAACGTAGTCGGTGCAGGTTCTACGTTGGACTGGCTGCCAGATATTCGTGCGGACGTGGAATCTTCATGTACGCTCTGCAGGACGTTGGTTCCCAACGGACGTGGTGTGCAGCTCAGTTGACCTTCACTCGGGTTCGTCGCAGACGTTGTCTTCGTCGCAGCTCTCTCGCGTGCGAACCGTTGTTCCATCAGATCCAACATCTGTCGGGTAAATTGCTGCATAAAGGCGCCCGGGTTGAAGGTCTGCGTTGTCTGTTGTAACGACGACGCATCTGAGACGGATGAGGCTTCTTCCGAAGGGCGTTGAACCTCTCTGCCGAACGTCTGCGTTGAAAGTTTGTACTGCGTGGTCACGGTAGAAGACGCCTTCGTCTTCTTCTTAGATTTGATCTCAGGGATGAGGATGGGCAGCTTATCGTAGACATCTATTTCTTCCAGAGGGACGATCTCAGCTGAAAAAGACCTTGTTTTCTGCGTTGCCCCATGTGGAGGCTTCGACGAAGTCTTAGTTGTAGCCGACTTCTTCCTCTGGGAAGATGATGCCTTAGTCTTCTTAGACTGCGATGAGGAATTATCAGATGTAGATGACATCTTTCTCAAGCCAGCGTTGTCTACGGCGGCAACCTCCTCCGTAGACGACCTCGGTAGACCACTGGAATGGTGAATCTGGGCAGACACCAACTGCCGGTCCTCTGCAAGCTTAGCCGGTTTAGACATGTCGTGTAAATCTCGTCTGGACCTGTCCTTTGCACGTCTAGACAGATATGAATATTTGTAAAATCCAATATCAGACAGGTGAAAACACAACTGACAACGAGAGTCAGATAAACATACGGGCTTGCAATTAGGACATTGGTTTTGTGGATCATCAGCAGACAATCGATACCTACAACCAGAACAAGATTTCATCAATTGTAAACAATGTGAACAGTCACGTAAAAATTCCGTAGAATATTGTAGGTAAACGTTAACTAAAGCCTTATACAGCTAATTTAGAAGAAAGGCCTAAATAATAAAAGGATAAAATGCCGTATAGGGGAGCAGTTGCTCTCACAACCGCCCACTCGGGCGAATCAGGAGAGAGTGAGGAGCATGGGAGACAGGTGGCACCGTTTCCCGCCAAAACCTGAGAAGGGAGATGACTCCTGGTAAGTGATTTTACGTCCGCTTTTTTGAATGGAGCTTCAAAAGGGGATTCAAGTGTTCCACTAGCATTCGGAAGGAAAGGGAGACAAGCAATTAGCATGAGTCAGGATAAGGAAAAATTTGTAAAAATAAGGTAAAGTTTAAATGTCGGTCTACGTGTTTGTTATATAACTTTTATCTGTAACATGAGAAACGATTAGAAAGACTGCAAGCTGCCAAGTTCATGTGCTGAAATAGAACCTCTCAATATACCCCAAATATTTGATCTATTTTGGTGTGTACACATGTAAGATCAAATTTAATGAGTATTTACAAAATTTCAAGCGTACTTGTACGCAAAAGACTTAGTAGGAATTGAGTTTTCACATAAATATATATTTGCGTAATTTACGCAGATACGCAGCTTCTCTGTACCTCTAACAGTTTTTAGTGTAAATGTTGCCAGTACCTCCTCAACACCGCCAGGTGGTCCCCTGAAATTGTTCCTTGAAGCTGGTATATCAGCTGCAGATATGTATTTAATCACTCCAGGGTAGGACTGTAGAAGCAAAGACAATATCAAATATGTTATAAATAATTTTGACATTCCCGTCTTCACATTTGTTGGAGCCATGTATGTTTACCTGTTAAAGAATTGATACAAAACATTGCAGAAAAGCATCACTTGCATAAGCCAAAATTCGTGGGTTTGAATTTCACATTTCGGCATGATGTTGGTCTAGATGATTCCTGATTTGTGAGCATCTTACACATGACATATAAAAGTATTAACATTTATTACCGCTGCTCCAAGCATTTTAAGCATATGCACTTGACAGAAAAGAAGTAGAATTCAAGGTCATTTTATAATCGGTTATTCTCACTCAATGCTGTACACAGTACTGCAAAGAAAACACTAAAATGCCTTCTTCCAATCAAGCCAACCTTTCTTCGTTGACTTTGTGATATGCTACCTTTAAATTTTTAGGGCACAACAGGACCAAGATCTACTTTAAACGGAAAATGACTAAATGAAAAGCCCATCCTGTTCAGATCATATGTGTTTAGTACAATTTAGTACTAATGAGCACCTCATCCACCAAAGTCATCCTACACTTGTAGTGCAAGTAGCGTCTAATATTAGCTTGCAGTGGTCGTAACGCTGAGAATATAACAATATTTTGACAGCAGAGCCAGAATTTCTCCAAGACGGTTGAAATGCAAATGCGTTCATGATTTTACAACAAAAAGTACTGTTTGTTCATATCATGATTAACACCTAAACCCGGTGGACTTAAAAACTTCATTATAAATATCTATGAGTCATTAATTTAATCTGTGTGGGTTACCATGGCCACAGAGGTGTCGACAGTGTCGATGTCGGCGTTGCCAACGCTGCTGATGACGAATGCTGCACACACTTCATTTGGAACTGGAGGAATGTCACCAACGTACTGGACCCGCCCTGAAGTCTGAAACATTATACCTGGAATGTCACCAACATACTGGACCTGTCCTGAAGTCTGAAACATTATACCTGGAATGTCACCAACGTACTGGACCTGTCCTGAAGTCTGAAACATTACACCTAGAATGTCACCAACATACTGGACCCGTCCTGAAGTCTGAAACATTATACCTAGAATGTCACCAACATACTGGACCCGTCCTGAAGTCTGAAACATTATACCTGGAATGTCACCAACATACTTGACCCGCCCTGAAGTCTGAAACATTATACCTAGAATGTCACCAACATACTGGACCCGCCTTGAAGTCTCAAACATTATACCTAGAATATCACCAACATACTGGACCCGCCCTGAAGTCTGAAACATTATACCTAGAATGTCACCACGTACTGGACCCGTCCTGAAGTCTGAAACATTATACCTAGAATGTCACCAACATACTGGACCCGCCCTGAAGTCTGAAACATTATACCTAGAATGTCACCAACATACTGGACCCGCCCTGAAGTCTGAGACATTATACCTAGAATGTCACCAACATACTGGACCCGCCCTGAAGTCTGAAACATTATACCTAGAATGTCACCAACATACTGGACCCGCCCTGAAGTCTGAAACATTATACCTAGAATGTCACCAACATACTGGACCCGCCCAGAAGTCTGAAACATTATACCTAGAATATCACCAACGTACTGGACCCGTCCTGAAGTCTGAAACATTATACACCTCAGAGGTGAAGTGGATGAGACAAGGAGATGACATTTTGACGAAAGGGTTCAATGATCGTTCCATTGACATGGGATAACAGTTGTCTCAGTACAAAATAGGATCAATTTCCTAATCATAGAAGATATTGATATTGTCTTGTTTTATGTTTTTGCTAAACGTGTCATTCAACAGTATTCCACCTATGTGAAGGCAGTCTGTAAATTATGGAGTTATCACATAAACCTGTGATTGACATCGTGAGCATAGATCTGTGCAATTGGGATACGATGACATGTGTCAGCTAGTCTTACCACCCGATCCCGTAAGTCGCCGCTTACAAGAGTTGGAACAAAGAGAATATATTCATAGCTGTATAGGGAGCATATACAATTGACAAGGTTGATCTACATAGGATTACTATAGTGATTTGACCAGAGTAGGTTGAGGTGAGGTGAGGTGAGGTGAGGTGAAATGGGTTTAACGTCGTGCTTGAGAATATTTCGCTCATATGACGACGTGCATGCGTGTGTATGTGTGTGTGCGGCTGCTTGTACTAGCCCAGACTGAAGCTGGTTTTATAGTGCTAGCCCACTGAGATACCATGCCGCAGTGAAGCATGAATACCCCACTCAGACACATTATACTGACTCCGAGCCGACCAGTCCTTGCTGTACCCATTAATGCCGAGCGCCAGGCAGGGACCAACCAGTACCATATTTTAACGTCTTTTGGTATGACGCGGTCGGGGATCGAACCCGCGACCTTCCACTCTCCGGGCGGACGCTCTAACCACAACACCACGGAGGCGGTTAACATAAGAAGGTATCAAAACGCATATGCCTATCCTATATTTGGGTGACAGCTGTTTTCATATGCTAGTGAAAACACCAACCTGTAAGTCTGCATCAGCCTTTACCATTGGCTTAGTCAGGGGATATTCGTCTTTACGGGTGTCATATGTCTGAGTGCCTGAAGACACGGGCCGTATCAAGTTGGTGCCTCCACTCTGGAATCTTGCCGCTGCTTTCTCACCACACATGCCGAGCACATACTGAAGAATAGAAGGGGATGAGGTTTTTGTACATAGTACAATATTCGAGTCCCGTTACGCATGCATGAGTTCTAGCGTCTCTCCGACATTAAGAGGACAATCTGTGCTTGTGGTGCTTTGGAACATGCTGAGAACATGATGAAGGAAAGAACAGAGCGTGTACCACTCACTGATGCCGAGGTAGGACACATTTTTGTTCAGCGTGGAGAGGTACCAGAAACCCAATATACACTAAACGCCAAAAGACACGTTACCCTCCTACATTTATGAATTACTTAAAAACCATCAAAGATATGTTAGAAGGTATTAGTTTACAAAAAAGCTTAACAACACAGCGTTATGCAAATCACAAAAAAATTCTCAAATACATTCATAATTAGGTGAAATGCATCTTGTGCAGAAGAGTTGTCCTATTTTCGTCCATGCCGAAATAAACCAATAACAGTGATTTAGATGTCCAAAAGAAAGGTTGAAATAAAATTCTGGTTTGAGACAAAGATAAACCATTTAAAGTCACCATTATTCAACTATTAAAACAGGAAACAACCGTTGTAGAGTGTGTAAAATTGTAAAATAATCATTCCTATGATTTCAGTCTTTTAAAACATTTTCTGCTGATTTGCATTAGTGAAAACAAGTAAAACGTGTCTTTGATATTGTGAAAAATGTTTAGGAAGACCTAAAATTATCTTTGTTAACATTTTTGCTTGCAAAGTAACATTTTCCCACTTTCTGTTTACACAGAGCAATATCAATCGCCAAAGCGCAGCAATATCCAAGCAGTATTTGCATCCATTTGACATGTAGAATGATTCTATAGTGTATAAAGAGAGCCTAGAATGCATGATATGATACACAAGTACAAGACATTTGCCACGATTAACGGCTGAAGAGAGAGAAAGAGCCATTGGGATGGTGCAGATAGGGTCGACATACAATGCTGTTGCCAACGTCCTCGGATGCCATCGTATCACGGTTGTAAGACTTATTCAGGGCTTCAGACAGACTGGGGTCCCCGTAGACAGACCAAGAAGTGGACGTCCACGCATCACAACGCCAGCTGATGATAGGTACCTCCGTCATTAAGGAAGGAGGGTAACGTTTCTTTTGGCGCTTAGTGTATTAACGCACTAGATTTATATACGCAGGACATAACCCTATGTTCGTGGGTTGACAAATTTGTACTCCACATAGGTTTACAGCTAGGGCTGGCTATCGATATAGATCAGAGATTGATATTCGTTAACACAATATTGATCAATTTAATACATATCGATGACCTTGGAGCAATAATGTCAGAAAGAAATGATCATATTTAACATTACTGGCGAGCTGTGACAAGTTTTTGCATGGAATATTAACAGAACAGTGTCCGGAACATAATTTAAAAGAGGACCATAAATAAAGTCATACATTTGCATATAGTGTGAGTTTTTACTGTCAGACAAGTTAATGTACGATATTATCGGTAACACAATTTTCTTATCGATAATCATCATTAATCTTTCCTATCGGCGATATTCCGATTATCGATAATTTTAGTCAGCTCTAATAACAGCACCATACCAACTCTCAGGGGTGGTGGTGCTAATGTTATAAGTCTCAGACATGTATTACCTCTGGCTTTCTTCCCCAAATCAACAGAATATATCTGCTGATTCGTTAACAAGCAGCAATATTACTGAATCATTGTTAACCCACGCCATTCTCAACTCATTCTGGGGCTTTGGTATCACCCTCTGTACACAGATGTAAGTTAGGAAGTGATGTGATGTATTCACGGGAAATTCACATTTCCATAGTAACATCGGTTGTATACTTCCAAGGAAGCTGAGGATTAATTTGACTTCACGTGTCTGTTAACAAACAACTAAGTGGCCAATGACTATACTAACTCACGGGCACAGAGGTCCATGTAGCCGTTCCATGTTGCACCCTAGAATCCTATGATCGTTCCAATCTCCTATGCTCGATCATGGCCTTAGTTTGTCAGCGCTCTGGGTTTTCACCAAAGAGGTAAACGGCTAAGAACTGTATCACTTCGGGCTTCTCAAATTGTCGCTAACTAAATTATTTTATTTTAATTCAGTCAATAAAAATGTGTTTGAATCAATGATATTTGTACATGCTAATATATTTAGGTATTTGTGACTAGATACAATGAGACTGTAAAAATGTAATTTTCTGATTAAAATTGATATTTTATACTTATCCTGACTCATGCTACTTGCTTGTCTTCTTCTTCTTGCGAACACAGTGGAACACTTGTATCTCCCAATTGAAGTTCCCTTCAATGTAAAATCACTAATTAGTACTCACCACGAGTTATCTGTCCCCTCATAAGCGCGGGAACGAGGGCGCCACCTCCTGCCATGTGCCTCACTCTCTCCTTTTATAGCGAGCCCAACACTTGAATTTTCAGGGAAATCCAAAGTGTTATGTGGGGAGGACGGGAGGGCTTACCTCATGAGTCAGGATAAGTATAAAATATCAATTTTAATCAGAAAATTACATATTTTTCCTTATCCTGACTCATGCTACTTGCTTGTAGAATCCGACGGAAACGGAAACGGAGGTGGGAATACAAAATACTTTGGATTTTAGATAATTAGTGATTTCTGTAATGACTGTAATAACCCTTATGGGAACTTCATAAAGGCACTGAATTGATGAATTCCTGCTGCTAAATTATCAGCTGCCCTATATGGGTTATTACAATATAAATATTAAGATAAAAGTATATATAACATGAATACTATGCTTAAGACTAAATAGACTTAAGCTTGACAATATGATAGCATAAACTTCATAGAGTTTGTTAGCTAATATACTTTTATGATATAACTATAGTACTGAGCTTAAGATATGATTAAACTTAAGCTAAAAATATAATAGCAACAAACTCCGAGTTTGTTAGCTAATATACTTTTATGATATAACTATAGTACTGAGCTTAAGATATGATTAAACTTAAGCTAAATATATAATAGCAAAAAACTCCGTAGAGTTTGTTAGCTAATATACTTTTATGATATAACCATAGTACTGAGCTTAAGATATGATTAAACTTAAGCTAAATATATAATAGCAACAAACTCCGTAGAGTTTGTTAGCTAATATACTTTTATGATATAACCATAGTACTGAGCTTAAGATATGATTAAACTTAAGCTAAATATATAATAGCAAAAACTCTGTAGAGTTTGTTAGCTAATATACTTTTATGATATAACCATAGTACTGAGCTTAAGATATGATTAAACTTAAGCTAAATATATAATAGCAAAAACTCTGTAGAGTTTGTTAGCTAATATACTTTTATGATATAACCATAGTACTGAGCTTAAGATATGATTAAACTTAAGCTAAATATATAATAGCAAAAACTCTGTAGAGTTTGTTAGCTAATATACTGTTATGATATAATAACCATAGTACTGTGCTTAAGATAATAAATGAACTTAAGCAAAATATTTATATAGCATATAGCTATTTAGTACTATTATAAGATAAGTAGTAAAATCTGTAAGATTGATTTATCTTCTCCGAGGAACTGTCAACTGTTGTGCGAGGACCATGGGACCGAAATGGTGGATACCTGAGACGTCCTCGGTGGTGATATCTCTCAGATAATGGTTGGCAAACACCATATCGGATCTCCAGAAACAACCCTCCATTATGGTATTCAAAGAGCAGTTGCCGTGAAGAGCAAGTGTAGATGCTAACGCTCTAATTTCATGAGGATTAGATGCTCTTGGAGGGTCGAGTCCTGCAGCCTTGTAGGCACGTAGTATGACAGTTCTGATCGAAATGGAGATAGTAGTACGTGAGACTTCAGTCTGCGTAGCTGTTGATAGAGGAATAAATAATCTCTTGAATTTTGTCTCCTCTGTTTGGATCGGTGGAGATATATTTTCAGTGCTCTTACTGGACATAGTGATAGATCCATCGTATCATGAGGTCCAAGTATAGATGAGAGAGCTGGGACGTGAAATAACCTGTCTGGTTGGCCTGGTAATTGGTTCTTGGCGATAAATCCCAACGTAGTCCCATATGCACGATGTTATGAATGTCATCAAAGCGTGTTCTCTCGTAATCCAATGCGTGAATCTCTGACATCCTGGCAGCCGTAGCTAGAGATAACAGGAACCAAGTTTTCTGAGTCAGAAATTCGAACGATGTAGATTCTAATGGTTCATATGCCTCACTTGTGAGGTGTTGGAGCACTATATTTAGATCCCAAGCTGGAGCGTGAAATCTGCGTTTCTGATCCTCCAATCGGAATGCTCGTAGTAAGGCGAGTAACTCTGGGGTCTTGTTTAGCTTGACACCCGTTCTCATAGTTATGACCGAGCTTATTGCTGCAAGATAAGTAGATAAGGTGGAGCCTTTTAGATTATTAGTCTGACGTAGATAACATAAGTAGTCAGCCACTTGAGGATGAGTAGCATATCTAGCTGTAAATCCTTTCTTTGCAGCATAATTGACAAAACTGTGCCACTTGTCATCGTACAAGTTGCGAGTGGAGTTACGCAAGGCAAGGGTGACTGCTTTCGCCGCTCTGGCTGAATAACCTTTTTTATTTAGACACGCCTTAATACAGTCCATACGTGAAGTTGGAATGCTTTTGGCTTTCCGTGTGCTTGTTTGGTGTGCAGATGTATTAACAGATTCGGGCACTTTGGAAGTTGTAGTATTGGTTGTCCGATTTCTTGAATAAGAGTAGGAAACCACGTTCTCACTGGCCAGTAGGGCGCTACCAAATCAGTTGGATTTTGAGTAACACTTGTGGGATTAACGCTGGCGGTGGGAACGCGTACGCGTTGAGTCCTTCCCACGATATGCTTAGTGCGTCCGTTGCCCATGCTAGTGGGTCTGGAACTGGCGATACGAATGTTGTCAGTTGATTGTTGAATCGAGTGGCAAATAGGTCTATGAGTGGAGCATCCATTCTGTCGGCGATGGTAGGTGTGGCCGAGAGAGAGAGCGTCTGCTATTACATTCTTTGCTCCTGGAATGTGACATGCTCTGACATGTATGTTGAGATTGTCGATTAAAATCGAACAATTGAAAACATAGAGTCAATAGGTTCAGGGACCTGGTTGAGCCTTGTTTGTTCACATAAAACGCCACTGTCGAATTGTCTGTGTGAATCATCAACTGAGCATTCTGTAGTAAGTTGCTTCAGTGCATTATGGCGTTTATCATTGCTTGCATCTCTAGCAGATTTATGTGTAATTTGCTCTCTTGATTGCTCCATAGCCCTGATGCCGTCCTGTTGGCGAGATGGACTCCCCAACCTTGTAGTGACACGTCTACGTAGAGATGTGTTTTCAATTCCGGCTCTATTAAGGAGACGCCTACGCAAACATTCGATCTCTTGGTCCACCATAGTAGGTGAGGTTTGACGTGATCCGGTAGACTGAACGGTAGAGAGTCGTCGAGATGCGAATTGATGAGGACTTGTAACGGACGTAATTGTAGTCTGCCTCTGACTGTCATGTCTTGAGCTGACGTGAGTAACCCCAACAGGCTCTGCCACTGTCGTAGTGGTAGCGGAGAGAGTAAGGCTTGTGGGATTGACTGTTGGATCTTGATCCATCGGTCCTCCGGTACAATTATACGATTCTGCGCCGTTACAATTCAAATACCTAGAAATTGCAGATCTTGCGTAGGTTCTAGGTCCGACTTAAGTAGATTTACTAACCATCCTAGTTGTGTTAGTAGCTTGATGATGAAGTTCAACTGTAGTCTGAGACGCTGTGGATCTGGATCCACTTGTATCCCGTCGTCGAGGTAAAACGCGCTGCGAAGTCCTTGACGATGTAGGTGAACAACCAGGGGTGACTGCCATCGTTGAACTTTATGTAAAAAATCGCCTGACTGCCGTGCCCTCGTCCTTACTTGACAGGGGAGGTCTCTAACCTCATGAAGGCAGCCCAATCATGAAGGTTCAGTTTAACTGGACTGTATGGAGGCTTTGCTCGTTCACTGATATGTTGTTGTCACTTGCAACCTATGTCTTGAACTGTGAACTATGATCGACCTCTGCGTAGGGCGTTGTCCCTCGCGGTCCAATCAGAACAAGGCATTTTGATTCTGTAGTGTACCCGCGCTGTGATGTCACCGGTGTAGCAGGAAAAGGAACCTTGTATAATTTAGTGCCGTCGTTGATATTAGATCAATCGTCGGTCTTGTCCGTAACTTCCCGAAGTTACACGAGTGACCACGTGTTTCGAGGGTTAATGGTAAACGCGCGAATCTTTCGGCGCGAATTACCTCGCCCTGTAATATTAATGCTGGGTAGGTTATTTTCCTGGCTGCTGTGAATGTAACTTCAGTCTTGAAGATAATGCCGACTTCCTTATATATAGGCTCAATAAAACTTGCAAGTTGTCAGCTTGTAGACTGCATACATCAATGCAGCGTCATAATTGTAGAATTAATGCTGAACTTGTTGTACATATTTCTTCTCAGGAATTCGTTGACGATTATGTGTTTTACTCGCTGTAATAAGGCTGCTGCTCAATTCCGTTATTGAATTGTCTGCAGATCTGCGTAGTGGTCAACTTGGTGTGACTATGGCGCCTTGCATGTAGATAATCGTATCGTAGTCCGGGATTGCATACCTAGCAATATATACGGAAATGGTGATTCCTGTGATGATCTGCGAAACGTCGTTGATGCCCTTGATGTAGGTAGTCGGCCTGAAGATCCTTAATTAGGCTCTTCATCTGTAAATAGTACTTCACGTAACTATATAACGTTCAAGTTAAAAAGTTAAGTACTGCGACATCTCTGTCTTGTGGATGTCTGTGCGAATACCTTCGCGCAGGCTCGGTAATTCACGTAGGCTTGTAGACGGCATGTGGCATACAGTTGATAGACAAGTACTGCGATGTCTCTGCTTCGCTGGATACTTGTGTGTAAATCGGCGAGGGGATCGACGTGGTGAATAGCCCGACGAACTGTAGGGTGACCTGTAGTTTCGCTAAGGTCATAATGAATCCCTCGACAAACTATAGGACGAAGATGTCTTGAACGGACTGACGAGTGGCTTCTATAGGGAGACCTTCGTGGAGACTTCCTTGGCGAACGATGGTGGCTTCGTGAAGCTCTCGGTGAATCCCTTATAGATCTTCTGAATGAAGATGACTTGGAGCCACTTAACCTTCGTGAAGGCCTTCGTGAAGGTATCGAGTCAGAGTCCGAATCATTAGATAGGAGCTTGCTTCGCGAACGACCTCTGTGTTCTTCAGGGTCTGAGCTCGGTGAAGCACTCCTCCTCCGTGAAGCCTTTCGCGAATGGTGAGGATCTGGGTCCTTCGTGGAGGCGGACTGGGACGTCCTTCGCGAAGGCTTCGATACGGGCTGGGTTGCCCTTCGTGGAGGCGCGTCTGTGGGCTCTGGGGCCCTACGCGAAGTCAAGCAAACGGGCTCTGGGGCCCTACAAGACTGTAAGTGGGTTGGGCTCTGGGGCCCGCGGCTCTGAGGCCTCTGTAAACCGTATCGATCTTCCATCAACATCATAATCTGGCTGACCAGGTCGTCTGGGACGGTCTGCGCTGATGTAGACGCTGCCCTCTGTATGGTAGCGACGGGACCCTCAGGTAGATTCTCTGCCGTCAGTGTAGGCATCTCTAGCTGCGTGTTGATCTGCGCTGAGGTGACGGTAGCCGATACTGGTCGCTTCTTATGCCGTATATCTGGAATGATGATCGGTAGATCGTCATCATATAAGCCCAATTCTGAAACAGGAAGAATGTCAGATGAAAAATTGTTAGTAGTCTTCGTAGGTTTCACTTTCGACGAAGATGTAGCCCTGGGGGTGCGGAGCGTACGTTGTGACGACGTAGAAGCTCTCCTGGTCTTAGACTGGGACGACGGGATGTCCTGGGATGCAGGTCGCTTCTTGGAGATAGCGGACTGCGTCCCACGCTTCTCCCCCGAGGGCAACTCAAGCGGAACACCAGACGGTAGGGGGTCATCCGCCAACAGTTGACATGGTATATCAGACTCTGATCTATTAGCCATGACTGAAGACTGTTTCCGTAATCTATCTGCTGCGCGTCTCAAGACGCAAAATAAATATTTATCAAAGGCAGAATTAGATAATTTAATACGATGATTGCAACGTGAAACAGTAGAGCATGGCGTAATACAACTAGGGCATATTAAATGCGGATCAGCAGCAGAGAAACGTAATTTACAAACAGTGCAGATTTTCATTAGCGCAATCTACTGAGCAAACACGGCGAACCGTGAATAAAACAGTAGAAACACGAATAAATATCAATGCATCATGTATAAGGATACTAGTTACACCTCTGTAGATGATTATAAGAGGTAAAACAACTAAATATAAATAAAGCGATATAATGTGTAGGGAGACGTCCTGCTCCTGCACTGGGCGAAGAAGGAGAGAGTGAGGCACATGGCAGGGGGTGGCGCCCTCGTTCCCGCCCTTACGAGGGGACAGATAACTCGTGGTGAGTACTAATTAGTGATTTTACATTGAAGGGAACTTCAATTGGGAGATACAAGTGTTCCACTGTGTTCGCAAGAAGAAGAAGACAAGCAAGTAGCATGAGTCAGGATAAGGAAAATAATAATGTTATCAATATCACATCAATATGTGGGACGCAGATACCACTACAGAGAGGACTTCTAACCTGGAGATAAGTTAAACATCGAGCAACAGCGACAGACGCAATGATACGACTCAGTATGTCGACTGACCTTGTAGAATAGTGAGATGGCCAGGTTCTTTCTGTAGGCTGTACTCGACAACCCAGCTGTAGCGTCTGGGATCAACTCGGCAGATAGACTGGCTATTGCAGCTGAAGAAGGAAATAAGGAAGATGAGGAACGCACGTACATACCTTAATGTTTAAACCAGTAAACGGAGTACAAGTAGGATTCGTTATCATGCGTATGTGTACGTGTGCGTGTGTGCGTGTGCGTGTGCGTGTGTGTGTGTGTGTGTGTGTGGATGAGGCGACTGCGTGGTGCGTACATTCCTCATTGTTCAAAACAATAAACAGTAAATTTAGGATTCACTATCATGAGTGTGTGTGTGTGTGTGTGTGTGTGTGTGTGCGTTCTACTGTATCTTGGGTCTGTGTGTGTCTGATTGAGTGGATTGTGTGGTGCATGTGTAAGTTCGAGTGTCAATGTGTGAGTCTTTGTGTGTATATATCTGTAATGTATGAGTGTGAATTTTTCTCTCTCTCACTCATTAATGCACCTCTGAAAACATTCACGCATCACGTTTAGACAATTAACATAAAGCATTGCATAATTTTAATAACAATGTATTTGACTAACATCTCCAGCGGCAATATATCAGACACATATCAGCTCAGATTATTCATCGTAACCATCCGACCACGTTAACATAGTGCCATTTTAATCATCAGATCCCTTCACAGCAATATGACAACCAGTCAATACACAACTCGTACCATATTTGGTAAAAACATTACACAACAATACATCTTCATCATCAAATCTTCAAAGCATCTTGGGAACCTTACCTTTGAGAACCGATGCATCTCCTAGTTGTTTCCCTTGCAGAAATGCCTCTGTATTGCTTGCATGTACCTGGATATATCAACAAAAGTTACTGTTTAACCAATCATCAAACAGGGCAAATAAGGTCTTTATGTTTGAAAAATCTGTGAAGAAGGGTTAAGAAATTGTTAGTGATAGTGATCCTAGAGACAGTATCGTTGTCATTGACAATGACGATGACAATACGTCATCGTATTTCATTAACACAACATAGATCGAACATAGGTCTTGTTTGTGATGGAGTTACAAGACTGCATAGTTAGATGATTCAAACCTAACATGCTAAAATATCCCAAATAACAACAAAACCAACCCGTATTGATGTCCGGACTAAAACCCGTTGTCTGATCACGGTTATCGTGTTTTATTCTGATGATGTCCCTGTCCGTTGGTAGTTGTGACTAGCACTACATCTAAATAAATTCGTGTTTGCTGATTTTCACGTCTTGAGTATAAGGTCAAAAGACGGTGTAAATGTATGTACAGAGTCGTGCCAAAATTATTCGGCACTTTACGTAATTTCCATACACTTACATGTTATTTCAGTGTAGCATAAATAATTTTCATAAGGTGAGTTTAGGATGGATCTTTGTAAAATGTACAGTGAAATATAAAATCATCTCTGCTCTGCGCACATAATTTCATTTCAATTTTCCGAACAATATTTAACTAATGACATCACATTTATCAACTTACGAATGGTTCCAGAATGCACAATCCCATTGGCCGCCATATTAAAGGAGTTCACGGCACTGTACACATGTTGATTAAAATGTTGCCATTCGATAAATATGCAACGGAAAATTAAACAGAAATTATGTGATTGTAGGTAACATGATTACTCACAAATGTGAAACATTTAACTTGGATCTTACGGAAATTAAATTCTTGAAAATTATTTATGCTACACTAAATTAACATGTAAGTCTATGGAAATTACGTCAAGTGACGAATACTTTTGTCACGACTCATAAACTCCATGCTTTTACGTTAACGTGTTCTTGACTTACCAGTGTCTTGTTGATGCCGCCATACACCAGGGATGGTTTTGTCTTGACATTGAAGTTGTTGCTCCTGTTCAGCTGCATCCTGAAGCCTGCGTTCACATAGGCGTGGGCGTTCTAAAAAAAAGCAATAACTAATGAGTGAACTGATTGCGAACGCTACAAAGGGTGTTCCGCCAATAAACTGTGAACATATACCTGGTGCCTTGGGGTAATCTTGAAGGTCTTGACATAGACGTCTCCTGATGGGAATGTTGGAAGCGTGAGAGACAGGATGACCTTGCCCTTCATGTCTAGCTTCAGGAAGTCCATGAGACTGTATGACTTCTCGGAGCCATCACTCGATCCTACAATACAAGTATATTTCCATGGTAGAATATATTCTCACTTTAACCCGAACTGTAACGTTTTGAAATTGACATTCAGTGAACTTAACATTGCTTGTCAGTGATAGAAGAAAAAGCTGTTCGAAGCTGTTTATGGTATGTATTTGCACTCTAAACTATCCATATAAAACGATGGTATAGATATCACAATTTTCTATCCCTGATTTCAGCCTAAAGATTAGATACAGTTTCATATACTAGTACGTATACATAAATACATACACACTAACTGAAGACGATTTTACCATTGTTTATATGCTCATGATATAGTCCCAATTGTACAATCGACTCTGCTTTAAACAGAATTCTTATGAATGTGGAAAAGGTTTTGTCGCTTCTTTCATCTGCATATATTTAAATCCTTAAAGTTTCACATATGTACAGTTTGGTAGATTGAAGATTGCGATTTTTGCGATTAGTTCCAGTTGGTATTTAAACAAATTAATCTGACAATATTATGTCTGACGTATGTTTCAGTTGGCACTTTGTACTACTGAATACGCTACCAATGAACAATGGGCGGTTGGGTAGCCTTGTGGTTAAAGCGTTCGATCGTCACGCCGAAGACCCGAGTTCGATTCCCCACATGGGTACAATGTGTGAAGCCCATTTCTGGTGTTCCCCGCCGTGGTATTGCCTTAATATTGCTAAAAGCGGTGTAAAACCATACTCACTCACTCACTCACTCACTCACCAATGAACAGAGTTGCCCCGACTGTCTCTAACATGGTGAAAACATCAGACGGGAACTCAGTGTGGAGGTTCTTCAACATCAGGTTCCCGGCCCAGCTGCCCAACTGAAACAGGTGAAGTGTTCAGATAGTAACTTCCAGCCGACCCCCACGCCACACATGCACACGCACACGCACACGTACACGCACGCACGCACGCACGCACGCACGCACGCACACACACACACACACACAACAACCCGAAAACGCTCTGTATCAAGTTACAGGACAATATATAACGTTCAGCTAAGTTTATAATGGGTATGGAATTATATTTCAGAATCAAGGTGATGAAACGAAAAAGAACAATAATTCCACCATGTATTTCTGTTAAATATTTGCAAGGCAAATATGCCTATAACATACTTGAACATAAATGCCAAAATACGATATTTCTCGATTCTTAGTTCTGCTCTCGTTCCCTCCACTGAAATAGGTAGATGATATTTGTATGTGTAGTTTTACGTGCGTCGATCAAAAAGTACGTAGACTAACTGTATTCTCGATGTCCAATGTTTGAAAATCTTCCATTTTATTTTGAAGGAATCTTTAGCAAAGCCATATCCAAAATTGTACATATTTGGGTGATGTGGTTAACGAGATATTAGTCATCACAACACATTGGGGTATAATATTGCTAACAAAACTGCAGCAAATGAAAAACGATCTGTCATTTGGTACCTCTTGGATAATGGTATGCCCTCGGATATATCATATAAAATATGTTCAGTATAGTATTGGATGACTTCCCGTCACAATCAACAGTCAAAGATTTGGACTGCTTAATTCATATTTAGTCGAGGGCTGTTTTTTTAAGAAAATCCGATTTCAATCTTCCTAAAACATTGTGTACAGATATTCAAGCTGGTACTGTTTACAATATATTGTGAGCTGACACTTGTGTGACCATTCAGTGTTTAATTTGAACCCTTGGCATCATATATGGACAAATGAACACATTAGAATAAGTTATGTCCTTATGATTACGTCATCTGAAAGGGGATGGGTAGTGTCTCCAAAACAAGCTCGCTCAGTCAACATGAAGGGGGGAGTCACTTCAAACAAGCGATTGTAATTTCAAATTGCTTATTTATGAACTTTAATATCTAAGTATGATTCTAGGGGACTTCTATCAATCTCAAACACACAAAATATTTCTTGCATATTTTGTTTCCTGAGGTTTTTGATGCATTTATTGTAGATTTTGCGTTTTTTGAGGGGTACCAAGATAAAAGGTCAAACAAAATGGGGATCGTGAGACTGGAACATAGCAAAACCAAATTCCTTGAGCTTGACACATGATATGTAGAAAAATTAAAACACAACAATAACTGCATTTGTATCGTTTTCTTGGTGACACTACATACTTTTTGATCGCCTCTCGTAAATACGATAACGGTTGAACTTGAAGTCTGATAGAAACTCACCCTGCTTCACCTTCTAGTTTGTGTGGTCAACTGCCAGACACACACACACACACATAAGCATGAGTGCATAACATAGCAAATAGTACATAATGGAGTGATGGTATAAAGTTTTGTCTTACATTTCTCAGCCCGATGTTACCAATGTAGGCCACGTGGCTGGCGAAGTCCCGGAAGTACGACAAAGCAGGGTTGGTGCTGTTTTTCTCAAAGACTTCCAACATGTTGGTCAGAGTGATGCTAGGTCCAAACATCACTTTGGAGGATTCAATCTGTAACAAAGTAAGTATTTGGAAATATGAAGCTGGATACGTTGACAGTGTTTGGTGCGCTTTGAAGGAATCTGCGTAAACATTCGCTATTTGATATTTAATAAGCAAGTATTGTTGTTTTTTATCATCATGAAAATGGTTTTCTTGCTTTCTTTAAACCTTTTGTTTTTCTCATCAATACTCCTTACTTTTCGAGTTTGATATTGTTTGTCAGTACATTGCAAACCTACAGAAATGTCATAGAACTCCTGGATGCCACGCAGGTCAATGAGGACATTGTACATCCATGGACCGATTTCTTTGTAGACACCTGGAAGAAAAGTTAACAATGCCTAAGTTCGAGGGAGAGATGTTTATATCGGTATAGCTTAATCCAGTGCACAACGTGTCAGAAACTATTAAGGGGGTTGGGGTTGGGGTGGGGGCCAGAAACTGTCAGTCAAATGTACCGCAGTGTCACAAACTGTTAGTCAAATGTATGGCAGTGTAAGAAAGTGTCATGTCTATGGCAGAGTTGATGCAAAAGAGAAGCTGTTAATGGGCCTTATCATGGCAGTCTTTATCTTGGAATAAACTGAATAAACATATCATGAAATACCCATCGCAGACTCGTGTATTAAGAGTAGTCTCTTGGTCACCTAAGGCGTCTGCCCTACGTACTGGCATATCATCGATTGATTGTTACCATATCCTGAATTCCCAAACACGAGTTTCTGCGTTTCCTTAAAATACACGCTTGTTATTGGTCACAATTGTTTACCGAATCCTGAATTCCCAAACACGAGTCTGTAGTTGTCTGCCTGGTGTTGGCCGAGGAGGGCGTAGAGCTGCTGCCTGGTGGTGGGTTTGTACCACTGTGACCCCTGCAGCACAATGTTGAGGGGCACCTGCTCCAGGTCAGTCTGTCTCTCAGATGAACAGCGTCCTGTGCAGGTCTTCCCGGTTTTGCTGCATATCTTCTTGTCCAGTTCCTAGAAGTAACAACTGGTAACTAGTCATAGCTCTAAGTTTAAAAATAAAATGTGTGATAATTACAATTTCATGTATTGTTTTCCAAATAATGGGGATAACATTACTCTCAGATCCATTGGATGGATACTTATCAGCTACAGCTCGTGAATGACAAGAGTCATCCGTTCATAGTACCAAGCTACACCTGCATTGGGAACAAACGAATTTAAACACCGTGGCCTCTTGTGCGTTAAAGGAAATAGGGCACATATTTATAATAAGTACCATCTTCCAAACATCCTTGATAAACTTCATCACTGATAACAATAGCTGCATATTCGACAGCAACGAGGACATTTATACACAGGTAAAATCAACCTTATTGTCATTATCTTCATACCTATGTTTAACCAGATTGGGAAACGGAATATTTGAATGTATGAAGGAACGGACAAGAACCAACCTGTTCAAAGTGAAAATGGGTACCATTGTCCATATCCCTGTTTTCAACTACAAATATGGTGTCATTTGATGTTATTTTTACTTTATTGATGTCATCAACCCATATCATTATGTGCTTGAACATATCTATGACTTGGAATTTATATCTAAGTAAGTACCATTACAAAGTCACCCTGAAGAACTGGGAGCAATAGAATATTATTATACATGTATATGAAGATGTCCCTATTCACCTCAATGTCAATAGCACCGCCAGGCAGGGTTGGTGGAGCGTCTGAGGCAAAGGACTTCATGGCATCCAGAATTGGGCGATAGCCTGAGTAGAGAAGAACGTGTATATTTATTATATTCCGGTATGATTGGAACACTCTAAAACGTATTTATCTTTATAAGGTTACTTTTTTGTCAAAGATGTTGTCTGTACAGAGAACGGACAAGGCGATTGTATAATTCTACTTGTATGCTTGGCAGCATATCAAAGACGTTTAATTTAACGTCACATCGGCAATATTTCAACCATATCGTGACGAGGATTTGAATAATAAATAAAGACGTATTAAATAAAGTCAAATTATAAAACCCTGTCAACGAAGGACAGTACAATAACTAGAGCATCACAGATATAGATATAAAACTAGTATGAAAAACTAAAAGCGTTTAACTATAGAAGTCATTACAATATAAAAACAGGCTATATATTGCCAGCAACTGAAGATATATCACCATATTAGGGACTATGGGGACTAACAGTACATTTGCTAAACGACCAAGATGTAGACTCCGTAGATTATTCAGATATGTTTAGTAAAATTTGCACCTGTGTACAAACACACATTCTAAAACTAGATGTCAACTTCAACATGACATCATGTACAATGTACTGAAATCTTTAATTCGTATGACGAAGTCTGGTTCGCAAGGTTTCTTTCCTATATTTCCAACAAGCAGCGCTAGCCTTTTAGTTGACGATGGCGAGGTGGTATAGTTTAAACATGTCGTGTGTCAAATGGATATTCTAGAGAAGGGCGTGTATATTTATTTACATTTTTGTATGCCAACAAAACTTTCAGATTCATTCAACGGCACATGTATACCTTGCAAGCGAAATATGATGTCTTAAAAAGGAAACTGACATTATGATTGAATAATTGTACGTTATATTCTTGGAAGAGAATCAAGGACAACCAAGTGGTCTTCCACAACATATTCACGTATTTCGACTTCTGAAGCACAAATCAACATCCTAAAAACACTTATAGAATAGAGTCAAACAGATTGTAGCGGCCATAAAATTTCCGAGTCCCGTACTGGGATTCGAACCACGGACCTTCTGATCAGAAGTCGGATGCCTTGTCCACATGACCAAAGAGGTTAACTCCGTCAGCAAGCTGACAAGGTAAGGATGTAATCTGTGGGATGACTCCACGCCCTGCTACATACTCCCCCGTCAACAGAAGGCACGTCCCGAGCAGCATAGTTGGGTACTGAGACTTATTTTGCTCAGATTTGATATGAACGTGCTCAGCCCCACGTTGGGCGCCAATGTAGCGGCCATCAAATTTCCAAGTCCCGTACTGGGATTCGAACCACGGACCTTATGATCAGAAGTCGGACGCCTTGTCCACATGACCAAAGAGGTTAACCCCGTCAGCAAGCTGACAAGGTAAGGGTGTCATCTGTGGGATGACTGCACGCCCTTCCAATCTTGTAGAAGGTACAAGCTTCCTTGTAAATTCGCACATAGAGAACTAACATAGCTTGTTTCCTATATATGACCAACTCCAGTTTGAAACGTTAATAACAATTCGTTGGGTGTCATCTTATATGGACTATTCCTCCTGCTATCACCCATTAGATTATACTAAGGCTCGATTATTAGGGCAATCGGTTTATGGCTTCAAACAGGTCGTTGTGGAATTGTACTTTTTCACATTTACTCAACAATTATTTTTTAAATCTTTTATTCAACAAATATTTTTGAAAGTCACTAAACGACAACTGTTCATCAAAAAACGTGAGTGAGTTAGATTAGTTTTATACCGCTTTTAGCAATATTCCAGCAATATGGCGGGGGACACCAGAAATTGGCTTCACACATTGTGCCCATGTGGGGAATCGAACCCGAGTCTTCGGGGTGACGAGCGAACGATTTAACCACAAGGTTACACCATCGTCCCCATTTGATACAAAGCCCAGGCTGATGTGATAAACATCATAACAGGGACACCGTTATCCTGTTAAAAAATCTCTAATGTATCCAGACGTGCAGATAGTGTAACCTAACCTAATATTTAGGGTCATTTCACCCGATAACAGAGAGATATAACTGTGATAAGGGGATGTTCTAGGTTGATATTGACATGCCACCTGAAATGTATTGTACCGACTTGCCAACTACACGCCATCAATACCATCTCATATCTCGTACCGACCCGTGAAGGTCCGGGTTAGAATTGATCTTCAGTAACCCATGCTACTAAGAGGCGACTAACGGGATCGGGTGGTCAGGCTCGCTGACAGGGTTGACACATGTCGTCGTATCCCAATTGCGTAGATCGATGTTCATGCTGTTAATCCCTGGATTGTCTGGTCCAGACTCGATTATTTACAAACCGCCGCCATATAGCTGGAATATTGCTGAGTGCGGCGTAATACTAAACTCACTCTTATCTCGTACCAGTTGAGATACTGCAAATGTATACTCTTAAAAAAGTAAGAGAATTTCATTGTTAATTTACGATTGCAAACATTGGGAGATATATCTGAGTCAGTCAATGTTGATATGATAATAATGAATGTATTGAGAGTGCATCACCACTTGCACTTCCTTATGACCATAGTTGTTTGTACAGTAATTGCTCTTGAAAGATGAATGGTGTATGACGTGAAATTTGCATGTGTACGATTTTCATCAAACGAAACCAAAATGGCCAGAGACCCAACATTAACAACTGTGTGATGCAAGATGATTGTCAAAATTAATGGTCTCGAGTGATTTATCGATCTTCTTGAAAACAATCAAAATCAAGAATGATGGAGAAGAACAGTTACTCCACTCGGTCATTTCTTCCAGAACGCCCACGCCTGTGTGACAGCAGGCTTCATGGTGCAGCTGGACGGGAACAACTTCCCTGTCAAGACGAAACTATATAGCTGGAATATTGCTGAGTGTGGAGCTAAACACCCAACCAACCAACATATCATGACATGGTCAGGATTAGATGTTCAGAAGGCGTATAACAATGTGTCTGTCTTAGTGTACAACGAACCTGTACATCGGCAAATGACAGCATCGTAGGCATTCTCTACTTGTTGCATGGTAGGCTTGGGTGTTCTTTTCAGTAGGCTGAAACACATATCGAGCATCGATATTCGTACTGCTTGTTCTAAGGACTTCTCGAAGTAAGTCTTCAGGTTCTTTAATGAGATTGACATGTTATCCATCTGCATATGTTCTCGTTAAGGAAACAAAGTATGTCTCTTTCATCAATAATATTGTAAAGACGATAGCATGTTACATCAGGGCTGTTAACTTCAAAATGTTACCAGCCCAAAATGGATTTTAACTAGCCCAAATATGGTGAATTTACTCAGTTGTATGGAACATCTAAAATGTTTACCAGACCATCGGGCTGGCTAGCTGTAAATTTAGACCGTCCGTCAGAAATCGAGACCCTCTCGGGCGGTCGGACGGGACTTATTTCAAACACTGGTTACACCGTAGAAATATCATTGAAATATTTTTATAATGTAAGTCAAAGGTTGTGTATATAGTCAGGGATTGCGTGTCGTGAATTCTAAACCTGCTTATATTCCTCATATTTTTCTTTGAAATTGAGCGATTATGTGATTGGGACACTGGGCATTGTAAGGCACGGTGGAACAAACCCATGTACATTTAGTAGGAATCTTAATAGTGAAAAAACAGCTATTTAGTTGAAAACATGCTTTTTACATTTTCTTACTAATAAATATACATTTCATCTATAGATATCTTGAAAGTCTTACCCATACATATTCATGACCTGGGCAGGGCTACAGAAGCCACACTGAGACCCATTGTACTGTGCCAGACGGTCTTGTATCGGGTGTAGGCCATCCCTGGGGTTGCCCAGACCCTCGATGGTTGTCACTTGCATGCCGTCACACGTGTACAGGGGAACCAGACACTAAAGGAATTAACTTGTCTTACAGTTTTTAGTCTATATACCAAACAGACGTACCTCATATTGACAATGATCATATTCTGTGTTATTTGTGACATAGTCAATACAGAAAGTAGATCGTCCTACAGTTTCTAGTTTATATATTACACAATTTAGGTCTTTAGGTTCAACTTAAAGTAGAACTCATAGATCTCTAATTGTATTTATAATAAAACACATATATACCTACCATAGATTTCATGGCCTTAATGTAATGCGAACTAAATACATTGGTGATACCCTGAGCAATGGTATCTTCACGGTGTCCACAATGACATCGGTGTGTCCATCAGTAAGTGGATAGTTTCGATTTTGGTCACGTTAAAGCACCCCAGAGAAACCGGTGGATCCGGGTGGGTGGGGTTGCGGGGTTGCGTCATCACCCCCTCTCCCCGAAAATTGTTTCCCTGAGGACCGGTTTACCCTAACCTTTGGACTTCATGATTTATGTGCACCTTCTCCAAAATCCTGGATCCGCATGATACAAAGGACACTACTGCATATAAACTACGCGGTATTGTTGGACAGATTCTTACCGAGTTGACTGTGTAGGTCTGCACGGCCTTTGTGATTGGATCATACAGTGTGGTAGTGACGAGGCACACGCCACACCCTCCCTCTATACACATGGCCTTGGTGCCATAGGACACACCCTGGGACCTCATGAACTCATTCAGGGACAGGGCTGCGGCATACTGGTTGCCAACTGAAGGTATTATACGAAAGTATTTTCTTTATAATTAGAAATATACTTTAATCACAATTTGACATAATCGTCGTGGTATACTGGTAGATATACTTATGACATTCTATAGTTGTGAAAACGTTTTGAGGAAAACATAGTTTATAAAATGCAATGAAACCTTTTAAAAAGTTTTGATTTAAACATATTTATTTCCAATGAAAGGAACCGGATTGGTAAACAAGCATAAGCTTATATGAATACCGCTCCGGGATACAATGGAAGGAAGAGTAAACATGTCATGATGAATGTACAATGTGAATGATATATAAATGGTGCAAAGACGAGAAATAACGCCAATCATTGTTAAAAAGTATATGTCATATAAACAAATTATTTTGGATCAAATCTGCCTGTTAAATTTATAACGTATTTTTAAAAAGTTTTTTAAGGTTCTGTGTTAGCTGGGTGGTGACATCTATCTGTTTACATCTTTGAGCCCTATAGCTTGTACAATGGCGTGAAGACCCGTATTCATAGATCTATTTGTGTGTAATCTGATTTTTTTTCATTACTTCATAACAGGATGTCACATTCAACAGCTTTGTTCTGCAAGTTTTTCATGAAATTAAAAAAGCCCGCCCACATTCATTAATCAAATGACGATAAGTTTGCGCAAAAGAATTATCTCGGAAGAAATTATAACACATGATCAAAAAGATCTCCCAAATGTACCTGTGAAGGAAATCCCGTTGATGGTGAAGGTGACAGATGATTTGAGAATGCCTGTGACCTTGAACTTGAAGAAGTGGCCACAGTTTTGACAAGTAGACGCGTAGACTCCATCCTTCAGCTCTCCCTTCGTTGGGGTGTGGCTATGGAGGAAGGTTTCTAAGTGAGAACTGGTTATAAATGAAACACGAAAATTATAATCAATACGACGAAAATATTTCGTTAGGCTTTTTAGTGTGTGTTCATTATTTTGAAAGTTGTATTGGAAATTACTGCTTTATCTTTAAATTTCATCTTTAGGACATCTTAATTTCCTAAATTATACTCCGATCTTGGTGATCTGTTTCTTTATGCATTAGTGTCAGAATTTCTGCTCAGAAAAATGGAAACCAAAGAAGTTGAGAAACAAGTGATTTTGGTTTAAACAGTATTTATTCAAAACAGAGACAATACATTAGACAGACAATTCATACAAGTGAATTTTAAGCTGGAGGTATATCGATGATCTGATATGGTTTAATACAGGCCAAATAGACCCTTCTCTACCACCGATGTACCCATCCGAGTACTAGAAATGCCTCATATTCATAGACATGAATAAAGATTGAGGGTGACAAACCATTCTTCTCATAACAGTTACGACAAGCTGGATGACGTTTATATTGTCAACTTTTCCTTTATGTCAATTAATCTTCCTGTAAATGAAGCTTTGACTTTCTACATATCTTTTGGCGTTCTGTTATATCAAATAGTATTCACAAAAAATGAATGATATTGGGAACAACTTAAAGTCTAAAACGTACGGACACATTGTCAAAGATATATAAAAAAGTCAATTTACAATTTGTACTCTGCATGAACAGTGAGAACAATAGAGTTTTCATAAATGTCTTTGCACTGCATATTTAAATCTGTATATGTTCATTTCTCCATTTATTTTGTGGCACAATGAAGATGTTGGAGGCTTTCTGGTTCAGATTGACAAATAGAGCAAATATTTGTTTCAATTATCTTCATTTACACCTACTGTTTTCCAGTACAAATTGCTCTGTTTATAGATCTATTCTGAAAATCTAAAACCTTTACATCCTTTGTGCAGTTTCAGTATTTTTTAAACACGATGTTCCATGAAATGTCTGTATTTAGTTCATTCTGCCATTTCTGACAAACTGTAGGTGAAGTGTCATTTTCTATAACTTTGTCATAGAAAATGCTGCATCCCTTCATTTAAAAAGAAGGTCTTGAAGAGTTGAGTTTAGTGAGAGGTTTTGAGTAGTTACGGGATCAGATAAAAGAGTATTTTTCCAAGATTTTGGAATATTTTAAATGATTTTATTGTACTCTAAAATTGTTCCTTTGATGCAGTAAAGCCTTTTTTATTTCATTGAAAGACCAAAACAAAACAACCCAAAACATTTTCACCCAATATATCTCTTATTGTATGAATTCCTCTGTTAAACCAACCTTCAGTCAAGAAATTAGTATCTCTAAATTGGTGATTCAACCATAAAGGTTCATCCAAGATTTCTTCTGGTTGACAAGTATTTATCTTATGTTGTTGTATATAATACTTACTCCAAATAGATAAAACATCATTTCAAAATGGGTTATCAATCCTTGCATGACTGTGAATATGTGCAGCAAGATGAAAAAACTGGGATTGTGAGGTGACGTTTTATTTACATACCTTCTGCCGAGGCAGGATAACTTTATTTATAAAGGATTTGATATGTCATTCTTAATCCACCTTCTTCATATTTTCTACATATAGTTGTTCTCTTGATTTTATCTTTCTTGCCATCCCACATGAAATTATATACAATATTGTTTAGTTGATTAAGAAATTCCTTTGTGGGTGATGGTAACACAGAAAAAATATGTACTAAAGTTGATATTTCCAATGTTTTCAAGACTGTAATTTTCCCATGTAAGGTTAGTTTTCTCTTTTTCCAACTAGTAAGAATTCTATTAATTGTTTTCAGTCTTTTCTAGGATTGATTACCCATAAATCCTCCAAACTGGGGTTGAAATATATACCAAGGATGTTAAAGTATGTGTGAGAAGTCACGGAAAAAAGTCATGGAAAAAAGTCATGGGGAAAAAGTCATGGAAAAAAGTCATCGGAAAAATAACTATTATAAAACATCCTGTACTTCAATGATCTACAATTGTAATAAAGCATCCTGTTTTCCAGTTATTTAGTTTGTTTATACAGTATTTCATAAATACTATTTCACTTTCATCTTCAGTAATATAAACATTCTGTTCTCCAGTTATTTATAAAAACTATTTCACTTTCAGGTTAATTATTCCTTTTAGTGTGATGCTGTAAGCAATTGTATCTTATCAAAATATGAGAAATGAACATATTATTAAATATTAAGTTCCAAAAGGATTATGGGATTAAAAGTCACGAGTCATATGATTGTTTAACTTGCTTTGAGTTAATGAACTCATGGGATTATCAGTTCATACTTTTACTCAAATAAATACATTATCAATACTGGCTTTGTTTAGTTGCGGGTACAGAAACATTCAGTAACACTTGGACAAAGTACAGTGACTATGTATCCCAGTCCACCCAGCTATGAATGGGTACCTCGTAAGGATGGGAATGCCACATTAACTGGGTGCGCCTAGTGACTGCAAGAGTTTTATACTCCCAATGGAGTTGAGATTGATAAAGTTTGACATCCTATGATCGAGGGAAAATCAAAGCGCCTTTGAGCAGCTGAGCTGGATATTGGCGCTATACGAATGTTACTATAATAATGATAATACCAATAATGAAAAAACCTGTTACCTCGCCCTGCACAGCGGGCACTCCACAAAGTTCCCCACCGTCTCTGCCGACATGTCTGTTCCGTCAACTGACGTTTATGCACTGATATGTAATATTTACGTCCGTGTAATATTACACAACCATGGTCACATGACACCCATGTGATGACGTTAACTTCACTGCAAGTAGGCCTAAGTATATGTGTCGTTAGTCATAAGTGCTTTGATGCTCACTCCAGCAGCAAATGTGTACCCATTTGACTGTTGCACATTAACCGTCTAGCATCATATGACTATCAACCTTTTAGAACCTCGCACGTAGCTAGGGTTATCAGGGGTAATAATGTCCATTGTGTTGTATGCGATGAGAGCATGTCCTTGAATAGAAGTGGTCCTATTGTTATCATTGATCTTCACTTAATTGATTCCATCGCCCCCAGATGAGATAATAAATAAAGTCAACAAGCCTGCTTCAAATTTGTATGGAAACACAAACCTGATAAAATTATAAGAGATGTATTTGCTATGCCACCTGAATATGGAGGAATCAGTGTCCCACTAATTAAGAATACAATTTATGCACATAAAATATCATGGATAAAGAGATTATATTCCAGTAGCTGCAAATTGAAAGCATTAGTTGAAAATTGTATACCTAACTACATACGACTTTGGTCAGGTGATCCTGAATATATGGAAAAACACATAAATCCTTACATAAGAAATCCTTTTTGGAGAGATGTAATCTCTGCATGGGGATCATATTTACAAAAGCAATACAAGACATTAAACACACACGACAAATAATTCTTCCCAAAAGACTACCATTTTCTCCAATGCTAACATTCAATATATAACTTAGTCTAAGGGTTAAAGGCTCGAAAACTTTTTATCTTTCTGTACTTGATCCTACTTACAAAAACCCCACCAAAACATGCCCATAAAAAGTGGGAAAGAGTCTTTGAAACACATTGTGATAACGTAATGCTACGAAACTTATAATAATGATGCCAAATCGATGTACAAAATGTACTAATTTGAAATGGTTACAGATGAAGATATTATACGATATTATACCTACAAACATTTTCCTAAATAAAATCAGTCTGAAAGACACTTTTTCTCTATGTACATTCTGCTCAAAAGAATCAGAAACAATTGTCCATCTATTCTGTACTGTTGTCATGTTAAAAAGATTTCGGAGTTTGACCAGATGGCTAATGACTGTGGCTGAAGGCAACATCGACTTTATACCAGAAAACATTTTACTTGGATTTAAAGGGAAAAATAACAATTATGTAAATGCAATATGTCTCTACTCTACATGCAATAACAGCGAGTTCTTTACCTTCTGGTCATCCTTCCACAATCTTTTTACTGGGAATATTAGGTTAGAAAACACATTGTAAGTGTATTCAATCATTGTTTCCATGATTACCACTATTGGATACACAGAGATAAAGTATGAAAACATATTCAAAGATATCTATTTATTGTATGATGGTGATTTGTGAAAGTATATTGTGTATATGTATATTGTGAATGTATTCTACATATATTGCACTGTGGAAATAAAGATGGTAAAATTACAGTAAGCAAAAAAATATTTAAAAATTCTTCACATAATTGGAGAGCGGAAGGTCGCGGGTTCGATCCCCGGCCGCGTCATACCATAAGACGTTAAAATATGGTACTTGTTGGTCCCTGCCTGGTGCTCGGCATTAATGGGTACAACAATTGGGTTTAACGTCGTACTTGAGAATATTTCGCTCATATGACGACGTGCATGCGTGTGTATGTGTATGTGCGGCTGCTTGTACTAGCCCAGACTTAAGCTGGTTTTATAGTGCTAGCCCACTGAGATACCACGCCAACAAGTACCACATTTTAACGTCTTTTGGTATGACGCGGTCGGGGATAGAGGCTGATGTCTCCAAGACGTGTACACATTATCTTTACCTACACATTCAGTCAGATAACATCCTTGTAGGGATGCTATTTATGAATACCTGTAATAAACTTATGCATGTACAGTATTGCTCGGATCTAGTGATGCTGTATATATCAGATAGTAAATTTGGTTTGTTTTTACCACATGTGCTTTAATGTAATAAATGCTTTAATGACAGTTAATGCAACACCAAATCCCTGTTTCAAAGATTAACCATAATCCTTAATACTATCGAGGAAGGGCTTTCTCGATATTCACAGAAAGTATTTGAGACAAGCGGAATTAAGACCATGTGGATTTTCAAAAACACAAAGGATTGCTTACATTTTTAAAATCTCAGATAAGGACCGAGTTCCGTTCTGTCTAAGCATTTGATTTTTCAACATTGTATACCATTATCCCACGTAACAAACTTAAGGGCTTTTATAAACAATCGCGACAAAGATAAACCTGCATATCTATCTTCAGAGGATCAGGACAATTTGTCAAAAATGAAGAGAATATCATTAGAAGTTTACCGAGAAAACAATATGTGGATTGTTTGACTTTCTCATTGAGAACATCTTTGTGAAATTATTGGGTAAAACATTTCGCCAAGTAGGTGTATCCACGAGCACCATGTGTGCTGAACTTCTTGCGGATCTGTTTCTTTATGCATATGACTCAGAATTTTTACTCGGGTTGGCGAAATCAAAACAAGGTAATTTGGCCCAGAAGTTTAACTTAAGCTTTCGGTACATCGATGACTTAATATCGTTCAATAACCATCAAATCGCCACTTGCCTTCCACTGATTTATCCACCTGAACTTGAAATTAAGGAGACAAGTGAGACCGCCTCAACTGTGCCATATTTAGATCTACGCATAACGATTCAGAGTGACAAAAAGCTCTCCACACAGCTGTATGACAACAGGGATGATGTCAGCTTTCCAATAGTCAACTTCCCTTTCATGTCAAGCAATATTCCAACAGCTCCAACTTTTGACGTACAATCGAGCGTGCCATTTGTATCAGAAATTCAAAGAGCGTCATGCCTCTTGCTCAAAAGTTGACAAGGTTACAACATCCAAGGCCTCAGTAAAGCTTTCAAGAAATATTTTGGTAGACATATGGAGGACATTTCCATATTTGATGACAAAAATAGTGTCCGATGCAATTCCCTATTTTGACTTATACCATACGTTCCCGAATTATTTCAGGCGAACAAATGACTAGACGTAGCATATGTTTATGACGGGTGCCACCGGTGGGGCAGGATACGCTCACCTTTTCGCGAACACATGGTATCAGCACTATTTCATAGCGACTCATAAACACATGCACTGTCATCGTATCGCATTGTGACAATTACTGGATTGTCTGGTTCCGACCCGATTTGTTTTCAAACAAATATCTGCTAGTATACCAGTAGTCATAATTGTACAATCGACTCAGCTTGTGGCATAGATTTCTTATGAATGTGGAAAGGGTTTTGTCGCTTCTATTTGAATAAGAGGGGCTTGCAGCAAGACAAGAAGACTGACTGACTGACTTGGTTTTCCGCCGCTTTTAGCAATATTCCAGCAACATCACGGAGGGGGATACCAGAAATGGGCTTCACACATTGTACCCATGTGGGGATTCGAACCCGGGTCTTCGGCGTGACGACCCAACGCTTTAACCACTAGACTACCCTACCGCCCCAACTCAAACACGACTTAGTGTAACCACCAAATGATACTACATACTAAGTAAACCATTTTAACTAGTTGCAGGATCTATTACTAGTAATAATCATAATACAAAACAGTGTACCATGATATCAAGCATTAAACATATTTACATAATATCATTATGTAGATAATATTACAACATGTAATATATTACAGATGTAGAATTAAAATGATAAACTAACTATACTTTTACACCGTATCCTTATCCTATGATAAATATAAATGCATGTATGAAAGACATCAAAGTAACTTACCCCCAAAAGTGCAGCGCTGTGATAGATAAATCAGTGAAAGTTGAAATTGCAGTGATCAGGAAAGAGAAATGATAGAGTACATAAAATTCCAGATCTGGTCACGTGCTCTAGAAACAATAGCAATTCAATCACTGGCCAAGCCGTGGCTAGACCAGGAGACTGAGGAAGAATAGAAACCCATGCGTACATAAATTACATAACTACTTACATCACTATTTTACCTAGGGATTAGTGGAGTGCGTGCGTTACTTTAAAGGGTTGATATAATACTTAACTAAATTACATACTGAAGTTTAAAATACACAATATTTATGTTCTGCTACAATTATGTGATCTATCTGTAATATTGACTCTGTAACGAAGTATTCGACTTCCTGCACGGTATCTTGTGCCGCTTCGATGTAAATTACCACTGTTATCAAGCTCAATGTTGTGAAAAAAGTCGTGTGTTTTAGTTATTGACTCACCAACTCCTAGAATGGCGAGCAGACAATTATCTTATCAGATACAGATACACCGATAACGATGAACTGTCACTCACTGCTGTATGTATGCTGTAGTGATATACACTGACGTACAAAAGAAAGTAAACACCCGTGTTTGATGATGGCTAAACATGAAACAAGCTAGAATGGATAATGGATGGTGTTAAAGACATCGGGGTTGAACTTTGAAGACATAAACTTTGCAGTGTTTCGGCGACTGATAACGTCCCGCTTTGATAGCGTATTTATCTGTGTGGTCAAATCCAATATTCCGTCTGCACTTCCTGTTGTCCGGCAGTTTATTTTTGGTTCACGTCATGTTGGACATTGATTAAGTTAAATCTCAGCTTGTCAGTTTTATGTTGGAGGAATGACTAAAATGAGCCGGCCCTTGACGTTTATCGACCTATGAATACAGGTACTCCATGAATCACGATCAGTGCGTTTCTGGGATTCGGAACAATGCCTATCGGATTCTGGTACGATCAAGGGACACAACTCTACACCTTATACAACTGAGAGAACCAGTGCTCCAATGTATAGCCTCTCTTTACCTCAGAGACGTGTTTACAAACCGTGATGATCCATCTATCTGCCAGTAGGCTATATAATCAAGTCTGGACAAGACAATCCAGTGACTGATATAATGAACATCGATCTGGATGAAATGACATGCATCAACAGAGTCAGCGAACCTGACCACCCGAACCCGTTTGTCGACTCATAGGACAAGCATGGGTTGCTGAAGATCAATTATAATCCGGATCTTCACGGGTAGAGAAAGGAATAGTCTAAGAGTGAGTGAGTGAGTGAGTTTAGTTTTACGCCGAAATGGGCTTAACACATTGTACCCACGTGGGGTATCGAACCCGGGTCTTCGGCGCGACGAGCGAACGCTTTAAACCACTAGACTACCCCACCGCCCCGAATAGTCTAAGACGTTAAGTAAACACGAAAGAGTAAGCAACAAGACGCCATAACATTACATGGAGGAATTTATTTGGGTAAGTAAGAATGTGTGACAACCATGTGCAATTAGAATGATACACTCTGCGAAGGTTAACTTCCATGAAGATATCAGTGAGTTGTGCGTTCATGATAAAGTTCATGTTTTACACATTCCCTGTGAGGTTTTATAAAGAAATCAGTGAGATGTGCATTCATGATCAAGTTCATGTTTTACACATTCCCTGTGAAGGTTTTATAAAGAAATCAGTGAGATGTGCATTCATGATCAAGTTCATGTTTAAACATGCCCAGAATGATTTACTCTGTGAAGGTTTCATAAAGATATCAGTGATTTGATCATTCATGTTCAAGTTCATGTTGTAACCATATTACAATCCACACTCAACCACTGACTGAGTTTGGTTTTACGCCGCTTTTAGCAATATTCCAGCAACATCACGGCGGGGGACAGCAGAAATGGGCTTCACACATTGTACCCATGTGGGGATTCGAACCCGGGTCTTCGGCGTGACGAGCCAACGCTTTAACCACTAGGCTACCCCACCGCCCCCCACACTCAACCAAATTGAACTGCATTGCCCTATGTTGCAGGTTTCCAGGTACATGTATAACATAGGATTATGATATACAAAATATATACCTGCATTGATTATATACCTCGCAGTGGCGTCACTACATAGTCATAACAAACGAACTTGCATTGTCATGAAAATAATTAAGCCACGAAATACATATTTTATTTGCCAATCAGTATCAGTCAAACACAATATGTATCAAGATTTTTTTAAAATTAGTTCATTCAAAGCTATCTTTGACAACAGCCAGAAAATGATAGTAAAATACATATCATTGCTACTGGTGTATATAGGCAAAACACTGTGTTTGTTGGCAACAAAGTGTGTAGGGGAAAGTGTTCAATTATTCATATAATAATATTTAATGTTAATTGCACTGTTGTCCAATATTGCTTTCATTGAATGTAATGCTGACATGGATGTACAATATGGGATTCTGAACATCTCCGGACAGAAAAATGGTTTTATTTTGTCTTATTATGTCTAGTTTTGCAATCACGTGTTAGTTAGTTTTTGGTTACTATGTGTTAATGAAAAAGCTGTTTCATTTGGCTTGATCAGTATCATTGAATGCATCGTTCATTGTCAAACGTTAACACATACATATAATGCCATTCACATAAACATTGTAGCAAATAATAATTGTTTGCTCCAAGTGACATTTCAAGGATTCATATTTTTTTTAATCTCTAATGCTGATCTGCGCTCCACAACCATGAAGACGTGGGTTCGGTTGACCTAGGTCCCATACACCAACTGGGAGTTGTCGAGTTGACAGGCTATCTGTATGTTCTCCACTGTGGCTGGACCGTCTACAATACATGTAAATGTATCAACGTATATTCACTTCATCATTTAGGTCATGGGTTCCTCTACCATTCTCAATAACTTTGTAGGAAAGCTTCTTGAAGAGTTATTGTTTCTGTAAGGGACGATTGCCTATTTCTACACACATACACACGCTCACACGTACGCTCGCACGCACACACCATCTAATTATCTATAAAATTGAAATTGCCTAAAATTGAATAAGTTTTTCTTTGTATATACCTAGTCGGAAGTATGAGTCCTGTGTGATTTCTTTCCTGGCAGCCTCAATGGCGTGTTTCACAGCAAACAACGCTGATGCTGACATACATACGGGTGGCTCGCCAGAAGCTGAAACAAAAACATTACATCATACACTCAGATGAAATCTATCCACGACTTAATCTGAGAATTGTCATCTATGAGATAACAGAGAAATTCTATCTATAACATCTCCCAAATATTGATTTCTTTGAGATACTCAGAGAAAAATGCTGGCGTGTCACCCCAAGCAGTGTTCAAGAACACCGTTTTGTTTTGTGAAACTGAAAAAGTAAAATTGTTTATATTACTATGCAGTGTTAACACAGGGTGTATTTTCATATGCTGAGAGATTTCATTACCTTTGGATCTCAGGACCCCGCGTGGGTAGGGTGCATTCTTGAGGAACTGGATACGGAAGTCGATCGGAATGTCTTTGGGCATAGGAGGTTTGTATTCCTGTACAGACAGAACAGTTTGTTGCACGGGTTTTGACAAAATGGATCTACATCGCAGAGCTCCATTTCACCTTATTTCTTGTTTGTTTCAGCCACTATCACACATAGATGTATACTGTCCCCTGCCTTGCAGTAGATTTCGTGACAACCGATGTCCTACCTACTGGCTTGTTCCTTAATCCATAATAATGTACCCGATACTCATGTGGTATTAAACTTACCCACGTTCCGTCTGTCAGGGAGGTGCCAGTTGAAGGGTCGAAGATCATCTCTTCTGTAAACCAGTAGCCCAATCCCATCACAAAACCACCTTCAAGTTGTCCCACGTCAACATCTGGGTTCATGCTGAATCAACCAAGGACAGAACATATAAACATGTTAGATAAACGTGCTGGGGAACTCGTGTGAATGAAATACTTAATAAAACTTCAACCACGGTCATACAGTAGGTCCACTCTGTTGGTCTTACCTCTCTCCACAGTCATACAGTAGGACCACTCTGTTGGTCTCACCTCTCTCCACAGTCATACAGTAGGTCCACTCTGTTGGTCTTACCTCTCTCCACAGTCATACAGAAGGTCCACTCTGTTGGTCTTACCTCTCTCCACAGTCATACAGTAGGTCCACTCTGTTGGTCTTACCCCTCTCCATAGTCATACAGTAGGTCCACTCTGTTGGTCTTACCTCTCTCCACAGTCATACAGTAGGTCCACTCTGTTGGTCTTACCTCTCTCCACAGTCATACAGTAGGTCAACTCTGTTGATCTGGTTCTCCCCGGTCAAGATGTCCACCTCAACTTCAGTACACGTGGCACCGTAAATGTTGTAGTCACTGAAGTCCCCTGTTGGATATGTTCTGAAAATGACGATGTAAATGTAAAGCGTCCACCGACTTCTTGAAATGAGAGGATATCATGCTGACGAATATGACATTGAATGTGTCAACTTCATGACCTTGCAACACCTGGATTCCATTTCCGACAGTTGAACACCTCATAGAGCACTTATTGCTGAAATAGAGGTTGCTTCCTCCTGAAGGATTCTTAAAAGCACTGTTTCACACCGCACTCAATAGTCCGTTTCTCTTTATAATACTAACCATCAGCCCTTAGGGACGCTACCATATAATCTATCAAAATAATTACGCATTTAGATTACAATATTAAATTTATAAGTTCGAATGAATTTGATGAAGCCCCCTCTACCGGCCGAACATTGTTTTCTAGCGAACCCCATACAGTTATGTCCTTTGGAGCGCTCTTTATATTCTACGCACAGCTTGTGATTGAAACCAGTTCGGCAAACACCGCGTACGACAGTGTTCGATGTACGGAGCAATTGTTTACATTCCTTATATGGCAAGTGTTCTCTGTTTGGAGCTGTTCGCCTCGACACTTCAATTATCGATTTCAGGCAAGTCGTAAGGGATAATAAGTCTTTTTTTTGCATCAATAGGAAGCTAAGGTGAGTGCATATATCACAATATATATATAATAGAGGCCACAATATTGTCGAAAATGAAAGAAATTGTGCCTTTAAGAAGCATTACAAAGGGCACAGTCACCCTACAACCCCCGTCATCCTTATGTATTTACAATATATTATTCATCTTCGATATAAAGACTAGTTACACCACCCTGGTTAACGACACCTTGTTATGAAACATCTTGGTTTGTGTCTCCAGTCGGCACCATCTTGCTCCGTTCGTTTCTATAGTACCAACATCTCATTCTGCGCATTTCTATCTCACTCTGCGTCATCACGACGACAGTAACAACATCACACTCAGAGCGTCACTAGTAAAACGACGTCATCAGTTAAAGTTGTTCAAGTTGTTTTTTAACTAGCCTTATCTTTGCATGTGAAGCATACTTACGCGCATCTTGCTGACAAATCCACTCCTTGGGCGTAGCACGTAGCTACCAGCTGTTGCCAGGTGGGGTTCGACATCTTGGCCTTGACCGGGGCCATCCGAGTCTTCAGTTGTTGACAGCACTGCACGACTCCCTTTAACAAGACATTTGCACGTTTGACACAGTATCTAATGAATTCTATGATCTCAATTTGTAACAGAAGGTTATCAAACAGTGAATGTACTTTTATGACGTCTAGATTTAAGTACAGGGCAATGTGTGTACACATCCGTCTAGGTTTGTGTCACGTTCTCCATTTTGTTTGTTGTTTAATGCCACACCTCTGAACCACACTTTGAATTGTAATTGTTTGCAATATAGAAAGTCATTGCTCTAGTATATTTTATAGTCACATTGGGAACCTTGAACGATGCAGATCGCAACACAGGTACGTAAGTGAGTGAGTTTAATTTTACGCAACACTTAGCAATATCCCAGCTATAAGCGGTGGTCAATAAATAATCCAAGCTGGACCAAATAATCTATCAACAGCATAAACATCGATCTAAGCAACTGGGATTCGATAACATTTGTCAACCAAGTCAGCGAGCATGACCACCTGATCCCGTTAGTCGCCTCTTTCGACAAGCATGGGTTGCTGAAGACCAATTCTAACCCGGATCTTCACGGGTGTGTTCTTGTAAGGAGTAAGAGTAAGCCGCTTGCTACAGTTTCAGAGAAACCACAGCCAAGAGAATAGTTAGTGACCGCTGCAAGCTCGGTATGTGTATTCCAGATGATGAGACAATGATATGGTTCGATGCTTCTAAATAGAGACGTATTCAACTCTGGTACAGCTTACCAATGCGTTCACATCCGATGTGAGGCAGCCACCGGTAGTGAAGGAGTTGGAGTCGGCCAAGGTGGTCGTTGGTTTCACCTTGATCGTGTCAATAGGGATACCCAGCTCATAGGCGCATACTTTCATCATCTGCAATCAACGCATCCATATGGTAAATAATAATCCATACAATCAAAGTATTATTTGAATAAGCCACATGCAAGTCGAAGAGCCTAACCAGTCGATATCAGGTGGCAAGTGATACTGATGTCCGATGTATTCTGACCATGAACACACAGAAGGTATCACTGTGGGGGTTTGTGTTCATCATTATATCTCTATTATGACTTAAATGCTGATGTTAATACTATTAAAACATTGGCTGCCTAATGGAAATGCCCATATGACATACTGTGTTTCCAAAACTGAACAACCTAAATGTTTATTCCCTGTCCGACTTCCACACCACCGATGGCGATGGCCACGGATCCGTCCCCGTGGTAGATGGTCATGTAGACGTTGAAGATGGACTGAACGTAGTCCAGGTTCCATCGGATAGGCATCACCGCAATGCCCCTCTTCTTCCATCTGTTGGCCTGCGAATACATTTTGAGTTACAGAAAATAATTTCACTTTCTGGAACACTTACAGTTACAGCCTCAAGGATGCAGTTTTTTCTCACATCTAAAGCGAAACCGTTATTTATACCACTTAATGCTTTCAGGTCACATTTGTGAACAGCTTATATAAATATGTTTGAAATGAATGAATAAGAACTGTTTGGTTACAGATCTGGGATAAGTCTTGTTGTGTTAATGCTGCCAGTCAAAGGATTCTAGAGATCTAATCTGCCCATGAACTCAATATGAAATATGAGATATATTTTAAAGCCAAATATATCATATCACCATTTGGATTAATATTCTTCCCAAAGAGTGAAGTTACACAGTTTGTGGGGGACGACTGCTCATAATATAACCCAGCATTACTTTCTGCACAACCAGTCAAAAAGGGTTTTGACCTGATTAAAGATAATGTGCATCTATCATTTACAGAAACATTCTATGTTTTCAGGTGAATATTTCTGTTGCTGTTCGGTTGTTATTTTCTCAAATGGATGTTAAATGTATCAGAACAATTCGCCACATAGCCATTTTGACTATCATTTTAACCTTGTACAATTAATCCAATGTCACAACAATACAACCAATGTCAAGAGTACCGTTATCCTTTAGATAAAATATATGCAACTGTTATGTAGCATGGTGATTATTATAATTGTCTTGATAGTGATTGTCAGCGGCAGCAAACGATTGAAATGTTCTTAATAGAGCCGGATCTGAAGTAGCTAGATTGCAACAGAAAACAATGACTTAGAGTTACCTCCCTTAGTTGTTTACAAAAATGGGACGGCTTGATCGTTCGAGAAGATTTGTGATGAGAGAGTTTCTGGATGAGTTAACACGGGAGATTTTAGGAGTGTACATAATTAACTTCTTTTTACTAATTTCCTGGTTAAGCTTTGCGTTTCTTAACATTAACAGAATGTATTTACACAAGAAAGGTATAACATCTTGAGACGGTTCTGGAACATTTAAGATTCTAATCATCAAAGACCCTTTAGAGACAAATAAGATAACTGTTTGTACCTGGTTGAATGCTGCAATTTGCTGTTTTCTAGCCGTGACATTGGCTGACGTCTCCAGTTGAGCCACAATATCCTTGATGTTGCAGTACTTCAGAACTATTCCGTTGAAAGTTGTCTGAGGAAAAATACAAATTCTTCATGTACTTTGAAGAGTTTCAATTGAAAATATTTGTTCCCAAACATTTCGCCAAGACCATGCCGATTTATTGTTCGAGCCGTTGTAGCAATGCAAGTGCAGGTTCAGTTGGTGGGATAATTTGTTTGCTGTTTGTTCACTCAACAATATCCTAGCAGCATGGCGGTGATCTGTAAATGATCGAGTCAGGGCCAGACAATTCAGTGATCGACAGCAGGAGTATCGATCTACGCAATCAAGGTGCGATGACATTAAGCGAGCCAGTTGGGATGAAATGTTTGGCACTAGCTCACCTGGCCTTTGTTGAACAGGTTGAGTTTCCTGAACTCCAGCGGATCCTTGTTCAATTCTTTGGCGGCGTGATCCATCATCGTCTCCATGATGAAGATGGTTGGACAGGATGCTGGGAGACAATATGACATGTTAGCTGTACCGCTGAATGCGATGTCAAAGAAACACACACTCGTGATATAATCAGAATTGTACAATCGACTCTGCTTTTAGAAATGTCCTATGAACGTGACAGGGTTTGTTGTTTCTGTTAACGAGGCACATGGATTGCAATTAATGTGGACAGATTGTACGATTGGCAAGTATTCAAAGCTTACATATAGTGGTTATTATAAAAATGGTCGACAGAATTACAACATCCATGACGCTAGTATATTTAGAATACATGAAGATTTTCATTGTCAAGTCTTGAAAAAGATTGCTGAAGCAATGCCGCACGATGTGAGTCTTTCAAAACTCCCGTCTTAACATTTAAAACAGTGTACCCAAATGATGAATGATGGGCCCGATTAAGATCACTGCACTAGCAATAAGAGCCTAAACGGGTGTTAAGTATGTCTCAAGCATTCCTAATAATGTCCCATAACTCGAATAAGACTGGCTAAATGATCGATAATCGGAAATATCGTCTATGGGAAAGATGATTAACAATTTTCGATATAAAATGTGTTATCGAAAATATTGTATATTAACTTTTCTTGATATTAGAAATTTTAATTTACTAATACAATATACAAGCTTATAACTAGTTCCTTATTCATGGGCTGCTTTCGAATTATGTTCATTTTGTTAATGATCCATATATAGATATGCCTCAACTCACCAGTGATGAGAAATATATTCATTTCGTTCAGACGCGTTTAGTATTTCAGCTCAAAGTTACTTTTCCGATATTTATCAATAATCGATCGATATTTAGTTACGATTATCGATCAGATTCTTGTATTCCTAATTGGATTACCTGGCCCTCTGCAGTATGTGTTGGCAGGGAGATTTGTCTTCAGGGCAACTGGCTTGTAGTCCCATGCTGGACAGTAGTAGGCTGAAAAGATTGGATACATGTGTGAACAATGCGAAGTACATAGTTGCATTCACCTGAAATGAGTTGGATATATTTTATAAATAACAAGGTCCCTTTTATTCTTTTGTAATCGACGTTTCAGAGCTAATGATGAAGGAGCAAAATCGAGCTCTGAAATGTCGTTTAAAGAATAAAAAAGAAGTTGTTATCCACAAAAAGTGTCATGCATCAATGTTCGTCCAATTTCTAAATGCATTTCAAGACCGTCAGAAATGATTTACCGTTAATGCGGCGGAGACCAGATGTTGCGCACAGTAACAATTACTACTGAGATATGCCAAAAAGTGTTCATCATTAAACTTTCCTCGTACTATTAAAGTACGAAAATACATCGAGTGACCAACAGAGACCATTAAGTTCCAAAATATAGAATTATCGTAAAACATTAACGTGTATGTTTTCTTCTACCACTGACATTACACAATTGAGTGACATTATTTCTTAAAAGGATTAAGGCGCTTATGTATCACCATTGTCAACAAATGGGGGATTTCCTGAAAGGTAACAGTCATTGGGTGATATTCCACAGTCAACATTGGCCGTCAGCTGGATCCCATTTAGTTTCCCATCATTGTTGACCCCGATCTGTTACAGAGAAATATTGCTGTAAACATTGAGATAAGACATTGCTCTTAGTAGGGCTGGCTGTCGATACAGATCATAAAGATCGATAATCGTTCACTAAATATTGACCGATAATCGATAAATATCGGAGACGTAACTTCGGGTAAATACGTCTGAAAGAAATGAATGCTTTTCACATCACCGGTGAGTGGCGACATGTTTTTGCGTTGGTTATTAACAAAGCAGCGCCGTGAACATAATTTAGAAGCAGACCATGATTGAAATCATAAATTTGTTTATTGTGTGAGAAAATTACAACCGTTTCTATCACAAAAGTTAATGTACTATATTATCGATAGTACAATGTTCATAACGAAAATCATTAATAATCGTAACTTTCGACGATATTTCCGATAATCGATCATTTTAGCCAGCCCTAATAAGTATGGTTGCATGGAAGCAGTTGTTTACAATATGTCTCGATATCTGTGGCTCTATACACGTTAACATGTCTTGCCATACGAGGTATCAGAGACCAGTCCACCCGTGGCGGCGGTATGTAAATAATCGAGTCTGGACCACTCAATCCAGCATCTACGCAACTGAGATACGGTGACATGTGTCAACCAAGTCAGAGAGTCTGACCGCCCGGTCCCGTTAATCGCCTCTTTCGACAAGCATGGGCTGCTGAATTCTTTAACGCATCTTCACGGGTTCAGAGAAATGCATAAATGTAACAGACTGTAACGTTAATTTGTCCCTTACTGTGTAATCCGCCAGGTAGGGATAACGTTTCCTACTGTCTTCATGGTGGTGTGGAAGTTCATCGCCAGGCGAACAGGTCTGAAAAAAGCAGTCACAACTGTGTTCAACAAAGTTATTGTGAGGGACACGACTGAATCTTTTGTCTCAGTCATTAACTATTAACCTACAAAATCATTCATTTATTCAATTTGCGTTTTACATCAATGGGTGATAGAGCCTTCTCTGCTCAGCTCCCCTACAGTGGAAGGAACCTCTTCCTATAAGAACCTTCTGACAAACCTCATTTTAAGACTCTTTCAAGACACACCCCTTAAAACAAGCCTTTGACTAGCTATTCTAATCTCACTGAACGACTTTTCTTATATGTTCTGTACACAGCGCCACTGAGCAACCTCTATGGATATATATCCAGAAATATATTATTATTATTATGTTCTTATTATTATTACATCTCAGTTGCACACTCGCACACACGTACGCAAATATACTAATATACATATTAACTTAGATACTATAAAAGCAACCTTCACTGGTAATTCACTTAGTCGTGCATTCAACCCACCTCCTCATCACATGTGTGTCGAGAGCTGCGGCACAAGCTGGTATGTTGGCACGAGTTATCCTCCCTCCAAAGGCTCCTCCAATACGTTTGACCTTGACACTTACACTTTGAAATACAATGAGACAAATCGGAGCATCAGAATGCTTAAAGCTCATTTACAGTTGAACAAATAAGCAAACATTCGGGTTTTATGGACGTCAACACTTTCTCAAGTTGTTTGGACACGGGGTAACACCCTTTTGCAAAAGACGTTTAAATTAAGCATGTCTAAGAGTTAGGAATGAAACTGCCAAGTGCCAAGGAGCAGTAATCGATCCCAACTTTCTGCCTTCATGTATGCCTATGGCTAGTTCCAATTCTTCTGGAATCAACTGGAACCCCGCTTCACAGAGAGATCGTAACGCTGAGGTGATCGTAAATCTCTAAGTTGAGGACCCGTGAAGATCCGGGTTAGAATTTGTCCAATTGCGTAGATATATGCTCATGCTGTTGATCACTGGATTGTCTGGTCAAGACTGAAGTATTTACAGACCGCCACCATATAGCTGGAATATTGCCGAGTGCAGCGTTAAACAACAACCAACCAACCAACCAAGCTTATGGCTGGAACCAACTCTTATGGTCAGAAAGACAGAGTGTAATGACACAGAACGAACAGGAACCCCGTTCCAGAAATGGATCTTTGGGCTGAGGGGATCGTCCCCTCTCTAAGCTTCGTGGAACGGCGCCCTGGTTGACTGTGGCTATTGGACATTGGGTCCGGTGTTGAGTATAGTCATTGGTTGTTTGGTCAAGATTCCAGCACGTACAGACCATCTTTGTATAACTGGTTTATTTATCACCGCAAAGAACGCCAACAAGAAGCATAACTAGTTACCTGCTTTCCTTGATATTGAGGAGTCTGGCTACGGCCTCTTGTACACTGTCAGACCACTGTGTGGAGCACTGAAGGTGGACACCCTCTCCATCCTCGTCTGGGTAGCACACACAGATCTAGGAAGACATAATAATAGAAGAGCGCTCGGCCAATCAGAAAGCGACATTTATGTGTGAGGTAAGATAAATAATCATACATCTTGTACCATGCAAGGGTATGGTATATGTAACACAGTGTACTATGTATATTCTATACCAGCAATGCAAGGGTATGTTTGAAGTAAAAAAGAGTAATATGAAAACATGTACTTGGTTCACGCATGTCATCCTATCCATCGTGGTTCGTTTCTCGTGATGTTGATCACTGGATTGTCTGGTCCAGACTCGATTATATACATACCGCCGCCATATAGCTCGAATATTGCTGAGTGTGGCGTTTAACAACAAACAAATACAAACAATGTACATGATGGAGAAAGACAGTTACTCCACTCCAGTCCTATGATTACAGCAGGAATAGCTGGAATATTGCTGAGTGCGCGCTTGAACAACAAACAAACAACAACACATATGCAATCATTTCGAAGTGATATTCGTGCTAATGTGAATTCTACATATATGACTGACCTGCGCTTCCAGTTGAAAGTGGGCCTGATGTTTTATTTTGACGGTGCCAGTAATCGTTTTGTCCGATCCGGCAATTGCAGCTGCAAAGACAATATCTTGTTTGTATCATTAGTAATATCAGTAATATCAGTAATATCTCCACCGGGAGCACAGCCCTTCTCACACTCTGGGTAATGGAGAGGGCTGCAGTGTTGGGGAGCCTTCATATTCTCCGGAAAGTTTTTGTTGAGTTCGACTGGGCAGCGTTTCCTGGCAGAAGTCCCATTCGCTGTCTGGGCTGCGTGTAGAGGGGCAAGGGCCCTGAGTTGATGGTGAGCCTTACCAGCCAGGATCATCCGAACCCTCTCTGCTGCATTTTCATCTTAATCTGTAAAACATATTTCTATAGCTTCCATCCATCCAGGGGCGGTGGGGTAGTCTAGTGGTTAAAGCGTTGGTTGTCACGCCGAAGACCCGGGTTCGAATCCCCACATGGGTACAATGAGTGAAGCCAATTTCTGGTGTCCCCCGCCGTGATATTGCTGGAATATTGCTAAAAGCGGCGTAAAACAAAACTCAGTCAGCCAGTCCATCCATCCAGGTTGCTCAGTGGCGCTGTGTACAGAAGATATAAGCAAAAGTCATAGTTAGCCGAAATATTTAAGTGACTCGCATCCTTAAACCAGTGGACCAATACAAGTGGGCACTTTAAATATAACAATATTCATAACTATTCAGCTATGTATATTCTCACAACTACAAAAATAATTAGTTACCTGCAGCATCACCAACTTTTATCTCCTTGGCAACATTTGGAAATATGGATTTCTTCTGAATAGCATCTTCCATTGTAAGGATGGGAGGCTGGACGTTCTTGTAGGTAACCTTCACCATGCTGGCTGCTGTGTCAGCTAATAGTTTGTCAACTGAAAATACATAAAGTACGGTGCCGTTTGATCGATGCTCATGTCGTTGATCACTGGGTTGTCTGGTCCAGACTCGATTATTTACAGACCGCCGCCATATAGCTGGAATATTTTTGAGTGCGGCGTTAAACAACAAACCAACCAACCAACCAAGATGACAGCTAAATTATGATATAGTACATAATTATACTTATTCCTGCCAACTCTACCTGCCACGATGATGCCGATTGGCTGTCCACTGTACTCCACCCGTCCACTGCAGAACAGCTGGTAAACACGAAAGAAACATGATGTTTAACAGCTGGAATTAATTCCCCAATACATTCCTTATCATTCAGACACACAATGGACAACTATTGCCACTCTCTGAGCAGACTGGCACTCTCTAGACAAGTGAAAACATTGATTACACGGCACTCTCTAAACTGGTCCAACGTATGTGCATTGAACTTCATATATGACGAAAACGGATATGACGTTTCTTTATTACAAAGAATTCCATTCTTTATATACCTAAATCGGATATTCTTACTGGAACAAAGTATATTTTTCGCTTTATAAGTAGTACTAAATATATTAATTTATATGACGAAATCGGACATGGTGTTTCTTATAAGAAAAACCAAATTCACATTCCATACCTGTAGTTAAAAATGCAAATATTATAAATGTAAACTTTATGTCGACAACTACATCTGGTTTCACAGAACAGTTTTGAATTTCTATGTCTGTTAATCGGAAAAATATAGTCGCCATCAGCGTGGTGTCGTTAATCACATGTCCATCCATTCCGGCTTGTCAACTATACAATTTGAAACGTAAAATAACTCTTCCAAAGATATAAAAAACAATAAAAGATGCGCGCTGTACATCTGGAGTTCGGTTGTGTGAATGATATACTGAGGGAAACCAAAAAGGGAACACCACTTCATGGCAGTGTTCCTTTATGTATTCTCAGGTTTCCTCACAACGTTACTCGAGGCTGGTGATGTAAACTGGAAAATATTATAGGAACACTTGAATTTTCCTGTGTTCCTTTATTTGTTTCTCTCAGTATATGTAACAACTCGACAGAGGGTGGAATCTAATTGACACAGTTTTGCCAAGAAACATAAAGAAACTGAGTTAACGCAGGGATAATCTACAACGTTATATAGTCCCCTGGTTAACGGTATCTACTGTACATATTGCTCTTGTCAGTACCTCCTCCACTGAAGCCGCTGCTTCCCTGAAGTTGTTCAGTCCTCCGGTTGGTATATCAGCTACAGATACATACTTCAGCACTCCTGGGTAGCTCTGTGGCAACAAAGATATAATGATGAAATACCAGACCACAGGCATTAGAAAGTACCTTTCCTTATTTTCTGGATCCATGTCCCGCTATGGTTATTGACCCATAAACCTGTGACCTTTGGTGCTGTGTGGTCCTGTCCTGAGCTCAGGAGGTCAATAATCAGTTGAAGTTAAGCAACGTTGGACGCGGAGACTTCTTGGATGGGTGACCGTGTTTGGCAGCTTGACTCCTGAGAGTTTCTAGGACTTCAGTCCTGTCCCTCAACGAAGCACAAGCGATACACGTGGTCTCACCTTAGGGAAGTGAGTTTGTTCAAAATTGCATCTGTTCACCCAGCAGATAATGGGTATCCGATGGGATAAGTCATGTGTCTATTAACCTTCTAGAGGCTCACAGGCAGCTTAGATTATCTCGGGTAATAATAATAAGATTGTATGTTAGCGTTTTGAGCAGGATATGAAGCCTGGGAAGGCGCGTTATGAATATTCTACATTATTCTACATTGAAAACAGTGGAGAGTGGTATCACCTGTCACGACAGGATCCGCTGATTACTGTGATCAGTCATTCCTGATTTAACAGAGTGGGGTCTAGCATAAATGTTACCGTTTATTACTGACACCATGTTGAACACCTGTACATTAAGCTTACATACATGACTGACTGACTGACTGGCTGACTGAGTTTGGTTTTACGCCGCTTTTAGCAATATTCCAGCAACATCACGGCGGGGACACCAGAAATGGGCTTCACACATTGTACTCATGTGGGGATTCGAACCCGGGGTCTTCGGCGTGACGAGCCAACGCTTTACCCACTAGGCTACCCCACCGCCCCTTACATACACGAAGCAAGAATGGTATTCAAAGCGGAGTATTATTCAGTTTCATTGTGGGGCAGTGGTTTAGCTTAGTGGTTAAAGCGTTCGCTCGTCACCCCGAAGGCCCGGGTTCTATTCCAAACATGGGTACAATGTGTGAAGCCCATTTCTGGTGTCCCCGCCGTGATATTGCCGGAATATTGCTGAGTGCGGCGTATAGCTAAACTCGATCACTCACTCACTCACTCACCATGGCTACAGAGGTGTCGACGGTGTCGATCTCGGCGTTGCCAACGCTGCTGATGACGAATGCTGCACACACTTCATTTGGAACTGGAGGAATGTCACCAACATACTGGACATGTCGCATTTCCTTTTATTTGACATAAAGTTGCACTAATCGTTTCATTGACTTTGGATGACTGCACAAAACAGAACCAGATTCTGAATTGTAATTTTTTGTAACACAGAAAAACGCAATGTTGCCATTTAAAGTTCATAATGTCACACATTTTCGACAATACTTTGGCCTTTATCATATATAATGGGGCATATGAACTCACTGTAGCGTCATATTGATGCAATGAAAGACGTATTATCAATTAGACTTGCCTGAAATCGATAATTGAAACATCGAAGTGAACAGCTTCCAAACAGAGAACACTTGCCATATATGGACTGTAAACAATTGCTCCGTACATCGGTGTTTTCCGAACTATATAGTTTCAATCACTAAGTTGCGCGTAGGATATTCGTAAAGAACGCTCCAAGGGACATAACTCTATGGGGTTCGCTTGACATACTGTTCGGCCGGTAGAGGGCACGAGGGTCGATTTAATACAACCTTGCATTAATTCATTCGAAATTTTTAATTTAATATAGTAATCTCGGAACTATCATAGACAGTAAACTCACTTTCTCTCAAAATGCCAAGGCTATATACAAGAAATGTCAACAACGGATGTATTTTATGAGAAAGCTCAGATCTTTTAACATTGACAATACCATTTTGAATGTTTTCTATAACTGCTGTATCCAATCTATTTTACTGTTCTCTGTTCAATGTTGGTTCGGTGCCCTTTCTCTCCAAAACAAAAACAAACTGCAAAACGTTGTAACCACCTGTTCAAAAATTGTCGGCATGAATTTTAACCCCCTTTGTTATATGTATGAGAATCGTGTTTTAATGTCTGCTAACAAAATTTTATCCAACCCGTATTCCTCGTACCTAAAGTTCGCACAAAAAGGTCCCAAACATCTTTTATACCAGTTAGCATTAGACTTTTAAATGAATGTTAGACCCAGCCACAATTTTAAATGCATTTGACTACTAGTCTCTTACATTATACACTGGTTATCCTTCTCATCCTGTTTATTTGTGTGTTTAAGGTGATCGTTGTCCTTTGCTTAATTTGTTTTAACCATGCTGTATGCTTCACTGTTGTAAAAAGGAATTCCTTTGTCGGGCAATAAAGTATTATTATTATTAAATACGTCATTTTAAAAAAAATAAAATACTTGGTAGCTTCCCTGAATACTGATAGTTAATGTAATTGAGAGAAATGCATAATTTATTTTTTAAAGAAGTTTGGTGTGATATAGTGCCATTAATTATATGTAGTCATACTGAAAACGTGCAGTGGACGTCTATTAAACTGGTTGAAAACACCAACCTGTAAGTCTGCATGAGCCTTTACTATTGGCTTAGTCAGGGGATATTCGTCTTTACGGGTGTCATACGTCTGAGTGCCTGAAGACACAGGCCGTATCGAGTTGGTACCTCCACTCTGGAATCTTGCCGCTGCTTTCTCACCACACATGCCGAGCACATACTGAAGAATAGAAGGGGATAAGGTTTTTGTACATAGTACAATATTCGAGTCCCGTTACGCATGCATGACATCTGGTGTTTCTCACACATTAAGAGGACAAAGTGTGCTTGAAGTGCTGTGGAAACTCTGTGTAATAAACTGAAATATTGTCCAAGGTCTCGTTACTCATTCTAGGTCACCGACCAAGCCCCACTTGCCAGTAAGTGGTATATTCTCAGGAAAAATAATTTTGTTCTGATTTTCGAAGAAGCCAAATGTAAGACAGTTAATTTGCGATTGTACATTGTTTGGCATCTTAGAGGGAACATGGGTTGGATACTTCCAAGGGAGCTGAGAACATATAATTATGACTAACAATGTATTGGGCGATTATGATGTGAAATTGAAATAGTAATGAAAAGTCGGATATGTATTTGGATATTAATATGAATATATATTTACATACATCAACGTATCAGATATCTAGAATCGGTATAAAAGTAGTGATGATATCAGATGTTCGCGAAAATGTGAGCGCATACTGCACCACCGTTTGCTTCCGTTACAAAATTATTTAAAGACTAGTCAATCGTCCACCTGACCTAAAGTTGCAATAAATCGTTACTTTTGTCCAGAGCCTGATCACCCGATTAACAATTTAGCTGGATTTTACGACATGCATAAGGTGACCTGATCTCGAAACTCCAACGTAAAAATATGTTGAAATTATATTAGTCATTGAGTGAGTGAGTTTAGTTTTACGCCGCACTCAGCAATATTCCAGCTATATTGCGGCGGTCTGTAAATAATCAAGTTTGGACCAGAAATTCCAGTGATCAACAGCATGAGCATCGATCTGCGCAATTGAGAACCGATGACATGTGTCAACCAATCAGCGAGTCTGACCACCCAATCCCGTTAGTCGCCCCTTACGACAAGCATAGATTACTGAAGATCAATTCTAACCCGGATCTTCACGGGTCTGTATTAGTCAACAACAATGATATTTACAGTGACTGAATAATGTCTGCTGAGATTGTGATCAGTGTCGAGTCGCTATGTGTAACACATACAGATACCCCAACAGACATATTGCCAAGCATCTAGATAAGTGTAGTACAGAGACAGCGGCGACAGATACGATTATGTATACTGACTGACCTTGTAGAAGTGAGAGATAGACTACTATCAACAGCAATATTTGCAGCATCATACACTGAATGTGAAAGCTTGAATGAGTAACTGTGTTTGGCAGCTTGAATCCTGGGAGTTTTTAGGACTTCAGTCCTGCCCCACAACGAAGCAAGTGTGAGACGTGGTCTCACCTTAGGCAAGTGAGTTTGTTCAAACTTGCCTCACCCAGCAGAAAACGGTACTCGGTGAGATAGAGTCATGTGACTGTAACCTTCTAGTGCCTAACAGGTAGCTTGGGTTATCCTAGGTAGTAATGAACTGTCTATTTGTACGCCCTTTGAACATGAACGTGTATAATTAGCGCTACAGAAGCACTACAGAAGTATACATTATGATATTATTATTTGTTGACATATTTTTCAATAAGACATCAGTATGTGAGACGCATGCAGACATCCCCGTGGACATGACGTCTAACTTCGATATAGCTGAACATCGAGACAACAGCGACAAACACAATGATACGACTGTGTATATCGACTGACCTTGTAGAACAGTGAGATGGCCAGGTTCTTTCTGTAGGCTGTGCTCGATAACCCAGCTGTAGCGTCTGGGATCAACTCGGAGGATAGGCTGGCTACTGCGGCTAAAAGTTAAATAGGTTGGATAAAGATCACGTGTGCCTGTTTCTTCAAAACAATAAAAGTACGATTTACAACCACTGACACAGGTTGGATGTAGTAATTCATTCTGCCAACGATGTGAACACAGCTCTGAAACAGCATATACACCCTTAACATGGCATCTACCCCATTCTTCGCATTCACGAATTTGTTTATAGATTTGACACTATTCACAGCAACGTAGAAACTTACGACGGTCAATGTTAACCAGCTATTCTGTGGTGTACCGTCCATTATGAGAAGCCATTTTATCCATTCGATCCACACAAAAACCGGGCCACCACTAAATGTATCTCCTCGGGCCCTATATGTTAGACTGAGTGAGAGAGTGAGTTGAGTGTTTCTCCGCTTTTAGCAATATTTTAGTAATATCTCGGCGGGGGACACCAGAAATAGGCTTTATACATTGTACGCATGTTGGGAATCGAACCCAGGTCTTCAGCGTGACGAGCGAACGCTTTAACCACTAAGCTACCCCATCGCCCCCTTTTCTCTTAATGATCACAGCTCCGATACCACATACAGGAACTATGTACATTTGAATGTAAATCAAGATACATACATCTTACTAAGAATTGAAGCATTCCCCAATTGCCGGTTCCGCAGAAACGTCTCCGTCTTGCTGGGTGTGTACCGCGGAAAATAGCAAACAATAGTTAGCGGTTAACAATATACACAATGTCAGAGGGATGAACTGAAAATTCACAAAAACTTTAAGCGCATAATTTAAGCTGGATATATGATTTGTATGACAGCTTTGGAAAGCGTGAATGTTATATCGTGTACGAGAATGAGAAATACACGTCTTTAATTCAGCCAAAAAGGTAACAAAGTCATGTTATCCTTAAATGGCATTTAAAATATTACTTAAATTTAAAAATTATAGTAAATATTGGATGGCAAAATCTCTTGTTTTCTCGCACGTCCTTGTGTTCCGTAGTGCATGAAACGTTTCAGTTATCAGAAATTCTTATTACGCAAATCCTCTATAGCTAGTATTGAAGATGTACGTTGAAAGTTTGAGAAATGAATTTATATTACCTGATTCTGTTTGATTAAAGTATGAAAGCATAAAGTATGAAATGATAAGCTACATACTCAAATCGTCATTTCTCATGAACACAATCAAGGAATTTGTTTTGTCCTGGTATATTTTGTTTTGTTTTCTTTTGTTTTCACTTGATCCGCATTCTTGCATACGGGCGCGTGTGTTTGTGTACCTACCCATGTGTGCGGGTTTGAGTATGGAGTCGTATCGTTGTCTGGTTTAGCAATAGATGCAGCAAAACCCTTTCCACATGTACATGAAATCTCTGCCAAAAGCAGAGTCGATTGTGCAATTGTGACTATACCATGAGCAGATACTTGTTTCAGCTGTGTCACAGCTGTATGATGTTGTTTGTATACAAATCGGGTCTGAACCAGGCAATCTAGTGATTGTCACCACGCGATACGATGGCAGAGCATGTGTTTATGAATCACTATGAAATAGCGATGCTACCAGGTGTTCGCGAAAAGGTGAGTGTATCCTGCCCCACCGGTGGCACCCGTCATAAACATATTTTAAGTCTAGTCATTTGTTCGCCTGAAATAATTCGGGAACGTGGAGAATAATACTTTAATGCCTTTTCAGGAATGTGTGTTACATCAGCAGAGCTACTGACACATTAGAGAGATACCAAACATATTTACATAAATTCTTTGATTTAGGTATCTTCACATTTGTTTAAGAGAGATATGGTACTTGCAGTGTTAACAATTTTGTCTATTTTAGATTTGAAATGAACTGAGAGAGACCCGTACCAACTTAATGGAAGGAAAATGTAAAAATACTCTGAATAAATGCTACATAAAAAAGATGACATCACAGATGGGTTAACATTAAAAGATCTCAGTTTACGCATGAGATGAAGACGTTGTTGACACTTTTTGTATAGGGCTTCAGTGTTAGAGTTCCAGTTCAGCTTAGAGTAAATGAAGGTTCCCAGATACTTATACTCCGACACTGTCTCAACACATTCACCGTTGATTATCACTGGAAGCATTTCTGTGGGTTTACTCCGAAAGTCAATTATCAGTTCCATTGTTTTTGTGACATTTAAGAGTAAGTGGTTTCACAGCTGTATGATGGTATAAATCCAAACAGTAAATTGCATCCGACATAATTTTTGTCACTCATGCATCGAATTTGGAAATTTCCTCCACATGTCTACCATAAAACTTTTTGAAAGCTTTACTGAGGGCCTGAATGTTGTACCATTCGACCAAACAACTTCTGAACAAGAGTGTCATGACGCTCTTTGAAATCCCGATAAAAAGAGCACGCTAGATTGTACCTCAACAGTTGTGAATTGTAAACACCAAAGGCTGGAGCTGTTGGAATATTGCTTGACATGAAGGGGAAGTTGACTATTGAAAGTTGACATCATCCCTTTTGTCATACGGCTTTGTGGAGAGCTTTTTGTCACTCTGAATCGTTATGCGTAGATCTAAATATGAAACAGTGTATGTGGTCTCACTTATCTCCTTAATTTCAATTTGGGTACATCAGTGGAGGGCAATTTGCGATTTGAAGCTTATTGAACGATATTAAATCATCGATGTACTGGAAGCTTAAGTTAAACCTCTTGGCTTAAAAGTCATATGCATAAAAAAACAGATCCGCAAGGAGGGGTGCTCATGAATATACCTACTTCTGAGCGAAATGTTTTACCCAAAATTTCAATCAGCATTTCACATATTGTTTTCTCGGTAAGCTTCAAATGACATTTGCTTTCATTTTTGACAAATTTTCCTGAACCTCTGAAGATAGATATGTAGGTATATCTTTGTTCACCACGTGTGTTTACAAAAGCCCCACGAATCAAGGAATGAATTATTTCCTTAAGTTTGTTATCTGGGATAGTGGTATACAAGTTTGAAACATCAAATGCTTTGACAGAACGGAACTCGGTCCGATTCTGAGAGTGTAGAAATGTAAGCAAATCCTTTGAGTTCTTGAGAATCCACATAGTATTAATTCCGCTTGTCTCAAAATGGTTCTGTGAATATCGAGAAAGTCCTTTGTGATAGTATTAAGGATTATGAGACAGGGATTTGGTGGTACATTTGCTGGAACCAGCAATGAATCTCTCCTTGTAGGGAGAGATAATCGATAGCCAGTTGAACTTGGCCTTTTTTTCTCTGTTTCACATTATTGTTTTTTAATAAACTCAACAAAAGCAACACCACAAATTCATGTCAAAGGAATTTCAGCTCACACTTCTATCTAGTATGTACTGCCAGGTGCAAGGAGCATCGGGTATAATCTTATGTAGTTATATACTATACTGTCTTACATTTTCAATACATATGGGCGCTCTTCCTGCTTGCTTTCGTGAAACTGCGCATTTTTAAGAAATAAGTCTTCACCAGCTCACTTGCTTTTGTATACTCTTGACTCACCAGTGTCTTGTTGATGCCACCATACACCAGGGATGGTTTGGTCTTGACCAGGAAGTTGTTACTTCTGTCCAGCTGCATCCTGAAGCCTGCGGTCACATAGGCGTGGGCGTTCTGGAAGAAATGAGTGGAGTAACTGTTCTTCTCCAGCATGTTTGGTTTTGTTTAACGCCGCACTCAGCAATATTCCAGCAATATAGCGGTGGTATGTAAATAATCGAGTCTGGACCAGGCAGTCTAGTGAGCAACATCATGAACATCTATCTACGTCACTGGGATACGATGACACATGTGTGGGCGTTATGGAAGATAACTGTCCTTCTCCTCAAATGTTTGCTTGTTTCTTTGTTTCTTTGTTTGTTGTTAACTAAACCAGCCATATGGCGTTCTGTAAATAACGAAGGCTGAACCCGACAGTTCAGTGATCAACAACATGAGCACCAATCTTGGCAATAGGGATACGATGACATATGTCAACCAAGTCAAACCTGACCACCTGTTAGTCCCCTCTTATGACAAGTATGGGTTGATGAAGACAAATTCGAAAACGGATCTTCACGGTTCCATCTACAATGTAATGTCCGTGTATGAACTGTGCCTATCTTGTGGTACCTGATGTCTTGGGGTAATCTTGAAGGTCTTCACATAGACGTCTCCAGATGGGAATGTTGGAAGTGTGACAGACAGGATGACCTTGCCCTTCATATCTAGCTTCAAGAAGTCCATGAGGCTGTATGACTTCTCTGTGCCATCACTTGATCCTGCAAACAATATATAATAATAAACTCTTCGCAGGGCATTCATAAGTGATGCACATAAAACGGGGAACTTTGTGAATGTCAACTCCTGTTCAATGAGGTGAGGTGAGGTGAAATTGGGTTTAACGTCGTGTTTGAGAATATTTCGCTCATATGACGACGTGCATGCGTGTGTATATGTATGTGCGGCTGCTTGTACTAGCCCAGACTGAAGCTGGTTTTATAGTGCTAGCCCACTGAGATACCATGCCGCAGTGAAGCATGAATACCCCACTCAGACACATTATACTGACTCCGAGCCGACCAGTCCTTGTTGTACCCATTAATACCGAGCGCCAGGCAGGGACCAACAAGTACCATATTTTAACGTCTTTTGGTATGACGCGGTCGGGGATCGAACCCGCGACCTTCCGCTCTCCGGGTGGATGCTCTAACCACTACACCACGGAGGCGGTTTGTACAATGAGGAGTAAATGGAGCATATTGTCATTTCTACCCAAATGTTTATGATACTGACCGAGCACCATCAAGAACCACATGCTTGATATCATATTGAAAAAAAGAAGAAGATTAATCTTACTTTGTTTTTGACTATTTTGCACCCTAATCATTGCATACCAAACCTTCGTTGAAGTGCATGATGCAACCAGCGAATGACATAATGTTATATCCCTTTTAAATGTTACTATTTCCATTGGGATCAAAGATGTTAGGGGGCGGTGGGGTAGCCTAGTGGTTAAAGCGTTGGCTCGACACGCCGAAGACCCGGGTTCGAATCCCCACATGGGTACAATGTGTGAAGCCCATTTCTGGTGTTCCCCGCCGTGATGTTACTGGAATATTGCTAAAAGCGGCGTAAAACCAAACTCAGTCAGTCAGTCAGTCAAAGATGTGAGCTTGTTCAACATCTGTAAATAGTAAACAGAAGTGACGCAACAGATATTTAGATTATCATAGTAAATAATGACTATGTTAGAAACCTTGTGGAATGATCCAGTCAAAACCATGATTGGTCAAAAGTGTGTGATCCTATGATATTTTCCTGTTTGAATATTGTATATTCATAACGCCTACCGATGAACAGAGTTGCCCCGACTGTCTCTAACATGGTGAAGACATCAGACGGGAACTCAGTGTGGAGGTTCTTCAGCATCAGATTCCCTGCCCAGCTGCCCAACTGAAACAGGTGAAGTGTTCAGATAGTAACTTCCTGCCAACTGATGAAATGTTCATCTAGTTACTCATATTTCGGTAAGCCAATATCTTTCTGTGTCTTCTATATTGGACCAAACTAAGAAATTGCTCAGCTATACGTTTGTGTACTTGTCAGTCAATCTAAAGTGACGAAACTATGAAAATGTTCCCGTCCCTGCAACGAAGTGACAAAAGTTACTGTTTTATATAATCCATATGTTCTATAGTACATATGCATATCGTTTAAACTGGAATACCAGAGATTTGATTTGTTAATTTGTGGTTCCATGTTATAAATTTCTGTTGAGTGTTAGGATAGAGTGTATTATGATTTACAGGTACATTTCTAGAACTGTTTACTTCCTTTGATTTGGAAAAGATATTCTGATAAGGTATATATTCTGATATTGCATGCGATAAAGTTTGAACCATTCCGAATTATTGGATCCGATGAAATAGTTCGACTAATACATAGCACATTATCGTTAACAAACGTTCGACCTCAACCATTTATAAAGGAGTTCCAATTATCATAGTAAAATGTACATAAAAACTCGAGTTTGGGGGTTTTCAGTCATTGAGCTACACACACAGACAGTGATGCCATATATTGTTGTCTTACATTTCTCACTCAGATGTTACCAATGTAGGCCACGTGGCTGGCGAAGTCGCGGAAGTACGACAAAGCAGGGTTGGTGCTGTTTTTCTCAAAGACTTCCATCATGTTGGTCAGAGTGATGCTAGGTCCAAACATCACTTTGGAGGAGTCAATCTGTGGAATACAAAACAACAACAGTTGCATATGTGGTACTCCATGAGTGGGCTATGCAGGGTGTGTTTGTGAATTAACTGGGGAAAGTTCCAGTTTGGGTTATTTTGAAAACAAATCCGTTATGCTTTGGATTACTACTGCGTGTCAAGCATACCATTAAACCTGTGTACACTCAACTCACGGAAATGCTGTAAAACTCTTGGATTCCACGCAGGTCAATGAGGACATTATACATCCACGGTCCAATTTCTTTATATACACCTGGAAGAAATCAATGAGCAATACTTCATTCTGATGGATGAGAGACGTGTGTTCCAGTCATTGTCAGTCAAAGATACGACAGATCTGAGTCAAAAGAGTAGCAGTTAAGAGTTTTTGACACCCTAATATGTGATGATAGTCTTTATTATGTGGTTAGTGCTTCAGCATATAATAAAATACCCATCATAGTCGAATCATAATGTTGAAAGTAGTCTCTTTGACGTAATGGGCTTTCTTAAAGTACACGTTTGTCATCGGTCACAACTGTTTACCGAATCCAGAATTTTCAAACACGAGTTTCTGCGTTTCCTTAAAACACACGTTTGTCATCGGTCACAATTGTTTACCGAATCCTGAATTCCCAAACACGAGTTTCTGCGTTTCCTTAAAATACACGCTTGTTATTGGTCACAATTGTTTACCGAATCCTGAATTCCCAAAACACGAGTTTCTGCGTTTCCTTAAAATACACGCTTGTCATCGGTCACAATTGTTTACCGAATCCTGAATTCCCAAACATGAGTTTCTGCGTTTCCTTAAAATACACGCTTGTTATTGGTCGCAATTGTTTACCGAATCCAGAATTCCCGAACACGAACCTGTAGTTGTCTCCCTGGTGTCGACCGAGGAGGGCGTAGAGCTGCTGCCTGGTGGTGGGTTTGTACCACTGTGACCCCTGCAGTACAATGTGGAGGGGGACCTGCTCCGGGTCAGTCTGTCTCTCAGATGAACAGCGTCCTGTGCAGGTCTTCCCGGTTTTGCTGCATATCTTCTTGTCCAGTTCCTAGAAAAAAACAGTAGATGGAGGTAATGAGTAAATGTTCAATGTCAAAAGATGAAATGAATAATCATAAAATATGTATAACTTTGCAGATAACACTTATTGATCCTTAAATACATTTTTTATGCTTGTAATTTTGAAGGACAAAAATCATTGAGGAGGGCACAGAGAACATAAGCCGCCGGGATCAAGTGTGTAGACTCAGGCACAAAGGTACTTAATACATGTATATCTTCCAGACAACTTGTAACTTCCATGTGATACTTGCATTGATTGCTCGCTTCACGTGTCTAATGTATGAGAAAATGTTAAGATTTGTAGTTTGTCAACTATTCCGTTCTCATGCCACCAACACAGTAGACATATCGAGCAGTTTCAGACGTCTTTATTTCGAATTGCCAGAACAATGCCAGAAGAAGTCCTTATTCACCTCAATGTCAATAGCACCGCCAGGCAGGGTTGGTGGGGCGTCTGAGGCAAAGGACTTCATAGCGTCCAGAATCGGGGATACCCTGAAAAGAGAGGAACGTTTATAGTTTTGAACATTTTGGTATGACAAGAACTCCCTAAAACGTATTTACCTTTATATGGTTACTTTTTGTGTCAAAAATGTTGTCTGTACAGAGAATGGACATAGTGATTTTATAAGTGTACCTTGTATGCTTGTCAGCAGATCAAAGATTTACACGACCAAGTTGTAGACTCCGTGGATTATTCAAATATGTTTTGTACAATTTTCTCACAAATTTGAGTACAAACATATATATATTCTAAAACAGATACACAACGTCCGCATGACATCACATACAATATACTGAAATCTTTACTTCGTATGACCAAGTCTGGTTAGCAACAACTTTGACCCTTTGGATGAGGACGGCGAGGTGGGTATATAATGTTATATAGTTTAAACATGTTGTTTGTCAAACAGGTATTTTATCCCATACTGTACCATATCGTGAATTAGCTGATATATTCTTGCATGGCTTTAAATGTCATAATTAATAGATAGTTGTGCTTCGTCATCGAAGAATGTATCCAAGCCTCTTTTCATGTATGTGTCGTTAGTCATATATATTAGGCGACATGTTACAAGCATACCACAAAAAAGATTCACCAGTTGAAGAAGACAAGGCAAGCAAAAAAGGTAAGTTTTGAAGGTGCACTTTAATTTTGACTTGCCAGGTTTAAAACATCACACTGACCTGTACATCGGCAAATAGTTGCATCATAGTTATTTTCCACTTGTTGCATTGTGGGGTTGGGTGTTCTCTTCAGGAGGCTGAAATGTTTATAGTATTTAAGAATGACGTTTTGACGTAAATCTGTATATTGTTTTTCGATATTTCTCATATTAACCATCAACATATATTCTGCATGCACGCATACTGAAAACATTGCAAGACACGTTCATCAATGAAGCTGTATGATCCACTGTAACGAATCTGTAATCATACACAGGAGACGTATATTCATGTTGTCAGTTTCAGACTATAGATCAAACGGGGGTAACATTAGGGCGTCAAATATTTAGGTTACCATTTAATATATCACGTCAGGGCTTGTTTGCAGTATTAAGATAAATTGATCATGTCAGTCTCAGAATACTTTTGTTGTCATGTTCCATGTCATCAATACAAGAACTCAAGCATGATGTTATATAAGCAGCAGGTGCAACTTGTTTTGTCAGGTGAAGCCAGGTTATTACCTCAGGTTTCATTTCCTTGCACCAAGCCCTTGTTTAACATGTTTAGTGAATGTGTTGGATTTAACGCCATATCATCAAGAATAGGGCCCGGTATTGGCAAAGGAATTGTATTGCAATATATTGCGATTCAGGTACCCGTATGGCGATATATTGGGAACTTAAGTGCTTGACAGTGAGTGACACGAATTGTGCATTTCGATCCTATGTTCTGTATTATAAGTCCCTGTACATATATGTTATGGTTCTGATAACAGCAATCTTAGAATGTGTTGCATAGTCAGGATTCTATTTTCTATACTTTATAGTATTACACTAGGCCGTGTTGTCACTGAATAACGAAGGAAAACATTTGTTGTGAATGAAATCTGTGTAGATTTTAATTTAAACAATACAGATAATCACACAGACGTCATGACTGACTGAGTTTGGTTTTACGCCGCTTTTAGCAATATTCCAGCAACATCACGGCGGGGGGACACCAGAAATGGGCTTCACACATTGTACCCATGTGGGGATTCGAACCCGGGTCTTCGGCGTGACGAGCCAACGCTTTAACCCTTAGGCTACCCCACCGCCCCCCACAGACGTCATTTATGTTCTTCACTTAATATAGCGGTTCTCAGAAAAAAAATAAAAATTACGTTGAAAAGCGCATTGCGATAAACCGGTATACCGGTTATATCGCGCAGTCCTAGTTTACAGTAAATTCCCACCTGAATTTCCATGAAGCTTTGTGAGCCCAAATGTAACAGACCCGAATGTGGCTCTGTGTACGCTTTGTGAGGACTGTTGATTGTACTTTTGAAAACATAAGTATGTCCATGTTTCACTGAGTACGCAGCGCTATAGCAAGAAATCGAAAGAGTTGTTAATCTTACCCATACATATTCATAACCATGGCTGGACTACAGAAGCCACACTGAGAGCCATTGTACTGTGCCAGACGGTCTTGTATCGGGTGTAGGCCATCCCTGGGGTTGCCCAGACCCTCGATGGTTGTCACTTGCATGCCGTCACACGTGTACAGGGGAACCAGACACTAAAGGAAGTAAATCGCCTTACAGTTTCCTGTGTATATTCAACAAACATACCGACCGCCTCTGTGGTGTAGTGGTTAGAGCGTCCGCCCGGAGAGAGGAAGGTCGCGGGTTCGATCCCCGACCGCGTCATACCATAAGACGTTAAAATATGGTACTTGTTGGTCCCTGCCTGGCGCTCGGTATTAATGGGTACAACAAGGACTGGTCGGCTCGGAGTCAGTATAATGTGTCTGAGTGGGGTATTCATGCTTCACTGCGGCATGGTATCTCAGTGGGCTAGCGCTTTAAAACCAGCTTAAGTCAGGGCTAGTACAAGCAGCCGCACATACACATACACACGCATGCACGTCGTCATATGAGCGAAATATTCTCAAGCACGACGTTAAACCCAATTTCACCTCACCTCAACAAACATACCACCAATGAGATCTAATTGATATTGAACTTAGAGATGTCATTTCACAATTTACACCTTTCATGCCATTAATGTTATTATCGAACTGCGAATAACTAAACATTTGGCGTAGGTGCCAACAGTACCATCAGTGTGACCATCATTGACATTTTAGCGCAGTCCAGAGAGACCATCGTGAACAAAGTACAAAGTATTGTACATTAGATTCTTACCGAGTTGACTGTGTAGGTCTGCACGGCCTTTGTGATGGGATCATACAGTGTGGTAGTGACGAGGCACACGCCACACCCTCCCTCTATACACATGGCCTTGGTGCCATAGGACACGCCATGGGACCTCATGAACTCATTCAGGGACAGGGCTGCAGCATACTCGTTGCCAACTGAAAGTATTATCCAAACACATATACACTGAAAGTATTTTCTTTATAACTAGAAATAAATTTGATCACAACTTGACATAACCGTAGTGGTATACTGGTGGAAATTCTAATAACATATTGTGTAGTTGTGAAAACCTTTTTATTAAAACACGCCTAAATTCATTAATCAAATATTCTGGTGCCCCCCGCCGTGATGTTGCTGGAATATTGCTAAAAGCGGCGTAAAACCAAACTCAGTCAGACAGTCATTAATCAAATGACATTAAATTTGCACAAAACAATTGTCATAGTTCAGTCTTGTTTAAGAAATGATGACACGTGAACAAAAAGATCTCCCAAATGTACCTGTGAATGAAATTCCATTGATAGAGAAGGTGACCGATGATTTGAGAAAACCTGTGACCTTGAACTTAAAGAAGTGGCCACAGTTTTCACAGGTAGAAGCATAGACTCCATCCTTCAGCTCTCCCTTCTTTGGGGCGTGGCTGTGGAGGAAGTTGTCTAAGTAAGAACTGGTTATAAATAAAAATTTAATCAATACGACCAAACTATTTCGTCAGACTCATTAATGTGTGTTCATTATTTTGAAACTTGTATTGAAAATTAGTACTTGATCTTTGAGGCTTAAGGCATGGAGCCTCGATAAAACACCAAATACAATAATTTTTCCAAAATGAAGGCAAACGTCATCTAAAGTATATTTTGAAACATGTGAAAATCTTAATTTTCTACATTAAGATCCGATCTTGCTGATCTATTTCTTTATGCATAAGAGCCAGAATGTTTGCAAAATAGGAAAATTGGAAACAAACAAAGATTTTTGGCAATAAGTGAAGTTTTAGGTGCATTTATATCGATGATCTGATATGGTTTAATAACGACCAAATAGACTATTCGCTACCACTGATGTACCCATCCGAGCTAGAAATATCTCATCTTCATAGACAGGAATAACGATTCAGGGTGACAAAACCTCCATATAACTGTGTGACAAAACGGGATGACATTCAAATTCTAAATAGTATGGACACATTCTCCAAGACAGATATAAACGTAGTTTACAATTTGCATTGTACATGAGCAGAACTGTGAGAACAGTATAGTTTCACAAATGTCTTTGCATTGCATATATGTTCTTTATATGTTGATATCTCCATTTCTTTTGAGGCACAAGGAACATGGTTTCTTTTCGCTTCATGTTGAGTGACACTAGTCGTTTGTGACTTCACTTCAAGACTTTAATGGGCACACTCTCCTCACAAAGGATTTGGCGTCATACAACTGTAATGTTCTTTGACCAAGGTTACAATATATGGGGCCTCAGATAAACTTTCAACAGTTCAATGTTGTACAGGTGCAGACCATTGCGAAATTTATCAGTGGCAAACAATTCCATAAAATTGATCTTCAGTAACCCATGCTTGTCGTAAGAAGCTACTAACGGGATCGGGTGGTCAGGTTCGTTGGACTTGGTTGACACGTCATCGGTTCCCAATTGTGCAGATTGATGCTCATGCTGTTGATCACTGGATTGTCTGGTCCAGACCGCCGCCATATAGCTGGAATATTGCTGAATAACACTAAACTCACTCTATTTTTATCGAAACATGTAAAGAATTGTATCTGCGGGACTCTGCAAACAAACATATTTTGTTACTCCAGATGCATTGAACCATATATCTTATATAGTCTCCCTGATTGAACACTGGTTAAAGATTGCACTGACTGTGAAAGAAAACAAATCGATATTCAGTTTTTGAATACTTAATTGTATTTATGTATTCTGTGTGGAAATGCATCCCATTGAAGCTGTGCTGGTATCGTGCACTGATGAAGTGCTTGTTAACTACAGGAAAAAACATTATCTGTGTGACTGTCATTGCAGTGTCAAACATTCCAGTATTTATTTTAACATCCACTTTCATGACATTGTTTCAGAACACTGGGTTTGATAGGTTTGTGTAATGTTCATGTATACAATTCCATGTCTGTTAATGTAAATACTACAAACAAGGCAAAAATGCTAGGATTGAAGCAACAAGACATGTATCCTAATCTCAAAGCTGCAGCAGGAATGTAGTTGTGAGAATATTCTTGACAATATTTAACAGTTATCTCAGAAATTCCATATTTTGTGAAGGATTTTGCAATAATAGTAATATATTATTTGCTTATGAGTATTTTTCAAGGGGATTGTATCATAGTGTTGTTGTTTTTTCGTTTGATGTTGAGATTCACAATCTATACATTGTCTTTCATCACTGGCTGATCACATCATCAGATGAGTTGTACACATTATTATGTTCCAAATGTTGATAAAAGTGTGAAGAAACTGGAGATATTTGTTGTAGTTTTCAGACTCTTGGATGAATATCATTATGGGTTCAAGAACTTCAATCTTTCCAGGTTTGTACCATACCAGCACATTCCCAGGTGCACAGCCCTTCTGAGTTAATGGGTAATGCAGATTCCTGGAGTGTTGGGGAGCCTTTATAATTCTCTGGAAAGTTGTTGGTGGGTTTGAATATGAGAAGTCCCATTGACTGTCTGGGCTGTGTGAAGAGGGGGCAAGGGTACGATCACAAGCCTGACTAAGCCAGGGCCACCCGACTGCATTATATTCTTTAATATGTAAACAACAGTCAAACAATAGAGCCAAACACCATCAGTCAAGTCAAGTGTGAGGACATGGTTTGATTAGAGTGGAGGCGCTTCATGAGGACATTTTATGGTGCACATTTATTCTCTTATGAATCATTTCAAATAATGCTCTTGATGAAAACAGGGCATTCCACAGATATCTAAAAAGAGCCCAGGATGGGGAACAGAATCAATGCAGATTTTATTACGGTTCTGTAGGTACAGAAATATGTGTCAACCAAGCAAACTGCCACATGAAATCAGCACAGACTCAGTTTTTCATTTGATTAAAACCGACATATAGAACACAGACAGTAGAACCATGCCACATTTGGCTGGCTGGTCGACAGCAAATCATTTTATTACATCAATCAAATCAAATCACGGGCCTATGAGTACAAAAACACCTCAGCGGTGCAGACATGAAATAAAATGATAACAATGAAAGCATGTATAATATATACAATCTTAATATGACAAAATTGATTTCCTTTTTTCGAATGCATAAAACAGATATTTAGCAGTATTCAAGGAAATGTCTTCATTTTTGGATGATAACAACGAATTGAATTTTAGTATATTGGGGAAAACATAGAATTGCGACAACAGATATTTTATTACATAATTAAGTGGTATTGCACAAAAGCGAAAACTGCATTCTATCCAAAACAATAAACGACAACGTTAATATATGCATATTTCACCAAATACATTTGATCAGCCAACCTGAGCATCAGATGTCCAACCTTCTGTGAAGAAAACTCGCGAGCTGTTCAAAACACTTGAGTTACGCGCTGACAGCGTTCAAAACTGACATTTTATGAACAAGTGACTTTATTTCACTCGGTTGGCGGCGTTCAATACCTGTGCTTATGCTTATTGACACAGTAAATTGTTGAATATTTCTCAATCTCGCTTCCATTTTCTCCAGGCCCGCCATGTTTGTTTTTCTTATGTATATTCGTGCGTCGGCGCCGAGTTTTGTCGATTACGTTCAGACCAAAAGAATCATTTTATTGATATTATAACAGGTATTCATCTTATTCAGACAATGAAAAAACATGTGTGCCTGAACGAAGAAGTGAACACTCATTAGTTTACTGTCAGAGAATTTGGATTTCGTAAATCAAATTTTCTGGGATTAATAATGTTGAAATTTAATTAAACAAAATTGGAAACATATACTAAATAGAGTATTACAAGTGTTCATCATATTTCACTAGTCACAGTAAATATCTTAACTTGTACATCACGTCACTTGTGAACATATCACGTCTTTCATGCCTCGCAATGCCAGATCAATCATATTTATAAATCACATATTAATGTCCTCCATGCCTTAGCCCGTACGGGGCGATGGGGTAGCCTAGTGGTTAAAGCGTTGGCTCCTCACACCGAAGGCCCGGGTTCGATTCCTCACATGGTACAATGTGTGAAGCCCATTTCTGGTGTCCCCCGCCGTGTGGTTGCTGGAATATTGCTTAAAGCGGCGAAACCACTCACTCACTTAACCCGTACATCTGAGTTTGAAACAAAATTATTTGTTCCCCATTTGAAATGTGTTAGATCATGTCCGTGGCAACGAATGCAGGTAGTAAGGGAGACTATGTTTATCGGATTTCCAAGCTTGTTGATAAAGATGATTAAAGTGCAAATACCCAGATGTAACTTCGCTCATAATGTCAAACACTAGATTCTTTCTAGCAAGGTAGGGGATTAGGGTAGCATAGTGGTCAGAGCGCTCGCTCGTCACGCCGAAGACCCGGGTTCTATTCCCCACATGGGTACAATGTGAGGCCCATTTCTGGTGTTCGCCCGCCATGATTTTGCTTGAATCTTGCTAAAAGCTGCGTAAAACTAACTCACTCACTCTGGGCATGATCCATAAATTTTAGCCCGCCTGTATATACTGCTGTATTTAATAACAAGCAAATAAAATAAACTGTATTGGTTTAAATGGTTAAGTAATAATTGACTTTATATGTAATGGTTATACAGTTTGTGATTCTTCATTCTTGGTCATTAATTTTTATATATTATTATTTTGTTCTGTCATACCTCATGGATGTCATACCTCATGGATGTCATACCTCGTGTAATGTCATACATCGTCATAGACAATCACATACTACATATATAAAGTGTCATTCACTGAAGGAAAGCCAATAGCAAACACAAACTGTTGGCGACAAGTGTCATTTTAACACTGCATATTTCCTTAATTCCTTAGGTGTGATTACTCCTTCTCAACATGGTCGAAATGAGTCATGGCGACCTATGTCCCATACACCAACTGGGAGGTGTCGAGCTGACAGGCTGTCTGAATCACCTCCACTGTTGCTGGGCCGTCTACAATAGATGGACATATATTTAGTTTTCATTTGGTGTAATTTATGCGATAAACTTGCTATCATGTATTTAAATTGTGCCATGCTTTAATGAAATGTATGCGTGCCCTTTTTGTGTTTTAACTATTGCCTTAACCTTCCCTAGAGGTGTTTCTCGGTGTGAAGCCGTTTCTATAAACCATGGCTACTCACTCACTCACTGACACGCTCACTCACACAAACACTTGCTGGCTCGATCACATACTCACTCACAAATTCGCTCACTCACTCACATGTCATCAGTACTATGTTGAACTGCTTATCAATGCCAACATATAAACAATGATCATACCGAGACGGAAAAACGTGTCCTGCGTGATTTCCTTTCTGGCAGCCTCGATGGCGTGTTTCACAGCAAACAAAGCTGATACAGACATACACAGGGGTGGCTCGCCCACAGCTGAAACACAACATTTGTCTTTGAAATACCTCGAGATAATACTGGACTTCAACAACAAAAATGTAACGTACCCTTTTTATTTTACCTAACACATATTCATGAAGTTTGTTGGTTGTTGTTTATAGAGATTATTAACCGAGTGTGTTTCCGTATCATTAATATCATGTGTTAGGAATAAAAATTGTAGTATGCGAGCCTTTACGCAAGCCTAATCTCTTTATCATATAATGTCGTTCTTAAAATAAATATAAATAAGGCAAATCGTATTTATATGAAGAGAATCGAGCATTCGGGCAAGAATACTTAGTGGTACATCAAGGTGAAGGTCTTTCATGACAGCATATGGTTGTGACTAGCAGCTAACATAGTGCAAACATAGCTCTTGCTTTAGATAAGTCATGTTTGTGCACAAACTCGCCCACGCATTGGTAAACCCCCTGTAAACTCGCCACGACGTCATCAATGAAATGTTAACATGTTAGGCACTCTCCTACCCAGAGTTCCGTGCGGCAAGCCAGCATAGTATCTCTGCCAACGGCCAGAAAAATGTGACGATTCGTCACATCTTGCAATGTCCATTCAATATAATGTACAGATTTCTTTTACTATTTTATTTTTGACGAGTGTACACATCTAACTAAACATCTTTAATAGAATTGTTTAGTTTCACTGAGAATATCTAAAAACATGTGACACTTTTTCGATTTGCGTAGCGATCCTTTGTTTACATAGATTGTACGGCTCCACGTGCTGTCATCGAAGCTGATGGAGAGCAAACGATGCAGCCAGTTTGATATCTAAATATGTACTGTCATAGACCTTACTGTCGCAGTTGTGGAAGAATATATATGTAACAAAGTAAAACGTTATGAAGAGAGCGCCGAAAAGCTTTCGTGAGTCCAGTCTCTTATTATTATGAATATGCGCGTTTGTTTACAAACAAGAGAAAAGTCCGGTCACGTGATATGCAAATTAGCCTGTGGCAGTGATGTTATATTAGTCATCGCTATGCCGGAGTGTGCATTTTAGGATTTGCATGGCGTGTATGGAGTTTTGTGAAAGTAGTTCGTGTAATGACCTAATTTGCATATTTATCAGATTTGGACACCAAGTTTATCAGATTGCTTTATTGCACCGATAACAACCTCCGTTACATGATAAAACGCCGTAGAATGGTATATTGCTATGTGACGGCGGTGTGTACATATTCTACTCTGACAGGCAATCAAGTGATTGACATCATGAGCATCGATCTACGCGGGTGGGATACGATGACGTGTGTCAACCAAGTCAACGAGCCTGATCACCTGACCGCGCAGGTCTCCTTTCACAAGCATTGGTTGCTGAAGATCAATTCTAACCAGGATCTTCATGGTTAATTCAATTAGACCTCGCTATATGATAACGTTATTAACATAAATGCCCTTCTTGTCAAGACCGCCTCTGTGGTGTAGTGGTTAGAGCGTCCGCCCGGAGAGCGGAAGGTCGCGGGTTCGATCCCCGACCGCGTCATACCAAAAGACGTTAAAATATGGTACGTGTTGGTCCCTGCCTGGCGCTCGGCATTAATGGGTAAAACAAGGACTGGTCGGCCCGGAGTCAGTATAATGTGTCTGAGTGGGGTATTCATGCTTCACTGCGGCATGGTATCTCAGTGGGCTAGCACTATAAAACCAACTTAACTCTGGGCTAGTACAAGAAGCCACACATACACATACACACGCATGCACGTCGTCATATGAGCGAAATATTCTCAAGCCCGACGTTAAACCCAATATCACCTCACCTCACCTTCTTGTCAAGGAGGCCTTCAACCCAGCAATACAACATATTAGTGGTTTACAGCTTCTAATCAGTTATTTGGAGACTAGTAACAGACGATTACTATTTAATTCCAATAACAGCAGACCTCGAAGGATTTAAAACAAATGAGAGTTATCTCCCCTAGACTTGTGACTACAGTATATGAAGTATCAACATATCAAGTTGCCATGGTGACTGTTGTTACCTTTTGCTCTTAGGACTCCACGTGGGTTTGGAGCATTCTTCAAGAACTGGATACGGAAGTCGATTGGAATGTCCTTGCCCATTGGAGGTTTGTATTCCTGTACAGACGGAACAACAGTGTATCTTTACCGTAGATCTATGCATGTATATAGTTACTGGTCTAATATTGTCCACTAAGATTCAAGAGTATATATTTTACAAATTCAATAAAATGACATATCACAGTGGCCATACCGGTTTTCGAACATTGTCATGGATGCATTCCTTTATTTCCTGTAAGTTCTGAAGTTCCCTTATCCGTTAGGAAGATATAACTCCTACATGAAATGGGATATGTCTTTCGTGATACCCATGCGGTGTCATTTCACCTCTAATGACGACCAGGACGGCTTCTTCAAAACATCTTCAGTAGCTTTGCACATTTGGTTTGTGAATATCTTTATTGCAATTTCAATACAATGATACAATATCTTCAATACAGTAAACCCATTACATTTTGTGAATTTACTGAAATGTTTTCATTTGTGATAATATATATAAAAGTATTGATTACCTTAAGCACCTTGACCAAAAGTCTCTTGTTCAGATAATTTTCGTTGTTTATCCACATTATACTTTGGGACCAGATAACTTGATGAAAAGGTTTAGACATATAGGACCTCTAGGTAAAACGTTGACGTTCTGTTGGTCTTGTACGTATAACTTGGGTTAAGTACACTTTGCGTGGCTTTTTTGTTTGTTTTGTGGCTTGTCACTCACCCAAGTTCCATCAGTCAGGGCGGTACCAGTCTTGGGGTCATATATCATCTCTTCGTTCAAAAAGTAGCCCAATCCCATCACAAATCCTCCTTCAACTTGGCCGATGTCAACATCTGGGTTAATGCTGAGAAAACAGGTAAACAAATATATTTAGAAATGGGGTATTCATCTGGTACAAAACATGTCTCTGGGTCATCAGTGAATATCCTTTCAGTCAATGCCAAACAAAAATGTATTTTCAGCTGGTCAGTGGTCAATAATGACACGCTTGTTTCCCTCCTGCAATGCCAATAACACGCCCTCCTCAAGAAAACACTGTCACATACACGCATCACATCTCGCTCCTCTCTCACATCTCAACAGACTTATAACAGCATTCCTCCGCGTCTATTGGCTTCTCCTATCACCACCACACCAACATCTTTCCCGACACGATGACATCTCATCTACTCTGCTTAGCAACAGATGAGTCAAACTTCAGTTACCTTTCTCCACAGGAGGTCCTCTCTGTTCTTCTTTACTTTCGCAGGAGTCATATAGTATTATCCACTCTGTCGGTCTTACCTCTCTCCACAGTCATACAGTAGGTCCACTCTGTTGGTCTTACCTCCCTCCACAGTCATACAGGATGTCCACTCTGTTGGTCTTACCTCTCTCCACAGTCATACAGTAGGTCCACTCTGTCGGTCTTACCTCTCTCCACAGTCATAGAGTAGAGCCACTCTGTTGGTCTTACATCTCTCCACAGTCATACAGGATGTCCACTCTGTTGGTCTTACCTGTCTCCACAGTCATACAGTAGGTCAACTCTGTTGGTCTTACCTCTCTCCACAGTCATACAGTAGGTCAACTCTGTTGGTCTTACCTGTCTCCACAGTCATACAGTAGGTCAGCTCTGTTGGTCTTACCTCTCTCCACAGTCATAGAGTAGGGCCACTCTGTTGGTCTTACATCTCTCCACAGTCATACAGGATGTCCACTCTGTTGGTCTTACCTCTCTCCACAGTCATACAGTATGTCCACTCTGTTTGTCTTACCTCTCTCCACAGTCATACAGTAGGGCCAGTCTGTTGGTCTTACCTGTTTCCACAGTCATACAGTAGGTCCACTCTGTTGGTCTTACCTCTCTCCACAGTCATACAGTATGTCCACTCTAGTGGTCTTACCTCTCTCCATAGTCATACAGTAGGGCCACTCTGTTGGTCTTACCTCTCTCCATAGTCATACAGGGTGTCCTCTCTGTTGGTCTTACCTCTCTCCACAGTCATACAGTAGGTCAACTCTGTTGGTCTTACCTGTCTCCACAGTCATACAGGATGTCCACTCTGTTGGTCTTACCTCTCTCCATAGTCATACAGTAGGCCAACTCTGTCGGGCTTACCTCTCTCCACAGTCATACAGTAGGTCCACTCTGTTGGCCTTACCTCTGCCCACAGTCATACAGTAGGTCCACTCTGTCGGTCTTACCTCTCTCCACAGTCATACAGCAGGTCCACTGTGTTTGTCTCACCTCTCTCCACAGTCATACAGCAGGTCCACTGTGTTTGTCTCACCTCTCTCCACAGTCATACAGTAGGTCCACTCTGTCGGTCTTACCTCTCTCCACAGTCATACTGTATTATCCACTGTTGGTCTTACCTCTCTCCACAGTCATACAGTAGGTCCACTCTGTTGATCTGGTTCTCCCCGGTCAAGATGTCCACCTCAACTTCAGTACACGTGGCACCGTAAATGTTGTAGTTACTGAAGTCCCCTGTTGGATATGTTCTGAAAATGACGACATCGATGTAAAGTATCTAGGAATGATTAGATTTACCTAACAGATCATGGGGCAGTAAGATGGCCCAGTGGTTAAAATCTTACCTCATTGAATCCAAGTTTTACGTTCAATTTCCGATACTGCTAAGATGTGCATATCGTCAGTCAACCCTCACTAATGATTGGAACCTTTCAGCCAAACTAAACCCCAGTAAAACACTCTCCATGTGTCCTCCCTGCAAAAACAAACATTGCTATCTTTGCAGGTGTCGTTCAAGCCTGCTACCGTGCGTGTCCAACCTTGACCTAGTCGACTGAACGACACCTCTTGCTCTGAAACTACGAAGCATGTGGATGAAACCTTTTGAACTGGCAGCCTTTACGTCACGAACGGCTTCGAACGTTCCAGATTTGATGGATGATGTTGACGCAAACGTTTCGCTCACGCCACAAATCCTCAACGGTTTTGGGGTACAGTCACATTGACCACTACGACGGTACGTCTAAGCTTTATGTCTGCGGTATACTTACGAGCTTCTAGCTGACAAGTCCACTCCTTGGGCGTAGCACTGAGCTACCAGCTGCTGCCAGGTGGGGTTCGACATCTTGGCCTTGACCGGGGCCATCCGGGTCTTCAGTTGCTGACAGCACTGCACGACTCCCTTTAACAAGACATTTGCACTCCCGTTAAAGAAACGTTTCATGAGACATTTCTGCTCAAGTGCATTGTACGATTCCGAATCTGTTATCATAATAAGTGTCAAATATGAATACGCAATCCAATTTGGAAAGTGGTCAACTGTAACACGTTATATTTGGTATTGCACTTTTTTCAGTAAAGCACAGATTTTAGAGCTTTTGTTGAGTTGAGTCCCATCCAGGATTCCAACCCATACCCTCAATCAGGCACGTCATCGCCAGCACACAAAGTCAGCCATCTAACTCACTCAGCCACCACGGCTTCAGAACAGTGTAAAATGGTGATATTACGAAGGGTTCGCAAAACCACACCCTCAGTCAGGCACCTAATCGCCAGCACACAAAGTCAGCCATCTAACCCACTGAGCCATCAAGGCTTCCAAATAGTGCCAAATAGTGATAGTACGAGGTTTCGAGAAAAGGTGACCACATGCCAGACACATCATCACTATTTGTTTTTGATGGTTTTTTAATTTATTTACTGATTTGAAGAAACATATAAAGTGGCAAACCCACCTGACACGAAAACGGACTGATAATTTATAAATGGTCTATGATGGACAACTCACCAGAGCGTTAACATCGGACGCGCGGCTGCCTCCAGTAATGAACGAATCTGAGTTGGTAAAGGTGGTCGTTGGTTTGACCTTGATCGTGTCGATAGGGATACCAAGCTCAAAGGCGCATACTTGCATCATCTGCAGAAGAGAAGATATTAGTGATGATCATTGTTATTATAAAAATGCTCATTTTTTATTGTGCTTTCTCAGTGCCACTTATCATATTGAAAGCGCAGATGTTTGCATTTTCTTCGACCAACAGTTTTATGTTATGTGAATATTATTATATACGATGATGATTTTGTGTGCGATGTTTCCATGCTAGATATACTCAATGTGCATGAAATATTTTGTTATACTATGCATTGAATCTTTCCGTAATTTTTAATTTTTATTTAGGGAGAAACTGCTCTGCCGCCATTAAGCTGTTTGTAAATATTACAGCTGACTAGACAAATTCTACGGGCATCGCAGTGCATGAACAACACTATTTTCGTTTTTAAAGCATACCAAAAATGCACTTATGAGGTACATGTTTTCTTAATTGATAAAATGATGACGATGATGATTTTTTATGCTAGAAATGCACGCATGAGACATTGTCCTTAATTGAACAACCTTTATGTTTAATCCCTGCCCGAGTTCTACACCGCCGACAGAGACTGCCACGGATCCATCACCGTGGTAGATGGTGACGTAGACGTTGAAGATGTCTTTCGCGTAGTCCATGTTCCAGCGCAGTGGCATCACTTCAATGCCCTTCTTCTTCCATCTGTTGGCCTACAAGTGATAGAGCAACAGCACAGAGCTCTAATTTCATATATTTGGATATTTGGATATTTTCTTTCTTACTTTAAGTTATACAACTATATTTGCCGATATTCAAAGCAAAGCCGTTTTTATACTGCATATTTTTACGAACATTAAGAACACAAAATTGTTGATCTTACAACCTCAAAAAGAAATGTTCATTTTTAGATCATCCTCGATAATCTCAAGGATATACATTCCGATAAATCTCTATCGGAACGTATACCCTGGAGATTATCGAGGATGGTTTTATATGTGCTGCTGGATAAAACCACCTTAGCACTAAGGTTATCGTACCACCACACCTTAACATAGACTTCCAACAGACTTAGCACTAATGTTGTATTGTACTAAGGCAGCTTGTGAAAAGCGCCTGTTCTTTAAAGTATGTAAGTCAAAGGATGCTTGGGATCTTATTTACCCACGAACTCAATACCAGATGTAGGTGGACATCATGTGACCATCTGAACCATCATTTTCTAATCAGGAGATTTTGACAGACAAACCAAGCTCTGACCATGCTAAATTTTTAAGTCTTGTAGTAGCCAACGCCGTTATGTCTGAAGTATGTGCTAAAGAATGTTATGTACTGAAATTACACTTAATTCTCGGGTACTGGTTTTTCAGTTTTGTCGAGTTATGTTATGAAGTTAATTTGATATTTTAATCTTGTTTCAATGTAAAATAAAATAAAGATGTTTGCACCTGATTGAATGCAGCGATTTGCTTCTTTCTTGCTGTGACATCGGCTGACGTCTCAAGCTGGGCGACAATATCCTTGATGTTGCAGTACTTCAGAACCAGTCCAAAGGCCGATTTCTGAGGAACAAAAATAAAAATGAGACTAATTGCCAAAACTTGTCTCTGTGAACCCGTGAAGACCCGGGTTAGAATTCATCTTTAACAACCCATGCTTGTCGTAAATGGCGACGACGGGATCGGGTGATCAGGTTCGCTGACTTGGTTGACACACGTCATCGTATCCCAATTGCGTAGATCTATGCTTATGATGTTGATTACTGGATTGTCTGGTCCAGGCTCGATTATTTACATCACGCCACCGTATAGCTGGAATATTGTTGAGTGCAGAGCTTCACAACGCCCATCCAACTCTATTCTCTATGACTGACTGACTGACTGAGTTTAGTTTTACGCCGCTTTTAGCAATATTCCAGCAATATCACGGCGGGGGACACCAGAAATGGGCTTAACACATTGTGCCCATGTGGGGAATCGAACCCGGGTCTTCGGCGTGACGAGCCAACGCTTTAACCATTAGGCTACCCCACCGCCCCTATTCTCTATGAGCTAGTACAGTAAGGTTTTTGATTGTTTGCTCCAGCAAAATGGTCTGTGAGGTGAGGTGAGGTGAGGTGAAATTGGGTTTAACGTTGTGCTTGAGAATATTTCGCTCATATGACGACGTGCATGCGTGTGTGTGTGTATGTGCGGCTGCTTGTACTAGCCCAGACTGAAGCTGGTTTTATAGTGCTAGCCCACTGAGATACCATGCCGCAGTGAAGCATGAATACCCCACTGAGACACATTATACTGACTCCGAGCCGACCAGTACTTGCTGTACCCATTAATGCCGAGCGCCAGGCAGGGACCAACAAGTACCATATTTTAACGTCTTTTGGTATGGCGCAGTCGGGGATCGAACCCGCGACCTTCCGCTCTCCCAATATGGTCTGTAAATAATGGAGCCAGGACCAGACAATCCTGTGATCAACATCATGAGTCAAGTATTAGTTACCATGCGTTCGTCTTACCATTTGATCTTCCTTCTCCAGATGTTTCGTTTTAGCTCTCTCTTCACCACTAGCACGAGCATCTATCTACGCGACTGGGATAGTATGACATAATAATAACGTGTCCATTTATATAGCGCCAAACTCCACACTAGGTATGCTCATAGCGCTAACAATCAAGGTACAGCACATTATTACCCCGGATAACCCAAGCTGCCTGTTAGGCGCTAGAAGGTTATAGTCATATGACTTTTTCCACCGGGTACCCATTTTCCTGCTGGGTGAACAGAGACAATTTTGAACAAACTCACTTGCCTAAGGTGAGACCACATGTGTCACATGTGCTTCGTTGTGGGGCAGGACTCAAGTCCTAGAAACTCTCAGGAGTCAAGCTGACATGTGTCAACGAAGACAGCGAGCCTGACCACCTTCCCGTTAGTCGCCTCTTACGGCAAGCATGGGTTGCTGAAGACCCAACCAGGATCTTCACGGATGGAAAGCAAATGCTTGTGTAGATGATGGCAGTGTTTGCACTTAACCTTGAAAACTGCAGACCCTTAGGACCCTGGGCCCCGTTCCTCAAAGCGATCGTAGCGTCTACGACTGTCGTAAGTCTACGTTAAAGTATAGGAGTTACGATCATCTTAGCGCTACGACTGTCGTAAGCCTATGTTTAAGTATGGGAGTTACGATCATCTTAGCGCTATGACTGTCGTAAGTCTATGTTAAAAGTATGGGAGTTACGATCATCTTAGCGCTACGACTGTCGTAAGTCTATGTTAAAGTACGAGAGTTACGATCATCTTAGCGCTACGACTGTCGTAAGTCTATGTTAAAGTATGGGAGCTACGATCATCTTAGCGCTACGATCGCTTTGTGGAACGGGGCCCAGAACCATAAAAGGTTGTGGGTCCGGATCAGAATGTGTAGGCCCTATAATTTAATAATAATAATAATACTCTTAGTTATTCGGGATAAAAAAGCTGTCGGTCATAAGGACCTGCAGAAAACAATAGCTGTGGGTCCGAGTGGTTTTCAGTCGGCTTCGGGCCTAAGGACCGACGTTAATTTCGAAAGCTGGATGATGGGAAGTGTTGTCTAAAATTAACTCACTTGGCCTTTGGTGAATAGGTTTATCTTCCTGAACTCCAACGGATCCATGTTCAATTCCTTGGCGACGTGATCCATCATCGCTTCCATGATGAATATGCAAGGTAGGGTTCCTGGAAGAAGACAAGTCAACTAGTCAACAAGTATAAACTTCCTTCTGAATAATTACTCAAAATACTAGCCAAAACATGACGTGAAGATCATGGTTATAGTCATACTGATCAACGGAGATTTTAAAATCTTTGTATTCTGAGTTTGTTATGTTTTTCCTTTTATTGTCTTCAAAGCATTGGATTTGGGTGGTTGGTTTGTTGTTTAATGCCGCACTCTGCAGCATTCCATCTATATGGCGGTGGTGTGTAAATAATCGAGTCCGGACCAGACAATCTAGTGATCAACAGTATGGTCATCCATCTACGAAATTGGGATACGATGACATGTGTCAAACATATCCCGGAAGTCACTATTTACTACAAGCATGGGCTACTGAAGACCAATTCTAACCCGAATAGAAAAGAATAGGATCGACTCAATGGGCAAGAAATATATTCGCAAACCCAATGTTCGTCAGATTGGACGTTTCACAATATATTTACAGTAGAAACATTACTGATGATGTGTGAAAGGTACTTGCAAGATCGTGGGTATCACCAAATTATCGTTCAACCCCCGTTTGTCTGCCTTTTTTAAAATGGAGAGGTGTTTTTATGACGAAAGTATTGGAGCAATCAGGAAATCTGTGTCTTGGACTTGATTAATATACTCTTACACCCGTATTGCCATGGGCAATACAGTTCATGAAATGAATTGCTGAAACAAAGTCTCGCCAGATCGATTATATTTTTCTGCTTTATCAATGCACATGTTATAGGATGGGAGTACCACCTGGCTTCTCAGTGAAGATTCGGTTTGAATCGATCTTCAACTGCCCATGCTTGTTGTGAGATGCGAGTGCGGTGATGAACAAGCAAACAAACAAACAAATAAACTACCTGGCGATCTGCAGAATGTGTTTGCTGGGAGATTTGTCTTCAGGGCTACTGGCTTGAAATCCCATGCTGGACAGTAGTAGGCTGAAAAAATGGAAATATTCATGAAGATACCCTATACCCAGCAGAGGGGCGGTGGGGGTAGCCTAATGGTTAAAGCGTCCGCTCGTCACGCTGAAGATCCGGGTTCGATTCCCCACATGGGTACAATGTGTGAAGCCCGTTTCTGGTGTCCCCCGCCGTGATATTGCTGGAATATTGTTAAAAGCGGTGTAAAACCTTACTCACTAGTGGTGGTCCGATGAATTGAAATAATCGAAGATTGGTCGCAGTGACTAAGCGACTAAGCAATCGATCATGTTTTCTCATAATCGAACACAAACAATTCTGGAACACTTGTTTTCATAAACAATATTTTTCAAAAGGTTGGTTTTGTCTGTTACATTTCATAAGCACTACAAGCTCGTTTCAAGTCATGATTGAATTTATCTTAGAGACTCCAAGAAATTTATGTTCCTGACATACTAGTCATCCTTTAAAGATGTGAAATTTTGCCAAAAAAACCATAAAAACTACATGTTTTTTCCATATTTTTATGTGCATTAACAAATTTCATTAATGACGCTAACCAATTATTTTCGATGATTGATCGGTTGTAATAAACCAATCATCAATTTTGAGATTTCAACCAATTTCCAACACCATTACTCACTATTGTTGCAGATAATAGAGAGACTAATCGGAACAGAAGCAGTTACCATTGCAATGTGTCTGATCATGCCAGTCATCCCACGTTTTGAGTTAAAAATGAGTTAAAGTAAAAAAATCATCCAAAAGAATATTATATCTTCATTTTAAAAGTTTCTATAGTTATTTTTACATATTTGTATATCTGAAACCTTTTACAATCCAAATGAAATAACACTATTTCTTGAAGTGTTTTGGTAGTGTTCCTGTATTACCATTGTCCATGAAGTCGGGAAATCCCGCAAGTGAACAGTCATTGGGTGTTGCTCCACAGTCAGCATTGGTCGTCAGTTGGATGCCATTCAGTTTTCCATCATTGTTGACCCCGACCTGGTTACAGAGAAACTTAACTGAGTGATATTCCAGAAACAATATGAGTAGGTGAGTGATGAGACATGGTTACAGAGAAACATGACTGAGTGATATTACAGAAACAATATGAGGAAGTCAGTGATGAGACATGGTTAAAAAGGAACATCAAAGTGATGGGATCTGGCAACAGAGGAACTTCACTAAGTAATGAGATGTGGTTACCTAGGAACATCACAGAGTAATGAGATGTGGTTACAGAGGAAAATCACAGAGTAATGAGATATGGTTACAGAGGAACATCACAGAGTAATGAGATGTGGTTACAGGGGAACATCACAGAGTAATGAGATATGGTTACAGAGGAACATCACAGAGTAATGAGATGTGGTTACAGGGGAACATCACAGAGTAATGAGATATGGTTACACAGGAACATCACAGAGTAATGAGATGTGGTTACAGAGGAAAATCACAGAGTAAAGAGATGTGGTTACAGAGGAAAATCACAGAGTAATGAGATATGGTTACAGAGGAACATCACAGAGTAATGAGATGTGGTTACAGAGGAACATCACAGAGTAATGAGATGTGGTTACAGAGGAACATCACAGAGTAATGAGATATGGTTACACAGGAACATCACAGAGTAATGAGATATGGTTACAGAGGAACATCACAGAGTAATGAGATGTAGTTACAGAGGAACATCACAGAGTAATGAGTAGTGGTTACAGAGGAACATCACAGAGTAATGAGATATGGTTACACAGGAACATCACAGAGCAATGAGATATGGTTACAGAGGAACATCACAGAGTCAAGAGATATGGTTACAGAGGAACATCACAGAGTAATGAGATGTGGTTACAGAGGAACTTCACTAAGTAATGAGATGTGGTTACAGAGGAAAATCACAGAGTAATGAGATGTGGTTACAGAGGAACTTCAAAGAGTAATGAGATGTGGTTACAGAGGAACATCACAGAGTAATGAGATGTGGTTACAGAGGAACATCACAGAGTAATGAGATGTGGTTACAGAGGAACATCACAGAGTAATGAGATATGGTTACAGAGGAACATCACAGAGTAATGAGATGTGGTTACAGGGGAACATCACAGAGTAATGAGATATGGTTACACAGGAACGTCACAGAGTAATGAGATGTAGTTACAGAGGAAAATCACAGAGTAAAGAGATGTGATTACAGAGGAAAATCACAGAGTAATGAGATATGGTTACAGAGGAACATCACAGAGTAATGAGATGTGGTAACAGAGGAACATCACAGAGTAATGAGATGTGGTTACAGAGGAACATCACAGAGTAATGAGATATGGTTACAGAGGAACTTCAAAGAGTAATGAGATATGGTTACAGAGGAACATCACAGAGTAATGAGATGTGGTTACAGAGGAACATCACAGAGTAATGAGATATGGTTACAGAGGAACTTCACAGAGTGATGAGATATGGTTACAGAGGAACATCACAGAGTAATGAGATGTGGTTACAGAGGAACATCACAGAGTAATTAGATGTGGTTACAGAGGAACATCACAGAGTAATGAGATGTGGTTACAGAGGAACATCACAGAGTAATGAGATGTGGTTACAGAGGAACATCACAGAGTAATTAGATGTAGTTACAGAGGAACATCACAGAGTAATGAGATGTGGTTACAGAGGAACATCACAGAGTAGTGAGATGTGGTTACACAGGAACATCACAGAGTAATGAGATGTGGTTACGGAGGAACATCACAGAGTAATGAGATATGGTTACAGAGGAACTTCACAGAGTGATGAGATATGGTTACAGAGGAACATCACAGAGTAATGAGATGTGGTCACAGAGGAACATCACAGAGTAATGAGATGTGGTTACAGAGGAACATCACAGAGTAATGAGATATGGCTACAGAGGAACTTCACAGAGTGATGAGATATGGTTACAGAGGAACATCACAGAGAAATGAGATGTAATTACAGAGGAACTTCACAGAGTAATGAGATATGGTTACAGAGGAACTTCACAGAGTAATGAAATATGGTTACAGAGGAAAATCACAGAGTAATGAGATGGAGTTACAGAGGAACATCAAAGAGTAATGAGATGTGGTTACAGAGGAACAGCACAGAGTAATGAGATGTGGTTACAGAGGAACTTCACAGAGTAATGAGATGTGATTACAGAGGAACATCAGAGAGTAATGAGATATGGCTACAGAGGAACTTCACAGAGTGATGAGATATGGTTACAGAGGAACATCACAGAGTAATGAGATGTAGTTACAGAGGAACATCAAAGAGTAATGAGATATGTTTACAGAGAAACATCACAGAGTAATGAGATATGGTTACACAGGAACATCACTAAGTAATGAGATGTGGTTACAGAGGAACTTCAAAGAGTAATGAGATGTGGTTACAGAGGAACATCACAGAGTAATGAGATATGGTTACAGAGGAACTTCACTAAGTAATGAGATGTGGTTACAGAGGAACATCACAGAGTTATTAGATGTGGTTACAGAGGAACATCACAGAGTGATGAGATGTGGTTACAGAGGAACTTCAAAGAGTAATGAGATGTGGTTACAGAGGAACATCACAGTAATAATATACTCTCCCAAAAAAGAAACGCATATAGGAATTTCAACTTTTTTTTATGTTTATTTTGAAACATCTTGTAGGCTTGATGAGTCAATGAAATATAGCGAAATTGCACACTGGGAATGCAGACTTATCCGTCTTTGGCACCAACTCGAGGGAAGTCAGTTTCAGTGTCACATGGAGACATGTGGTGGCGCTGAAGTCAATACCTCGTGTGACCACCGTGGGCATCCAGAACTGCACGGCATCGCCTCGGCATCGAACGAATAAGTCTCAGAATCTCGAGTTGCCCAATCGCAGCCCACTCTGCCTGTAGTGCCTGTGCGAGTTGCTGAAGTGTCTGGGGCTGAGGGTTACGGCGTCGCACCCGTCTGTCCAGGGTATGCCACAGATGTTCGATCGGGTTTAAGTCCGGTGATCTTGAGGGCCAGGGGAGCACATTGATGTTGTGGTTCTGAAGGAAGTCTCTAGTGTGACGTGCTGTGTGGGGCCTGGCATTGTCCTGTTGAAACAACTCCCTCTGGCGATCAATGATTGGAAGGAGGTATGGGCGTAGGATTTCGTGACAGTACCGTTGAGCTGTCAGGTTGCCCTGGATCATCATCAAATCACTTCTCCTACGGCAGGTGATCGCTCCCCATATCATAACACTGTCCCGGCCGAATCTGTCCACCTGGGGAACGCAAGCGTCGGCGAAAGGTTCACGTTGACGTCTGTACACCCGCATTCTTCCATCGCGTCGTTCCAATGGAAATCGTGATTCATCACTGAACCAGATTCTACGCCAATTCGGTAGGTTCCAGGCCTGAACGTTGGTGCACCATTGAACTCGATGTCGACGATGTTGTTGTCGAAGCACAGGGCCAAAATAAGGTCTTCTGGCACGTAAACCAGCCTCTCTCAACCTGTTCCTGACGGTCTGTGTAGAAAGTCTCCTCAATCCGGGTATTTGTCGAGCGGTACTGGTCGCCGTAGCTGTTCGATGACGCAGGTAATGTACCCGGATGTAGCGATCCTGCGCCGCAGTGGTCGCTCGAGGTCGCCCATTACGAGGGGCATCTGCTACCGCACTCTGCCGGCGATATCTCTCCCAGAGCCGTGAAATGGTGCTTTGGTGAACATTCATGCGTCGGGCAACTGCACGTTGAGACTGGCCAACTTCAAGCAAACGAATGGCGATATGACGGTTGGCTTCACTTAGACGTGGCATTTTGCGTTCGTCAACAATATTCCAAATACAGTTGATAATCGACAGACAGCGATCAACCTTTTATACCCATCATTGAGACTATCTCATCCCCAACTTTCACGTGCATTGCATGTGAATTGTGTATTCTGTGACACTACACGCCGAAATTGAAAATCATGCTGTTAAATACGGGTATTTTACGGATGGTGCGTTTTGTTGTGATGTTTCAAAACATAAACACCATAGGACTCATAAACAGAGCAAAAGCTTTTGTAAAATGAATAACGTTTTAATTCATTGCTACATGAAATTGCTATTTTCATGATGCGTTTCTTTTTTGGGAGAGTATATGTGGTAACAGAGGAACATCACAGAGTAATGAGATGTGGTTGCCGCTGGATAAAAATGGCCAATTATCTCTTACTGTGTAAGTCGCCAGATACGGAAAACGTCCCCCGACTGCCTTCATGTTGGTGTGGAGGTCCACCGACAGGCGGACAGGTCTGAAAGTTTGAGTCGTAGATTGTTTCATCCAGGATGACACTGGCACTAATATCGACCACACCTCTCCACAATCAATCAACCAACTAACCAACCAATCAATCCTGTAGTTTATGTATGATCTGACGAAACAGTGTGAGTGAGTGAGTTTAGAGCTATAAGGCGGCGGTTTGCAAATAATCTAGTCTGGACCAGACAATCCAGTGATCATCATCATCATCATGAGCATCGATCTACACAGTTGTGATACGATGACATGTGTCAACCAAGTCAGCGGGCCTGACCACCCAATCCCGTTAGTCGCCTCTTACGACAAGCATGGGTTCCTGAAGATCAATTCTAACCCGGATCTTCACGGGTCCTGACGAAACAAGTGCATAAAAGGGAAAATGAAGAATATATGAATGGATCACTCATAAGCAGTGATGGCCGCAAATACCCCGTCAGATCTGGCGCAGATCCGTGGTTGCTGGATTCAGTTCTCATTTGGTCTTAAGGCTGAGCAAGTAGACAAATTCTTTATTTATATAGTAATTATTAATAGAATTCAACCCACCTTCTCGTGATGTATGTGGCGATAGCAGCGGCACGCTGGCAGGTTGGCACGAGTTATCTTCGCTCCAAAGGCTCCTCCAAGACGTTTGACCTTGACACTTACACTTGAAAATATAATATGTAAACATATGTCCTGCCTAATCAAATTTACAAAGAAGACATTTTAATTTAGTAATCATGACTATATAATATATTAGTATGATGATCTGCCACACAGAATGACTATATATTAGTATGACGATATGTCACCCAGCATGACCATATATTAGGATTACGATCTGCCATCCAACATGACTATATATTAGTATGACGATCTGCCGTCCAGCCTAAATATATATTAGTATGACGATCTGCCACCCAGCCTGACTATATATTAGTATGACGATCTGCCCTCCAACATGACTATATATTAGTATGACGATCTGCCATCCAGCCTGACTATATATTAGTATGACGATCTGCCACCCAGCCTGACTATATATTAGTATGACGATCTCCCAGCCAGCATGACTATATATTAGTATGACGATCCGCCATCTGCCATCTATTATGACGTTTAAAAGCAAACCGCTAGTATGTACCTGCTTTCCTTTATGTTAAGCATTGCAGCAACGGCCTGCTGTACAGAATCCGACCACTGTGTTGGGCAGTGGAGATGGACACCCACCCCATCCTCTGCTGGGTAGCACAGGCAGAACTGGAAGTACATTTACACTTATACAGCAGCTGCCAGCTGGATTCTACATAGCCTCTACCAGGTATGCAAGGATACATGTAACAGTATGCATCATGCTTATAGTCTGTTTGCAGTGAAAATGTACCGATGAATTTCACTTTAAACGAAAAGGTAAATCAAATAAAGTGAAATTAAGATTGCGAATCCTTATAATATTACCTTGCCAATTGAACATTTAACTCTCAGAATTGTATTCAACTTATGATAAAAGTTGTTTAACAAACGATCATAGATTCAAATCGTTATTATTGGTTTGTATTACAAGGGGGTACGCGCAGTAGTAGGACAGTGAAACAAATGCACGTGAGGTACGTGATGAGCGTTAATTTACACCAACCTTACGTGTTCTCGGAGTTTCATTTAATGTGCATACCCCCTTGTAATACAAACCAATAATAGCGATTTGAAACTATGATCGTTTGTTAAACAACTTTTATCCTAAGCTGAATAAAATTCTGAGATTTTTCATGTTCAATTGGCAAAAGGTAAAGATATGAGGATTCGCAATCTTAATTCACTTTATTTGATTACCTTTTGTTTAAAGTGAAATTCATCGGTACGTTTTCACTGCAAACTGACTATAACGAATACCAACCATGCTGTGTGTTACGGTATATTAGGCATAACCTGTACACGGACATGTTCAAGTAGCATGAGCATTGTGCAATCTCCTAATGATACAAGGATATGCCACGCGTTTCACAGACAACATGCATAGCCTGTACCAGGAAAGTAACACAGAGCATTATGCATAGCCCAACTCAGCTAAATTATTGTTTAAGTACAAAGCGTAGGTAAGTCATTCATTATGTCGGAGTCGTAACTACGTCGTTCATTAGAAAGTGCAACAACATATTTCAACATGACGTTTTCAAGTTATTACTTAAGCAGGAAGCATACGAGTTTTATTAATTAAACAACGTAACTGATATTGAGTAATAGGCCTTGCTACGTCAATAATTAGCAGAAAGCGTGTCTTCGACACAGATAAATTAGCAATCGAAACAAAGAAAGCAGGAACAAGACGGACGTTACTGATCACAGAGGCTGTAATTATATCATTTGTGAAATACAAACCGTTACAAGTGTGACAAGTAACGCGACAATGCCCTTTAGACCGTCATTGATTATGAAGGAAGCTTATCTACGTCACTATGGGGGAATCATCATACCGTCGTTTATTACCATGAAGCATACAAATGAAATTGACTAAGTAAAAAAATTAATGTAATCGATAAAGTAGGAAATATAACTACATTAATCAAATTCTTCCCATCAATGCAATATGTAATACTCATTTCTGCATCCATTTTGACTGGAATGGCGCCGAACGGGGAGAAACTCTTGACTTGTTCTTCCATACTTGGAAACATTTGCCATGACGTTAATACTAATGAACGTTGAGTGAGTGAGTGAGTTTAGTTTTACGACGCACTCAGCAATATTCCAGCTATATGGCGGCGGTCTGTAAATAATCTGGACCAGACAATCCAGTGATCAACAACATGAGCATCGATCTGCGCAATTGGGAACCGATGACATGTGTCAACCAAGTCAGCGAGCCTGACACCCGATCCCGTTAGTCGCCTCTTACGACAAGCATGGGTTACTGAAGGCCAATATTCTAACCCGGACCTTCACGGGTTTAATGAACGTAGACTAACGCTTAGTCTCTGAATAAAATTCCATTTAAATTATCAAGGAGATGGGAGATTCCAAACCTGAGAATCAGACTTGCTTCATTTAGGGCTTTAGCATTGCAGGGAGAGCTAGGCAGTAGGGAAATGATGTGGTTTCGGGACTGTGAGACAGGGACTGTGTTGTAAGTCCATGCTAAATATGGACGCTAGCTTTACATGCACCACTGACCTGTCTTTCCAGGTGGAAATGGTACTGATGTTTTATCTTGACACTGCCAGTTATCTGTTTGTCAGACCCGGCTATTGCAGCTAAAGAACACAAGAACATTGAATACTTCATCTCATCAATTCAGTATATTGCTCAAATAAACAAGTGAAACAATAAAATTGCATCCTTTAAAGTATTTATGCAACCAGATTCAGCTTAATAAACTTATACATATATCTACAGAAAAACTAGCTACCTGCAGCATCACCGACTTTATACTCCTGGGCAACATTTGGAAATATGGATTTCTTCTGAATAGCATCTTCCATTGTAATTATGGGAGGCTGGACGTTCTTGTAGGTAACCTTCACCATGCTGGCTGCTGTGTCAGCTGATAGTTGGTCCACTGAAACAAAACATCATAATTCTCTTATCGATTGCTTAAAAAGGACTTGTCTGTATCACCCTCATCCTCATCATGGAGCCTTTACTCCGTTACAGCCTACAAAGCAAGTTGGGCTTCTAAGAAGCGCTGCCTAGTCGAATCCCCCTGGAAGACTCCCCATCACTGCAGCGCAGTGTCCTCGGTACTCTCCCAGTGCCAGTCAAAAGAGTAAATCATACCAAACATACGGCATCGAGTCTATTGTGGAGTAGGAAAACTTGCTAATTCAAATGCAAGATTGGCGTTTCGTCGCCCGTTTCCCCAATATCTTCTCAATCACATTTTGTGTCACAAGGGACAGGAAATCAAATGATGTATATAATTTCATTCGTGTTACCAAAAAGGGCCCCATCAAACTTGTTGGCTTGGATACGTCTGGGGCTGTTTACCTATTTCGAAGAAGTTTATAATCGTCATTTTCCATGACTCTTTGTACATATTCCTACCATCGATGGACCTCTGAGTCAGAACGACAAGAATTGAGAAGACGGTTATGAAGAGATCGAGCCACGCCATCATATAGCTCAATATAATCTGTGCCAGCGCTTGGCATCCATTGTCACGGTGTTCATATTTACATTTTGATCCAAATTCCCACATTGATGGTTTAAGTGGGAAGTGGCTGCTCTGAGAAGCAGAAAGCCTCCTGTTACACTTTTGAGATAACCAAGCGAAGGACCAAGCTTTCCTTCTCCAAGCACTGCATATGGTACACTGGTCGTTCGAGAGACTGCCTTGGTCAGTTTGTGTGTGTGCGTACGTGCGTCCATGTGTTAACAGCCATCGGTCTTCAGGGCACAATGCAATGTGGCCAAGTATACGTACGTTGCTAAGTATTATTTTGTTCAAATAAAATACCGCTCGGATTTGTCAGGCATGATGTTCATGAAACGCGTAAACGTATTTAGACAAAAGAGTTAATTTAAGATTAAACAAATGCCAATAACTTGACCCTTAAGAGTAAGATTGGGTCCCTAACGAAATGAGGGAAAAACAAATATACATGAATTAAAATCATTTCAAATGTATCATCTTCCTGAACATGCATTTGGAAGGATAGCAGACATTACTTGTTTTATGAAGACCACGAATCAGTGTTTATGAAGCTATAGCCATCTCAGGTACGTTATACTTTCTTTGTTTATCTGTTTGTTTATCAGAGCACTTATCGCTATTCCAGATATAGGGGTGGTGGGTAGCCTAGTGGTTAAAGCGTTCGCTCGTCACGTCGAAGACCCGGGTTCGATTCCCCGCATGGGTACAATGTGTGAAGCCCATATCAGGTGTCCCCCGCCGTGATATTGCTGGAATATTGCTAAAACCGGCGTAAAAGTAAACTCACTCACTATTCCAGGTATATCAGAGCTAGAGGACGATATAGTACATATACTGTTGTTTTGAGAAGGAACTCTACCTGCCACGATGAGACCAATTGGCTGTCCACTGTACAGAACGCGCCCACTGCAGAACAGCTGGGAAAAATAAAGGGGGTGATGCATAATTTGTAACAGCTATAACAACGTTTTGAAAAATGTATTATCTTTGAACAACATGCATTTCATATAATTTTCAATGACTTACAATTTCAAATCAAACTAATGATAAAAACAAATCTTGCTGCCATTAATCGTTAGAAGTGGTTTCGAGGACATGAATTATTACTTATAAAAGTCGGAATAACGTTTTTCTCACTTTGTTTATTTCTGTCGAAAGTTGCATGTATGATCATACAGTCACATATGTATTCTTATTATGGGAAACGTGAATACAGAATCGAAAATATTTTCATATAGAAACTAAAGAACATGTATTCTGTTTTTCCATATGGTCTGAGAACATTTGAACGTAGCAATGGACTTACACGAGAAACATGAACAGAAAGAAGAAGGTACAACTGTACACAGTTCAGAGCTACATATAACCTTTTGGGTCATTGAGTTATGTACTCGCTTGTGTTCATCTCAATTGGGTATCCTAATTTTCATTTGAGTAAGCAAAAGCAAATAAATTGTCACTCAAACTCAATTGGGTATTTTTCCATTTTCAACAAATTGTAAAAATATAGTATTGTTTAAATGTCGGTCTACGTGTTTGATATATGAATTTTATCTGTAACATGAGAAACGATTAGAAAGACTGCAAGTTGCCAAGTTCATGTGCTGAAATAGAACCTCTCAACATACCCCAGTTATTTGGTCTATTTTTGTGTGTACACATGTAAGATCAAATTTAATGAGTATTTACAAAATTTCAAGCGTACTTGTGCGCAATAGACTTAGTAGGAATTGTGTTTTCACATAAATGTTTGCGTAATTTACGCAGATACGCAGCTTCTCTGTACCTCTGACAGTTTCTAGTATAAATGTTGTCAGTACCTCCTCAACAACGCCAGGTGGTGCCCTGAAATTGTTCCTTGACGCTGGTATATCAGCTGCGGAGATGTATTTAATCACTCCAGGGTAGGACTGTAGAAACAAAGACAATATCAAATATGTTATAAATTATTTTGACATTCCCGTCTTCACATTTGTTGGAGCCATGTATGTTTACCTGTTAAAGAATTGATACAAAACATTGCAGAAAAGCATCACTTGCATAACCCAGAATTCGTGGGTTTGAATTTCAAATTTCGGTCTAATGTTGGTCTATATGATTCCTGATTTGTGAGCATCTTACACATGACATATAAAAGTATTAACATTTATTACCGCTGCTCCAAGCATTTTAAGCATATGCACTTGACAGAAAAGAAGAAGAATTCAAGGCCATTTTATAATCGGTTATCCTCACTCAATCCTGTTCACAGTACTGCAACGAAAACACTAAGATGCCTTCTTCCAATCAAGCCAACCTTTCTTCGTTGACTTTGTGATATGCTACCTTTAATTTTTTAGGGCACAACAGGACCAAGATCTACTTTAAACGGAAAATGACTAAATGAAAAGCCCATCCTGTTCAGATCATATGTGTTTAGTATAATTTAGTACTGATGAGCACCTCATCAACCAAAGTCATCCTACACTTGTAGTGCAAGTACCGTCTCATATTCGCTTGCAGTGGTCGTAACGCTGAGAATATAACAATATTTTGACAGCAGAGCCAGAATGTCTCCAAGGCGGTTGTAATGCAAATGCGTTCATGATCTTACAACAAAAAGTATTTTTGTTCATGTCATGATTAACATCTATACCCGGTGGACTTATATAACATAAAAAACTTCATTATGAATATCTATGAGTCATTATTTTAATCTGTGTGGGTTACCATGGCCACAGAGGTGTCGACAGTGTCGATGTCGGCGTTGCCAACGCTGCTGATGACGAATGCTGCACACACTTCATTTGGAACTGGAGGAATGTCACCAACATACTGGACCCGTCCTGAAGTCTGAAACATTACACCTGGAATGTCACCAACATACTGGACCCGTCCTGAATTCTGAAACATTATACCTGGAATGTCACCAACATACTGGACCCGCCCTGAAGTCTGAAACATACCTGGAATGTCACCAACATACTGGACTCGTCCTGAAGTCTGAAACATTATACCTAGAATGTCACCAACATACTGGACCCGTCCTGAAGTCTGAACCATTGTACCTAGAATGTCACCAACATACTGGACTCCGCCCTGAAGTCTGAAACATTATACCTAGAATGTCACCAACATACTGGACCTGTCATGAAGTCTGAAACATTATACCTAAAATGTCACCAACATACTGGACCTGTCCTGAAGTCTAAAACATTATACCTTGAATGTCACCAACATACTGGACCCGTCCTGAAGTCTGAAACATTATACCTAGAATGTCACCAACATACTGGACCCGCCCTGAAGTCTGAACCATTGTACCTAGAATGTCACCAACATACTGGACTCCGCCCTGAAGTCTGAAACATTATACCTAGAATGTCACCAACATACTGGACCTGTCATGAAGTCTGAAACATTATACCTAAAATGTCACCAACATACTGGACCTGTCCTGAAGTCTAAAACATTATACCTTGAATGTCACCAACATACTGGACCCGTCCTGAAGTCTGAAACATTATACCTAGAATGTCACCAACATACTGGACCCGCCCTGAAGTCTCACACATTATACCTAGAATGTCACCAACATACTGGACCCGCCCTGAAGTCTCACACATTATACCTAGAATGTCACCAACATACTGGACCCGTCCTGAAGTCTGAAACATTATACCTGGAATGTCACCAACATACTGGAACCGCCCTGAAGTCTGAAACATTATACCTAGAATGTCACCAACGTATTGGACCCGCCCTGAAGTCTGGAACATTATACATGACAGACGTGAAGTGGATGAGACAAGGAGATGACATTTTGACGTAAGGGTGTAATGATCGTTCCATTGACATGGGATAACAGTTGTCTCAGTACAAAATAGGATCAATTTCCTAATCATGGAAGATATTGATATTGTCTTGTTTTATGCTTTGCTTAACGTGTCATTAAATAGTATTCCAGCTATGTGAAGGCAGTCTGTAAATTATCGAGTCATCACATAAACCTGTGATTGACATCGTGAGAATCGATCTGTGCAATTGGGATACGATGACATGTGTCAATCAATATGTTTCAGCAAGTCTGACCATCCGATCCCGTTAATCGCCGCTTACGACAAGCATGGGTTTTTTTAAGACCATTTTTAGTCGGATCTTCACGGGCTCGTTTCTATGCACATAACGAACATCTTCAGACGAGGAATTTATTGTTGGATAGACCGTGTGGAGAACGTTGTTGAGAAATGACTTCAAAGCTTATTTGCTGAATAGCAAGCTCGATGGAAAGAATTTGGCCATTGTCGCACATAATCTCGTTGGCTTTATTACATGAATACAATATCTCTCTTGAGAGGCATTTTTAGAAGCTGTAAAGATGAAGGAAAACCAAGTTCTATGGATAGTCGACTTCTTTATTGCAATGAGTGTAACGTTTTGGTGTAGGTACTTACACCGTTATTAGGCAAGTGATACAAGGGTTGGAACAAGGAGAATATATTCATAGCTGTATAGGGAGCATATACAATTGATAAGGTTGATCTACATAGGATTACTATAGTGATTTGAGCAGAGTAGACTGATGTAACCTTTGCTTGATAACGGTGTTAGTATCTATATCGAAACGCGGCACTCATTGCAAATTGACAATCCATAGAACTTGGTTTGTCTTCATGAATACAATAGACAAACTGATCATGAATGACATGGGATACATTTGTACATCAAATGGTTAACGCCTAGAGCTGAAAGGTTGAATGGTTGAAGCGGGTTGAGCCCATCATATTCATCATCCTTGAAGTTTACAGGATGGTTATGATAATCAAGTCCACAACAAGCGCAAAACCATTTACAACAACCTAACATAAGAACGCATCAAAACGCATATGCCTATCCTATATTTGTCTGACAGCTGTTTTCATATGCTAGTGAAAATACCAACCTGTAAGTCTGCATCAGCCTTTACTATTGGCTTAGTCAGGGGATATTCGTCTTTACGGGTGTCATATGTCTGAGTGCCTGAAGACACTGGCCGTATCAAGTTTGTACCTCCACTCTGGAATCTTGCCGCTGCCTTCTCACCACACATGCCGAGCACATACTGAAGAATAGAAGGGGATGAGGTTTGTGTACATATTACAATATTCGAGTCCCGTTACACATGTATGAGTTCTAGTGTCTCTCCAACATTAAGAGGACAATCTGTGCTTGCGGTGCTTTGGAACATGCTGAGAACATGATGAAGGAAAGAACAGAGCGTGTACCAATCACTGATGCCGAGGTAGGACACATTTTTGTTCAGGGTGGAGAGGTACCTGCAACCCAATATACACTAAACGCCAAAAGAAACGTTACCCTCCTACATTTATGAATTACTTAAAAACCATCAAAGATATGTTAGAAGGTATTAGTTTACAAAAAAAGCTTAACAACACAGCGTTATGCAAATCACAAAAAAAATTCTCAAATGCATTCATATTTAGGTGAAATGCATCTTGTGCAGAAGAGTTGTCCTATTTTCGTCCATGCCGAAATAAAACAATAACAGTGATTTAGATGTCCAAAAGAAAGGTTGAAATAAAATTCTGGTTTGAGACAAAGATAAACCATTTAAAGTCACCATTATTCAACTATTAAAACAGGAAACAACCGTTGTGGAGTGTGTAATTGTAAAATAATCATTCCTATAATTTCAGTCTTTTAAAACATTTTCTGCTGATTTGCATTAGTGAAAACAAGTAAAACGTGTCTTTGATATTGTGAAAAAATGTTTAGGAACACCTAAAATTATCTTTGTTAACATTTTTGCTTGCAAAGTAACATTTTCCAAATTTTCTGTTTACACATAGCAATATCAATCGCCAAAACGCAGCAATATTCAAGCAGTATTTGCGACCATTTCACATGTAGAATGATTCTAGAGTGTATAAAGAGAGCCTAGAATGCATGATATGATACAAAAGTACAAGACATATGCCACGATTAACGGCTGAAGAGAGAGAAAGAGCCATTGGGATGGTGCAGATAGGGTCGACATACAATGCTGTTGCCAACGTCCTCGGATGCCATCGTATCACGAGTTATTCAGGGCTTCAGACAGATTGGGGTCCCCGTAGACAGACCAAGAAGTGAACGTCCACGCATCACAACGCCAGCTGAAGATAGGTACCTCCGTCATTAAGGAAGGAGGGTAACGTTTCTTTTTTGCGTTTAGTGTATTAACGCACTGGATTTATATACGCAGGACATAACCCTATGTTCGTGGTTTGATAAATTTGTACTCCACATAGGTTTACAGCAAGGGCTGGCTATCGATATATATCAGAGATTGATATTCGTTAACAAAATATTGATCAATTTAATACATATCGATGACCTTGGATCAATAATGTCTGAAAGAAATGATCATATTTAACATTACTGGCGAGCTGTGACAAGTTTTTGCATGGAATATTAACAGAACAGTGCCCTGAACATAATTTAAAAGAGGACCATAAATAAAGTCATACATTTGCATAGAGTTGTTACTGTCACACAAGTTAATGTACGATATTATCGGTAACACAATTGTCTTATCGGTAATCATCATAAATCTTTCCTATCGGCGATATTCCGATTATCGATAATTTTAGTCGGCTCTATCAACAGCACCATACCAACTCTCAGGGGTGGTGGTGCTAATGTTATAAGTTTCAGACATGTATTACCTCGGGCTTTCTTCCCCAAATTAACAGAATATATCTGCTGATTCCTTAACAAGCAGCAATATTACTGAATCATTGTTAACCCACGCAATTCTCAAACTCATTCTGGGCTTTGGTATCACCCTCTGTACACAGATGTAAGTTAAGAAGTGATGTGATGTATTCACGGGAAATCACATTTCCATAGTAACATCGGTTGTATACTTCCAAGGAAGCTGAGGATTAATTTGACTTCACCTGTCTGTTAACAAACAATTACGTGGCCAATGATTATACTAACTCAGGGGCACAGAGGTCCATGTAGCCGTTCCATGTTGCACCCTAGAATCCTATGATCGTTCCAATCTCCTATGCTCGATCATGGCCTTAGTTTGTCAGCAACGTAACCGCGCTCTGGGTTTTCACCAAAGAGGTAAACGGCTAAGAACTGTATCACTTCGGGCTTCTCAAATTGTCGCTAACTAAATTATTTGATTTTAATTCAGTCAATAAAAAATGTGTTTGAATCAATGATATTTGTACATGCCAATATATTTAGGTATTTATGACTAGATACAATGAGACTTTTGACTTTTGTTTTAAGGCGTAGCCTATTGCATTTATTTCACGCGGTTCAGGCAAAACACCAATGAAGACATTAAACGATGCAGTTAATGGATCACTGTGCGGACATTCACAAGATCTGACCTCATATTAGGTACTTGAGAGCTGAGAATATTATCAGCGGCAATATGTCAGCATCACACACTGACTGTGTAATGCCCGTTGATAATGTTATCAATATCACATCAATATGTGGGACGCAGATATCACTACAGAGAGGACTTCTAACCTGGAGATAAGTTCAACATCGAGCAACAGCGACAAACACAATGATACGACTCAGTATGTCGACTGACCTTGTAGAACAGAGAGATGGCCAGGTTCTTCCTGTAGGCTGTACTGGATAACCCAGCTGTAGCGTCTGGGATCAACTCGGCAGATAGACTGGCTATTGCAGCTGAAGAAGGAAATAGGGAAGATGAGAAACGCACGTACATACCTTAATATTCAAACCAGTAAACGGAGTACAAGTAGGATCCGCGCGTGTGTGTGTGTGTGTGTGTGTGTGCGCGTGTGTGTGCGCGTGCGTGCGTGTGTGTGTGTTTGTATGGATGAGGCGACTGCGTGGTGCGTACATTCCTCATTGTTCAAAACAATAAACAGTACAGTTAGGATTCACTATCATGAGAGTGTGTGTGCGCGCGCGCGTGTATGCGTGCGTTTACTGTGTCTTGGGTCTGTGTGTGTCTGATTGAGTGGATTGTGTGGTGCATGTGTAAGTTCGAGTATCAGTGTGTGAGTCTTTGTGTGTATGTATCTGTAAATGTATGTGTGAATTTCTCTCTCTCTCTCTCTCTCTCTCTCTCTCTCTCACTCATTAATGCACCTCTGAAAACATTCATGCATCACGTATAGACCATCAACATAAAGCATTGCATAATTTTAATAACAATGTATTTGACTAACATCTCCAACGGCAATATATCAGACACACATCAGCTCAGATTATTCATCGTAACCATCTGACCACGTTAACCTAGTGCCATGAACCATTTTAATCATCAGATCACTTCACAGCAATATGACAACCAGTCAATACACAACTCGTACCATATTTAGTAAAAACATTACACAACAATACATCTTCATCATCAAATCTTCAAAGCAACTTGGGAACCTTACCTTTGAGAACCGATGCATCCCCTAGTTGTTTCCCTTGCAGAAATGCCTCTGTATTGCTTGCATGTACCTGGATATATCAACAACAGTTACTGTTTAAAAAATCAAACAGGATAAATAAGGTCTATATGTTTGAAAAATCTGTGAAGAAGGGTTACGAAATTGTTAGTGATAGTGATCCAAGTGACAGTATCGTTGTCACTGACAATGACGATGACAATACGTCATCGTATTTCATTAACACAATGTGCAGCCCATTTCTGGTGTCCCCCGCCGTGATGTTGCTGGAATATTGCTAAAAGCGGCGTAAAACCAAACTCAGTCAGTCATTAACACAACATAGATCGAACATAGGTTTTGTTTGTGATGGACTTACAAGACTACATAGTTAGATGATTTAAACTTAACACGCTAAAATATCCCAAATGACAACAAAACCAACCCGTATTGATGTCCGGACTAAAACCCCCGTTGTCTGATTACTGTTACCTTGTTTTATTCTGATGATGTCCTTGTCCGTTGGTAGTTGTGACTAGCACTACATCTAAATAAATTCGTGTTTGCTGATTTTCACATCTTGAGTATAAGGTCAAAAGACGGTGTAAATGTATGTACAGAGTCGAGCCAAAATTATTCGGCACTTGACGTAATTTCCATACACTTACATGTTATTTCAGTGTAGCATAAATAATTTTCATGAAGTGAGTTTAGGATGGATCTTTGTAAAATTTGACAGTGAAATATGAAATCATCTCTGCTCTGCGCACATAATTTCATTTCAATTTTCCGACGACTATTTTAACTAATGACATCACATTTATCAACTTACGTATGCTTCCACAATGCACAATCCCATAGGCCGCCATATTAAAGGAGTTCACGGCACTGTACACATGTTGATTAAAATGTTGCCATTCGATAAATAAGCAACGGAAAATTGTAGGTAAAATGATTACTCACAAATGAACAAAATTTAACTTGGATCTTACGAAAATTAAGTTCATGAAAAGTATTTATGCTACATTAAATTAACATGTAAATCTATAGAAATTACGTCAAGTGCCGAATACTTTTGTCACGACTCTGTAGTTTCATAAACTTTTACGTTAACGTGTTCTTGACTTACCAGTGTCTTGTTGATGCCGCCATACACCAGGGATGGTTTTGTCTTGACAGTGTAGTTGTTGCTCCTGTCCAGCTGCATCCTGAAGCCTGCGTTCACATAGGCGTGGGCGTTCTGAAAAAAAGCAACAAGTAATGAGTGAACTGATTGTGAACGCTACAAAGGGTGTTCCGCCAATAAACTGTGAACATATACCTGGTGCCTTGGGGTAATCTTGAAGGACTTGACATAGACGTCTCCAGACGGGAATGTTGGAAGTGTGACAGACAGAATGACCTTCCCCTTCATATCTAGCTTCAGGAAGTCCATGAGACTGTATGACTTCTCGGAGCCATCACTTGATCCTGCAATACAAGTATATTTCCATCGTACGATATATTCTCACTTTAACCCGAAGTGTAACGTTTTGAAATTGACATTCAGTGAACTTAACATTGCTTGTCAGTGATAGAAGAAAAAGCTGTCCGAAGTTGTTTATGGTATGTATTTGCACTCTAAACTATCCATATAAAACGATGGTATAGACATAACAATTTTCTATCCCTGATTTCAGCCTAAAGATTAGATACAGTTTCATATACTAGTACGTATACATAAATACATACACACTAACTGAAGACGATTTTTACCATTGTTTATATGCTCATGATATAGTCCCAAATGTACAATCGACTCTGCTTTTAAACAGAATTCTTATGAATGTGGATAGGGTTTTGTCGCTTCTATCATCTGCATATATTTAAATCCTTAAAGTTTCACATATGTACAGTTTGGTAGATTGAACATTGCGATTTTGAGATTAGTTCCTTCCAAGTGGGTATTTAAACAAATTAATCTGACAATGTTATGTCTGACGTATGTTTCAGTTGGCACTTTGTACTGCTGCATACGCTTCCAATGAACAATAGGCGGTTGGGTAGCCTTGTGGCTAAAGCGTTCACTCGTCACGTTCGATTCCCCACATGGGTACAATGTGTGAAGCCCATTTCTGGTGTCCCCGCCGTGGTATTGCTGGAATATTGCTAAAAGCGGCGTAAAACCATACTCACTCACTCACCAATAAACAGAGTTGCTCCGACTGTCTCTAACATGGTGAAAACATCAGACGGGAACTCAGTGTGGAGGTTCTTCAACATCAGGTTCCCGGCCCAGCTGCCCAGCTGAAACAGGTGAAGTGTTCAGATAGTAACTTCCAGCCAACCCCATCCAACACATGTACCTGCACACGCACACACGCACACACACACACACACACACACACACACGCACACGCACACGCACACGCACACGCACACACACAACACACACACACCACACAAAGCGCTCTGTAACAACAAAACGCTTACAAGGGGCAATATATAACATTCAACTAAGTTTATAATGGGTATGGAATTATATTTCAGAATCAAGGCGATGAAACGAAAATGAACAAAAATCCACCATGTATTTTTTGTTAAATATTACTAAGGCAAATATGCCTATAACATACTTGAACATAAATGCCAAAATACGATATTTTCGATTCTTAGTTCTGCTATCGTTCCTCCACTGAAATAGGTAGATGGTATTTGTATGTGTAGTTTTACGTGCGTCGATCAAAAGTACGTAGACTAATTGTATTCTCGATGTCCAATGGTTGAAAATCTTCCATTTTATTTTGAAGGAATCTTTAGCAAAGCCATATCCAAAATTTCACATATTTGGGTGATGTGGTTAACGAGATATTAGTCATCACAACACATTGGGGTATAATATTGCTAACAAAACTGCAGAAAATGAAAAACGATCTGTCATTTGGTACCTCTTGGATAATGATATGCCCTCAGAGAATACCATATAAATATGTTCAGTATAGTATTGGTTAACTTCCCGTCACAACCAACAGTCAAAGATTTGGACTGCTTAATTTATATTTAGTCGAGGGCTGTTTGTTTAGGACACTGCGATTTCAATCTTCCTAAAACATTGTGTCCAGATATTCAAGCTGGTACTTTTCACAATATATTGTGAGCTGACACTTGTGTGACCATTCAGTGCCTAGGTTGAACCCTTGGCATCATGCATGGACAAATGAACACATTAGAATAAGTTATGTCCTTATGATTACGTCATCTGAAAGGGGGTGGGTAGTGTCTCCAAAACTAGCTCTTTCAGTCAACATGAAGGGGGGAGTCACTTCAAACAAGCGATTGTAATTTCAAATTGCTTTTTTATGAACTTTAATATCTAAGTGTGATCCTAGGGGACTTCTATCAATCTCAAACACACAAAGTATTTCTTGCATATTTTGTTTCTTGAAGTTATTTATGCATTTATTGTAGATTTTGCGTTTTTTGAGGGTACCAAGATAAAAGGTCAAACAAAATGGGGATCGTGAGACTGGAACATAGCAAAACCAAATTCCTTGAGCTTGATACATGATATGTAGAAAAATAAAACACAACAATTACTGCATTTGTATCGTTTTCTTGGTGACACTACATACTTTTTGATCGCACCTCGTAAATACGATAACGGTTGAACTTGAAGTCTGATAGAAACTCATCCCGCTTCCCCTTCTAGTTTGTGTGGCCAACTGCCAGACACACACACAAAAATAAGCATGAGTGCATAACATAGCAAATAATACATAATGGAGTGATGGCATAAACTGTTGTCTTACATTTCTCAGCCCGATGTTACCAATGTAGGCCACGTGGCTGGCGAAGTCCCGGAAGTACGACAAAGCAGGGTTGGTGCTGTTTTTCTCAAAGACTTCCATCATGTTGGTCAGAGTGATGCTAGGTCCAAACATCACTTTGGAGGAGTCAATCTGTAACAAAGTAAGTATTTGGAAATATTAAGCTGGATACGTTGGCAGTGTTTGATGCGCTTTGAAGGAATCTGTGTAAACATTCGCTATTTGATAAGCAAGTGTTGTGTTTGGTTTTATCATAATGGAAATGGTTTTCTTTCTTTCTTTTAACTTTTTGTTTTTCTCATCAAAACTCCTTACTTTTCGAGTTTGATATTGTTTGTCAGTACATTGCAAACCTACAGAAATGTCATAGAACTCCTGGATGCCACGCAGATCAATGAGGACATTGTACATCCATGGACCGATTTCTTTGTAGACACCTGGAAGAAAAGTTAACAATGCCTAAGTTCGAGGGGAGAATGTTTATATCGGTATAGCTTAATCAGTGCACAACGTGTCAGAAACTATTAAGGGGTTGGGGGTGGGGTCCAGGTCAGACACTGTCAGTCAAATGTACCGCAGTGTCACAAACTGTTAGTCAAATGTATGGCAGTGTAAGAAAGTGTCATGTCTATGGCAGAGTTGATGCAAAAGAGAAGCTGTTAATGGCCTTTATCATGGCAGTCTTTATCTTGGAATAAACTGAATAAACATATCATGAAATACCCATCGCAGAGACTCGTGTATTAAGAGTAGTCTCTTGGTCACCTAATGCGCGTCTGCCCCACGTACTGGCATATCATCGATTGATTGTTACCATATCCTGAATTCCCAAACACGAGTTTCTGCGTTTCCTTAAAATACACGCTTGTTATTGGTCACAATTGTTTACCGAATCCTGAATTCCCAAACACGAGTCTGTAGTTGTCTCGCCTGGTGTTTGGCCGAGGAGGGCGTAGAGCTGCTGCCTGGTGGTGGGTTTGTACCACTGTGACCCCCACTGCAGCACAATGTGGAGGGGCACCTGCTCCAGGTCAGTCTGTCTCTCAGATGAACAGCGTCCTGTGCAGGTCTTCCCAGTTTTGCTGCATATCTTTCTTGTCCAGTTCCTAGAAGTAACAACTGGTAACTAGTCATAGCTCTAAGTTTAAAAAATAAAATGTGATAATTACAATTTCATGTATTGTTTTCCAAATAATGGGGATAACATTACTCTCAGATCCATTGGATGGATACTTATCAGCTACAGCTCGTGAATGACAAGAGTCATCCGTTCATAGTACCAAGTTACACCTGCATTGGGAACAAACGAATTTAAACACCGTGGCCTCTTGTGCGTTAAAGGAAATAGGGCACATATTTATAATAAGTACCATCTTCCAAACATCCTTGATAAACTTCATCACTGATAACAATAGCTGCATATTCGACAGCAACGAGGACATTTATACACAGGAAAAAATCAACCTTATTGTCATTATCTTCATACCTATGTTTAACCAGATTGGAAACGGAATATTTGAATGCATGAAGGAACGGACAAGAACCAACCCGTTCAAAGTGAAAAATGGGTACCATTGTCCATATCCCTGTTTTCAACTACAAATATGGTGTCATTTGATGTTATTTTTACTTTATTGATGTCATCAACCCATATCATTATGTGCTTGAACATATCTATGACTTGGAATTTATATCTAAGTAAGTACCATTACAAAGTCACCCTGAAGAACTGGGAGCAATAGAATATTATTATACATGTATATGAAGATGTCCCTATTCACCTCAATGTCAATAGCACCGCCAGGCAGGGGTTGGTGGAGCGTCTGAGGCAAAAGGACTTCATGGCATCCAGAGATTTGGGCGATAGCCTGAGTAGAGAAAGAACGTGTATATTTATTATATTCCGGTATGATTGGAACACTCTAAAACGTATTTATCTTTATAAGGTTACTTTTTTGTCAAAGATGTTGTCTGTACAGAGAACGGACAAGGCGATTGTATAATTCTACTTGTATGCTTGGCAGCATATCAAAGACGTTTAATTTAACGTCACATCGGCAATATTTCAACCATATCGTGACGAGGATTTGAATAATAAATAAAGACGCATTAAATAAAGTCAAATTATAAAACCCTGTCAACGAAGGACAGTACAATAACTAGAGCATCACAGATATAGATATAAAACTAGTATGAAAAACTAAAAGCGTTTAACTATAGAAGCGTCATTACAATATAAAACAGCTATATATTGCCAGCATAACTGAAGATATATCACCATATTAGGGACTATGGGGACTAACAGTACATTTGCTAAACGACCAAGATGTAGACTCCGTAGATTATTCATATATGTTTTAGTAAAAATTTGCACCTGGTGTACAAACACACATTCTAAAACTAGATGTCAACTTCAACATGACATCATGTACAATGTACTGAAATCTTTTAATTCGTATGACGAAGTCTGGTTCGCAAGAGTTTCTTCCTATATTTCCAACAAGCAGCGCTAGCCTTTTAGTTGATTGAGCGATGGCGAGGTGGTATAGTTTAAACATGTCGTGTGTCAAATGGATATTCTAGAGAAGGGCGTGTATATTTATTTACATTTTTGTATGCCAACAAAAACTTTCAGATTCATTCAACGGCACATGTATACCTTTGCAAGCGAAATATGATGTCTTAAAAATGAAACTGACATTATGATTGAATAATTGTACGTTATATTCTTTGGAAGAGAATCAAAGGACAACCAAGTGGTCTTCCACAACATATTCACGTATTTCGACTTCTGAAGCACAAATCAACATCCTACAAAACACTTATAGAATAGAGAGTCAAACAGATTTTGTAGCGGCCATAAAATTTCCGGAGTCCCGTACTGGAGTTCGAACCACGGACCTTCTGATCAGAAGCTCGGATGCCTTGTCCACATGACCAAAGAGTTAACTCCGTCAGCAAGCTGACAAGGAGGTAAGGATGTAAATCTGTTGGGATGACTCCACGCCCTGCTACATACTCCCCGTCAACAGAAGGCACGTCCCGAGCAGCATAGTTAAGTACTGAGTACTCTTATTTTGCTCAGATTTGATATGAACGTGCTCAGCCCGCACGTTGGGCGCCAATGTAGCGACCATCAAATTTCCAAGTCCCGTACTGGATTCGAACCACGGACCTTATGATCAGAAGTCGGACGCCTTGTCCACATGACCAAAGAGGTTAACCCCACATAGCAAGCTGACAAGGTAAGGGTGTCATCTGTGGGATGACTGCACGCCCTTCCAATCTTGTTAGAAGGCACCAAGCTTCCTGTAAATTCGCACATAGAGAACTAACATAGCTTGTTTCCTATATATGACCAACTCCAGTTTGAAACGTTAATAACAATTCGTTAGGTGTCATCTTATATGGACTATTCCTCTCCTATCACCATTAGATTATACTAAGGCTCAGATTATTAGGGCGCAATCGGTTTATGGCTTCAAACAGGTCGTTGTGGAATTGTACTTTTTCACATTTACTCAACAATTATTTTTAAATCTTTTATTCAACAAATATTTTTGAAAGTCACTAAACGACAACTGTTCATCAAAAAACGTGAGTGAGTTAGATTAGTTTTCTTTATGCCGCTTTTAAGCAATATTCCGTGCAATATGGCGGGGACACCAGAAATTGGCTTCACATTTGTGCCCATGTGGGGAATCGAACCCGAGTCTTCGGGTGACGAGCGAACGATTTAACCACAAGGTTACACCATCGTCCCCATTTGATACCAAAGCCCAGGCTGATGTGATAAACATCATAACAGGGACACCGTTATCCTGTTAAAAAATCTCTCTAATGTATCCAGACGCAGATGAGTGTAACCTAACCTAATATTTGAGGTCATTTCACCCGATAACAGAGAGATATAACTGTGATAAGGGGATGTTCTAGGTTGATATTGACATGCCGCATCTGAAATGTATTGTACCGGACTTGCCAACTACACGCCATCAATACCATCTCATATCTCGTACCGACCTCGTGAAGGTCCGCTTCAAATTGATCTTCGAAGTAACCCATGCTACCAGAAGAGCGACTAACTTGACGGATCGGGTGATCGGAAGCTCGCTGACAGGGCTGACACATGTCGTCGTATCCCAATTGCGTAGATCGATGTTCATGCTGTTAATCCCTGGATTGTCTCGAGTCCAGACTCCGGTATTTACAAGCCGCCGCCATATAGCTGGAATATTGCTGGGTACGGCGTAATACTAAACTCACTCTCTTATCTCGTACCAGTTGAGATGCAACAAAAGTATACTCTTAAAAAGTAAGAGAATTTCATTGTTAATTTACGATTGCAAACATTGGGAGATATATCTGGAGTCAGTCAATGTTGATATGATAATAATGAATGTATTGAGAGTGCATCACCACTTGCACTTCCTTATGACCATAGTTGTTTGTACAGTAATTGCTCTTGAAAGATGAATTGTGCATGACGTGAAATTTGCATGTGCACGTTTTTCATCAAACGAAACCAAAATGGCCAGAGACCCAACGTTAACAACTGTGTGGATGCCAGATGATTGTCAAAATTAATGGTCTCGAGTGATTTATCGATCTTCTTGAAAACAATCAAAATCAAGAATGATGGAGAAGAACAGTTACTCCACTCGGTCATTTCTTCAGAACGCCCACGCCCGTGTGACAGCATAGGCTAAGGGAGTTGCAGCTGGACGGGAACAACTTCCCCTGTCAAGACGAAACTATATAGCTGGAATATTGCTGAGTGTGGGAGCTATAAACACCCAACCAACCAACATATCATGACATGGTCAGGATTAGATGTTCAGAAGGCGTATAACAATGTGTCTGTCTTAGTGTACACAACTAACCTGTACATCGGCAAATGACAGCATCGTAGTAAGCATTCTCTACTTTGTTGCATGGTAGGCTTTGGGTGTTCTTTTCAGTAGGCTGAAACACATATCGAGCATCGATATTCGTACTGCTTGTTCTAAGGACTTCTCGAAGTAAGTCTTCAGGTTCTTTAATGAGATTGACATGTTATCCATCTGCATATGTTCTCGTTAAGGAAACAAAGTATGTCTCTTTCATCAATAATATTGTAAAGACGATAGCATGTTACATCAGGGCTGTTAACTTCAAAATGTTACCAGCCCAAAATGGATTTTAACTAGCCCAAATATGGTGAATTTACTCAGTTGTATGGAACATCTAAAATGTTTACCAGACCATCGGGCTGGCTAGCTGTAAATTTAGACCGTCCGTCAGAAATCGAGACCCTCTCGGGCGGTCGGACGGGACTTATTTCAAACACTGGTTACACCGTAGAAATATCATTGAAATATTTTTATAATGTAAGTCAAAGGTTGTGTATATAGTCAGTGATTGCGTGTCGTGAATTCTAAACCTGCTTATATTCCTCATATTTTTCTTTGAAATTGAGCGATTATGTGATTGGGACACTGGGCATTGTAAGGCACGGTGGAACAAACCCATGTACATTTAGTAGGAATCTTAATAGTGAAAAACAGCTATTTAGTTGAAAACATGCTTTTTACATTTTCTTTACTAATAAATATACATTTCATCTATAGATATCTTGAAAGTCTTACCCATACATATTCATGACCTGGGCGGGGCTACAGAAGCCACACTGAGACCCATTGTACTGTGCCAGACGGTCTTGTATCGGGTGTAGGCCATCCCTGGGGTTGCCCAGACCCTCGATAGTTGTCACTTGCATGCCGTCACACGTGTACAGGGGAACCAGACACTAAAGGAATTAACTTGTCTTACAGTTTTTAGTCTATATACCAAACAGACGTACCTCATATTGACAATGATCATATTCTGTGTTATTTGTGACATAGTCAATACAGAAAGTAGATCGTCCTACAGTTTCTAGTTTATATATTACACAATTTAGGTCTTTAGGTTCAACTTAAAGTAGAACTCATAGATCTCTAATTGTATTTATAATAAAACACATATATACCTACCATAGATTTCATGGCCTTAATGTAATGCGAACTAAATACATTGGTGATACCCTGAGCAATGGTATCTTCACGGTGTCCACAATGACATCGGTGTGTCCATCAGTAAGTGGATAGTTTCGATTTTGGTCACGTTAAAGCACCCCAGAGAAACCGGTGGATCCGGGTGGGTGGGGTTGCGGGGTTGCGTCATCACCCCCTCTCCCCCGAAAATTCTTTCCCTGAGGAGCGGTTCCCCCCTAACCTTTGGACTTCGTGATTTATGTGCACCCCTTCTCCAAAATCCTGGATCCGCATGATACAAAGGACACTACTGCATATAAACTACGCGGTATTGTTGGACAGATTCTTACCGAGTTGACTGTGTATGTCTGCACGGCCTTTGTGATTGGATCATACAGTGTGGTAGTGACGAGGCACACGCCACACCCTCCCTCTATACACATGGCCTTGGTGCCATAGGACACACCCTGGGACCTCATGAACTCATTCAGGGAGAGGGCCGCGGCATACTGGTTGCCAACTGAAGGTATTATACGAAAGTATTTTCTTTATAATTAGAAATATACTTTAATCACAATTTGACATAATCGTCGTGGTATACTGGTAGATATACTTATGACATTCTATAGTTGTGAAAACGTTTTGAGGAAAACATAGTTTATAAAATGCAATGAAACCTTTTAAAAAGTTTTGATTTAAACATATTTATTTCCAATGAAAGGAACCGGATTGGTAAACAAGCATAAGCTTATATGAATACCGCTCCGGGATACAATGGAAGGAAGAGTAAACATGTCATGATGAATGTACAATGTGAATGATATATAAATGGTGCAAAGACGAGAAATAACGCCAATCATTGTTAAAAAGTATATGTCATATAAACAAATTATTTTGGATCAAATCTGCCTGTTAAATTTATAACGTATTTTTAAAAAAAATTTTAAGGTTCTGTGTTAGCTGGGTGGTGACATCTATCTGTTTACATCTTTGAGCCCTATAGCTTGTACAATGGCGTGAAGACCCGTATTCATGCATCTATTTGTGTGTAATCTGATTTTTTTTCATTACTTCATAACAGGATGTCACATTCAACAGCTTTTGTTCTGCAAGTTTTTCATGAAATTAAAAAGCCCGCCCACATTCATTAATCAAATGACGATAAGTTTGCGCAAAAGAATTATCTCGGAAGAAATTATAACACATGATCAAAAAGATCTCCCAAATGTACCTGTGAAGGAAATCCCGTTGATGGTGAAGGTGACAGATGATTTGAGAATGCCTGTGACCTTGAACTTGAAGAAGTGGCCACAGTTTTGACAAGTAGACGCGTAGACTCCATCCTTCAGCTCTCCCTTCGTTGGGGTGTGGCTATGGAGGAAGGTTTCTAAGTGAGAACTGGTCATAAATGAAACATGAAAATTATAATCAATACGACGAAAATATTTCGTTAGGCTTTTTAGTGTGTGTTCATTATTTTGAAAGTTGTATTGGAAATTACTGCTTTATCTTTAAATTTCATCTTTAGGACATCTTAAGTTCCTAAATTATACTCCGATCTTGATGATCTGTTTCTTTATGCATTAGTGTCAGAATTTCTGCTAAGAAAAATGCAAACCAAAGAAGTTGAGAAACAAGTGATTTTGGTTTAAACAGTATTTATTCAAAACAGAGACAATACATTAGACAGACAATTCATACAAGTGAATTTTAAGCTGGAGGTATATCGATGATCTGATATGGTTTAATACAGGCCAAATAGACCCTTCTCTACCACCGATGTACCCATCCGAGTACTAGAAATGCCTCATATTCATAGACATGAATAAAGATTGAGGGTGACAAACCATTCTTCTCATAACAGTTACGACAAGCTGGATGACGTTTATATTGTCAACTTTTCCTTTATGTCAATTAATCTTCCTGTAAATGAAGCTTTGACTTTCTACATAAATTTGAAGTTTTGTTATATCAAATAGTATTCACAAAAAATGAATGATATTGGGAACAACTTAAAGTCTAAAAAGTACGGACACATTGTCAAAGATATAAAAAAAAGTCAATTTACAATTTGTACTGTGCATGAACAGTGAGAACAATAGAGTTTTTCATAAATGTCTTTGCACTGCATATTTAAATCTTTATATGTTCATTTCTCCATTTTATTTTTGTAGCACAATGAAGATGTTGGAGGCTTTCTGGTTCAGATTGACAAATAGAGCAAATATTTGTTTCAATTATCTTCATTTGCACCTACTGTTTTCTAGCACAAATTGCTCTATTTTATAGATCTATTCTGAAAATCTAAAACCTTTACATCCTTTGTGCAGTTTCAGTATTTTTAAACACGATGTTCCATGAAATGTCTGTATTAAGTTCATTCTGCCATTTCTGACAAACTGTAGGTGAAGTGTCATTTTCTATAACTTTGTCATAGAAAATGCTGCATCCCTTCATTTAAGAAAGAAGGTCTTGAAGAGTTGAGTTTAGTGAGAGGTTTTGAGTAGTTACGGGATCAGATAAAAGAGTATTTTTCCAAGATTTTGGAATATTTAAAATGATTTTATTGTACTCTAAATTTTTTCCTTTGATGCAGTAAAGCTTTTTTTATTTCATTGAAAGACAAAAACAAGACAACCCTAAAACATTTTCACCCCATATATCTCTTATTGTATGAATTCCTCTGTTAAACCAACCTTCAGTCAAGAAATTACTATCTCTAAATTGGTGATTCAACCATAAAGGTTCAGCCATGATTTCTTCTGGTTGACAAGTATTTATCTTATGTTGTTGTATATAATACTTACTCCAAATAGATAAAACATCATTTCAAAATGGGTTATCAATCCTTGCATGACTGTGAATATGTGCAGCAAGATGAAAAAACAGGGATTGTGAGGTGACGTTTTATTTACATACCTTCTGCCGAGGCAGGATAACTTTATTTATAAAGGATTTGATATGTCATTCCTAATCCACCTTCTTCATATTTTCTACATATAGTTGTTCTCTTGATTTTATCTTTCTTGCCATCCCACATGAAATTATATACAATATTGTTTAGTTGATTAAGAAATTCCTTTGTGGGTGATGGTAACACAGAAAAAATATGTACTAAAGTTGATATTTCCAATGTTTTCAAGACTGTAATTTTCCCATGTAAGGTTAGTTTTCTCTTTTTCCAACTAGTAAGAATTCTATTAATTGTTTTCAGTCTTTTCTAGGATTGATTACCCATAAATCCTCCAAATTGGGGTTGAAATATATACCAAGGATGTTAAAGTATGTGTGAAAAGTCATGGAAAAAAGTCATGGGAAAAAAAGTCATGGAAAAAAGTCATGGGGAAAAAGTCATGGAAAAAAGTCATCGGAAAAATAACTATTATAAAACATCCTGTACTTCAATGATCTACAATTGTAATAAAGCATCCTGTTTTCCAGTTATTTAGTTTGTTTATACAGTATTTCATAAATACTATTTCACTTTCATCTTCAGTAATATAAACATTCTGTTCTCTAGTTATTTATAAAAACTATTTCACTTTCAGGTTAATTATTCCTTTCAGTGTGATGCTGTAAGCAATTGTATCTTATCAAAATATGAGAAATGAACATATTATTAAATATTAAGTTCCAAAAGGATTATGGGATTAAAAGTCACGAGTCATATGATTGTTTAACTTGCTTTGAGTTAATGAACTCATGGGATTATCAGTTCATACTTTTACTCAAATAAATACATTATCAATACTGGCTTTGTTTAGTTGCGGGTACAGCAACATTCAGTAACACTTGGACAAAGTACAGTGACTATGTATCCCAGTCCACCCAGCTATGAATGGGTACCTCGTAAGGATGGGAATGCCACATTAACTAGGTGCGCCTAGTGACTGCAAGGGTTTTATACTACCAATGGAGTTGAGATTGATAAAGTTTGACATCCTATGATCGAGGGAAAATCAAAGCGCCTTTGAGCAGCTGAGCTGGATATTGGCGCTATACGAATGTTACTATAATAATGATAATAATAATAATGAAAAAACCTGTTACCTCGCCCTGCACAGCGGGCACTCCACAAAGTTCCCCACCGTCTCTACCGACATGTCTGCTCCGTCAACTGACGTTTATGCACTGATATGTAATATTTACGTCTGTGTAATATTACACAACCATGGTCCCATGACACCCATGTGATGACGTTAACTTCACTGCAAGTAGGCCTAAGTATATGTGTCGTTAGTCATAAGTGCTTTGATGCTCACTCCAGCAGCAAATGTGTACCCATTTGACTGTTGAACATTAACTGTCTAGCGTCATATGACTATCAACCTTTTAGCGCCTCGCACGTAACTAGTGTTATCAGGGGTAATAATGTCCATTGTGTTGTATGCGATGAGAGCATGTCCTTGAATAGAAGTGGTCCTATTGTTATCATTGATCTTCACACAATGGATTCCATCACCCCCAGATGAGATAATAAATAAAGTCAACAAGCCTGCTTCAAATTTGTATGTAAACACAAACCTGATAAAATTAAAAAGAGATGTATTTGCTATGCGACCAGAATATGGAGGAATCTGTCCCACTAATTAAGAATACAATTTTATGCACATAAAATATCATGGATAAAGAGATTATATTCCAGTAGCTGCAAATAGAAAGCATTAGTTGAAAGTTTTATACCTAACTGCAGAAGACTTTGGTCAGGTGATCCTGATTATATGGAAAACATATAAATCCTTACATAAGAAATCCTTTTGGAGAGATGTAATCTCTGCATGGGGATCATATTTACAAAAAGCAATATAAGACACTAAACTCAAACGATATGTTAAACCAATGTATTTGGTTTAATTATGTGTTTTACAGAGGTAACGAGACATTTTTTATAAACAATTGGTACAATGCAGGTATACACTTTATTTATGATCTAATGAATCCTCCTACAGGGGAATTCTATACTTATGAAGAACTACAAGAAATATATCAAGTCAAAACAAATATCTTAAGATATCATAGTATCAAATCTTCCATAATTGCCTCTTTAAGAGAAGATAAATCATTCTTCCCAAAAAGACTACCATTGTCCCCAATGCTAACATTCAAGGGTTAAAGGCTCGAAAACTTTTTATCTTTCTTTACTTGACCCTAATTACTAAAAAAAAACCCCAAACATATGCCCATAAAAAGTGGGAAAGAGTCTTTGAAACACATTGTGATAACGTAATGCTACGAAACTTATAATAATGATGCCAAACCGATGTACAAAATGTACTAATTTGAAATGGTTACAGATGAAGATATTATACGATATGATACCTTCAAACATTTTCCTAAATAACATCAGTCTAAAAGACACTTCTCTATGTACATTCTGCTCAAAAGAATTAGAAACAATTGTCCATCTATTCTGTAACTGTTGTCATGTTAAAAAGATTTCGGAGAGTTTGACCAGATGGCTAATGACTGTAGCTGAAGGCAACATCGGCTTTATACCAGAAAACATTTTACTTGGATTTAAAGGGAAAAATAACAATTATGTAAATGCAATATCTCTTGTTGTGAAACTGGTTATATATACACAAAAATTAAAAAAACATGTTCCAAGTGTTCAAGCATGTAGTAGGGGAGATATCAAAATACCATGACATTACAAAATATAATGCTTACTCCACATGCCATAACAGCGAGTTCTTTACCTTCTGGTCATCCTTCCACAATCTACTTACTGGGAATACTAGGTCAGAAAACATATTGTAAGTGTATTCAATCATTGTTACCATGATTACCACTATTGGATACACAGAGATAAAGTATGAAAACATATTCAAAGATATCTATTTATTGCATGATGGCGATTTGTGAAAGTATATTGAGTATATGTATATTGTGAATGTATTCTACATATATTGCACTGTGGAAATAAAGATTGTAAAATTACAGCAAGCAAAAAATAAATAAAAAAAGTCTTCACATAATTGGAGAGCGGAAGGACGCGGGTTCGATCCCCGACCGCGTCATACCAAAAGACGTTAAAATATGGTACTTGTTGGTCCCTGCCTAGCGCTCGGCATTAATGGGTACAACAAGGACTGGTCGGCTCGGAGTCAGTATAATGTGTCTGAGTGGGGTATTCATGCTTCGCTGCGGCATGGTATCTCAGTGGCTAGCTCTATAAAACCAGCTTCAGTCTGGGCTAGTACAAGCAGCCGCACATACACACGCATGCACGTCGTCATATGAGCGAAATATTCTCAAGTACGACGTTAAGCCCCATGTCACCTCAAATCTTCACACAATTACCTTATGGAAAATGAAACCAAGAACTTCGGCGTGACGTTACCACTCCACTCACATACGTGTTTGTTTTGCCCCGTGGAGTTGGCACTGGGCCCATCTGAATGGACGGTCTTTGATAATATTTGTCATCACCCAGTCTGGAACTCCACATTAAAGTTTAAGAAATCCTATATATTGAATACAACTACTATTTAAAAAACCCCTCATTTTACACACATATATAAGTGAAAGTGCCTCCTGACATGATCGATTCGAAAGTAGAAAGACAACCTTCACGCACAATTTGAGTGCATAACATTATCATTTACAATAACATGTCAAAGACCCCCACCGAGTGTATGGCACTGAATTAGGTTTATCACACCTGAACATAAACATAGGCAAAATCAACACTGTGTAACGTTTTGTACCAGTATATTACCATTCTAATGCAGATGAAATATCTATTCTAATCACTCGTCCTAGCCAACATACATCCATTCCCTCATTCAAACATGTATTGTGCATTAGTTTATAGAGGTTGATGTCTCCAAGACGTGTACACATTATCTTTACCTACACATTCAGTCAGATAACATCCCCGTAGAGATGCTATTTATGAATACCTGTAATAAACTTTCCAAATTTGATGACAAAAATAGTGTCCGATGCAGTTCCCTGGTTTGACTTATACCAAACTTTCCCCTGAATTATTTCAGGTGAACAAAATGACTAGACTCAGTGGGACAAGATACGCTCACCTTTTCGCGAACACCTGGTATCAGCACTATTTCATAGCGACTCATAAACACATGCTCTGTCATCGTATCGCATGGTGACAATCACTCGATCGTCTGGTTCAGACCCGATTTGTTTACAAACACATCATACAGCTGTAATACTGCTGAAACAAATATCTGCTAGTATACCGGTAGTCATAATTGTATAATCGACTCTGCTTTTGGCATAGATTTCTTATGACTGTGGAAAGGGTTTTGTCGCTTCTATTTGAATAAGATGGGCCTGCAGCAAGACAATAGACTGACTGACTGACTGAGTTTGGTTTTACGCAGCTTTTAGCAATATTCCAGCAACATCACGGCGGGGGGACACCAGAAATGGGCTTCACACATTGTACCCATGTAGGGATTTGAACCCGGGTCTTCGGCGTGACGAGCCAACGCTTTAACCACTAGGCTATCCCACCGCCCCTGCAAGACAATAGAGGCTGAGGGAAAACAACAGAGTAAGCAAGCGCCAAATTGACTGTTCATTGTGAAAGTAAACCGGGTTAGATTAAGGTACAGATTAAGATACACTTGCTAATGCATACATAATTACATACTCCTACATATGTATAAATACTATACTAAGCTCGTCTCAGGGACGCATGTACTCCACAGTGATAAGCCACAGTGGCAAACGAGAGCACTTAATATATAATAATATGATAACACAATTAAATACAATGTATATTACACACATGCACACACACACGCGCGCGCGCACACACACACACACATTCTAGCTCATACCATCCATAATATGTACCTAATATATGCCCTACAGTCCACATTAACCAAACATGTCATATGTGCATAATAATCCACAAAACACATACAGGAGTAAGTGAGTTTAGTTTTACGCCGCTTTTAGCAATATTCCAGCAATATCACGGCGGGGGACACCATAAATGGGCTTCACACATTGTACCCATGTGGGGAATCGAACCCGAGACTTCGGCGTGACGGGCTAACGTTTTAACCACTAGGCTACCCCACCGCCCTAACTCATACACGACTTAGTGTAATTACCAAATAATACTAAATACTAAGTAAAACATATTAACTAGTTGCAGGATCTATTACTAGTAATAATCATAATACAAAACAGTGTACCATGATATCAAGCATTAAACATATTTACATACTATCAGGCGTTCAGAGTTCCTCCCGTCTCCCCATCCCAAATATACTAAAATTATTAACAAAACTTGACACAACAATTACTAGAGAACTCACAAAATGACTAAAAGTCCAAAATTTAAGTTGGGGTTAGGTTTAGGGTTAGGTTTAGGTTAGGTTTAGAGTTAGGTTTAGGGTTGGGGAACGGAAGGAACTCCTAATATCATTATGTAGATAATATTACAACATGTAATATATTACAGATGTCGAATTAAGATGATAAACTAACTATACTTATACACTGTATCCTAACCTCCGTATGATAAATATAAATGCATGTATGAAAGACATCTAAAGTACCTTACCCCCCAAAGTGCAGGGCTGTGATAGATAAATCAGACGGAGTTGAAATTGCAGTGATCAGGAAAGAGAAAGAGTACATAAAATTCCAGATCTCGTCACATGCTCTAGAAACAATAGAAATTCAATCACTGTCCAAGCCGTGGCTAGACCAGGAGACTGAGGAAGAATAGAAACCCATGCGTACATAAACTACATAACTACTTACATTACTACTTTACGTAGGGATTAGTGGAGTGCGTGCGTTACTTTAAAGGGTTGATATATTACTTAACTAAATTATATACTGAAGTTTAAAATACACAATATACGTAAGTCCCAAAACTTTCAAAGTAAAATTTTCACGTACCAAGTTTTTAAACGTAGTATTTTTGTTCTTTAAATTTCGGCTAAATTATCCTAAAATCGCCAGCGGCTGAAGGGATGGTGTAAATCCAGCAAGGCTCCATGCAGGTAGCAAAAGTAATGTAAGTCCCCATGGTTCCTAGTATGGTGATCTACCTTCAGTTGTTGGCGATCTATAGCCTGTTTTTATATTGTATTGTCCATATCGTGCTATTAGTTTTACCTTCCACGCTAGTTTTAATTCTAATTATGATATTCTAGTTGTTTTACTGTCCTTCGTCGACAGGTTTTTATAATATTCATATATTCCATTTTAATGCCAAATATGTTTTCGTCACGATATGGCTGCAATATTGCCGATGTGACGTTCAATTATAACTCACTCACTCACTCACTAAAATACACAATATTTATATTCTGCTACATTTATGTGATCTATCTGTAATATGGACTCTGTAACGAAGTATTCGCTCCTGGACGGTATCTTGTGCCGCTTCGATGTAAATTACTACTGTTATCAAGCTCAATGTTGTGTAAAAAGTCGTGTGTTTAGTTATTGACTCACCAACTCCTAGAATGGCGAGCAGACAATTATCTTATCGGATACAGATACACTGATAACGATTGACTGTCACTCACTGCTGTATGTATGCTGTAGTGATATAAACTGACGTTCAACAGAAAGTAGACACCCGTGTTTGATGATGGCTAAACATGAAACAAGCTAGAATGGATATTCGATGGTGTTAAAGATATCGGGGTTGTATTTTGGTGACATGAACTTTGCAGTGTTTCGGCGACTGATAACGTCTGCTTTGATAACGTATTTATTTGTTTGGTCAAATCCAATATTCCGTCTGTACTTCTCCTGTTGTCCATCCTCGATAATCACCAGGGTATACGTTACGATCACTCCACTATACCCTGGATGCATCCATGGCTTGGGGCGAGGATTTTATTACTCCCTTTGGCTTGGCTGAATTTGTCTTTATTATTTCCCAAAAATCTGAGTGGCACTGCGAACAAACCTTCGCGACTGCGACCGCGACCGCTATCTTTTGTTGACACTGGCAAGCTTGGTTGTAACGGCAGCTTAGTTGATTGGCTACTGTGAGAATGCGGAGCCAGCCAAGGGAGGTAATAAAACCATCGCCCCAAGCCATGGATGAATCCAGGGTATAGTGGAGAGTTATCGTAACGTATACCCTGGAGATTATCGAGGATGCCTGTTGTCCGGCAGTTTATTTTTGGTTCACGGCATGTTAGACATTGATTAAGTTAAATCTCAGCTTGTCAGTTTTATGTTGGAGGAATGACTAATATGAGCCGACCCTTGACGTTTATCGACCTATGAATACAGGTATTCCATGAATCACGATAAGTGCGTTTCTGGGATTCGGAACAATGCCTATCGGATTCTGGTACGATCAAGGGACGCAACTCTACACCTTATATAACTGAGAGAACCAGTGCTCCAATGTATAGCCTCTCTTTATCTCAGAGACGTGTGTACACCCCGTGATGATCCATCTATCTGACTGTAGGCTATATAATCAATTCTGGACAAGACAATCCAGTGACTGACATAATGAACATCGATCTTAGCAATTGGGATGAGATGGCATGCATCAACAGAGTCCGCGAACCTGACCACCCGATCCCGTTTGTCGACTCATAGAACAAGCATGGGTTGCTGAGGTGAGGTGAAATTGGGTTTAACGTCGTGCTGGAGAATATTTCGCTCATATGACGACGTGCATGCGTGTGTATGTGTGGCTGCTTGTACTAGCCCAGACTTAAGCTGGTTTTATAGTGCTAGCCCACTGAGATACCATGCCGCAGTGAAGCATGAATACCCCACTCAGACACATTATACTGACTCCGAGCCGACCAGTCCTTGTTGTACCCATTAATGCCGAGCGCCAGGCAGGGACCAACAAGTACCATATTTTAACGTCTTTTGGTATGACGCGGTCGGGGATCGAACCGGCGACCTTCCGCTCGCCGGGCGGACTCTCTAACCACTACACCACGGAGGCGGTCCATGGGTTGCTGAAGATCAATTGTAATCCGGATCTTCACGGGTAGAGAAAGGATTAGTCTAAGACGTTAAGTAAACACGAAAGAGTAAGACACAAGACGCCATAACATTACATGGAGGAATTTATTTCGGTAAGTAAGAATGTGTGACAACCATGTGTAATTACAATGATACACTCTGCGAAGGTTTACTTCCATAAAGATATCAGTGAGTTGTGCATTCATGATCAAGTTCATGGTTTACACATTCCCTGTGAAGGTTTTATAAAGAAATCAGTGAGTTGTGCATTCATGATCAAGTTGAAGTTTTACACATTCCCTGTGAAGGTTTTATAAAGATATCAGTGAGTTGTGCATTCATGATAAAGTTCATGTTTTACACATTCCCTGTGAAGGTTTTATAAAGAAATCAGTGAGTTGTGCATTCATGATCAAGTTCATGGTTTACACATTCCCTGTGAAGGTTTTATAAAGAAATCAGTGAGTTGTGCATTCATGATCAAGTTCATGTTTTACACATTCCCTGTGAAGGTTTTATAAAGAAATCAGTGAGTTGTGCATTCATGATCAAGTTCATGTTTTACACATTCCCTGTGAAGGTTTTATAAAGAAATCAGTGAGTTGTGCATTCATGATCAAGTTCATGGTTTACACATTCCCTGTGAAGGTTTTATAAAGAAATCAGTGAGTTGTGCATTCATGATCAAGTTCATGTTTTACACATTCCCTGTGAAGGTTTTATAAAGAAATCAGTGAGTTGTGCATTCATGATCAAGTTCATGGTTTACACATTCCCTGTGAAGGTTTTATAAAGATATCAGTGAGTTGTGCATTCATGATAAAGTTCATGTTTTACACATTCCCTGTGAAGGTTTTATAAATAAATCAGTGAGTTGTGCATTCATGATCAAGTTCATGGTTTACACATTCCCTGTGAAGGTTTTATAAATAAATCAGTGAGTTGTGCATTCATGATCAAGTTTATGTTTTACACATTCCCTGTGAAGGTTTTATAAATAAATCAGTGAGTTGTGCATTCATGATCAAGTTCATGTTTAAACATGCCCAGAATGATTTACTCTGTGAAGGTTTCATAAAGATATCAGTGATTTGAACATTCATGTTCAAGTTCATGTTGTAACCACATTGATAAATTAAAATCCACACTCAACCAAATTGAACTGCATTGCCCTATGTTGCAGGTTTCCAGGTACAAGTATAAACAAGGATTATGATATACAAAATATATACCTGCACTGATTACATACCTCGCAGTGGCGTCACTACATAGTCATAACAAACGAACTTGCATTGTCATGAAAATAATTAAGCCACGAAATACATATTTCATTTGCCAATCAGTATAAGTAAAAAACAATATATATCAAGATTATTTTAGAATTAGTTAATTCAAAGCTATCTTTGACAACAGCCAGAAAATGATAGTAAAATACATATCATTGCTTCTGGTGTATATAGGCAAAACACTGTTGGCAACAAAGTGTGTAGGGGAAAGTGTTCAATAATTCATATAATAATATTTAATGTTAATTGCACTGTTGTCCAACATTGCTTTCATCGAATGTAATGCTGACATGGATGTACAATATGGGATTCTGAACATCTCCGGACAGAAAAATGGTTTTATTTTGTCTTATTATGTCTAGTTTTGCAATCACGTGCTATTTAGTTTTTGGTTACAATGTGTTAATGAAAAAGCTGTTTCATTTGGCTTGATCAGTATCATTGAATGCATCGTTCATTGTCTAACGTTAACATATACATACAATGCCATTCACCTAAACATTGTAGCAAATAATAATTGTTTGCTCCAAGTGACATTTCAAGGCTTCATATTTTTTTAATCTCCAATGCTGATCTGCGCTACACAACCATGAAGACGTGGGCTCGGTTGACCTAGGTCCCATACACCAACTGGGAGGTGTCGAGTTGACAGGCTGTCTGTATGTTTTCCACTGTTGCTGGACCGTCTACAATACATGTAAATGTATCAACGTATATTCACTTCATCATTTAGGTCATGGATTCCTCTACTATTCTCAATAACTTTGTAGGAAAGCTTCTTGAAGAGTTATTGTTTCTGTAAGGGAAGATTGCCTATTTCTACACACATACACACGCTCACACGCACGCACGCAAGCACGCACAAGTCATCTAATTATCTATAAAATTGAAATTGCCTAAAATGAATAAGTTTTTCTTTGTATATACCGAGTCGGAAGTATGAGTCCTGTGTGATTTCCTTCCTGGCAGCCTCGATGGCGTGTTTAACAGCAAACAACGCTGATGCTGACATACAGACGGGTGGTTCGCCAGAAGCTGAAACACAAACATTACATAATACACTCAGAAGAAATCTATCCACGACTTAATCTGAGAATTGTCATCTATGAGATAACAGAGAAATTCTATCCATAACATATCCCAAAAATTGATTTCTTTGAGATACTCAGAGAAAAATGCTGGCGTGTAACCTCAAGCAGTGTTCAAGAACAACGTTTTGTTTTGTGAAACTGAAAAAGTAAAATTGTTTATATTACTATGCAGTGTTAACACAGGGTGTATTTTCATATGCTGAGAGATTTCATTACCTTTGGATCTCAGGACCCCGCGTGGGTTGGGTGCATTCTTGAGGAACTGGATACGGAAGTCGATCGGAATGTCTTTGGGCATTGGAGGTTTGTATTCCTGTACAGACAGAATAGTTTTTTGCAGGGGTTTTGACAAAATGGATCTACATCGTAGAGCCCCATTTCACCTTATTTCTTGTTTGTTTCAGCCACTATCACACATAGATGTATACTGTCCTCTGCCTTGCAATAGATTTCGTGACAACCGATGTCCTACCTACTGGCTTGTTCCTTAATCCATAATAATGTACCCGATACCCATGTGGTATTAAACTTACCCATGTTCCGTCTGTCAGGGCGGTGCCAGTTGAAGGGTCGAAGATCATCTCTTCTGTAAACCAGTAGCCCAATCCCATCACAAAACCACCTTCAAGTTGCCCCACGTCAACGTCTGGGTTCATGCTGAATCAACCAAGGACAGAACATATAAACATGTTAGATAAACGTACTGGGGAAGTCGTGTGAATGAAATACTTAACAAAACTTCAACCACGGTCATACAGTAGGTCCACTCTGTTGGTCTTACCTCTCTCCACAGTCATACAGTAGGTCCACTCTGTTGGTCTTACCTCTCTCCACAGTCATGCAGTTTGTCCACTCTGTTGGTCTTACCTCTCTCCACAGTCATACAGTAGGTCCACTCTGTTGGTCTTACCTCTCTCCACAGTCATGCAGTTTGTCCACTCTGTTGGTCTTACCTCTCTCCACAGTCATACAGTAGGTCCACTCTGTTGGTCTTACTTCTCTCCACAGTCATGCAGTAGGTCCACTCTGTTGGTCTTACCTCTTCCCACAGTCATACAGTAGGTCTACTCTGTTGGTCTTACCTCTCTCCACAGTCATACAGTAGGTCTACTCTGTTGGTATTACCTCTCTCCACAGTCATACAGTAGGTCCACTCTGTTGGTCTTACCTCTCTCCACAGTCGTACAGTAGGTCCACTCTGTTGGTCTTACTTATCCCCACAGTCATACAGTAGGTCCACTCTGTTGGTCTTACCTCTCTCCACAGTCATACAGTAGGTCCACTCTGTTGGTCTTACCTCTCTCCACAGTCATACAGTAGGTCCACTCTGTTGGTCTTACCTCTCTACACAGTCATACAGTAGGTCCACTCTGTTGGTCTTACCTCTCTCCACAGTCATACAGTAGGTCCACTCTGTTGGTCTTACCTTTCTCCACAGTCATACAGTAGGTCTACTCTGTTGGTCTTACCTCTCTCTCACAGTCATACAGTAGGTTCACTCTGTTGGTCTTACCTCTCTCCACAGTCATACAGTAGGTCCACTCTGTTGGTCTTACCCCTCCCCACAGTCATACAATAGGTCTACTCTGTTGATCTTACCCCTCTCCACAGTCATACAGTAGGTCCACTCCGTTTGTCTTACCTCTCTACACAGTCATACAGTAGGTCCACTCTGTTGGTCTTACCTTTCTCCACAGTCATACAGTAGGTCCACTCTGTTGGTCTTACCTCTCTCCACAGTCATACAGTAGGTTCACTCTGTTGGTCTTACCTCTCTCCACAATCATACAGTAGGTCCACTCTGTTGGTCTTACCTCTCACCACAGTCGTACAGTAGGTCGACTCTGTTGATCTTACCTCTTTCCACAGTCATACAGTAGGTCCACTCCGTTTGTCTTACCTCTCTCCACAGTCATACAGTAGGTCCGCTCTGTTGGATTACCTCTCTCCACAGTCATACAGTTGGTCTACTCTGTTGGTCTTACCTCTCTCCGCAGTCATACAGTAGGTCCACTCTGTTGGTCTTACCTCTCTCCACAGTCATACAGTAGGTCCACTCTGTTGATCTGGTTCTCCCCTGTCAAGATGTCCACCTCAACTTCAGTACACGTGGCACCGTAAATGTTGTAGTCACTGAAGTCCCCTGTTGGATATGTTCTGAAAATGACGACATCAATGTAAAGCGTCCACCCCGCGACTTCTTGAAATGAGAGGATATCATGCTGACGAATATGGCATTGATTGTGTCAACTTCATGGCCTTGCAACACCTGGATTCGATTTCCGACAGTTGAACAGCTCATGGAGCACTTATTGCTCAAATAGAGGCTGCTTCCTCCTGAAGGATTCTTAAAGGCACTATTTGACACCGCACTCAATAGTCCGTTTCTCTGTATAATACTAACTATCAGCCCTCAGGGAAGCTACCATATAATCTATCAAAATAATTACTTATTTAGATTACACTATTAAATTGATAAGTTCGAATGAATTTGATGAAGCCCCCTCTACCGGCCGAACATTGTTTTCTAGCGAACCCCATACAGTTATGTCCTTTGGAGGGCTCTTTATATTCTACACACAGCTTGGGATTGAAACCAGTTCGGCAAAGACCGCGTGCGACAGTTTTCGATGTACGGAGCAATTGTTTACATTCCTTATATGGCAAGTGTTCTCTGTTTGGAGCTGTTCGCCTCGAAACTTCAATTATCGATTTCAGGCAAGTCGTAAGGGATAATAAGTCTTTTATTGCATCAATAGGAAGCTAAGGTGAGTGCACATATCACAATATATACTGAGTCAAAAAAGAAACTTCACATTCTTTCTTCAGGGCACTATAAAAGAACAAGAGATGGTAAGATGGTTAAATTATTATTATTTCATTGCTGAGATCTGTGTGATGTACTCGATACACTGACAGTGCCATAATCAGTTCCATTAGGCTACACCGCCGTTCCAAAACATGGGTATATACAGAATGTCAAGTCACAAGAATAAAAATGCGAAATTTCTCAGTTCAATATCGTGTATGGCCGCCCGCGCATTCACCACTGCCAAACACCGTCTCCTCATCGACTGCCTGATGCTTGTGAACACGTGGTTGGGGATTCTGCGCCATTGCTCTTGCAAGGCAGCGCCAAGTTCCTGCAAATTCTGAGGTTGGTTCCTAAGACCACAAAGCCTTCTCCCAAGTGCATCCCAAACGTGATCTATTGGATTAAGGTCAGGGGACCTCGATGGCCAGTCCATGACGTTGATTCCAGCGTTTTGAAGGAAATTTCGTGTCAACATCGCGGTATGCGGCCGAGCATTATTAGCTGGAACTGTAGACCTGGGCCATGAGCCGCCGTGAAAGGAACGAGTTCAGGGGTGAGCACCTGGTCGCGGTAAGCAGCAGCTGTGAGGTTTCCACGGATGACCAGAAGTCGGGAACGGTTGTTCCCACAGAAAGCACCCCACACCATGCAACTTCCGCCCCCGAATCTGTCGACTTCCTGTACACAACATTAGGCATACCGTTCACGACGTCGTCTCCAGACTCTGTGCCTGCCGTCCGCGAATCTGAGGGTAAACCTAGATTCATCGCTAAAGACGACTCGATTCCAGTCTCTCTGGGTCCATCGGAGGTGACGTTTGGCCCACAGCAGACGTTGACGTTGATGGAACGGCGTCAGTATTGGCCCACGATATGGACGTCGAGAATGGAGATTGGCAGCCCGCAACCGATTTCGAATGGTCTGTGAGGACAGTCGACCTCTAAACATCTCAGCCCTGGTTCGTGTAGCCGGCAGAAATCTGTCACGTAGGTGACGTAGGACGATTTGATTTCTTCTGCTCGTGACGTCACACGTGGACGACCCGACCTTGGGCGATCAGAAGTGGTGCCAGTTGGTTGTAGACGACCTCGCAAGTCATACACAGTACGACGGTTGCATCCTATTGCTCTTGCGACGTCAATAACTGATCTTCCCGCTTGCAACATGCCAACGGCACGTTCACGTTGCACATTTGACAATCGTGGCATTTCAAGTACCCTTAGAACTGTGGTTTAAAAGTGTTTTTTCAATTCTTGAGGCCAATGCAAACACGTGCATATGAAGAAAACTTTGATGCGAAGATCACGTGATCGACTGCACGTGCAAAACCTGATTTGGCACTAACATCATTTGCACGACGAATGGATGGGTTTGAGTGGGTTTTGCTAACGTTTTCTAGAGTCGAAAGATAGGGATCCCATTTCGGATACATAGATGTATCATCAGAGAAAAATTATTCATTATTTTTCAAATTACATTTTGTGAAGTTTCTTTTTTGACTCAGTATATTTTTTGACTTAGTATATAATAGAGGCCACAATATTGTCGAAAATGAGAGAAATTGTGCCTTTAAGAAGCATTACACAGGGCACAGTCACCCAACAACCCCCGTCATCCTTATGTATTTACAATATATTATTCATCTTCGATATAAAGACTAGTTACACCACCCTGGTTAACGACACCTTATATGAAGCATCTTGGTTTGTGTCTCCAGTCGGCACCATCTTGTTGTTCTGTTTGTTTCTATAGTACCAACATCTCATTCTGCGCATTTCTATCTCAATCTGTGTCATCACGACGACAGTATCAACATCACACTCGGAGCGTCACTATTAAAACGACGTCATCAGTTAAAGTTGTTCAATTTGTTTTTTAACTAGCATTATCTTTGTATGTGAGGCATACTTACGCGCATCTGGCTGACAAGTCCACTCCTTGGGCGTAACACGTAGCTACCAGCTGTTGCCAGGTGGGGTTCGACATCTTGGCCTTGACCGGGGCCATCCGGGTCTTCAGTTGTTGACAGCACTGCACGACTCCCTTTAACAAGACATTTGCACGTTTGACACAGTACCTAATGAATTCTATGATCTCAATTTGTAACAGCGATCAGAAGGTTATCAAACAGTGAATGTACTTTTATGACGTCTAGATTGAGGTACATGACTGACTGACTGACTGAATTTGGTTTTACGCCGCTTTTAGCAATATTCCAGCAACATCACGGCAGGGGACACCAGAAATGGGCTTCACACATTGTGCCCATGTGGGGATTCGAACCCGGGTTTTCGGCGTGACAAGCCATAGCTTTAACCATTAGGCTACCCCACCGCCCCGAGGTACATGACAATGTGTACACATCCGTCTAGGTTTGTGTCACGTTCTCCATTTTGTTTGTTGTTTAATGCCACACTTCTGAACCACATTCTGAATTGTAATTGTTTGCAATATAGAAAGTCATTGCTCTAGTATATTTTATAGTCACATTGGGAACCTTGAACGATGCAGATCGTAACACAGGTACGTAAATGAGTGAGTTTAATTTTACGCCACACTTAGCAATATCCTAGCTATAAGCGGTGGTCAATAAATAATCCAAGATGGACCAAATAATCCATCAACAGCATGAGCATCGATCTAAGCAACTGGGATACGATAACATTTGTCAACCAAGTCAGCGAGCATGACCACTTGATCCCGTTAGTCGCCTCCTTCGACAAGCATGGGTTCCTGAAGACCAATTCTAACCCGGATCTTCACGGGTGTGTTCTTGTAAGGAGTAAGAGCAAGCCGCTTGCTACAGTTTCAGATACCACAGCAAAGAGAATAGTTAGTGACC